AAAAAAAAAAAAAAAAAAAAAAAAAAAAAAAAAAAAAAACCAGCACTCACTCCTCCGTCCGGCAGAGTCCCGACTGCCTCATCTCAAGTTTACGAGATTACGACGTAAAAGCCAATGGGGCACAAGTCCTGGTTCTGGAAGTACTCGAACGTTGTATCGTTGCTGCACAGCATGCCGCTGACCTCGAGATCGCCCTGACCAGGCTGGACGTCGCAGCCGCCTCTGTTGACGACGTAGGCATTGCCAGGAGCCAAGACGGCCGGGGGCGCGGCCGGGCCTGCCCACCGCGTCAGATGCTGAAAAGCAGCGCAAAACTCACCAAAGCAAAGAGGGGCAAAGAAAGAGCAAACGCACTTGAGCCAGCAGGCGGCTGCTTGTTCCACGTCGTATCGAGCTCTGCTCCCGCGCCGAGCGCAAAGCCCGTGAAGTTGAAGTGCCCTGGACCCTCGAAGACGTAGCTGCTAGAGCGCAGCTGGTCCTGTGAGGGGAAGAGGAACTCGAGCGAGCACGTCTTGCCCGCGGCGCTCTGCGGCAGGTAGAGGTTGAAGATGGTGCAGAAGTCGTTGGGCGTGATGCGCGGGCTGTACACGGTGCCGTAGGCGGTGTCGGGGTTGGCGGCGCTGACTGGCACCATGAGCTGGGGCCAGACGAAGGAGCCGGGGGCTGGGAGGTAGTCGTTTGTTGGGCAGACGGGGTCGGCGCGGGGGGTGAGGGGGGTGGCGGTGGTGAGGGAGACGAAGGAAAGGAAGGCTGGGAGTAGGTAGGCCATTGTTTGTGTGGTGGGGCTGGTGTTGATGGGAGGATTTGTGTAGACAGGAAGGGTGGGTTGGTTTATGTGGATATAAATATCCAAAGTTTGGAAAGAGGGGAAGATTCCCGACAAACCACGAGCAGTTCAGAAGAGAGAACAACCTTACCTCACGTCTCGAGCTTCACTTATCCCCGCACACCAAGGCAATCAGAAGCAAACCCCCCGCCACGATCAGAAGCTGCACAGCCATCCCGCCAACCACAATCCATTAACCAAGTAAGACGATCCAAGAATCTCGCCAGCAATGGAAAGCCAGCACCCGAAGCAGCTCGAGCACACGTGCAAGGCACGCAGCAGCGACTGCCGTGGCAGGCGTGACGGCGGGAGCTTGATATACGTCTGCCTGCGATACCGGAACTCGAGGGCGGAGACCCGATCCAGTCATGCGGACGACCACAGACACAGCACCCAGCGTCACGGCAAACGAAAAGGCGTATGGATTCGAGGCCAGAGCTGTTGTCGTCTGTGTTGCAGCATGTAGGTATGCGGGCAGCTTTTTTGCCCTGTACCGCAATGCGTACAATGTAGACAGGACGCATGGCATGCAGCCTTGTGATCACTCGCAAGAGCCACAGCATCACAGCATCACAGCCGCGACGTCGACATCGCCGCTGAGGAACTGACTGTCGGGTGTAGATGTAGGAGGCTATGTCAGCACCCATGTGAAGACAGCCCTGGCGGATCGGAAACGCGTGGGGCTTGGAAGACTGCTGTTTTTGTGTTTCCTGTAACCAGTTCTGGCGGAGCAGAGGCCGGGACAGGGCCCGCTTGTGCTGTCAGCGGGAACAGCGGCCGAAGCGGGAAGATTGTGCGGCGTGGGCTGCGAAATGGCTGGACGCATTTTGAGTGCTTATGTACCTGCTGAGAAGAGCAGGGTGCGGAGGATGACGATGCGGGGTTGGGTTGGGTCAGCTACAAAAACATTCGCTGGAGCGCTACCCGGCGGCGCAGAGTGTATACGCATCATTGCCAGGAGCATATGGCTCGCTGATTTGGCAGTTCACGCCACCGGAAGAGCTGATATCAGAGCACACCAATATTCTTCTGTGCCGCTGTAAGATCTACTGCCGTTGCTTCTTATGTACCGAAAGTAAGTATGATCAATAACCTGGGCTCTATTCTAGGCAACCCTGCAATTAATCTCTCATCATCGCCAGAATGCTCATTTAACTGGACGCAAATGCCTAAGGGCTGAACCTCATGCCGCCATTCGCGCACACGATGCTGCCAGTGCTCCAGCTAGCCTCAGGACTGACAAGCATGCCCACCACGCCAGCAATCTCATCCTCATAAGCCGGCCTGCCACCCGCCTTGGGCGCCGCCTGGACAAACTCATCCCTATCCACGCCTTCTCTCGCGGCCGCCAGCGGCGTGTTCTTCAACCACGGATTGATCATGGTGAAGAAGTCCTCGCCGTTGCTCGCATACATGTCCGTGGCAACCGGGCCGGGGTTGATAGCGTTGACGGTCGCGCGCTCGCTCAGCTCCCGCGCCCACGTCCGCGTCATGGCCTCCAGCGCCGCCTTGGTCGCGCCGTAGATGCTCTGTCCCGCAAAGCCCAGGCTGCTGCTGACGCTGCTGAGGTTGACGACGCGGCCACTGCGGTCGTGCGGCAAGAACTCCTCCACGGCCTTCATCAGCAGCAGTGGGCCACGCACATTGACATTGAACAGCTTCTCAAAGTGTGCCGGGTCCGTCTCGGCGATGGTTTGGTTGCCGCTGATGCCGGCGTTGTTGATGACAATGTCTATCTGGAACCGGCCCGTCTTGGGATGGCTGAGGTGGTTCTTGGCCACGTCGACAATGTGCTGCGGTCCGTTTACGGTGCCCATGTCTGCTTGGACGACGATGGCGCGGACGGAGTGGTCCGCCTCGAGCTGCGAGGCTAGCTTCTTGGTGGGCTCTTCGGACGAGTCGGATGTGTAGTTCATGACCAAGGAGCTGCCTTTGCTGGCAAGATTGGCGCAGATGGCAGCGCCGATGCCTGATAAGCGCCGTCAGCAGGTGATGAGCCGTGAATGTGGTGGTGTTGGAGTGCACGCGTACCCCGCGAGGCGCCGGTGACAATGGCGACTTTGCCCTCGAGTTGGCGGTACCCGCCACCGCCAGCCAGGTTGGTCGAAGCCATTCTTTCGTACTGCGGACGTGACATGATGGGTATGCTGGACGTAGAATTGACAAGCTGTATGGATGTTGGATGGACGCTAGGCTGGTCGGAGGTGGTTGGTGTCAAGGGACAGGAACTGGACAGCGGGGTAGCATGGCAAAGCGTCCCCAGACGCGTGACTCGCCTTCCCACATTCTCCGCGCACCAAGTGGAGCGGCCAGTTCAGACGACGTTTGCAAGTTTGCTTCCAAGCTTCGGCCTCGCAATGCCCAAAAACGCGCCCGTGCCGAGGTCTGGAGAAGCTTGAAGTCTGAGCTTCCACGACCCCGCGGGGCACGTTTGACGCCGACGTCATCAGCCGGCTGGGCGTTGTCTTCCCGCTGCGACACCGCCCACGACAACACCCTGTTGTGCTGTACGAGATCTAAAATTGCGCTCAACGCCTCGGTTGAAACCAGCCATGTCTCAGACTAGCAGGAGCTGGAACCCGACTGTCCTCGACCTTTCCAATACGCACGAACCCGTTCCTACCGCGTGGATGAAGGAAGCCATCACAGAGCCTACACGGGTTAATTGAAGTCTGTTCGGTCCACCTAGGTACCTTTCAAATCCTCAGCGTCGCACCCTTAAAAGCATCGACTTCGCCACAGAGCCTTTTGGCCCCCTCGCCCGACAAGGATGAGAACCGAAACGCAGCTTCGTCTCCGTAATTTCCTGCATACGAAGCACGTCAACGAGCACAATTTGGGCAGAGAGGGCTGAGGGTTAACACGTGAAAGAGACCAGCGGACAACCTGGAGGGTTAGGAGAAGGATTACAGCCAAACACTGTCAATCGACTGGGAGTCCGCTTGCAGCAACGACGCCGTTCCCTCTCAGGCCGCAGTCGGGTTGCCTGGATGAGGCAGATCCTTCTAGAAAATGTCGTCCTGGCGCGCTGGGTTTAGGCTTCCAAAGCAATGGGCTCGTCCGAGACATGCTCCGCACCGCCACATTATACAGTCCTTCCGCCCTGTTGGGACCATTAGAAGAGGGCTGGAAAGGCCAAGAGCAAAAGAAGGAGAGTTGGCCGAGAAGCTGTGCCGCAAAGACAAGGACAAGGGGCGTCGCTAGCTACAGCGATAGGCGGGCAAATGGGCAATGATATTGCGTAAATACTTTCTATCCACCAACCACAACGCCAGGGAAGAGAGAAAAAGAAAGAAAACCTCAAAAGCGCCATTTCCCCACCCAAACTCTGTTTTCCTCAACCCGACTAAGTCTCCGCTCACCCTCATGTCCATCCTCAGCAAAAACCCCAAAAACGCGCCGATACCGCAATACCCCGTCTAAAACAATATGAAACAAGAAACAATAGAAACGCCGCCGCCGAGCTCTCTCGGCGTACGACACGCAAGAAGTGTATGTACTAAGCTGACAACACGGCACCGGATTACGCGGCCAGGGAACCGGCAGTGTAGTCTAGCGAGTTTGCTCGCCAAAGAGACAACACATATCCGCCGCGTGATTCGTCAGCGACAGACGAAGAATAGGCACGCGAGAAAGAAAGGCAGGGCGAGACGACAAGCGAGCCACCATCCATTGTCCACGCAGGCAGAAACAAGCAGCCAATGAGTCAGCAAGCCACGGCGCCCGGCAATCCTCCCACTCTCCACCCGTCCCGCCACAAGAGCCAACATTATGAACGCGGCGCGTCCCGTCCCGTCCCAGGCGCGCGAGCCGTCCCGCCCGATCCGCCCGCCGCAATCAATCAGCGGCGCTTGGGCGGCGGCGAGGGCGGCTTCGGCGTGCCGGTCGTGTCGTAGGCAGCGCGGCTCATGACTGCGAAGAGAGAGTGTGTGTGGCGCGTAGCGCGCGCGCGGGGATCGTCTTCCGCGCGAGGCTAAAACCTGCAGCCTTGCAGCGAAACGCGCCTCGGTAGCTTAAATCTGATGCGTGGCCGGCCCGAAGGGGCAAGCTGCGGCGCAGAGCTTGGAGCGGAGCGGAGCGCTGGGGCTGGGGCTGGGGCTGGGGCGCGGCTGCGAGGTGACTGACTGGGCCTGTGATGTGCTGATGCTGCAGCTGCAGCAAGGCAAGCATGGAAGATAAGCACGAGAGCTTTTTCGTACAACCAACGAACGTACGTACAATAGGATGACCGAGGCCCGGTGGGGAGGGGACCTGCGGCGTAGGTACACGTACCGGAGTGTAGGTAACGACCGCGGTGCCTTTCCTTTTTCTCCTTCTGACCTCGTTTGTTGTCCGTCCGGTCCCGTTCTTTCTTCGCCTTTTCGTCGCCACGCGAGCTCGCCGATCCGATCGTGCAGCCGGCAGCTAAGGTAGGTGCCTTGCAGCGACCAGACAGTGTGACTGTGTCAGAGGAGGGCGCAGTACAGAACAGCTAGCCACGAGTCCCGCTTTGTTGATTCGCTTTCCTTGATTGAGCGCGTCGCCCAAGGCCGAGATCCGTTCCGTATCAATCAATCAGTCCGTCTAGTCTGACTCTTCCGTTCCGTCTGTCGTTGGAATGTTCTTTCGTCAAAAAGGCAAGGCGTGTGCGTCGTTATTGCAGCAGCAGCATGGTTCGGCAGGCCTCGCGGATCGGTTCGGTTCGGTTCGTTTCGCTGCGATGCGCTGCAGTGCGTGATCCTTTTCTGGGGCCGGGGCTGGCGCACACACACACACACACACACACACACACACACAAGGAGTGCGATCGTGAGCTAGGTCGTAAGTCGGTGCCTTGGGGTAGATACGCGAGGGCCAGGCGGGCAAGCGAGCGAGGGCGGGCGAGCAGAAAGGGAAAAGCAAGACAGACAGACAGGCAGGCAGCGGGCAGACAGCGGCGGGCAGACAGGCAAGCAAGCAAGCAAGCAAGCAAGCAGCAGCAGAGCAAGAGCGAGGACGGGGTGCGGGCACAACCGACCGACACGGATGCACCGTCCAGCGCCCACTGCTCTCTGCCCACAGCCCACACACAGCTCACGGTCCAGTCGGCCTCGTCGTGCCCCTCACACCTATTGTATCGTACCTACGCGGAGTCCACATGCCTTACCTAACCTACCACAGGCGTCGGGCGGCCGCGCACGCTCCTCCGTCCGCTTTGCAATGGAACCTAAGGTACGCGCTCCAGCCGACCGAGCCGCGCCGCATGGAAATCTCTTCACACTCACGCCCACCTGCCTAGGTGCTGCGGCCCTGCCCGCTGGTACAATAAGGGAGGGACGCGCGCGATGCGCTCGCCGCGCCGCGCTGGACAGGGGGTGTCGCGTGTGCTTTGTGATTGTGCTTGTGATTGTGCGTGGGATGGGATGGGGTGGTGGGGTGGAGTTGTATGTACGGTACGGGGCGGTAGGTTTTCTTCTATTTTTATTTGTATATCGGGCAGAGCGGCCGCCGCCATTATGTCTGTTGCCGTCACCATTGTGCGTGCCTGGCGCTGCTGCTGCTGTCCCGCCGCCGGTACAGACAGTGCCGAGTGGGCAGAGTGGGCAGGCCGCGGAGAATATTTTCGCATGCATGCATGCACACGCGGGGATCGGCTGCCGGGGTGCTGGTGGGGTCTCACGTCCGATGTCGTCGTCACTGCTGGGCGCTGGCCGGGGGGGCTGACTCGGGGCGGCGGGGCGGGGCCTTGGGGCCAAGAGTTATTGGATCGATGGTGGTTGGTGGGTGGGTGAGTGGGTGGAGCGGCGGAGAGACGGAGGTTTGGTTTGGATTTTGGCTCTGGCGATGGCAATGGCGGCTGCACTACTCTGTCCTCCGTCCTCCGTCCTCCGTCCTCTGTACTACAGAGTGGGATCACAGGGTGGTGGTGTGCGTTGTTGTTGTCGTTGTTGTTGTTATTGTTGTTGTGAGTAAGTAAAGCGCGCGCGCTCTCTGCGCGACACGCTGACGGCCGGAACTCCCATTCCCCTGTCTATCCTATCCTATTCTGTGTGTCTACTCCAAGGTATTGGGTATGCATGTAAGGCCTGCTGACGGCGTGAGAAGAAGAAAAAGGGACTTGACTGACGCCGCGAAAAGAGATGACAAGGTTGTGACAACGCCGCGAAGAAAAGAACCGGATGAAACCACCAAATCCCTTCCCCCCAACCGAACCGAACCGAGACGAGAGATATATCGCGCGCGATGATGATGATGATGGGAAAGCAGAAAAACTCCTGCCGCTGTAAAGACAAAAGCAAAGACAGAGACAGATGACCGGCACCGAAACGCGAGCAATGACGAGAGAGAGCAAAAAAAAAAAAAAAAAAAAAAAAACGGAACACGGCAAAAAAGATCAAGGAATGGCATCAGGCAGCTCCGACTTCTCGCCATGCATCATCTCGAACAGCGGCTCCCAAACCGCGACAGCGCGGCGGGTGACGGCGCCGTTGCCCTCCTCGGGGAGGTCGTAGTAGATGAGCTGGTCGGCCGAGGCCTCGACGATCTGGCCGGCGAGAGGCTCCGCAGCATCGAGGAAGGTGTGGTAGGCGCGGAGGACCGTGTCGACGGGGGTGATACTGCGCGGACGAAAAATCAGCACAAGACGCTCGATATGCGGCGCAAGAGGAGGGGCACGAACGAGGCGGCGGCGGAGGGCGGCACATACCATTCCGGCGAGACGGCGTTGATCATCTCCGGAGGCACGATGGGCGTGGCAATGATGCCGGGAAGCACGCAGTTGACCTCGACGTGGTCCTTTGCGAGCAGCAGCGGCGCGACGGCGCGCACGTACTGCACGACGGCGGCTTTGGCACCGCAGTACTCCGGGTAGGAGCGGTGGGGGAAGAGGGCCGCGATGGAGGCGGTGACGACGACGCGGCCGCCCGGGCTGGGCGCGTTGTGCCGCATGTAGTGGGTGGCGAGCTGGGTGCCGTAGACGACGCCCTTGTAGTCGACGTCGGTGGTGCTGAGGTCGGGGGCCGGGGGCACGTCGTCGACGGCCTTGCCGCGCCACTTGAGGATGTAGACGGAGGACTTGTCGACGATGCCGGCGTTGAGGCAGACGGCGTCCAGGCGGCCCCAGGCGGCCCAGACGGCGGCGAATGCTGAGGCTAGGCTCTCGTAGTTGCCTTGGTCGCCCGGGAAGAAGCGTGACGACTCGCCCAGTTCGGCTGCGAGTTGCTCGCCGAGCTCGATGCGCCGGCCGACGAGCGCGACGCGCCAGCCTTTGTCGAGCAGGTCGCGCGCGAGGTCGACGCCGATGCCGGACTGGGGGTGGTCATGTCAGTTGTGGTGGTGGTTTGGTAGGTAGGTACGGCATGGGTTGTGTGTGAGTGTGTATGTATGTGTGGGGTAGCGGGGGGTGGGGCACGTACCGTAGCGCCAGTAACGAGAGCGACGCGCTTCAGATCAGCCATGCTTGCAGGCAATAAAATAGAGAGACTTTTTTTTGTTCTGGAAAGTCGAAAAAACGGGGATTGGGGGGAGCAGACATAAGTAGATTTATTATCAAACGCGGGAATGAAGGCTTCAATTGCAGGGCAGCTCGGCGATGCGCAGCGTCGCAAGGTCGGGGCTGCGATCCGCGCCACCACTCTACCTCCATCGAAACTCTCCCATCCATCCTTGACGCACGCGGCCCGTCCCTTTGTTTCCCTTTATTTTTCCCCCTTCCTTCGGGCCCTCGCCTCGCCTCGCCTCGCCTCGCCCCTCGTTTTGGCCTGCTGCAATCAATTAAGCAAGCCGCTAGTCTGCTAGTCAGCTACCCAGCTTGTCTTTGCAATTCGCTGCTACAGTACTGCCCGTGAGCTACGAGTACCTAACCTAGTTGCACGTACTGTAGGGCAGGGCACAGGTTGTGACAGCAGGAATGACGCGGCGCGCAGCATCATCATCAGCAGCAGCTGGCACCAAAACACCAGCTAACAAGCAACGCGCGCGAAAAATAGAACACAGAAAACCGGATCCGCGGCCTCGGTCGCGCTGATCGCCGTGGCAGTGGCGAAGGCGGCGTCGCGTCCTTCATCTCGGTCGCCGGAAATGAGGCGCTGGATGGTGGCCGGGGCGTTGGGGCGCGCGCGCGCTGGAGATACGGCTGCTTTATATGTAGGGAGGAGGCAGACGGCCGAGTGGAGCGTTTTCCGCTGCGTGTGTTGCTTCTCCCGCAGCCGGGGTCGTGCCGTGCGTGCATCGAAGCAAGGTATGTAGCAAGCGATTCGACTACGCCGCTTGTCTCTGTAGGTACCTACTGTCTGTACGTACCCATGGCATCAGAGAAACTAGACTTTCCCTTCCGATCCCAGCCAGCGCACTCCTCTGCACACCCATACATATAACCCACCAGCCCCCGCCGCCCGCGCGCCCAACATCCATCGCCACGTCCTTGCCGAGACACGCATTCCTCACTGACACGGCCCGCTGGCCAATCTCGTCGCGCGGCGTGACGCGCTGCGAGCGCATGCAAACGCCCGCGCTGAGATGCTGTCTCGCGTCTTCTTCTTTATCTGCGCCCGCGCGGGCCAGACTACTTAGATGCTGCGTGCTGGCGGGGGGCCTCTGCGCCTTTGCCGCCTCTTACTGCTACTACTGACGCGACTGGTTACGTGCGCTGCTGTCGTCCGCTTGGCTTTGCTTTTCCTTTTTACGTCTGCGAGAAAGAGCTGGGGTTCCATTGCTTGCCTGAAGGCCTGGCTGCTGGCTGACGTCAGACCAGCCGTCTGACTGCCTACCTTACCTATCTATCCCGTCCGGCAAATCAAACGACTACAACTATTGCTACTTTTACTACTACTATACGACGCTCCACCGTTGTCCGTCGTCTGCCCCGCGCACGCGGCATGGCCCTCTCTCCGCTGTTGATCGAGGTGTGGGTCGAGTACGCCGTGGGCATGGGCGTCCTGCTCCTCCGCTTCTACGCGCGCTGGAAGACGGTCGGGCTGCGGAAATTCTGGATCGGCGACCTGTTCGCCGGCCTTGCCGTCGTGCGTACTGTAGTTTCGTTGCCCCTCTTCTCGCTCTGCTATCATGTTTGCTTCTTTTTGCTCCGTACTTGCTGCGCTCCTTGCTTACTGCGTTGCGCACACGTAGCTCATCTGGACGGTCGAGACGACGTTCATCTACCTGCTCCGCACATACGGCAACACGGTGGGCCTGACGCCCGAGACGGCGCTGCAGGTGCCGGACAGCGAGGTGGCGCGGCTGACGCTGGGCTCCAAGCTCGCGTTCATCAACTGGATCTTTTACATTTCGTTCATCTGGTGCCTGAAGGTGGTGCTGCTGTCGCTGTACCAGAAGATCACGTACGCCAGTCACTGCGGCATGTTGCTTTTTCCCCGCAAACGGCGGACGAACCACATGTATGCGTTGTGCTGACTACTGCTCGCTGTCTCAAGCATGAATCTCTGGCAGCACAAGCTCATCAAGTACATGTATGTTTTTACGGCCAGTACTTGGCTGGCTTGCATCCTCTGCCACGTCCTCATCTGCGTGCCGGTGCACCGCAGCTGGCAGGTGAAGCCATATCCGGGCGGTGCGTTACAACAGCCTTTTCCGTCACACACTCCTCAGCAACTAACACCCCCACCTGCAGACGAATGCACCATCCGACGAGTCGACTACCCCGTCATCGCGGCCCTAAACGTCATGTGCGCCCCCACCCCCACCTGCAACCCCCCCTCCAAAACCCAAACACACAAGCACACAACAAAACAACAAAACAGCAACTAACCCCCCCCTCCCACCCTTATAGCACCGACCTAGGCATAATGTCGATCCCGCTGCCCATCCTGTTCATCGCCAAAATCCCCCTCCACCGCAAACTCATCCTCGGCCTGCTCTTCAGCTCGGGCATCTTCGTCATCATCTGCACCATCGTGCGCGCCTACTACTCTCTGCGCAGCACGCAAGACCTGCAGACGGCGCTGGGGTGGGCGTCGCGCGAGACGTGCGTTGCGGCTATTGCCGTCAGCGCGCCGAGCATCAAGCCGCTGTTTAATGGCCGGAGGTGGTTCAAGACGGGGTCCGGGTCCGGGAGTGCGAGTGGGGCTGGGTCGGCCATCCGCAGGACCGCGGGCGCGAGTGTCGCGTCTACCCAGGCTACGGCAGTCGAGAGGGGCGCCTCTCTCGGGGGGGCGCCGGGCACGAAGCACGAGGCTCTGGACATGGGCATGGGCATGGGCATGGCGGTGGCGCCCATGGCACCGGCGCGCGTGAGCCAGTGGGACGCGTCGCCCTCGCCATCGTCTGCCTCGGCCTCGCCCTCCGCCCACGCCGACGACGCCCACGGCTCCACCAGCAAAGCCAGCAGCTTGGCTGCGCCGCCACCACCGATGGACCCTCACCCCGGCACGGCGGCCAGCCCGAGCGCGAGTATTGTCGGCAGCGCGACGAGTATGAACACGAGTGTGAGCATGAATGGGGGAGGGGGCGGGAGTAGCGTGGGCGGCGAGTATGGCAGTGTTAGTGCCAGGGGAGTGCACGATCTTGGTGATGATGACGATGACGACGACGGTGGTGGTGGTGGGAGCGTGTACAGCGGTAGCGTGCGTCGACGTCGAGGCGAGGAGGGAGACGACGAGGAGGGGGGTTATGGCGGTGGTGATGAGGGGGAGGATGAAGACGATGATGAGGATTTTGGGGATGGGGACGATGATCAAGAAGCTGCTGGCGCACGTGGAGGTGGCGGCGGACGGATGAGCTATCTTGAGGCGCTGAGGCTGGGGCCGCCGGGTCTCTGGGTTAGGGGGGTGGGTGCGGGTGGTGCTGGTGACGGGAGAAGGTGGCGAGACTGAGGCTTGCGAAGGGTATGGTGGGCGTGGGCGTGGTAATGTGTGTGCGTGTTCAGGAAGGTGCAAGCATGTGTGATACGATACCTACTTACAACTCGGCACGGACGAGGTGTACTGATAGCAACGGAAGCGTCTGTTTTGTTTTTGTTTTGTGTATTGTAGGTAGTACGGTGTGGTGTGGTATGGTCTGCTGTGTCTTGGTGTGTTGAGCGGGTATAGCATTGCTGGTAAGCCATACGTAGTATAACATACATAGCTTGCATATTAGCATAATTCGTGTTTGAATATCGCTTATAGTTTAGACAGTATACCTAGTATAGTAAACCAGCATAACTAGTAAAGCATAGCCACCATAGCCTCCATCCGCACGCTCTTCCACTAATGCATACTCACGCACGCATACGGAGGTACGTGCTAAAGCTGGCTTAGCGCACACGCCGCCGCAACCCCAAAGGAGTAAGTAGGCGAGCGCAACTCTAACCGCACCCCGCAAACGTCCATCTCCCTCCCTCCTTCTTCCCGTTGAGACCTCATCCCCCAGGCCCATCGGCATCGTCACCGTCACTCTATGGATCGAGGTACCTAGGGTGCCTATGACGCCACGCCCCTGCGAGCGCGTGCAAGGCCATCCCTTGCTGCGCTAGGCCACTAGCGAGGCGGCGGATTCCTGCGCCTGTCGAACAAAGAACGAGGGAAGAGAAAGGAAAGCCCGATTAAAGAGATTGGAAAGGGATAGTAAGGTTAGGATAGGGAGGGGGGGTATGACGCCTGCGGTGGCGGTACTCGAGTAGGCAGGACAGGCAGGGCGGACGTGATGATGGGTGGTGAAAGGAAGGGAAAGGAAAGAAAGCCCACGCGAGCAGGTAGGGGTAGGTATGAAGGAGGCGCGTTCTAGAATCTGGGCTCTAGAATATGGAATCCGCAAGACGTAGATCGGAGCAGAGCGAGAGGTGTTGGCGTCGGTTGGCTGCGTATGCAGGGTAGCTACTCGTAGGCAGGCAGGTATGCGAGTATCAAGTAGATGGGTACAGTACGTATCCCCACGCACGCTTCGCGCCACGATTCTTTATCCCACGCCCTTTTACGCCCACTGCGTATCACGAAGAACACGACGGCTTCAACGACAACCCCACCCAGCCAGCTTCGACACAGACGGCACAAGCGCCAGCCATGGCACGGCTGCATCACGACGCCGACGCCGACACCGACAACGACCGATATGCAGAGCGGCAGTTCGTTCAAGACGAGGAAGAGCACGAGAAGGAAGAGGATGAGGACAAGGACCGAGAGTCCCGCAGCGGCTTCGCCAGCACGCCTGCGCCGCTGTCGCCGATTGTCAGCAGCAGCGGCGCAGACATCGAGACGGGGCAACAGGGCAACAACAACGGCAACAGCAACGACAACGACAGCGAGGGCGAGGTCGAGCCCGTCGTCACGCCTAAAACGTGGGTCGTGGCCATGGTGAGTTCGTCCAAGACAAGCACAACCGCAGTTAGGTGGTCACTTCGGTGGAGGTCGGTAGCTAATGCCACAGCACCCACACACAGATCCTCTCCGCCGGGTACGGCCTCTCCTTCTGGCCGATCCCGGCCGTGAGCGCGGTGGGGGAGCTGTTGGTGGCGGAGGAGTTTGGCGAGGATGTCACGGCGGCGAACTGGTTCGTGCCGGCGTGGACGATTGCCATTACCGTGTGTTTTATGATCTGGTGAGCTGGCTCGTTTGTTGTTTGGGAAGTACTCCGGAGTATGTGAGGGTTGTTGACGCAGAGTGTGCAGTGGCTCGAATACGGACGTGCTGGGCCGGCGGTGGTTTCTTGTGGGCGGGAATCTGGTGCGTTTTGGTGGGTTGTTTTAGGGATAGGTATGCTGATGCGGGTGTAGGTGTGTACGGTTGGCCATGTCATCATCGCGACGGCCAGGTCTGCGCACCAGATGACGGCGGGGCTGGCGGTTGAAGGATTTGGTGCTGCGTGCTGCCAGGCAAGACTTGCTCGTCAGTTCTCTGACAAGAAGCACGCACGCCACGCAGATGGCTGCATTCGCCCTCCCCGAACTCCTCCCCAACAAATGGCGGCACATCGCCGTCGTCATCGCCGACGCAACCATCTACGTCGCCGTGACCGTCGCGCCCGCGACGGCGCGCTACGCGTACGAGTCGGGCGCGTGGCAGTGGAATTTCGGCGCGCCGGCCGTGTTCCAGTTCCTCTCGTTCCTCGGGCTGTATTTCCTGTACTTTCCGCCCGCGCTGCCGTATGTCCAATGTTCCTTGCATTGCTTTGTTCGGAGTATAGTTTTGCTGATGTAGGCACTGCGCCACAGCGCGGGCCTGCCGCTCAGGCGCGCCCTCGCCGAGATCGACTACCCGGGCATCGCGCTCTTCGTGCTGGGCGCCGTGCCCGTGCTCACGGGCATCGTGTGGGCAGGCATCTACACCTCGTCCTCGAACGCGCACGTCGTGGCGCCGCTGACCGTGGGCGGCGTCTTCCTGGTGCTGTTCGGGGTGTGAGAGACGCACGGCTGGGCTTTGCACCCGCTGACGCCACCACGCATCTTCACGGCCAGCCGCGGGCGGGACTTCACCGCGCCGGTGCTCGCGCTCACCGTCGCCAACATGTTCTACTACTCCAGCAGCATCCTGTGGCCCACCATGATCGCCGTGCAGCTGGCGGTGCCGCAGGGCTTGGTCATCTTCACGGGCGCTGGGCGGGCGGATTAAGCGCTGGCAGTGGCAGCTTACGGGTGCCGTGTTCGTGACCGTGCTGTTTGGCGCGCTGCTGGGGCTCGCGACGCCGAGGAACCGCGGCGCCATGTTGGCGTTTGTGTTTGTTTCGCAGGCGGGCTTGGGCTGGGCGCTGTATTTGAGCATTATGCTGGCGCAGATGGGGGTGGAGCAGAGGGATTTGGGCATTAGTGGAGGCGTGGCGGGCGCGTTTAGGTTTGCTGGCGGGGCGGGTGAGTGCGCGCTTACTCTCTCTCTCTCTCTCTCTTTCTCTCTCTTCTTTTCTTTCCGCTTTCCCAGCAAGATGACACGACCCGCTGACCACGTCCCCCCTCCCCGCAGTCGTGACTTCCGTCTACCGCACCATCCTCAACAAGCAACTCAGCCACTGGACGCCACGGCTGATTAGCACCACGGCACTGAGCGCAGGCCTCCCCGCCGCCGAGCTTCCCCTCCTCATCCAAACGCTCAGCAGCAGCCTCGGCGGCGCCGTCCCAGCCGGCACGCCCCCAGCCGTCGCGGCGGCGGCGACAGAGGCCCTGAAGCAGGCGTAATGCAAGGCCGTGTTTGCGGTTGCGATGGCGTCGCTGGGGTTTGGGGTTGTGGGGCTGGCGGCGTGTCTGTGCTGCAAGGATGTTGAGGCGAAGATGACGGGCAAGATTGAGGTTTTCTTGAGGGATGAGGGGGCGAAGGGGAGGAAGGGGAGGGAGGTGCGGTAGGTTTGTGGTTGGGGTTTTGTGTGCGCTTGAAACTAGATGATATACGAAAGTGTTGGTTTTTTAATAAGCGAATATATGTCGTGAAAGGTGATTATCTTGTGGAGGCTTGATGTAGTCCAGGGCGGACTTGGGATACGAAACGCGGTTATGTACTCGCTAACGAGCGCGTAGTTCGTGAGGGTGAGCTTTGTAATCTAGATGATATTGACGTCGTGTAAGAGATCTTCATCGTCAAATCGGGTCTTTAGGCGGTCCATAAGTCGCAGAGCCCTCGTAGCAGACAAAGCCGTGCTAAAGGCAAGTGCCGATCCATGGAACAGTGAAGAGTATGCTGTCGCTGCTGGCCTTGATCCATGGTGGTTTCGGGCTTGGAGTCTCCAGACTTGATTATAAGAAGAGTGCAAAAGCACGCGATGCGATCGAGGCGATACCGAATCTAACAATCCACGCCAACAATATGTGAAGCAGCAAAGCAACTGTTGTTAACATAGTAGACCTGATGGAGCTTGTCCACGACGTCGTTTCTGTCCAAGCTGCCAAGCCCTCGTAAGAGATCTTTAAAGAACTCGAGATCAGCACCTTCTCCTATAATGCAATGCAAATAAGCGATTTCAAATTCTGGCGGATAAAAACCCGCCCATTCCCAGTCTAGGAACCACAAGCGACCATGGCGGTCTAGCTTTAAGTTTCTCAAGGCAATATCCATGTGGCACATGACCAATGTCTTGAAACAGCCGGACAGACTCCAGCTAGTGCCACGGAGGAGTGCCTGGTCATGTCTGTTGTATATTCTTAACTTCCGGTCGAGCCACTGTTCCATTTCCGAGATATTCGCAAAGACTGTGTTGGCTCCATAGTCGGAGAAGAAGCCGCCGGTCGGAAAGCCAGACCTTTCAACAGGGCCCGGCGCTTTAGCTTCGAGTGTTCGTAGGGCAAGAACAGCGTCCGTGGCTTGTTTGATGATGTCTTTACGTTGGTCCGGGGGTCGGCTCATCCATGGGATTGCGTCCAGAGACTCGCCATCCACGTACTGCATAACGAGGTAGCTTTCACTTTGAATCACAAAGCTCCGATACACACGCGGTACGCGGATTTGCTCCTCGCCAAGGTTTTGGGCAATGTATGCCATGTTTGAGGCTTCGAGCTGCGAGAGGTCGCCTTTGATTTTGACGACTGCCGTCTGCGTGATTCGATATACGTGGGTACCGCCGGTAAGACAGAATACGACTGGAGACTTCTTACAAGCCTGGACCAGATCGCTTTCGCTGATAGCTAAGAGGTCTGTTCCGTCTAGCGGGAAGGAACGGCTTTCGTTGTTTGGCATTGTTTCCATTTTGAATGTCGACTTTGAAGAAAGCCCTCGTAGCACGGCCGCGCTAAGCAGTGGATGCTTTGTGGCTGCCTCTCGGCTATTTGGGTGTCGGATGGGCGGTCGAAAGCGGACTCGGTGTGTTCGCACGGCTAGGTATTGAGTGGGTGCTTGACGGGTGTCCCTCGACTGGGACAGGTGGTGGAGAGTGGAGTCACTGTGGCCGCACGACTGAGTATTGAGTGGATGTTTGGTGGTGGTTGGAGAGTGGTGGAAAGCAGAGTTTAGATTTGGCGAACCGACTTCCGTCCACGTAGGTATAACTATGTCAACCACGTTATCGGCTGTTTCGCTTAAACACCATTATTAAACAATACCTACTGTCCAATGAGAAAGATAACACGTTGATACGGAATGCCTATGTTAGCGATGGTATAACAGCAGTTAAAGTATCTCGGCACTTGTCATCAGGGCAGGTCTTTTATACGAAGGTAGGCCCTAACCAGAGAAATTCAGTCATCGCAGAGTACGTTCTTGATCAACAAACCGAATTGAATATGTATCAACAAATACCATGGCCAAGATCCACCCACGAAGTAAACGCTTCTTCATCACCAAACCCGACGATCGTAAAAACATACCCATTGCCTTCGTCCAATCATCAAATTCCACCCCCACGCACCTAAGCGTACGGCAGCAGTTTCGGCAAGACCTTCGTAAAAGCGACACCGTTCGGGGGCTCCATGTCGTAGATCGTGTCCTCCGGCCACCACGGGCCCGCAGCCCACCAAATCGCACCGTCCCAGACATCGTTGTTGTCGTCCAGATACTTCATGCCGTCCTCGAGCGCCTGGATACAGACATCGTTGGCGCCGCCCGCATACTCTCCAATGAGGCCGCGCTTCTTGTTGTCGCGCAGCCACTGCGTCGCCTCCTGGAGACGTTCGCTAAAGATGGTTGGAGAAACGCAGTCCTCATGGGTGCCAGAGCCGTCGCTGTCCAGGTACTGGTGCATGTGGAAGATGAGCTTCTCGGTGTCGTTGCGGGCGGGGTCGACGAGCGCGCCCATCGTGTCCGCATTCCCGGACGACACCCACGTCCATGCTCCGGTCCAGCTGTTGCCTTCCGGCGTGATGTACTGCGTCTTGGCGCCGGCGGCGCGGATGCCATTGATGGCGGCTTGGTTGAGCTGCACCACGAGGTCTTGGTCCATGTCGTGGAACTCGTTGTTGGTGTCGAAGACGACGAGGTTGTTCTGCGCGAATGGCTTCGCTACCTTGGTCCACCATTGCTGGAAACCGGCCACGTCCGTGATGATGTCGCCGTAGAAGCGGCCGTAGTTGTGCGGTTGGATCATCGCCCATGCGCCTTTCGACGTGATGTACTCGATGTTCGAGGTGAGGTTGCCCATGTAGTTGGTGTCGATGGTGCCATTGAGCGAGTTTGGCGTCAGGCGCTCCATGGCGAAGTTGATGCGGAACATGTTCAGACCTTGGTCAATAAGTGTCTGTGTAAAGCAGCCATTGTTAATATGTAATCATCGTCTTTTGGGTGTTGTTGGTATAAGCAACTTACGTCAATCGAGTCCTCACTGTACCAGATGTAGTCCTTGTTGTACAGGCCCGGGAAGATGCCGTCGCCAAACTCGGCGCCCGACTCGTTGATACCGAACCACTTGAGCTTGCGGCGCGTGATGTTGGCCGGCGCAGCCAGCGCGAGGCTGGCCGTGCCTGCGGCCATAAGAAGGGAAAGGAAACGCATTTTTTTCTTCTCTTGCCGAGGACTGCCTTCAGTTCAGAGAAAGAGAGTGAAGGTGAGAGATAGAGAGAGAAAGAGAGAACGACTCGACTGGTTGAGTGAACAAAACATTGCGAGAGGGGGTTTATATGCCTTTTGGATACACGCCATCCGCCGGTGGCGCGAACCTACACCGTCACCGCCAGCTAGCTACGCTCCATCATCATCTGAGAGCTTGCCGATGTGATGAATTCATTTCTCAAACGGCCAAGCAGCTCCGGACCAGAGCCTTTTCGGGCCTTGGCTTCCGGGCAATATCAGAAGAAACTTGGGGAAGTTTCATCGCCGGCGCATATCCGCGGGGAAGCTCATTGGGTATTATAGGCGATCAGTGCCTATAAGACACAAGGGATTGTTTCCTTTTGGACGAAGCGGATGCTGCCGTCCGACGGACGTGATGGAGTCGAGTCCAAACGACCCCACGAGCACGGAAGAGTGCCCGCAACGAGCCGGCCGCTCCAACGCGGCCAAGTTGGACTAACCCACCCGTGAAGCAAGTGTAGTCGTCACGCTGGCGTGAGAGTGGGCAAGGATGAGCCGGGGGTCGCGGCGGCAACAATGGCCGCACGTTTGACACAGATTAACGCGGCCGCAGAAAGGCGAAGGTTCGAGATATGCGCCCCCCAATCATGCATGCCCGCTTATGCCAGCTGTCAGATCTGAAGAGCTGCTGTTGCCCACAGACGGTACCTGCAGGCACGACGCGTGCGCAATGCGGTTTCTCCGGCTTTGCGGCTCACGGCTGCGCGGCCCGCGACCGCACATTGATCGTCGCTCTCGCTCGATCCATAGCGCGACAAAACAAACGTGCCGACTGCAGACGCCCCGCGATGCCGTCGGCGGAGCTGGTTAAGCGGAGGTGATGGTTGCGCGGTTAAAAGCGCTTTCAGCGAGCCCTCCTCGGAGTGCGTCGTTCCTTCTCGCTTCACGTGCTCGTGCTGGAGTCAAGCCATGTCGTCGAGGAAGTCAAGCTGCTTTCAATTGGAAATACTGTCTCCGGGGTATGATGAGTCGGGGCGTGGTTTCGAAACATGGCTGAGATGGATGGATGAAAGAGCGAGGAGATTGGCAGGATGAAGGTTGTTGTCTATTTCTCCGCAGCTGCCCGGAGGACGACCAACTTCAGATATGACATCGCACAAACATACTCAGCTTTGTTCCCATGCAAACGTGTCACGGCATCGAATATTTATTATTATCAGGGTACCGATTATTTTATTGCAGTCTCCAAAGAAGCATGCCGCCAACACCAGTCGCTTTCGGGGCAATCATCCCGTCCATCGATTTTCTCACTTCATTTTATCAAAATAATGCCTGAAGAGATTGTTTCTGGCCAAATATTAACTTGGATGATTTCTATGTCTGTCTCGACCATGTTACGAGCTTCAACAGCTGAACATTTTCCAGCAAATAAGTACGCCGCAAGGATGAAAACCGCCACGCCGCCTTACAGTACAAACCACCCCGAACTTAAAATCCAGCAAACATACGCCAGAGCGGCCGATATGAACATCTAGCTGCCAAATATCCTATTCTCACAAGCCTTCTATCGGAACTCATAAAAATACCGCACAGCGTTCTATGCGACCAATCTTCAGGCCCCGACGACCCCGATCGAAATTCATGTCTACAGCACCACTAGTCAAGTAAACAACTTCCTCAAAAATTTTGCGGTCGAGATTTGGCAGTGTAGGTAGACCTACGTACTGGACTCCACGGTCTTATCATTAGGTTGGATTGGTGTTTTCAGTTCAGATCAATCCATGGGGTTTTAGGCATCAGGCACTAAAACGATCATAGTTCATGGTGAATCACAAGATCAAACAATTGCACAATCATGAGTTATGATGGTTTTTGTTATTTGTCCAAAGGACCCATCCAGCAACCCTGCTAAGCAAGGGTATGCCGCTCTACATCAACTACCGAAAGGTGGCAGCTTCGACTGTTAAATGCTTCGCATTACAGTCTCATATCCTTCCAAAACGCCAAGCTTGTAAGTCCCATCCCACGGGACATTGAAAACGCCGATGTTGAATTTTTCCCCTCATCCCCACGAAGTCTCGTGTCATGTTGAAAAAGACTTTTAGATATCCTCGTAACACGTAATTAGCGGCTCACAGCGTTGGGCTGCCGAGCCTGTCCAGCTTTGGTTGATAAAACTGAACTGTTTAGTTGGCGTGCTTCTCACGGAAGTGCTTGGCAGCGGTGACCAGGTTGGACAGCGCCTCCTTGGTCTCCTTCCACTGGCGAGTCTTAAGACCGCAGTCGGGGTTGATCCAGAGCTGCTCGGGCTTGAGGTACTGAAGCATCTCCTCGACACGGTCCTTGATCTCCTGCTCGGACGGGACACGAGGAGAGTGGATGTCGTAGACACCGGGGCCGATGTGGCGGGGGTAGGCCTTGTCGACGAAGACCTTGAGGAGCTTGGCATCGGACTTGGAGTTCTCGATGGAGAGAACGTCGGCGTCAAGGGCAGCAATGGCGTGGAAGAAGTCCTGGAACTCAGAGTAACAGAAGTGGGAGTGGATCTGAGTGGAATCGTTGACACCAGCGGTGGAAAGCTTGAAGGAGTCAACGGCCCAGCTGAGGTAGGCCTCACGCTCCTTGCCGGCACGGAGGGGAAGACCCTCACGGAGGGCAGGCTCGTCGACCTGGATGACGTAGATGCCAGCGGCCTCAAGGTCAACGACCTCGTCACGGAGGGCGAGAGCCAGCTGCTGGGCCTGGACGGACTGGTGAACGTCGTCACGGGGGAAAGACCACCTCAGGCAGGTGATGGGGCCAGTAAGCATGCCCTTCATGGGCTTGCTGGACTTGGAGGCAGCGTACTTGGACTCCTTGACGGTCATAGGAGCGGGACGGGAGATGTCACCGACAATGATAGGAGGACGGACGCAGCGGGAGCCGTAAGACTGGACCCAGGCGTGGGTGGTGAAGACGTAGCCGTCAAGGCGCTCACCGAAGTACTGGACCATGTCGTTGCGCTCAGGCTCACCGTGGACGTAGACGTCAAGGTCGAGCTCGTCCTGGATGGCAATAACATCGTCGATCTCCTTCTCGATGAACTTTTCGTACTCCTCGGCAGTGATCTCACCCTTGGTGAACTTGTTGCGCTGGATACGGATCTCCTTGGTCTGGGGGAAGGAACCGATGGTGGTGGTAGGGAACAGGGGAAGGCTGAGGTGCTTCTTCTGCTGGGCGTAACGCTCGGGGAACTCAGACTTGCGGTTGTGCTGCTCAGGGGTGACCTCCTGCTGGCGCTTCTTGACGTCAGGGTTGTTGGTGCGGGCGGAAGAGGCGCGGGACTGCATGGACTTGGCGTTGGCCTCAATCTGCTCACGGACGGCAGCAGGGCCCTCGGTGACAGCCTTGGCAATCACAGCAACCTCAACGGCCTTCTCAGAGGCGAAAGAGAACCAGTCCTTGACTTCCTCGGGCAGCTTCTTCTCAGAGTCAAGGGTGTGGGGGGTGTGGAGGAGGGACGAGGAGGTAGCGACGATGACGCGCTCCTTGCCGATCTTCTGAACGGCGGTCTCAACGAGCTCGATGGCCTTCTTGAAGTTGGTCTTCCAGATGTTGCGGCCGTCGACGACACCGGCAGACAGAACCTGCTCGGAACCGAGGTTCTCGAGGACGCTCTGGAGCTGCTCGGGGTTGCGGACAAGGTCAACGTGGAGAGCGTAGAGGTGCTTGACGGAAGCAATGACATCGAAGTTGTGGACAATGTCACCGAAGTAGGTGGCAAGGACCAGCTTGGGGAGGTTGGAGCCAGAGAGCTTCTCGTAGGCGGGCTTGAAGGCAGCCTTGACCTTCTCGGGCAGGTCGAAGACGAGGACGGGCTCGTCAATCTGGACGGTCTCGGCACCGGCCTTCTTCAGGCTCTCGAGCAGCTCAACGTAGACGGGGAGCAGCTTCTCGAGGAGGGTGATGGGGTCGACGCTCTGGCCACGGTCCGCCTTGCCGAGGGCAAGGAAAGAGACGGGACCGAGGAGGACGGGACGAGTGGTGATGCCAGCCTCCTTGGCCTCGAGGAACTCGCGGACGGGCTTGGGGTCAGCAGCCAGCTTGAAGGTCTGGTTGTCCTGGAGAGTGGGCTTGACGTAGTGGTAGTTGGAGTCAAACCACTTGACCATTTCCTGTGCCACTATTAGATGCCATTCTACGATATGTGTATGTGGGGTATATGCGTACGAGGGAGGGAACGTCGATGCCGTCCTTCTGGTGGCCACGGCCCATGGCGAAGTATTCGTCAATGGGCTCGAGACCGTGCTTGGAGTAACGCTCGGGGATGGCCTGCATTGAATCTTGTTAGCAAAAGCCGCCGGGCGGGTCAATTGGGAGGAGCTTACGTTGAACATCTGGATGTGGTCGAGGACGTGGTCGTAGAAGGCGAAGTCGTTGGAGGGGATGATGTCGACGCCGGCATCCTTCTGGATCTTCCAGTGGGCCAGACGCAGCCTCTTGCCCTCAGCGAGCACATCGTCGCGAGAGATCTTGCCGCCCCAGTAGGCCTCGTTGGCCTTCTTCAGGTCACGGTTCACACCCATGCGGGGGAAACCGAGGACGGACGACTGAACCATCTTGTCGGAGGGAAGAAGGACAATGGGTATAGAAGGGATGGAAGAAAAGGTCTCAGCGAAACGCAAAAACCTTTGGAGAGTGAGGAGGAGGGAAGGAAGAGGATGAAGGACGAAAGGACAGCGGGCGGGCGGGCGCAGAGAAAATATACTGCTGATGGCGGGGCTTGCCTGTGGGCTGGGAACGGGCTAGCGCCAAAAAGGACGCTGGCGTGCTCATCCCCGGTATCGGGCGTGCTTTCGCCATCTTTCATGCCAGTCTGGGCCTCCAGCTGCCTCCAACAGTCAACAATGGCAGCAGAGGCGTGAGACGCGATGGAGGGTCTACATATATGGTGTTTCTGGCCATACCCCGCGATTTCTGGGGTAATACCCTGATGGAGCGCCCGCACGCACTGTTCGAAGGGCCCGAGTAGATCTCGGCAGTCGACCCTCGGCAAGCAGAAACCACCTGCCCACCTGCCCTTGCCGCCTTGCGTGCAGCACAACGACCCTCCGCTCTCCACCATCGCACCGGAGTCAGGAGTGGATATTTTTTCCTCCCTTCATGACTTCATCGCAGCCCGGCGAACCAACACGCCCCTGTTTTTTTCATTTTTTCGTCGCCCATCCGATTCGGTCGGTGCTTTTCTCGCGGAGCTGCTTCAAAACTCCCCGACACGCCCGAGTGACTCAACCAAAATAAACTCGCCGAAGCAAGCCACCCAGATACAAAAGGGCGATAGAGCAGACCTAGAAAAATTGAAGGAGCTCCAGGGCTGGGCTGGCGCCTGGGCAAGTGGGAGTTCTAGCATGTAGCGCAACGAACGGCTTGGGGCTTGATAGGTCTCTCACGACTTCCTGAACACAAGGCAGCTGCAGCGAGGGCTGTTAGCGTGGGCCGTTTCCGTCAAAAACACGCCTCGCCCAAAGGAACCTCATAGCAGCTGCTCTGCAGAACCAATCCAATGGTACCACTTTCGCTTAAGTAAGCGTGGCCTCTTTGGAATGTCGTGACCGCCGGTACATCCGCGCTCCAGCGAGCAAAAGACCCCAATCCATACAGCAACAAAATGACCAGAGAAAAGCCTCATGACATAGCCACACGTGCCCAGGCCATCACTCTGAAGGTGAACGGCTTCTCGGCCGCCGATATCAAGGAGCAGACGGGCATCTCGGAGCGCACCATCCGGCACATCTACACGCGCGCCGTCAAGCGTGGCTACAACCCAGAGGTCTCGAAGAAGGTCGAAAACCATCACGTCGTCGACGGAAAACGCACTGGCCGCCCGCGTAAGGACGGCGCCGCGAAGGAACAGGACGCCCAGAAGATGTACGTGGCGATTGCACTTTTCGTCTTGACTCGTGATGCCAATTGACCGCGTGCTCGTAGTGGAGAAGAGAACGGCGGCGAAGACGGCGAGCCGGAGGGCATGGACATAGAGCCAGAAAGTCAGCCGGCTCAGCCAGAAGCTCCGCCAGTACAGCCCGCGATTGACGGGGACTTGGAACGCGCAGTCGAGCAAGCCGACGCGTCTGCTCCAGCTCCCGCTTCAGCCCCCACCCCAGCTCCAGCTCCAGTCCCCGTTCCCGTCCCAGTCGCAGCTCCAGCTCCAGCTCCAGCTCCAGCTCCAGCTCCAGCTCCCGTTGCCTGATGACTTCAGGCGCACATGGGCCCGTGCGCAGACCTCACCTGCGACAACACCACACCTATCCATCACCACATCGATACCCCGTAGTCCTTTACAGCCTTTTTACAATAAAATGTCAGACATGACAACCAGAATTGCTTCGATGCGCTCGGTGCTGCCTGAGCTCCGCTCCGCCCTCAATGCTTTTACCGCCTCCTCCGCCGCCTTCCGCATCGTCCGATCCATCAACCCCGCCAACACTTCTCCGCCCCCGCCAAAGACACTCTACATTCTTGATTCCTCGTTCAACCCGCCCTCGATCGCGCACCTGGCGCTCGCAACTGCTGCCGTTACCAATCCCAGCCCAACAGACCCAAAGCCGCACCGATTGCTGCTGCTCTTCAGCACCCACAATGCCGACAAATCTCCCAGCCCGGCGAGCTTCGAATACCGCCTGGCCATGATGACACTGTTTGCCGAAGATTTGCACCAGAACGTCACGCGCACTTCAGCACTCGCTTCTCAGCCCGATTCTCCCTCGTCGCCTGCAGACGTCGCAATCGACATCGGCCTCACCAAAGCGCCATACTATACCGACAAAACAATCGCTATTACGAGCGCTGACCCGTTACCTTATCCGAGCTGTCCCACACATGTACATCTCATTGGATACGATACTGTCACACGCTTTCTCGCACCTAAATACTACACGGACCACAATCCGCCGCTGTCTGCGCTTTCTCCGTACTTTGACAACGGACACAAAATTTTTGTTACGCTCCGTCCCTCGAATCCGGACGATCAGAGCTCGTTGGAATTTGGAAGTCTGAACGACCAAAAGGGTTACATTGAAGGGCTTGAGAAGGGAAACTTGGAAAAAGAAGGGTTCAAGCCAGGGTGGGCCAAACAGGTCGATACCATGACTGCACAGGAGAGCGTTGGTGTAAGCTCCACTCGGATACGAAACGCGGCAAAGAGGGCCGACTGGGAAGAGTTGGAAGAACTGTGTACACCGGGCGTTGCGGCATGGGTGAAGGAGATGGAATTATACAAGGACGACGGCAAAGGTGCAAAGATGGCTTAACACGTTATAGCCAACGAGTGCACGGAAATTCACCAGGCTGGCTTGCGCCATACCAACATGGCGATACGGTACGGAAAGGCAGAGTAGCGCAACACTGTTAATTGAAGACAATTGGAAGTCGCAACCTAACGTCTACGATCATGGGGACCTTTCGCAGTGTACGGCCGGATTCCGTTTTTGACAATACCGACTGGCTTGTCCGAACCTCACCAGCAGGCACGCTTCAGACACAATCTGGCCAGGCACGACTTCCCGTTGAAATTCGTAGCTCATGATCACGCCACCTTTCCTGCTGTGTCAACAACTCGCAGAGGACCCTTCATGCTCTAGCTTTCTATCTTCCTGCGAGCATCATACTTGAGGATCGATATTCAGCCCACGGGCTTCTCCCTTCAGGGCTGCAACCTCCGGAAAACTTACAAAACCTCACACTTTTTTCCATTGTCAAACCTGCAACATGCCCCAGAACGACAAGTACTGTTGCGCCACGGATCAGCGTACAGACTCTCCTCTTCTTCCAAATGCACGAGAGGTCCAGCCGACCGGCAAGCGTCAAGAACCCTCAACCGACAAGCACGAAAACAATGTTTCTCAATCCTTGAGTTCGCGCCCTGAGGACCTGCAGGAAATGCAGATGTTAATCTCCGAAGCACAAGCCGAAGCAAACAAGACAGAAGCTTCAGCGACGTCCCCTGGTCACAGTCACGCGGACAGCCCAAAGACGAAAGGCTTGAAGGGTTTCGTTAAACACCGCCTGATGCGTGGCAGCAAGTCGACATTCAGTCTTTTGAAGAAATCTCAGGAGCATCACGACAAGGACACGGAGACCCAGGAAAGGAAACAAGAAATCAGAGCGGGCCTGTTGACCACCAGTAGGCCAGAAGATGGTGGTTACGACTCTGATGCCGCTTCTCTTCCAGATGTTCGGAACAGTCTTGTGGATCGCTTGACAAGAGATCTGGAAGAGAAGGATTCCCTGCCAGCGAAAGGACAAACCCAGGTCCATAGGGATGTACAAAGCATTGATTGGACCGGGCCAGCACCGACCCTCTTCAGGTCGGTGAAAGGAAAACTTCATGAACATGACCCGCTCGATGGCTAACTATATTTCAGTTGGCCAGAGCCAGACGAAATAGGCCTTGCACTGACAAAAGACCCCAGTCCACGCGCATCCACTCCATCTCATGTTGTCTCGGGTGTTGACATCATACCTTCCCACAACTATAACCTCGACAATACGCATGCTGGAGTGTTGGAACCGCCACGTCGCCAACGGTCTCGATCCGAGTCAATAGTTGGGGATCTTCCTAGCCCACCACTTCTCCAACCAACACGACTACCCAGTCTCTCTTCTTCCGTCAACACCCGGGCTATGCGTCTTTCCGCAGACTCGCCTGTACACCATGAGAGATTTGAAACGCCTTCCGAAGAATTTCCAGATACTCATGGCACTGCAGAAAATGCCGCAACCAAAGAAGATCTAAGCTGTGTGGAAGAAGTCGGCGAACCCGTTGCTGGGCCTTGGCCAACATTTGGATCGTCACCCGAAAGCAACGAGAGCTTGCCTCAGTCCGTCCAAGACCTTACGATGGAAGTTACTGACCCCGACGTTGAGACTCCACAGCCTCCGAAAAGCCCTGCGAGGAAGGCATGCATTCAATCTACAGAATTCAAAGAGCCAGAATCAGCGTCGCTCCATCTTTACCAAATGCGCATCTCTCAACACCTTCGTACAGACTCTGTTCTCTCTATGCCAGCTGACCCTGTCACGTCATCCGCCGCTCAACTGGAAGTCATCAGTATGGTCAGCTCTCCTGAGGATGCAGCCAGACTTGGACAGCTTCAAGGAAACAGCTGCCGTAAGCTGCAAAGGTCCAGTTCAGACTTTGCTTCTTCGAAAGTTCCGATTGCGTGGGGACACGTAGTTGGCGATGGGGACGCGTACAGTGCCAACGAGAACCCACGAACCGATTCCCTTTACCAGACAAGTTCGGTATACTCAACCCGACCAAACAGTCCCGGTCCGTATGATGATGCAACATCCGCAACCACTGCGAAAGCCCGCAAGACCGGATACGAGATCGTGAATCTGTCTGATGTTGCATCCGTTCAGCCCGATCGATCGAACCTCGACATGCCTGGCGGGTTCCCGGTAACACCTGCTCTGGTAGAACCCACTACCGAGCCGGATGTTCAGGAAGGAATGGACTCGGACAAGATGATCCGTAATACAGCAGCCGAACGGCCCTTTAAGGTCGAGGACTCGGAATCTAGTGGCTCGTCTGCTCCGCAGAACACTTCAGCACCTGAGACGCTACCCAAAGAGGAAACCGCCTCACGTAAACGCCCTTCGAAGCGCCCCTTCCCTTCAAAGAGCAAGTTCAGTGCTCTTTCTCTTTTTCGTCCGTACAAATCACACGGGAATTTGAAACAGCCTCCCTCCGTCCAGCTGAGACCACTTACTTCTCCTTCTCTTAATGCTTTCTCTACCCTGAATGTAGATGGCCCAGCCCTCGATGTGCAAAACCACAATACACCTAATCCAGCGCTTGGGCTGGATGGACCCACCGAAGATCCTACAGCGGATCCTTTAGCACCCAAACCTGGACGACTTCACCGGGCATGGGCTCTTGGCACTGGTCATGATGAGCATCCTGCGTCACAGGCCAAGGTTTGGCAACGTGCTTTAGAAGCTCACCAAAAGGAAAAATCAGCCCTGTTTCTGAGTCCAGAGCAGGGTGGCCGTTCCAAACAGAACGCTGAACAGAATGCTGAGCAGAGCCTCTTTCGGCCTAGAAGCGGAAGCGTAGTTGCGAAAAAGAAAGACAAGGAGCGAATTGGGAGTAAGAACGAAGGCCTCGAGATCCCGGACATCGGGCCAGTTGACTGGTTCGAAACAACAAGAAGGTCCAAGAGCTCGAACAGGGCGTCGATCGTGATGGACTCACTGGAGCGCGAGATTGCAGGTGAGGCACCAAGGCCCCAAGGCCTTAACAATCTCCTCGGCGAAGATCTCTTCCAGCTCGACGTACTTTCTCGTTCGGGCCGTTCCCAAAAGGCTGGCGGCATTACCCCCGCTGCCTCTCCTGGTAGGCTTAGCAAGGAGTCTCTTACTGCCCTAGACGAAGCCGTCGAAGACCCCTTCAGTGACGACCCCTTCGGTGACGACACTAACTTTCCGCTCGGAGCGTGGAGCCGTTACCCCAGTCACACACGCGGCGCGCGCACGGCCAGCGCCGGCGAGGTTGACCTTATCCGCGCGCGCGACTTTGCCTACGAGTTGCGCCTATCTGACATCGTAGATGAGACGCCTGTCGATAGTGAAGATGAGGACGAGCAGCAGGGCGGCAAAGGCAAGGGCAAGAAGCCGAGAGCTCCGACTGCTGCTACGAATAGGACCATGACGCCTCTGGCGCAGCGCAAGGGAAAGTACAAGTCTCGGATTGGCACCGTGCCGAAGAGCAAAAGCATAACTTTTGGTCGCAACTTTTTGCGCAACTATGCCCGCATCTTCCGCAGCCAGAGCGAAGAGTTTCGGCGCTGGGGGCACGGCCACCGCAGCTCGATTGCTGAGGGCGGTGTGCTTGAACATCCTGAGCTGGAGATCTTACCATCAGTGTGGTCAGCTGGGTACCACTCTCAGGCAGTGGCAAATGAAGAGCAAGGTACAGCGGCCAATGCTAATAAGAGCGAGACCGAAGAGCCTGGGAGAGCGGATTCAAAGCCACAGGTTGACGGAACGTCAGCCTCGACCACCGTGCTACCTCCACGCTTCAACAATCTCTCTAACAACCAAAAGAAAGCGACACTCAGTCTAGGAAAGAACCAGTCCGCACCCTCCCTGCGCAGGCGCTGGCCCCGCACCCACAAGAACTCCGACAGCGAATGGAAAGCCGAAGCGCGGATTATGCTGCAGGCATACGACACAGACTCGCCTAGTAGTGCGTCCCAGCAGCGCAATGAGCACAGCAACTCCTCACGCAGGCAGAAAGGCAAGCTTAGGAAAGAGAAAGAGAAAGGGAAAGAGCAGCAGAAGCAGGCGCATGTGCCTGAGAGCTCACGCGAGTGGCGCGTCAATGCAAGGATCTGGACACGGTTCGCCGATGCGCCGAACCGTAAGGGAGAGACTGTTGCTCCTTCACCGCCAGCCAAAGCCAGCGAGGGCAGCGTGCCTGTGTCTCTACCTCCGACTTCAGCTCCGGCGCCTGCGCCTGCGCGCGTGCCCTCACCGCAGGGCGCCGCTCCCGCCTCTTCATGCCCTCCACAACAGAAACAACAACAACACCGCCCAGTCAAGCTCTCAGCCGCGCGCTCTTCGTCCGAGGAATGGCGCTCCGATGCGCGCCTCTTCAGCCAGTACTACGAGAACTGCCTCGATCCCTTCCCCTTGTTCGGCAGCAGTGGAGAAAACGGGCCCGAGAGCCCCATTGTGAGGGCGGCTGCTGCTAGTGATAGCCCTGTCAGAGGCGCAGTTTTGGTCCGGAGGGATAGTGAACGAAGAAGGACCGACGTGGGGACGAAGAGCTTGGGGAGGGCGAGCGGCGGAGTCAGGGTTGTGTGGAGGAGTTTGTCGGGGAGTATGGGAGGGAGTTGGGGGAGTGGCGAGGATAGTGGTGAGGTTAGTGGTGAGGTTAGTGGTAAGGTTAATGGGGGTGTGGGTGCGGAGAAGGAGAGTCCTGTCAGGGGGAGTACTATAGATTTTCTGAGGGTGTTGGAGGAAGGAGAGGAAAGGGAGCGCGAGAAGGCGATTAGGGAGGCCGGAAGCGTGTCGTGATTGCTGTTGGTTTCTGCGTGGCTTGGTATTGGTGGTATTGGTAGTCTGGGTGGGGTTTTGCGGCACGTTCCTTTTGAGTTTGGTATGAGTACGGGGTATATGTTGGCTGGATTGGCAGGCTCTTGGGCAGCGAGTGTGGAATGTTAATGCGTGTATCGCTTTAATTTCAGATAGTGTTCACTCCCTCATGACGATGGTCTCTTGGCATGGTGTTGGCATTGACCAATCAACGACGGCTTACCTCAGAACGGGTGCCAAGAATCGGCGGAGGTGCGACTCCAGAGCCGCATCACCACCTCCACCCGCGATACTACTATCCAGACCCTCTCCACTCCGAACTCCCACCATGTCTGCCGGTTCCGTCAAGCACGCGCTGCAGTCCTCTGCAGGCCAGATCAAGCAGTTCAAGGTGCGCCAACCCCTCGACCGCCGACCGCCGCGAAGCCGGGACCGCCTAGCAACTGCGCCCAGCTCCCGCCGGCGCCGCCCCTCCTCTGCAACACGCAGCAGCGGCTGACAGCTCCTCTGCAGAAATACACGGTTCAGCCCACTGGCATCTGGGCGCGCATCAGCAACTTCCTCGCCGTCGACCCGAAGCGCAGCACGGGTGTGCCGCTCAACCCGCAGTACCGCCTGCCGACGCCCGGCGCCCAGGACCCCAATGGTTACGACGACCCCGTGACAGTGCCGGCGGGCGACCTGGCCGAGAACCCGTACTGGAAGCGCGATATGCGCAGGCGCTACATGCAGCCCAGCACGATCAAGCAGTCGGACGTGGTCGGCCTGCTGAGCGTCGGCAGCCGGGCCAACGAGAAGGTCGAGCTCATTGGCGAGGCGGGGCAGAAGCAGCTGGTCGCCGTCCAGGACGAGGGTGAGAAGGGCCTTGCGGCTTTCTTCCAGAAGGACAAGAACCTTGCGAGCGGCGTGCTGGACAAGAGCGGCCTGCCTCCTCTCCCGAGCGGCTTGTACGAGGGTAGCCAGAGCGGACAGAAGAAGTACGAGCTCCTGAGTGAGGAGGAGCAGACTTATGGCCCCAAGTGAGTATCCGTCTTGCTGCGTGGAAGCTCGAAAATGGCACGTTACTTACTACTTATAGGTACCCCTGCCGGACTTTCATCTAAGGGCTGCGTGGATGGGCCTGTGCGTATAAGAGAGGCGGTTGTGTAGATATTCCAAGACAGCGGTTGCTTCCATTTCTTTTGTGCTCGTACTCCTACACTGTGAATGCGAATCGTTGCGACGCGTAACGGTTGATGATCATTGAAGGTGGGATCGCACATTGAGTCAAGCAATACTAAAATGGGCAGACGTTTGGATCAAGAGCGCAATGTACTTGTAGAGGCTCAACCAAGCTCTCACTCACGAAGATCACACAAGAACTGTCTTAGTTTGCTGAACGTTGCGCAGGACGGAACGAACCGTGGTTTGAGGCACCGGACAGCTTCTTGTACTTCGCCTGCTCAAAAGCGGCAAGAGCCCGTCTTCCCGCCAGTCGCGCCCACGATGACCAACACCACGCGCGACAATGGAGACCGACAAACCACCACCACCACCCTCTTCCTCAGCAGCTCTAGACGTCATCTTCAACTGTCACATCTGCCAAGCCACCATCTCCGACATCTACAACCAAAGCTCCGGCAACAGCGGCTTCCGCGACGGACGACCCAACACCTCCGACACACGCGTCACGTCACTGTGGCTCACAGAATGCATGCACCTCACATGCGGAAGCCACTTGGAGGGCGGCGGTGCGTGTGACTGCGACGCGTATAGCGCATATCGCGTGTCGATGCATGAGCTGACGGGCTGGTGACGCAGGCGCGCCGTTCCACCCCGAGGGCGCACGTCCGGAGGCCGCGTGCCCGGTGTGTGTCAAAGAGGCGCACGACGACAGGCCGAAGCCGCTGTACGCGGTAAGAGGGTGGAAGGAGGGTGCCTACGATGAGGACATCCCGGAGGACTTGTTCGTCACGCCGCCGGTGGGGCTGGATGGCAAGAGCATCAAGGTGCAGGCGTTGCAGGTACGGCGGTGGTTGCTGGGCTTGTTGGCACGTACTTTGCGGCTGACGGAAGACACAGTTTCAGTATACTTCACTCTTGCGGTACGGTACTGCTATGCTTGCTCAACGGCGCGCGGCTGAAAAGACACGCTTGGAGGCTGAGCGACGGGCTAGTGAGGCTGAGAAGCGACATCGTGAGATGTCGGAGCAGGTCATGGCGCTGAAGTGTCGCGTCACGGCCATGGAAAAGGACCAAGCGGAGGTGTCGAAGTGGAAAGCACGCATGCCGCAAATTACTCACTACCTCAAGCTTTGTCCGGAGCTCATTGGGTATGCTGGATGAGTTCTGCATTGCGGTAGCTCTGGCTGCTAACCTCGAGCAGAGAGATTGATCAGCTTAGAGGGCAGCTCAGCCAACTTGGATATGCTGTCCCGCGGAGAGACTATTCTATGGAACACAAAGCAGGCCCGAAACCGCATACGCAGACACGAGCAGAGGAACCTCCGAAACAACTGGAAACGTGCGATCGCTCGTCCAGTTCTGGCAGGAAAAGAAAACATGATGAGTATACTGAAAACGTCCCGGGCCCAGTTACGCAATCCTACAGTAAAAGCCCATCATATAGGGAAAATTTGCAACTCCCAATGCTTCGTGCAGAAAATCCGCAGGCACCAGAGCCTAAGAGACCGCCTACGAGGTTACAAAACAGCTTATCCGCTCGCGCAAACGACGTGTTGGACCAACATTCTGCACCACATACTCAGGTTCAGGTTTACTCCAATGGACGGTGGGGAAATGATTCGCGATTCTATGATCGCCATGCTCCTTCGATAGCTCCGGACCGTCAGCAAGACACATATCATCCCCAGGCAAACATGATGAGCGGTGCGCTCCCTGCGTCGCCAGATATGGTTGCAAGGCCAAGTGTTGATCAAATTACTCGTTCTGGAGATTTCCAGCGGCCATCGGTCCCGTACAACGTCGATGTGGATGACACCGTTACGACTACAGCACAATACGCGCAGCCTGTCGAAGAGCAACCGGTGATCGATGACGTTCGACACCAGGACAGCCAACATGTGAATGACAACAGATATCACGTTTGTGATAGAGTACGCCCAGATGCCGCTCGTACTAGTCCTTACCTGCTGAACAGTAGCAATCGCGTTCCATTAGGCGGCGCATACTCACGATCAGGTCCCAGTCGGCAGCTGCCAGTACGCGCACCAACACGGGGTAGTTTTGCCCAGCCAAGCAACTACAGGCAAAGCCAGCGAACCAACCCTCAGCACCAGTCTCCTAGGGGAGCCATCCACGAACCCATCACGCCCGCACTAAAACGACTCCATGCGCCCAAGTCAACGCAGCGCATAAGCTCGGCCGCAAGCCCATTTTTCAAGACCAGCAGCGGCGGAGGAAACAGGCAGACCGGTCTCACAGCCAACATGGCGGGCCTGTCCGCGCACGCCCGGATCGGCTCCTCCATCGCGCCAGCAGCAAGCAGCGCGCGTGACTTCCGCCGCACGCAGCCGCCCCAACCACCACCACCGCAAGACTGGCACGAGCCGCGCAGCCTGAACGGCCTGTCGTTCATCCACGAACCGAGAGACGGGGCGAGCGAGCCCGTGCTCAGAAGCAGCAGGGCCAGGCCGTCCGTGAACCCGTTCCTCGCCACTTCCGCGGCGCCGCGCACGGAGATGGGGCTGTTTAGGCGGCCGGGAGAAGCTGGTGCTGGCGCTGGTGCAGCGACGCCGTTGCCCCCGCCGTCATCGCTGTTCCATCGGCAGTTGGGCTCGTCGAGGCAGGCGGGCGGTATACCGCCTCCGGCTACGCCGCGGGGGCTTGCGCAGCGTGGGTATGGGTATGGTCATGGGCATGGACATGGGCATGCGGCGACGCTGTCGGCGTATCAGGCGAGGCGACCGCTGACGAGGACTGGGGGGTTTATTGGGGGCGTATTGCCGTTGGAGGGGAGGGGGCTGATTTCTGCTGCTAGGGGCGTGAGAAGGTGATGTGTGTGCGGGTGGTGGTGTTAGGGAGTCAGTGCTTTTGAGGGAGGAGGTGGGGTGGTGCTGAATAGTGCTGTGCTGGATACCGTGGCTGCTTGATGTAGCTTGGTGTGGCTTTGTGTTTGCTGTAGGGAGTAGGACTAGGTGCATATGCAGGCAAATAATCAAGACAACGAGCCCTGGTTCTAGTCTTTCGATCAAGGAAGAGATTACTCTATAATGCCCTTATAAATAATTGGACAACCTCCCGAAATACCTAAACGCAAGAACCCGCTCCCTACTAAATAACGGCTGGGAAAAGGGAAAAGTCCAATTACAGGCGGAAGTGATTCGAGAGCAGGGGGGCGGGAGAGTGCGACACACATACACCAAACGAACATAGCGCACCGCCAGTGAAGTGCATAGTAGTTCATAGTGATAGTAATGGCGATGCGCAGCAGTGGCACACAACATCAACGGCCTCCACACACGGGCGGCTGTGCGCATCACCAATACTAACACCAACGCAACGCAAGACGCCTCGCCTCGCATCGCCGTTCCGCTCAACCCTCGCTCCTTTCTCCACTATGAAAAGGTGGAACGAACACAGCTGATTATGGCCGGCGTAGCCGGTCCAGGGCGGTCGAAATGTGTGCTTGATGCTTGTTACTAGGTGGTGGGAATTCTTGTTATTGCTTCTTTTCTGCCGCCAATGCTGGTGCTTGGCAGTCGTCTCCTTTGTTGATTCGCTGTTTGTTTGTTCGGTTTCTTGTCGGCTGGAGGACGGTGCTGTGGGGTTATAATGTGTAATATCTAGGACGTAGACAGAGAGGTAAATGAGATTACTACGGCAGAGAAACATCAAAACAATTTCTCCATGCGTTTAAGTATCCGCAGCAGTCACATCAGCACAAAACAGTGATAGATAGCAATGTGCCCCCAACCCCAACCTCATCATCTGTGGTAGCGGTAGCGACAGAAGCCATAGAACCAAACCAAGGTCGAGCCACGCCACGCAGTCGCAGCGACGTAGCTAGTATATAAAGCGGCTCCCCCCTCCATCTGAGATAAGGACCGCTCTTTCAGCTATCGTTTACGAAGTAATAGCGTAGGCACTACCGCGACAATAGTACTATCGTAAGCCGGCATCTAAATTACTGCTGTTATAGTATAGTACAGTATAGTACAGCACAGCTAACGCCAGCGCCGTAGGTACTTACTAGAACACCGCACAGTGTAACCACGTCACCAACACCACCGACACCATGCACGACGAAGAGAACCAAGAGAACCAAACGTACCAACAACACCAACACGAAATCCTCACCACCCGCAGCCCCACCTTCCGAGACATCGTGCACAACACAACGACATGCATCTTGGCGCTCGCGTTGCTAGTTACCTTTACAGCGCTCGTAAGGTTCGATGGCTCGTGCGGCATGTTTTTTGCTAAGTACGGCTTGACTGCGTTTCAGTGGTGTGCGCTGCTGGGCGCGGTGGTGGTGGGGACGCTGCCGAGGCTGTGATGTTGGGAAAGGGGGAGGGGTGGGGATTTGATTGGGGTTGCGGAGTTGCTTTCGGGGTGACGCGGTGGTTGGGGGGTGTTGTTGGGGTTGGCTGGGATCTATACCTTAAGTAAAGGGACATGTTTTCTGAGCAGTGGTGGCGTGGAGGAGTGGTGAAGAGATCATGGAAGGAGGCAAAACAGAGAGACAGTAAAATATGAAATATGAGATAGATTATATGACGGGATAAGAAAGCCTTGTGTGAAAAGGGTTAGTTGTAGAAGAAAAATCCAGTTCTTGAACAATGGCGGGTAGATGATTGGTATATAGATCGCGTTTAAGAGTAGCAGGATACTGTGCCTTCTGACCGCAATCTGAACCGGTAGAGGACAAAAGCACGATGCCTCTGCGTTGGCTCGCACGCCTTCGGGACTGGTTCGAGCTCGTCCTCGAAGACTTACACGACTGGTTCGAAGACCTCCGCAACGGAGACAACTTGTACGAACTACTCTTATTCACCATCTACGGTCTATGGCTCAGCGTATCGCTACTGATCTTCGGAGGGGTGACCGCAGTCCACGATGTCTTTGGCCTGGCTAGAAGGGTGCTCGACAATTGTGTGCCGATATATCTGCTACCGCCAGGCATAACCCCATATCCCGTCGTTTTCACCACCATACAGTTCATTGCTGCAGTGCTGGAGATTCAGGACCCCTTTACCTTGGTTTGCGGTCTCTTTGTCCTTGTTGGGCTGGCCGCTCAGGCTCACGCTGTTTTGGCACGGACTGGAAATGGTGACGACGGGCAGGTGCAGAGAGTTGTCTTCCATGGGTAGTAGCACGACGAAGAGCCGAAAGCCCATGAGATAGGTGCGAGAAGACGAACGAAAAAAGGACCTGGTGAAACAATGAGACAGAAAATAGAATGGACAATGAAAAAGGAAATGGAACAAAGAAGACTACGATAGAATGAGAAAATAAAGACTTTACTCATATGAAGAAACAATGCGCCCCCTATTACCTAGAGAATGATTCAGTGATTGGACCGTGGCAGTTTTTGTCGTCGCAGTTTGACGAACAACAGCGATGGCGGAGACGGCGACGGGTGGACAGGTCACAGCTGTGTACCTAGTACGTAGTATTAGCAAAACCGAAGACGATAATGACAGTTTTTCATGCCAATCATCTGCTGATGTGCTCTGTTGTTCACATGCAAGCGTCGCAACGCGTGTTCCACTCTCCACCAAACGTTCCCCACCACACGCTTACCCGAATCAGAGCAACATGCCGTCACACCTTGGCGTTGCGCTAACCACCAGCCGCGCGCGTACACAGCGAAACGACTGACGCGACAACAAAGACAACAAGCCTTTCCCCTCGACCTGACAACATCCGTTGGCCGTCGCGTTTTTTCCCCCGACCAACCCCTCCTGCATTAGCCACGCCAAAAATAAGACGCGCCCCCCATCATGCCTTCGTCCAAGGGAAAGCCCACCGACCCCAAACTCCGCGAGAAGGTCAAGGAGGGTACGTCTTCCTCGTGATGTCATTGTGCGACGTGCAGTTGACCCGACTGCGAGCTGCAGAGATCAAGAACGAGACGAACAAGGACGGCAGCGGCAAGGGGCAATGGTCCGCCTGGAAGGTGTGTGCGAACGCGACGCGTCAGTGACACATAACCCGATCGATACTAACGGGCTGCGCATCTAAAGGCTTCCAAGCTGTCCAAGGAGTACGAGAAGCAGGGCGGCGAGTACGAGAACGAGGCGGGCTCGAAAAACGAGCCGACCAAGGGGACGCCGGAGAAGAAGTCTGAGGGGAAGAAGCAGAGGGAGGTGAAGAAGGGCGGGAAGAAGGATACCAAGAAAGAGGAGGAAAAGCAGGAGCAGGAGCAGGCGAAGGAGGAGAACGAGAAGGACGAGAGCAAGGAGGAGGAAGCAAAGGAAGAGCAAGAAGGCCAACAGCAAGAGGAGGAAGAGGAAAAGAAGCCCAAGGCCAACACGGGGAAGAAGGCCACTGGCAGAGGCACAAAGACTGAAGGAAAGGGAACGGAGCCCGCCAAAAAGTCACAGAAAGCCGCGACGAAGAAGGCAGAGAAGCCGCGACAGGAAGGCACGCGCAAGAGCTCGCGCATCAGTGCGGGAGAGAAACGGTACGCCGAGGACCAGGACGACGATGATATCGAGCCCAAAAAGGCCAAGAAGACGGGACGGGCCTCGAAGAAATGAGAAATGTCACATGGGGTAGTTCCGGATTGGGAAACGCAGGAACGACGACACGGATTCGGGGGAACGTCGGGAGTGGGGATGCGTAGATTTAATGGAATTTTTCTGCTTTCTGCTTCCAATTCTATAAAGGTCAATGGTAATGGTGTGCCGTGATGTCGACTGGTTTCCTTGACAACAAAGTTGCAGGCCTGTGCGCGGGCGCTGTGGAGGAGCAGTACGTAGTGAATCCCCCGTCATCGCTCGCTAGCCACGGCCTGCCCTACGCGCCTCCAACCTCCAACTCGAAACATTTTCCATTCTCTCCTTCTGCCTACCAAAATACCTGCCCACTGCTTCTCCAACGCACTGTACATAGCCAAAACCCACCGCTTCGATCAATCGGCCCGGACCTGGCCCATCGTCCATCCGCCTCCTATCTGGCCCATCTCTAAAAGCAAGCACCACACTCGGGCCTCGCCCCGGCTCGACGCCTCCGCACGCCCTCTAATGCCGCCGCCGCCCTCACGACCATAATGCCCGCCTCCTCATCTTTCAATCCCCTCCGCTTTGCCAAGCGCAAACTGCAGCCCTACGACCCCCTCCCCGGCGGCAACTCGTACGCCGACGAAGCCCATGACGAATACGACCTAGAGAAGCACTCACCGCTCGACGGCCTGCACTACGAAGACACGGTCGACGACCCGTTCCCCGCACACAGCAGCTCGGGCGTGCTGCAGCCGCTGAGCCAGAAACCCCCGACATCGCAGTACCGCCAGCGCTCCAACAGCCGCGTCCGCAAGGCCAGCATGTCCATAAACACAAACGTCTACCCGCACGCGCACCGCGTGAGCCGCCGCCGCTTCAGCCGCTGGTTCGCGCTGGCGCTGGGCGGCGCCGTCGTCTTTTTCATCGTGCTGCTGAGCGCGCAGGGCCGCCGCAGCCACCTGGCCATTGAGACGGGATTGATGCGCGAGCCGGACCCGCCCGCGCCCTGGGAGGCTTTCCCCTTCCTGCAGCGCTACCATGGCGGCATCCGCACCCTCGTGCCCCGCAGCGAGAACAAACCTGAATACCCGGGCGAGGGCTTCAATGTCTCGGAGCTGCTGGGCTACAAGAAGGACCCGGCGGAGAAGGAGAAGCGCGATGCCACTGAGGCGCTCGAGGACGAGCGCACAAAGGACCACCACCTCCCGGCCATGCAGGTGTTTAGTCCCTACCCTGCCTACGCTTCTGACGCCTACAAGAAGGACTACACCACCGTCAAGACGTGCTACCTAGACGACAAGCGCACCCAGCGCGTCCCGCAGCTGCGAGTGTACCCCGGAGTGGTGCAGGGCACGCCCGACCACGTCCTGGGCTCGTACGAGATCTTTGGTCTGCGCAACGACGTCTGCTTCGACCGCTTCGGGCGCCTAGGCCCGTACGGCCTGGGCTACAGCCGCAAGATGGGCGGCAGCGGCGCCGCCATGGAAGGCGACCGCGAGGGCGCCGAGCAGGTCTGGAAGGACGACCCGGAGGTCGACTACCGCGAGGTGCACTGGGCGGACGTGCAGGAGCGTTGCGCCAGGGACAACGCGCACCGCTTCAAGCCCGCGCCGCAGACGGTTCCCCATGGCTCGAACCACTTCTACTTTGCCATGGACGGGACTGCAAGTGGGAACTGGAAGGCGTCGATGCCGATGCCGGAGAAGGTCGAGAAACGAGATGGCGAAGCGACGACGAAGAGCAAGAAATCAGAGACCGAAGATTCGGGCGAAGCCATGCCGGTTCGCGTGGTTGACTCTTCAAAGGGTGCATCTTTAAGCACTGTCGAACCCCCCTCAGCCAGGAAGCTCCTCCCGCGCAATGCGGTCATTATCCGCACTTGGCACGACTTCCACTACGATGACGAGGATCTCTTCTACTTGCGTGCCCTCGTCACTGAGCTCTCCGTCAACAGCGGCGGAGAGTACACGGTGCACTTCCTGATCCACGTCAAGGACAACAACTTGCCCATCTGGTCCGACGAAGGCACTTACCAGCGCGTGCTGAACGACTCTCTTCCCGAGGAGTTCCGTGGCATGGGCACGCTCTGGACGGAACGGCAGATGGAGCTGCTGTACGGCGGCATGGACGACAGCCACTACCGCGACCTGCCGGTGTACGGGGCGTACCGCAGCACGATGCTGCCGGTGCAGCACTTTGCGCACATGCACCCGGAGTTCGACTTCTTCTGGCACTGGGAAATGGACGTGCGGTACACGGGGCACTTTTACGAGCTGTTTGACAAGGTGGGGGCGTGGGCGCGCAAGCAGCCGCGCAAGGGCCTGTGGGAGCGCAACGCGCGCTTCTACGTGCCGCGCGAGCACGGCGACTGGGAGGACTTCAAGCACATGGTGCGCGTGCAGACGGAGCACGGCACCTCGAGCAAGAACAACATCTGGGCGGCTATGGAGAACAACCCCGATGTGCCGGACGAGGTGAAGGCGCAGGCGGTGCCGCGGGCCGAGAAGCCCATCTGGGGCCCCGAGCGCTCCGAGGACGACGAAATGGACACGGACGGCGACCCGGAGCCGCCGCGGGCGTACGCCGACGACAAGTTCGAGTGGGGCGTAGGCGAGGACGCGGACCTCATCACCTTCAACCCGCTCTTCGACCCCACGGGCACCAACTGGATCCTCGCGGGCGACGTGACGGGGTACAACACGAGCCGGACGCTGCCGCCGCGGCGCACGGCCATCATCACGGCCGGCCGCCTGTCGCGCCGCCTGCTCGAGACGATGCACCGCGAGACGGCAGTGCGGCGGCGCACCATGTTCAGCGAGATGTGGCCGGCGTCGGTAGCGCTGCAGCACGGGCTCAAGGCCGTGTACGCGCCGCACCCGGTGTTCATCGACCGCGCGTGGCCGACGGACTACCTGGCGGCGATTTTCAACGGGGGGCGCAACGGCGCGGCGGGGGGCGCGCGCACGTCGGTGTTTTCGGATGAGCGCCAGCATAATTTTAGGGGCACCACGTGGTATTATAACAGTGGTGCGGCGCCGAATCTGTGGTTGAGGTGGCTGGGCTACGTCGTTGATAATGATGGGGGCGAGGAGGACGAGGTTTGGGGTGAGGGGCGGATGTGTTTGCCCCCGGTGCTGCTGCATCCGGTTAAGCATGTCGATTTGGTGTTTGCGCATGAGGAGGGGGAGGTGTAGGTAGTAGTGTGTGGGGTTGGTGGGTTGGTGGTGTTGTGTACCAGCAGCGTCAACTTCAACATCGGCATCAACATCAGCGTCTCCATCTTCATCTCATCCGTCTACATAGCTCGCGAACGCGTTTTCTTTCTTTCTTCATTCTTCTTTTAGTTGGTTGGGTAATACTCGAATTGCATACACCAAAAAACAGACGGGCGGACAGGCTTTGGCGCTTTGGCTTTGGCTTTTCACTTCTCCATTCACTTGTCCTTTGGGGTTCTTTTTCTTTCTTTTGCATGTGCGCGTGCGTGGGACATGAAAACAAAAATAGAAATAAATAAAATAACATAACATAAATCTATATAACTCAACCCAACTCTCACCCCTCTTATCCACCCCACCCAAACACAACCCAATCCATACGAAATCGAAACTCCAACACGACCAACATCTATCTCCGCCGCGACAGCGACAGCGACTGACGTTAGCCTCATTATCCGCCTCCGCGTCCACCGCAAAGACAAAAAGCAGACGGCAGTATTTCAAATAGATAGACACAGAGTCGAACAAGCCCAAAAACGAACTAGAACTAGAAGCCAGCCGTGCTTATCAACGTCGGGCTTACATAGTAGCAGGCGTAGGCGTAGGTATTAAGTTCGTAAAACCAAAGAAAGGGTTTAGTACTGTCTATTTAACACTATACTGTAGTACGTTTTATTATTTGATAGCAGCCAACTACACTACTTACTCCTTGCTGGATATAGATATGCCTGCCTTAGCGGTAGGTAGGTGGTAGTGGGAGGTCTGAGTAAGCAAGCAAGCAAGCAAGACCTACAAATATGTAAACCCGTATGATATACTCCTACTGTAGTGATGCGATGCGCGCGGGCGGTTTCCATACATACATATGCGTTTCTGTCACAGCAAAGTAAAGCAGAGCGGCGACTGTGCTGTAGCAGCAAAGGGCAGTCAAGCCCAGCTACGCAGGCCTCAGCACCTCGCCTCGACGCCTCTATAGATGTACAGTAAATCCACAGTAAACAAGTGCCTAAGCAGTTTTGCGCGTGCGGGAGGCTTGAGGCAGCAGTTATTGGTTGGCCCAGAGGTTCAGAACTGGAGACTTGCCTAGAGTCTCGGGTGTAGTAGGCCTGTTTCACTAGAAAGCTAGGTAATACCGTGATCAGTCCGCCAGGGCGCACTGCACACGTTTTTTTCTTGTCGTCGGCCTCCGTCAGCAAGTCCGCGCTTGGCAAGGTGGTCGCGGCTAGTTCCGTCTGTCCGGCCGGGAGGATGCGTGCGTGTTTGCATGGATGGGCTGCGCGCGTGCTCACGCGGCCGAGTGCAAGGGACAGACTGCAGGGCTTGTCCTTGCGCGGTACGAGTCCTACGTATGTATGTAGGCGCGTTGGGTTGGGGTTGGGCATGGCGTTTTTTTCGTGGCTGCGTTGTTGGTTAGGTTAGGTAGTGATTAGGTGGTCGTTTGTCAATGCTCTTTCGTGCTTTCTCTCAACTGCTGGCTGGCTGGCTGGCTGGGTTCACGGGTTACGGATACTGGAGGAGTGGCTTTGGGGTGGGAGAGATGTATATGTATGCACAGGGAGAGAAGGTTGGAGAGGGAATTTATGGTGGTGGTGGACTCGTCGAGGTATGGGGGCTAATAATAGAGACGAGGCGCGAGCGGTCTGGTGCTGGTGCTGGTGCACGCGATGATGGACGACGATTCACGACGATGACCGCCACTTCCGGTGGAGCGTGCGTGCGGACTGGCGGTGCAGGATCATGTTAGTTAGGCCGCTGGCCACTGGGCTAGCGCTCGGGCGTATGTAATGATAATAATCTAGGGAGATGAATGACCGAGAAGCTTGGCTGGATGAGTCGATGGGTGCGTGCAGGGCTGAGACGAGGATTGTTGAAGAAGAGACAGCGGCTGGCGAAACAAGGCGGTTCAGAGAGTGGTTGCTGCGGGGATGAGCGACTGGCAGCGGATCGAGGGGCACCAAGCACCAGCAACCAGGCCATGGCATCCTTGTTGGCGGGGAGCCACATGTTTACACACCGCGACTGCGGCTTGCGCGGCCGTGCCCACTGCCCACTCTGCCCTGCTCGCAGCCTCGCCCTGCTCTCCGCTGCCAATCTATTTCCTCTTCACGCAACTCTCCACTCGCTCTTTGCCGATCTCCGTGAGCATTCGGAAGACGCTGCTTACCAGTACCACGTAGTTACGGCTTTTCTTCTACTACCTACTCTCTCACCACCTACTTCCCTCTCTTCCTCTCTCTCCAGTTATACCCGGCGACCATGCTCCGCTAGCCACCCACCCCATCCATGGACCTCTTCACCCTCCCCGCCGCCCTGCTCTTCCTGCTGCTGGCTGGCCCCGCCTACGCTCAGCTACCCTACGACCCTACGCGCATCCTCCAATCCCGCCAGGACAATGATATCATTTACGTCTTCCGCCCCGATCCCAGCGCGACCGCAAAGACACAATTGCTGTCCCTTGACGTCTCGTCCGCGCTGAACGCCGCCGATCTCCCGCTCACGACGCTCTATCCCGCGCTACCCTTCGCAACGTCGACCGATGACACCGCCGTGCCGTACATCCCCGTCGCGGACGAGAAGGGCGGCCTCACCGTGTACGCGGGGCGCTGCGGGCCGGCGCTCCACGATGCCAAGGTGTGGAAGTTCGCGGTGGCCGAAGACGCGCAAGACAGCAACGGGACGTGGACGGAATCGGACGCGACGGCAGGCAGCGACGGCGACGGGCGCACGCTGCTTGGCCCCAACTTCCTGAGCCACGGCATCTCCTTCTCCTCGACGGTGGGCGACAGCGACCCGGCGCTGTTCGCGTTTGGCGGCATGTGCCCCACCGATGACGCGACGCCGGGGTCGTGGGTGGCCGCGGCCAACTACTCCAGCGCCATGCTGCAGGTCCAGAAATCATCGAACGACGATGATGATTCTGCAGCAGGGTTCGACGTCGACGTTGCGCCCACGCGCGGCCCGCCCGTCGCTGAGGCCGGGTTTGGGCTCGTGGGCCTGCCGCCCACGTTCTCGAACCGCAGCGACGGCTCTGCGGATCAGCAGCAGAACTTTGTCCTGTTGGGCGGCCACACGGACGGCGCGTTCATCAACATGTCGCAGGTTGCTCTGTACTCGCTGCCAGAGGAAACTTGGACGTTTATCCCCGTGGAGCAGCCCGATGTGCGCGACGGCGATCTCGCCAAACGCGCTGCAACGGTTAGCGAGGTGGAGCCGCGCTCGGGGCATACTGCTGTCCTGTCCGATGATGGCACGAAAATCATCGTCATGGGCGGCTGGGTTGGAGACGTCGACACGCCGGCCGAGCCCCAGCTCGCTGTCCTCAACATCGGCGAAGGTTATGGCGGAGAGGGCGCGTGGTCCTGGTCCATTCCTTCGCCGTCGGGCAGCGGCCTCGCCGATGGCGCTGGCATTTACGGCCACGGGGCCGTGATGCTCTCTGGAGACGTGATGATGATCCTGGGAGGGTACTCGATTTCGTCGTTGTCGTCGTCCTCGAAGCTGAGGGGGAGAGCAACGCCCGCGCAGAACACGCAAAACTTTTTCTTCAATGTCAGTTCGAACAGCTATTTATCGGACTATTCGCCGGTATCCGACTCGTCCGATTCTTCTGACAAGGGGGGCCTTTCAAGCGCATCGCAAAAGGCTGGGCTCGGTGTCGGCATCGGAATCGGCGTCGCGGCCGTTGTCTGCATGACTATTTTCTACTTCTGGTACAAGCGCCACCTCCGGGAAAAGAGGGAGTGGAGAGAGAAGGAACTCCGCGAGCTTTCTTTGGGCGCTCACTACGTGCATGGAATTGGCCCTGGGAACACGGGTCTGAGTTCGCGAGGCAGAGATCCGTTCGCGGACGAGTATCTTAGCGATCGCGAAGCCGCTGCATACGCGTCCGACCCTTGGTATTCTGGCGGACGAGGAGGCTGGAAAGGACAAGGTGGCGGTGAAGCCGAGCGGACTGGCCTGCTCGTCGAAATACCCAGTCCGACGCGAGGCCTCCGCCGGAACTCTCAAGGAAGAGTGTATCACCAGGCACCTTTGTACGATGACAGCCGCATCAACCCTGGAGCGGGCCCGATCCACCGCATCGACGAGCGCGCAGAGGAAGAGGAAGAGGAAGCCAATCTTGAAATGCGTGAAAGACCGCGGACCGCCGAAACCGACTACCGTCTTTCCATACACTCGACTGGCGACTCGAATCCTCTCATCGACCACAACGACCACGAATACCTTGGCAGCAATCATTCCGCGTTCCCGACGCAGCCCACGGCTCACTTCCCCACCAGCCTCGGCAACGTAGGGAAGCGCTTCACCGTAATTCCAGGTCCCACCTCTGTAGCTCAAGCCCGCGCAGCGGAAGTACGCCCTTACACGCCCAACTGGGAATTTGGCGGCTCTTCGCTGTCCTCGGCAGCATATTCCAACTCGGCATCCAGCAGGTCAGGCCTCTCAGCACACCACGAAAAGTCGGATCGCACTGGCTCCAACCTCAGCGACAGTTCCCGTTCGGTGCTGTCTGCTCGATCTACTGCTGCTAGTGTCGCGCGCACATTGTCGATAAGGTCCGGCGCTCTGCTTGCCAGCATACCCAACCCATTCCGCACGCCACAGACGAGTCCGATCAAGGAGCATCCGCAGCCCTCTCTCGCACCGCCGGTCGAGCCCGTGTCGGCAGTGCAACGCAAGTCTGTAGAATACAGCCGCGCGCCCAACAGCAGTCATAGCAACGTCAACGCCAACGCCGATGCCGACTCGTTCACCACGGCCAAGACATCCTTTGCCCAGCTCCAAGCAGAGGGCGAGGCACTGCTTGGCGGTCGCCCCGACAACGCTGAAAACATACCCACGTCGATACCGTTCCCATCGCTCAGCCCCATCGATCCGGATTCTCCGCACTACCGGAAATCGTTCCACCAGCCGCCGCCACCAGCGGCAGCAGAAGAGGCGGCGCAACAATCTCAACAACAACAACAGCAGCAGCAGCAGCAGCCGCAGCAACGGGCAATAACTGAATTACAGCGCCAGCAGGTCAACCGTATGGGCTCCGCCGACTCGCTCGACCTCCACTCCCCCGTCGACAACTCGTTCGCGACGCGCGACCGCAGCAAATCCTGGCTCGGGGGTGTGCGTAACGCACTTGGCCGGCGGCCAACGTTACTGAGCCAGCACGACGACGGGCGTCCACCTAGCCTGGTGCTGGGCCTGCATCGCCGCAGCAGAAGATACAGCTACTCTAACTCGCAGGACAGCCCGCAGCACAGCCCCGACGCGTTTTCGACGCCGCACACGAGCCTGTTTCCTTGGGGCATCAGGAGCGGAGAGAGCAGCCCCACCAAGTCGCTGCTGGATCCCCAGCAGCAGAGGCCGGCGTCGAGCTCGGCGGCGGATGGGTTGTCGCCTCCGAGACGGGCAGCGAGTGATGCGGGGTTCTGGGCTAAGAGGGAGAAGAGAGGGTCTAAGGCGTGGACCGCGGATATTTTGGGGCTGGAGGGGCAGGAAGATGAAGAGGATTGGATTGCAGGGAGGCCGCGACCACGGACCGTCGCAGGCGAGGAAGCATTTGGTGCGAGGGGTTTGTTGCCCGGTGGAGCAGGAGCTGGGGATGTCGAGGTCGTGGGAATGGGAGGGCTGGAGTTGCAGGACGGCGAGTATTACGAGGACGAAGGCGAGTGGGACGTCGAAGCCGCGGCCGAGCGTCGCGACGTCCAGCTCTGCTTCACGGTGCCTCGGCAAAGGTTGAGGGTCGTGAACGCGGACGCGAGGGCAGCGAGCCCGAGTGTGGCGGGGAGTGAAGGGGAGGCGAGGAGGGTGTCGGGGAGGAGCTCGTTGCGGAGGGTCAGTGGGCTGAGTGCGGGAAGTGGGGCAGGGGGGATAAGAGTGGCGAGCCTATCGTCTTTGGCAGCGGTGAAGGAGGCGGCGCGCAAGATCAGCAGCGGGACGGCGGCGTCGAGGTGGAGCGGCGGTGGTGGTGCCGGTGCTGGTGCTGGTGGTGGTCAGCGCGTCGTCTCTACCTCGGCGGCATCAGCGGCCTCTGCTGCAGGGGGTGAATCGTCACCACCACAACCTCAACCACCCCAAGCACAACCACACCTACACCCGCATTTGCAATTGCCGCAATTGCAACCTCCGGTGGCGGTAGCGACGACGGCGGGCGCGCCCCTCGCTCATCCTAAGCCTAAGCCCTCGTCCAAGGAGCTTTATCAGGTGCAGACGCCGCCGCAGCTGCCTCCGCTCAGCATCTCCGAGGTGGATCTGCTGGGCACGAAAGGGGCATCAGCATCACAACCGCAACCACAACCACGGCCCGCGGACCCGCCAACGTCAACCATGTCGACGACGACCATGACGCCTCCGCCCGCCGCAGCAGCAGCGCTGCCCTCACCTTCGCTTTCTCGCTCTCGCTCGCCATTGCCCTCGCCTCTGCCGCCTTCGTCGCCGTCGCCAACGCCTTCCGCATCCGCATCCGCGACGGCAGACCTCCTCGGCACGCCGCCCAGCCTTGCTCGCCCTCCGCGCTCGGCGACCGCTGCCCTCCTTAGCAGCACGCCCAGCCCGAAGTCGAAGTCGAAATCGAACCCCAGCCCGAGCCCGCGCTCCAGCCTCCTGCTCACCACACCCTCGTCGACGCGCCCCGCGCTCACGGCACGGAGTCGCACGCTCACGCCGCCGCGGCTGAACACTGCCGCCGCCGCCGCTGCTGCTGCTACTGCTATGACTGCTACGCCTACCACGGCTACGCCTACCACGGCAACAACGAGGCGAGCGGGTGCGAAAGCGGACGACGAGGGCAACGAGCTCAAAGCCGCGCTTGCGCGCTTCGGACGCCAGCGCAGCGCCGACGGCGTCGTGAGCACTGTCTCCAGCTCGCCACTGTCGCTGGCGTCACCTTCGCTGGCTTCGCCGCTGGCTTCACCGTCGCCGCTGTTGCAGGTTAGGACGAGGGGGAGTAGGGACAGTATTGGTGGAAGTGCAGTTGGGGCTAGGGACAAGGGGACGCCGAGTCCGGCCGGCTCGGTCAAGAATATGATTATGGCTTTTGAGCAGCGGGGGAGGGGTTAGGTGGTGTGTGTGTGTTGAGGGGTTTTTTTGGGGTGGGGGGAGAGGGTAGTGGGGGTTTTATTGGGGGAGGTTTATTGATGGATGGGTGAATGAGGACGAGGTAATGATATGATATTATGATATGAATTGATTGCATGGTATGGTTTGGCCTGGTTCCTATAGCATGGCATGGGCATGGTATGGCATGGGCATGGTATGGCATGGGTTTAGAGCGTAATTCGTAGGTAGTTGGTGGGGTTGCTGTAGCTATGTATGTATGTAGGGAATGGGAAGGAAATGTGTATGTGTGCGTATGTATGCGTGGATGCGTGGTGGTGAGTAGTTAATTAATAGGGATGACGGGTGTGTTAGTTACCTAGTTAGTTTAATTGCGTTAGTGAGGTTGGTTAGCTACCTCCTATGAAGCACCAAGTCCACCCACCCACACACAAGCACACAAACACGCGCACCCCACAGCAAAACACCCAGCCAGTCAATTAACCGCCCATACGCCGCGCACATGCATGCATTGCTTTTCTCCGCTTTTTTGTATATCTGTAAGGTAGCTCCCTAGGTATTGTATAGAACCCGCTACGAGTACGCTACGCTACGCCGGAACCCCGCATCACGCGGCCGTGTGTGTATACGTATATACATACTGCCCACTGAACGTACTCGACAGCGCTTGCTCGCTCGCTTGATGGAACAACAGCAATAGCAGCAGGCTAACAGCCTAGCTACTAACCCTCAGTTCGATTGATGCCAACGCAACGCAGCACAACACAACGTAATGCAATTCGCGCCATCCATCACCCAACACCCGCAACGCCCACATACATGTTCTGTTCTCGACCCGTCAAGCCGCCCTTGCCAAAACGCACATCTCTCTCGCTCGCTCTCTCTCGCTCGCTCTCTCTTTCTCTCTTGGAGAAAACAGCAGACGATGACGACGACCACGACCACGACGAAGAAGAAAAGAAGAAAAAAGAAACAGAGAAAAACGTCATACTAACTAGGTACGTAAGTAGTAGCGCGCCGCGCCTCGTACCGTCGACCCAACAGCCCTTAAAGAACCCTCAAAAGCAAAAGCAACAAGCACAAGCAAGCAAGAGCAAGCCATGTAAGAACGCTGCACGCCCCATCCCAAGCCAGGCAGGCATAGCACACAAAGGAAACCCCAAAGAGCAGATCGGACCCAAGCACAAAAGTGAAAAAAGGTAGGTGAAAGAAAAGCATAAAGAGTATAAAAAGTAAAAAGTAAACGAGGGGCCAAAGTAGTGTACCTAAGGTAGTAGGTAGGTCATCCAAAAACAAAACAAAAAAAAACCGCAGAGCTAAAAACCGGTAGGCGAGAAAAGTAAAAGAGGTGTGACGAACGGGAAGAAAAAAAAAAGAAAAAAAAAGAAAACGCTACTCAAGAAGCCGTAGCAGCGGCAGCAGCAGCAAGACGCTCACTTGATGTGTGACGTCTCTTGCCTGCTGCCGATCGTGAAAAAAGCGGGCAAGGTCGTTGAGAAGGGAAAAGGGAAAAAAAGAGGAAAGGAAAAGAAGAAAAAAGCGTCCCCCGAAACCTTGCACGAAGAATCGCAACGCAAACCAAACCAAAAACAGCAGCAGTACCAACCGCAGTATCACCCACCTTCCCCATCACTCACTCACTCCTTCCGCACCTTATACCCCGCCCCAACCCACGCCCACAAGCTCCTCGCCCGCCGATGCGTCTTTTTGACCGGCTTCCCCAGCGCCGGCGACTGCTGCCCAGCACCGCCGCGCAGCACGCCCGCACTCGAGTTCGGTCGCGCCTCCAGCGCAGCGACCAGCTCTTTACCCCTCGCTTTGCCACCGCTGCCACCACTCCCCCTACTCACATTCCACATGCTCCGCTTCTCGTCGACCAGAGGCGCCGACAGCGGCGAAGGCAGCGGCGGCGCCACCGCAGCGAACCGCAGCGCGCTCAGAGGGCTCCCGCTCATGATGCTCCGGCTGTCGCCGCTGCGTCCACTCGCGCTGTTGCTTCCGCTGCCGCTGTGGCTGCGGCTGCGCGAGTGTCCCGGCGTCAGAAAGCCGCACACGAAGCCGCACGCGCGCTCGTCCAGCGTGCCGGCGTCCCAGCCGTCCAGGCGGCTGTAGAGGACGTCGTCGCTGTTATTGTTGCCGCTGACCGCGTTGCTGCCACTGCCCGCATTGTTGCCGCTGCCCGCGCTGCCCCCAACGCGCGCGTAGTTGTTGTAGTAGCTGTTAGACGGCTGCTGCCTACTGCGCGCCATGGGCCTGCTTGGAGGCCGCACGCCGCTGTCGTCCCAAACGCGTTGGGCGTAGCCGTCGCGCTCCTCGTAGTCCCAGAAACGTCGCTCACCTTGCCAGTACCAGTCGCCAGTTCGATTCTCGTTGTTACCCTGTGTTTCACCGCTGTTGTTGATCTTATTGTTGGTCTCGTTGCGCTGCTGCTGCTTCTGCTTCTGCTTCTGCCGCACCAGTGCATCGATTTCGTTAAGGCCTAGTGGTTCATATAGTCACTCGACCCCGCCCCCTCCATCGTCCGGGCGGCCAGAGTGGCGTGCCGCCGCCGCAGCGCTTAGGCCGCTCAGCCCGCTCATCAGGCTGTAGTCATCCTGACGCGAGTTACGGCGCACGAAGCCACCGGACGGCTGGCGGCGGCGGCGGACCGCGAGACGCTGCTGCGCCTGCACAGCTGCGGTAGGCCAGCCTGCGCCTATTTGGCTTGGTGGCGTCCCAACAACGAAAGGCCCACTGCCGCCGGCGGAAGGGCTGCCGTTAGGCAGAGGCGACATCGGACCATTGTTGCGTCGGCTGTTGGGCCGCACATTGATGTTGATGGGCAGTCTGCTCTTCTGGTTGCCACCACTGCCACGCCGGCCCTCGTGGTAGCCAGGGACAGGAGAGTCGGGAGCGTTGAGGTAGTTGGCAGTTTGCATAACCTCCTCGAATCCCCAGCTGTTGTTGTAGTCGTACGACTGCGAGTACCCATGACCGTTGCCGCTGCGGCTGCCGCCCGAGACGTTGCTGCCAGTCGAACTGGCGCTGTCATCGCGATTGTGCGGGCGCAACAAGGCAATGTTGGACGCATCGCTCTCTCCACGCATGTGAGACCTCTCTCTGGCTCTAATACGCGCGGGCGCCGGTGCCGGCTCGGGCTCGACCTCCCGCTCCCGGTGGTAATCCGCAACGCTACCGTCTCTGCTGTGTCCAAGGACATAAGCCGCATTGGATTGGCTTGAATCACCACTGCCGTCTCTGGTGCGCGGACGAGAGCCTCCTGACCTAGCTGAGCTGGGACGTCCCAACAACGGCGTGTCCGGAGCAAGCATCTGACCAGAATTCCGAGGCGACTCGGTTGACATGTCCCAAAAGCTGCCCTTGCGGCTGAGCTGACGAGGCGGAGTGGGTGGCGGAAGAGGGCTCATGGGGCCCATGCCTGTAAGGCCAAGGCCACTTGGCATTGGCGGCATGGGTGGTGGGAGGCCATGCGTATTGAAATGAGAGCTCTGGCGGTGGACACTACTAGGCCGCGAGCGAGGGAACTCTGGCATGCGACGAGCATGGGGCGTGCTCGGTGTGAGCATAGATTGGTTGTCACAAGCCTTGATCAGCTCGTTGGCCATTTCGCGGACAAGAATAGCAGTGTCGTTCTCGGCAAGGCGCTTGATGGCGTCGTAAAGACCGTAGGTCTGTATGAGTGGAGCTCCACCACCAGATTCCTCAGTAGCATCGCAGATACTGCGGATGATGCGCAGCAAGTTCAGTCTGACGACGGGCTTCTTGGTGTACAACTTGTGTGCGGTACGCGAGAAGAGGTCTGGGTGCGCAAGCATTGCAGCGACAGGCGGCGAAAGGCGAAGAAGTTTTTGCAACGGCTCCAACAGGTTCTCGAAAGCGTCAAGAGAAGCGTCAGGGTTTGTGAAACAGTTGATGATGGCAGTAGAGAAAGCACCAGAGACGAGCGCTTGCTCGACCCGCGCAGTCTCCTCTTGCAGCCAGATGAAGATTGCATCCAGAGCAGTAACCTGCCAATACTTATCGGACAAGAGCGAGATGTAGAACTGCAGACCCTTGTTTTGCCAGAGAATCTTTCGCCCAACCTTGCCTGAGTGTGCCATATCGCAAAGAATTGGCAACGCAAACTCCTTGAGCGGCCACTCTGTCCGGACAATTGTCTGGAGCAGAGGAATGACACCGTTGAGAGCAGCGTCCTCCTGCCGTGGCTTACTCAATCTGCACAGGTTGTATAGGATACTCAATATCTGGTTTGACACTTCACGGAAGTGCGGGAGCTTCATGCTGGACTTGAGCAGATCTGTCAAGACCTCAATTGCATTGGAATTCTGCAACGCCTCATGGGTGGTGGTGAGCATGGACAAATTCTTGATGAACTTGAGCATGGTGATCTGGTTAGACGAACGCATCCGTTGTAGATCCTTGAGAACCCCTGTTGAAATTAGCCTACTGCGTTGCTCTTTGGGACTCACACAAGACTCACTCTTCAAAACCATCCGGTCAGCAACAAGTTCCTTCACGTGCGTCTCAGCCTGCGAGAACAGCATGAAGATACCAACAATACGCTCCTCAATAAGCTCAGCCACCTCACCATCCTCTTCCAAAACCTTGCTCAAGACAAGCGAAAGCGGATAGAGGACCGAGCTGCGGGAGAAGATGCGGCAGAAGTCGTTCTTTGGTGTCGGACCCTGAAGATTGAAGACGCTCCAAACGCCATTGACGCCAATAAGAACAAAGTCCCGCTCGTCTTCCAGATCTTCTTCCAAAAACTCTACAAGGACGTTCAGACCACCACAACCGACAAACATCTGCAGCGTGAGCGTCGAGGTCTGGTACATCTGCCGCACAAAGGCAGCAGCCTCTTGACGAATTTCTGACGAAAACTTCCTGTGGGCAAATAGGGTAATGATGGGGATACCACCAACGAAGCAGAGGTTTTCCTGTATCTCAACGTTCTCCATAATGATCTGCGCAATTTGTGAGTGCTTTGCACCGAACGATCAATACTAACAAGGACACTTACAATGTTGACAATCTTCAAAAGGTTGAGGATAATTTCTCTGCGGGGTAGGCTCTCAAGGATCTCCAAAATCGGTAGCATACCATGGGAGCTGATGATGACGTTCTTCAGATCAGGCGACTCAAGAAGGATTTGAAGGAGTTGATCGGAAATGTCGAACAGCACATCATCCGGCTGAGTGGACTTCAGAGAGCTGACCATGTTCTCGACCAGGTTGCACAGTCGCGCATGCCTGTCACGAGCAACATTGCTCTCTTGGTCCAGTTCATCAAATCCTTCCTCCAGTTGCGCGAACGGATCGTCTTCATCCTCTTCATCACCGAGCTAAAGTCCGTTAGTTTCGTTCACCAAATAAGAATTGGTCTGTTTGACTCACCCATGATCCACTGAGCTTCTGTCCGGCCATCCTCAATGTCCCCCTTTCGGAACCGCATTCGCTCTCAGTCTTTCTCATCAGCATCCTCGGCGCATCATTTACCGTACCAAAAACGTCCGAAAAGTCCTCCTCCTCGTTTTCTGCGTACTTGCTGATGGTAGCCTGGCTCTTCGATCTCTGGGTCATTGCATCTTTCTCCGCAGGATGATGAATCTCGCCAGAGAGAGGCCGACCGCCACGTAAGCTGCCACCCTTACCTTTTGAACCGTGCTGAGCGGAACGTGGAGGATTGGTCAAGTCGGAGGGATGGAAGAGGCGAGGGGAGTATTCGTTGTTGCTGTTGTTGCGGTCCTGTTCGTAATTGTGAGCAGATGGCGTACGGACTACTAGTTGCATTGATGCTGCTTTGGAATCTGGTTGAGCTACCTTGAGCGACTGGAGCTTCTTCTGAAAAGCATTATCGTCAGGAATGCCTAGGTCTGAATAATCTTCTACGCCATTTTCTTTGTAGGCAGAGGTAGGTCTTGGGAGCGGAGTAAGCCTTGGATGAGAGGTAGGCGCGCTGGTAGACAACGCAGATTTTGACAGGCCACGGAAGAATTGCGTCTTTGGTTGTGATGGCTGCCTTTGAGATGACATGTTTGGCAAGCTCGGCCTGCTGTTCGCCGTGTTATGTCCCGACTGTGGCCTGATTGTCTTGATCTCTTCCGACTCGTCCATCTCAATAGGTGACTTGACCCTCACATCGGTCGCCCAAAGATCCTCATTGCTACTTGGCGCCTCACTGACAGTATCGAAAGATGTTGCGTATAACTTCAGCTTCTCTGCCGAAAGCATCCCGGCAAAATTATCGTGAGGCCTGAGGTGAGGTAATTTCAGCGCGCTCTCGCTAATAGAAGAAGCAAAATCGTCGTCCCAATTATCGTCGTCCTCGCTTTCGGAAGATGCATAGATCTCGGTTACTTGGCGTGTTTTATCGACCCTAAGACTACTTGGCGGAGGCCCTGGCGCATGGATAGGCGGTGGGGGCTCCTTCCTTGATGGTATCGGACTATTCGACGTCGCCCGGGAGGCTTTTCGTAGGCGAAGGGATTCGGCCGTTGGCGACTTAAGTGCTTCGTTCCATTCCTGTACACTCTTGACAGCTTCGTCGTACTTTGTAGGCTTCGTGGGCACGACGGAGTCTGCTCTCCTCGCATTCATGATCCACGGATGCTTGAGAAGTTTCCTCGCGGATACTCTAAGGTTAGGGTCTTTCTGGAAGCATTGCATCAAGAAATCGCGTACAACCTGCGGAATTTATATTAGAATCAAGAGGGTCTTGTTCGTAAATCAGGACTGGGCTTACCGGTGATGCAGCTTCAGGAAGTGGGGGATGGTCATCGTTGACAATCCGGAAAAGCGCAGGCATAGGTTGAAGCTTATGGTACGGCGGCTTGCCCTCTAGCAACTCGATAACGGTACAGCCTAAACTCCAGATATCCGAGGCGGTAGTAGCTCCAGACAGCTCAATAACTTCGGGTGCCATCCAGTACGGCGTTCCTACAACTGCCGAATCATGCAATCCTGCGGTCTTAGTGGCAACACCAAAATCTGCCAGCTTGACCAAGCCTTCTTTAGTTGTGAGGATGTTGGCGCCCTTGATATCCCTATGGATAACACCCTGCTCGTGGAGGTATAGTAGACCATGTAGGACCTGAGACATGTATATGGCAACCAGGTTCTCCGGGAACTTGCCAAAGTTTTTACAGATCGAGTGCAGGGAGCCATTCTCGCAGTACTCCAGTATGATGTATAACGACTGCGCATCCTTGACGAAGCCGTGGTATTTGACAATGTTAGGGTGGTTGAGGTTCTTGAGAAGGTCGATCTCAAGCATGATAACGCGCAGCTCGTTCTTAGGCAGGTCCACGAGCTTCACTTGCTTGACGGCCACCGTTTCTCCCGTACCCCAATTGAGAGCGCGATATACCGAGCCGAATGCACCTTTGCCCAGGCAATCTCCTAGTTGCTAAAGCGCACAAAGTCTGTTAGCATGTTTCCCCTGCATGTGTGTCCTCGACCAATGGCATAGCAAGCCCAGTGTCAGGAGAGTGTAGCGACGCACATAATCCTGCAGCCCCGCAACGTCCTGCGCCGCCCTCTGCGCATGTCCATCCTTGCTCGGGGGTTTCTCTCGTTCAGCGCCTGCCGTAGCCGGGCGAGGGGTGCGGGCGTGGTGCGCGGCAGGCCCTGGGGTGCCTCTCGACTGATCCTGTTTTTCTGGGCGGGGCGTGCCCGCGTATTGTGCGCCGCGGCTCTGCGGCCTTCGGTTTCCATTTGCGTACTTGTCGGCCCCGTGGTGGGCGGGGAGGTGAGCGACCATGGTTGTCGCAGGGCTCGTTTCGCCGGAACCAGCAGCGGGCCGCTGCTCGTTACTTTTGCAAGAGGGTCGCAGCGGTTCGGTGCCCGACCGGTCAAGGCGTGCAGCGAAGGGGTGCGGAGGGAAGAAACGGAGGATTGGGCGCAATTAAGGGTCGGTCGTTAGATCGTTAGACGCGGCGACGGCGGCGGCGGCGGCGGCGGCGTTGATGGTGGCTCGGCGGCTGTCGTCGTGGGGTCGCGCTCGCGGCAGCCTCATGACACCCGTCCGGTCATGGACGTCACAGTCGTCTGGCACTGGCTGGACCCGGCGGGAACGAGAGTTGCCAGCGCGGGCGTCGTAAGGCGTCGTGGTCAGTGGTGGCTGTCGTCGTTCTTCAGGCCCAGCGCGGTCGTCACGGTGGCCCCAAGCCCAACACCCGGCTCCAATTGGGCGATAGGGCTGACTGCCGTAAGGATCGCCCTGCTCCGCTCGCTCGTCGCTCGCGAGCTGTCAGTTGGCCCGGCGGAAGGACCGATCGAGGGGAGCGTTTTGCGTCAACGCGATCGCGTTGTCGAGGGGGTTGTGCAGCTGCTCGACGACTCACAAAACATCAGGCACGCTGCGCACCTTGGCAACCGACCACACCAACATTCGCCGTGCTGGTGCCAACAAGAGCACATCACATTTTTAAGCATATCGCAGCCTCTGCCGATCAGACATGCCGCATCTGGCAACTCGCTCTGAGAGATCGTCCCAGTCTCCGGTCCAAGCACCATCACGTCAAAGACATGCGACATGGTGCTGAAAACCAACACACATGACGCGTTGGCTAACGAGCAATACTAGTTTACTCCCTCTCCTGCTTTTTGCTTTGTTCCTGCTTCTGTTCCTGGATTTCTCTACCAATAATCGTCTTCCGTGCCTGTCAGACCCAGCAAGGGCAACTCAGCCGCAAGGCTTGGACGTCACACGCCTAAACCCGCAAACCACCACTCTACAACAACTCGCTATCGAAGCTAAGCCCCAGGATTCACGCTTGCAACTTGACTTGGAGGCCCCTAAATCGCAAGGCAAGCAGCGATTGGGCTGAGATAGCAACTGCTAAAGGCACTTTTAAGCCAGTGCACCGGGCGGCTGTGTAAGCACGACTGCAGAAATAGAACTGCTGCCTACAAGCACTCAAAAAACCAACAAACCGAGCCTCAACAAACAAGGCCACGGGATCTAAAGTCAAAACCCAGACACACATTGTGTGCAAGAGCATGAGGATTGGGGGACACCGCTCCAGACAAGGACAGCACCAACTCGCGCCTCGATGGCCAGAGATCAGAGATGCGAAAGCCTCTCGCCACCGCTCCCACTCCCGCCATCCAATGTCCTCGCAGCAGCCGTCCACGTCCGCGCCGCAAATCCGAAGCAGAATGGGACCAACAGGCGACAGGCAGCGCGATCCCTGCCAGCAGCGCCGCCACGCCCGGCGGCAGTGCAGCGCGCAACAAGGAAGCGCCTCTCGCAGACAGCGCGCAAAGCCGAGTCGGCGGCAAAGCTATCGAATGAGGAGAGGCGTGGCCATCGAACGTGTGGAGGCGTGGCAATCGAACGGACGGGGATGCCGACATGGCGTAGGTACAGTACCTAGGCATGGAGCGGACGGAACCGGCAAACCCTGAAAAGCCAGCATGACATGACCGCAGACGTGGTATCCTGCCTAGACCGACCCCAGCCTCTCCATTGTCCTCGCACGCCCGCATACACGCGGAGCGAAGGTGCGGCTCTGCGGACGGGTTGCCACGACACAACACGACACGCGCGTGCGCGCCGCAGCAAGCAGCGCGGGTTGCCCGCCCAACGTGGCATGCAGCGAGCTTGTTAGTGCCGGGGCCACCGAGGCCACATGATGAAAAGCGAGCCCAGGTGTCCCCTGGCAGGATTCTCGGTCAGACAGAAAAAGGTACGCGGGTGGTGTGTAAGACCGTCCGGATCGAGCAATAGGCGGTGTGGGTCGGGTTGACGACACACGACGAGCGCTCGGTCCCGCGACCCGGAACCGCCGCACGGATCCCACCTTATCTCACGCCGGCCGCGATTCTGCAAGCAAGCAAGCCTGCAGCTATTTTTTCACATATTGCCATTGCACGTCCCTATCTCTAGCTTCCGTCAGGGTCGTAGATCAATTGCTCATATCCCAGAAAGAAAAAACAACCATGAGTCGTAGGTCCCGACGGCGTCTGCCGCTCGCTGCTCGCTCAACCAATCGAGGCCCTTTTATTTACAGTTCTGCTCCTTCGTCCTTTTTTCTCTCTCTATCGGCCACTCACGACGTTAAGCACGCCACCGTCCACGACAAGAATCTCGCCGTTGACGTACGAGTTCTTGGTCAGGAAGAGGACTGCTTGCGCCATCTCTTCGTCATGACCGCCGCGCTGTGCCGGCACGTGGCCCTTCTCCTGCACCTTTTCGTCGGGAAGCTCGCTCTTCTGGTCAGGCCCGGACGATTTCGCCGTCATTTCTGAAGGGAAGTAGCCCTAAATTCAGTGGGTCAGTTTATCGTTTCGATGCAGCGCGTGACTTTTTTGCCTCCGAGGTATCGGCCTCGGATGAGCACAAAGGCCGAAAACGGTCCTATTGTGCTATTTCCGGAGGCTGGGTTTTTGGTTATATAACTATCAGATAGTGGACTTACTGGTGCTATGGAGTTGACCCGGATCCTCGCCTTCTGGAATTCTGCGCTCATGAGCTTGCTGAGGTGCACCGTCGCGCCCTTGGCAGCGTTGTAGGAAAAGTGGCCCTGGGCATGGCGCATGATGCCGCTCATGGAGGAGATGACGATGACAGACGCGGCCAAATGACCGTGTTTCTCGGTGCCGGCCTGCAGCAATGGAAGGAAGGCGACAGTGGTGAAGTAGACGGCCGTGACGTCAGTGTTGTACGTCTCGTTCCAGACCTCAAAGGTCTCCTCGTTCCAGAGCTTGGCCTTCAGATCCGTTGCCTTCTCCGCCTCGGGCTCGGCCTTGGTGCCAGAGATGCCGGCTGCGCAGACTATAGACGATGATGTCAGTCTGCGGCGTTTTGTACTACTGCTGCTGCTACTGCTAATGATGACGGAATCGAGGGGCGAATCAGGGTTTCCGTACTCAGCAAGTTGATGTGCTTCTCCTTGGAAGCAATCTCATCGTAAAGCTTAGCAATATCGTCCTTCTTGGTGACATCACAAGGGCCGATGCTGGATAGGAACGTCTTATTAGCAACTTGTACTCGTATTCTCTGGCCAGCACACCTTGCAGTACAGCAGCAGCAGGGACTCACGGGATGATCTGGCCCTCAATGCCCTTCGAGTGCGTCTCGGCGGCATTCTTCAACGCCTCCATCCGCCGTCCGGTGATGTAGACCTTGGCACCTGCAGCACGTAGCCGTCAGTCAACCAGCGCGTCGCACACGCCGTGCACCACCCCGCCTTGCCTGAACGAACGTACCGTTTGCTGCCAGCGCCTGCGCGGCCATTAACCCGATCCCTGTGCCGCCGCCCGTGATGACGCAGACGTAGTCCTTAACAGAGAAGAGGCGCTCGACGCGCAGGTCGTGGGTAGAAGCCATGATCGCGGGGAAGTAGGTAGGTGAGGTAGGTCGTAGGAGAGGGCGTTTCAAGTCTTTACAATCCCAACGTCTGCGCAACTGAAGCCGAGCGTAGAGTAGAGACGAAAAAAAGTAGATAGGTACGGTGGTGAGGCTGGTAGGTGTTAGGAGGTAAAGTTCAGGGAATTTGAAGCAGGAAAGCAGGAGCAGAGCACGCGGCCGCGAGCAGGCGCCCTCGAGCCCTTTTCTACCCACCCCTTGCCCCCGCCGCAGATCCAATGACGGTGTCGCTGTCAATCAATGGAACCCGGGCGCCTGCTACCGCTCGTGACGTCAAGAGTCCAGATCATGCCCTTGCCGCCTCACCGCCCTCGCTTGCTCCCGGCGCCCGTGTGTCGATCACTACCTACCGGCCTGCCAGGCTGCCCTCAACTAGGTACATGTTGAGTAAAATCTACGATATCTATAGAGTACCCCTTAGGTAGTTATAATTAGACTATTATACTACGGTTATTAGGCACCATATAACTATACAAAATCAGAAAGATATAAGGTACTATAGTACTTAAAAAGATATAACGGTAAAAATATGTACAAGTCCTAGAGAATACTATAAGGGTACATTCAAAGGGTTTAAACGTACTTATAAAGTTTTTACAAGTATATCATCATGTGGGGTGGCAAATTATCTGGGGTCGTGGTTTCATGTGCTGGCTTTCTGCTTCAATCAAATCGATTGGTTCCGCAGAATGAAGTCTGCGAGATCATAACTTTTTGATGCCTATAACGCGGCTATCCTATCGTCTAAAAATCTACCTTAGGTTGTGCCCATATCCAGATCCGTTGACATCGTAGCTTCGTTTACAACTCCAGCGCCTTTTGCGCCATCTTCAGTGCGCCGTCGTACGTCTTGTTTCCGCCAATGAACCCGCTGGCGTGGATGAAGACACCGCCGGGGATGCCCGAGACCTGGTCCAAGGCCTCGTCCCTCATGCCCTTCCAAGCATCGGGCAGGTCCTTCCTGTTCGTGAAGCCGGCGCCCTCAACGCTGACCGAACGGATACGCCACTTGCTGTCCGGCTCGTCGTTCTCCGGGAACAGCACGTACAGGACCTGGTTCTCTGCCGCGGTGTTGCTCTCGGCCTCGAGAGTGTACAGGTGGTCCATCCAGGGCATGCCGGTCTTCAGCACCATGATGCGGCCCTTGGGGTCGTACTGCTTGCGCTCGTCGAAGGCACCCTTGACCAGAGTGCGCGCCGGCAGCCAGCTGCGGTGCTTGTCCGTGAGCTCGAGGATGAACTGCTCGCCGACAAAGCCCGAAGCCTTGAGGAAGCGCTCGTCTTCCTCCGACTGCAGTTGCTCCTTGGTCTTGGTCGCATCGGCTTCCTTGTCGAAGTTGAAGTTGTAGCGGTTGACGACGCTCGCGATGCTGAAGCCGCGGTTCTCGAAGCGCTTCTCGTATCCAGCCTCCTTGAGGGCAGCGTGGTCGTAGGTAGAGACACCGTTGTCGTTGGCGTCAAAGGCCTCGATTATGTTGTCGTACAGCTTCTGGTAGAGAATCTCGGCATCCTCACTGTCGATGGCGAGGCCAGTCTGTTGCGCGATGATCTCCTTGCCAAAGTGCTTGTAGACCAGGCCGGCGGAAGAGAGCTTGGTCGCGCTGCGGCCGGGGAAGAATTCGTTGAACTCGCGCTGGTGGTGGTCGTAGCGGTTCTTGGCGTCGTCGTAAACGCCGCCAACGTCGACGACGGTGTGGCAGGTCTCGAGGAGGGCAGGGTCGCGGGTGCGGATCAACGGGCTCGAGGCATAGCGGGGAAGGGTGCGGAGCAGGTAGACGGCAAGGGCCTCATCGGCATGAAAGTGGCCGCTGAGCAGCAGCAGCAAGTCAATATGGTGGTGGTAAATTGCAGGACGGGAACTGACTTGTGGGTGCCAATGGCGTTGCCGGACATTTTGAGGCGCTTTGCCTGGGGTTCTTGAGACATGCGAAGAAGGGCAGAGAGGCGGGGGGAAGCAAAGGCAGGGCGCGCGAGAGTGGCAGAGAGCATATGCAGCAGCGAAAAGCTGACGAAAGGCTAAAGGCGCAAAGCTGAGTGGTAGCAAGCTGGCGGGCGTCGGGCCGTTTCAGGTCGCAGCCACTGTTTCAAGGCTTGGCAAAGCGGCGGTGCTGTGGCTGGCTGGAGCTGGCGTGCTGAAGTCATATCGCTCATGGCAAAGCAGGAAACCTGGCTTTCTGCACGAGGCCCTTGCCCTCATCTTCCTGCCTCTCGACCCTCTCAACCCTCCCCGCGTGGCCTCTCTCGTTGGTCTATCGCATCTGCATCTTGTTGTGGATCGTCCGCATCCCGGTCAAAAAAGCACGCGACAACCCACCCACTGACCACAAGTTCCAGCTCATCGCACCCTGAAGGACAACGAAGCCTTGCTTTCTGCCCGCCATCCCCCGTCTCCTCCTGTCTCCTGAACCCCTCAAGGCCCTCGCACAGGCGTGTTCATCGGCCAGCAGACGCCAGCAGACGCCAGCAGACGCCAACAAGCTTCTTGCACGTGAAGACGCTTCGACTCTCGCCAAGAGCGGCAGCCACGAGCCAGGACCTCTCCTCCGCCGAGCTGCTCCGCCGCTCCATAGCCCGACCTCAGGCTCCTCTCGTCCAACTTTCACGCGCTCCCCCGCGCGTCGCTACGGCGCGCAACCACCCCGTACCCCGCTGAGCCCGCCGTCCAGCGAACTCGGCGCCCGTCGCGCCCATGTGGTTTCTGCGAGTCGTGTCCTCGCTGCTCTTCCTCTTCGCCATAATCTTCACCATCCCGCTCGCCTTCGATGTCGGCGGTCGCACCTGCGGACTCGCTTTCTCCCTCTCCCTGTCCAGCTTCTACTTCTTCGACTCGGCCCTCCGCCTAGCAACCCCCGAAGATTCCCGCTTCCGCGGCGCCCTAATCAAGACCGTTGCTTTTTCGCAATGGCTCGTTATCCCCACGTTGCTGATCTGGAGCTTGAACAAGTTCTCGGTGGATTCGGACAACACCAGCGGCTGGGTGGAGAGGACCTTTGACGGGAAACGGGCTGAGTTTACGTCAATCAGCGATTGGCTGTTTGGCAGGGAGGGTCTGGCCGAGACACTGTCCATTGGTGGATGGGACAAGATTCTGCGCTGGTCTACGCCTGTTTTCCAGGTTGGCGAAGGCTTCTGTAGCTTGCTTGTCATTCAGGCTTTTGGCCAGATCTCGCGATGGCTAGTCAACAGGGAGAGAGGCGACAGCTGGATGGTGAGATATTTCGGACTACATCAATTTACGAACAGAGAAGCTAACAGGTGCCAGATTGGTTTGCTCGTGGTTTCGGCCTCGACCATTTCCAGCGCTGCCTATTTCCTTTGGAGAATCACGACGTTCCCTGAGGTCAGCAACGTGGACGCGATCCTGATCGGATCAGCAATCACCTGTGCTATCTTCCTTTGCTCCTGGGGTATCGGAAGCGGACGTGGAAATCCCATTGAAAGCTCCTTGCTTGTAAGCAACCCATGGCACTACATGCGCAGTGAAATCTTGTGACTAACGGATGTTCGCAGTTTGCCTACGTCACGCTCTGCATCTACCAAATATTCACGGACTACCAGCCCTCGCAGCCCCTTGAGGCCGCTGATCCCTTGGCTCAGCCAGCGCTACCGCCGCTTCCCCCCATTCTCATGGCGTCGTACACCACTCTGATGCATGCCCTCTCCACGCTTCCGACGACCATTCATTCGGCTTTCAGCTTCATCGTTGCTGCAATTATGACCATCACGCCCTCTGTCATCATATCCCTCGCCTACCGCGTCTTCGTCATGTATGCCGCAGCGCGCATTATTCCCGCCGTTCGTGAATCCGGTGCTCGCGCGCTCACGCAAGATCCCAGTCTGGATGACGATGACGAGGCCGGCCGCGTGTTGGGATTCCTTAGCTGGTTCTCCCCGAGCATACTCATCGCGGTTTACACGAGCCTGCTCATGCAACATTTCGCGAGCTCGAGCGTGAGCGGCGATGCGGCTGGCGAGTGGTGGCGTAGTCAAGGCGGCGACGCTGGCGGGAATCTGTGGAGATGGATCAATTTGGCGGCAACAATGGCATTGTATGCGGTCGAGCTTCATCTGGGAAGAGCGGACGACGATGGCAGACTGACAAGCCATTGGAAGTCGGATTGAGGCGACGTCTGAAAAATTCTGGAAGAGAGGACTCGTTGGAATTCGCGACAAGAGCGATCCAAGGACTTGCTTGTTGGGCACGCAGGTTGGGCCCACACCCCTTTCTCCATTGGAGTTCATCAAACGCCCCGGCGCGGACTCTGGATCTCGTTATTGTGGATACTAGGCCGCCGACCAAATCACGATCGATTATCTCGCACATGCGGACATAACAACCCCCCCTTCTACTTCGCCCCTCCACTCCACAGCACCGCCGACATGTACATCCTGGACATCAGCCTCTCACGCGCGCGGGCCTGGTCCCTTGCCTCGAGATGCGCAACGCACCCACCCTAAGTAGCAGAACTTCACGCACGGCAGTCAAGAGGGCGCGCTCGACGCTCGCCTGCGCATGATTACCCTCAACCAGACACAACCGACCGGACAAGTCCGCCGCCACCGCCGCCGATAATGAAGATGAAGATGCAGTAGGGACACAAAAACAGTTATTATTAGCGAGACGAGGCGGAAACGGGGGATTCAACAGGGGATGGATGGGGGTGGAGGGAGAGCGCGAGGTACTACACTAGGCACTGCATTAGGCACTGGCTGGCTGGCTGGCTGGCTGACCAACAACACAACACAACAACACAATACAATACAACACCACGGAGGGAGGGGGCGGGCAAACACACTACTTGCGGTTTTTGACCAAATCCATTTCTGTAGATATCCCAGCGCTTTTTTCGTTATGCTTGCTTTGAATTGAATTGAATTGATTTTGCTTTTGCGCTTGTCGTGCCGAGTGAGTGAGTAGATTTGTTTTATTTTATTTTTATTTGCTTTATTTGTTTATTTATTTTGGTGGCGATGCTTGTTCGTCTCTTGACCTGACCTGACCTGACCGTTTTCCTTTATCATCTTTTCCTTGTTTTCCTTTTTCTTTGCCCTACTCTGCTCTAATCTGCTCTGCTCTGCTCTTCTTTGTCCGACCATGCTATGCTCTACTCGTCTATGCTGCTGTGCGTGCTTACGCACGGCATAGCGCATCTAGCACAAACAACGGGGAATTTTCATCTTATCTTGACACAGACAGGCGGACAGGCAGACAGGTACACATAAGAGGATATGGAAGTCGTCATTTTCTGGTTTGTTTGGTGTGTGTGGTGTTGATAGATTGGCTTATTTAGGTACTTGGCTACCTAGGTAGCTAGCTAGCTACTTACTTGGTGTTGGTGCTGTGGCTGTTGCTATGGTTGCTGGTGCTTGAGATGGTGCTGTGGTTGATGCTATGGCTGTGGCTGTGGCTGTGCCTACTGGGGATGGCAGCTGGTGCTGGAGCTGGAGCTGCGCGCTGTGGTAATGTTGTAACGCGCTACCTTAGTGTACGGTGGAAGTGGTAGAGACAGAATCTGTCTGTCTGGCCGGTAGCTTGGGTGTGGGTGTGGGCGTGTTGTTGTCGCTTTTTCTTTCTTTCTTTCTTTCTTTCTTTCTTTTTTCTTTCTTTCTTTTGTTTGTTTGTTCTTTCGTTCTTCCGTTCGTTCGTTTTTTCTCTCTGTCGCCAAGAGAGTCAATGTGATGGTGATTGGGAGCGGTGTGGGGAAGGGTGAGGAATGTCTGTGTGTGAAAGTGTGTGAGTGTGTATAGGTGGGTGCCGTGTGGTCGTCGTCCTGCCGCCGGATAGATGGATGGATCGAAGACGGGACTGGACCCAGTCCTATCCTATCCTACTCTATCCAACCTGGCCTGGCGGTTTAACCCCCTCCATAGGTAGCCAGCTAGGTACATAGGGTACCGGTGCCTAGGCCGCGCTCTCGCCATGCCATGGCATCGCAGCGCAGTATCGACATCCGTCTGCATCTCCATGCATGCCTTAGGTACCTTACTGTAGGTATCTTGCGCCGCGCAGCCTTGAGGCACTCAACGGCTTGCTGGCTTGCTGGCTTGCGCGGGTCGTTCGCAGCACGCCCACCGCTGTCGGCGCAGTGACTGAGTGGCTGAACACACACCTCCCTATACAGTGCAATGTGCACCCATCATCCATCATCCATCCATCGTCCATGCACTAGGTAGGTGACGAACCTCTTTATCCTCCACTCCCCCACCTCACTCCCCTCGTTTCGTGCCTTCTTCCCTTCCTAACACACTTCGCTAGTATTCGCAAGCACCAATACCAATCATCTTGCACCCACCTGCACGGATCTACCGCCGCAATTGCTGCCGCTGCTGATGTTGCTGATGCAGTCCCGTCTCCGTCTCCTCGTCCGAAAAGCTCATGACGTCGTCGGGCGAGGGCGTGTCGGGGAGGAGTTCCCAGTCGTTGAGGCGCTCGTGGTCGTGTTTGCGTTCGCGTGGGGGGTTGGGGTTGGATGGGAAGGAAGTGCTGCTGCTGGCAGCAGAGGAGGATACGCGGGGCACGATGTCGGCGTCGGTATCGCTATCCTCTCCCTCTTCCCACTCCTCCTCTTCCTCCTTCGTCGTCATCGCCTCCTTCATATCCCTCTTCTCCCGCTTCTTCCACCACGGCAACGGCAGCTTAGCCACCAGCCCCGTCGAAGCGGCCAGCGCTTTCCCCTCCCGCACAATAGCAGCGCCGTAGCCTTTGGCGCGGTGGTGTAGCCCTGTCCCTTCCTCTTCAGTCCCTCCAGCCACCCCAACATTCCCAACCACACCAGCAGCACCAACCTTACCAGCAACAACCACGCCCGCAACACCAGCAACGCCCGCGGCACCAACGGCGCCTACGGCACCCACAACACCGCGCACGCCCCTCACCCTCTCAAGCAGCACGCACACGCACACCCCACCCTCAGCTCCCACAGGCAGCGACAGGCCCAAGCCGCGCGCAGCAGCGAGCAGGCGCGTCTGCAGCGCTGGCGCGTGCGGGCACTCGTGGGGTGGGTGCGTGGGGAGAGGGGAGCGTGAGGCGGACAGGGGCGTGTAGTCGTAGGTTGGGGAGGTGGGGGTCGTGCGCTTGGGGGTTGGGGTTGGGGGGAGGGGGTAGCTTTGGGGTGTGCTGTGGGGGTGGTGGTAGGGGTTGTTGGGGTGGGTGATGTGGGTTTGGGTGGGGTTTTGGGGAGTGATGGTGGCGGTGTCGTCGAGACATGATGTGAAGGAGGTGGTTGAGCTGGAGGGGGAGCTGGAGACGGAGTCGTGGTGATTGTTGTTGTGGCTGGGAGTGGGGTGCGCCATGGTTGGTGATGTTGAATGCGGACGCAGTGTCTGCTCTGCTCTTCTTTGCTCTCGTCTGGTGAAAGGCGTAGGTGTAAGCGTAGGCGTAGGTCCAGACAGCGTCAGTGTCTGCGTCTACAAGACGAGACGCCTGAGCGAGTTGGTGTTGGTAGTGTTTGTTGTGGTGTCGTGTTGTGCTGGACACTTTCTATTCGTCCGTCCATTCAGCTGTCTATTACCAAAACAGCTGGAACAGCTGCCTGTTGCTGGAACGGCTAGGACGGCTGGCACTGGCTCTGTCTGCGTTGACGTTGACGTTGACGTGCGCGCGTGCGATTCGAGCGTGTTGTGTTTGGATGGGTTTGTTCGTTTGGTTGTTGTTGTTGTTGTTGTATTGGTTGTGGTATTGTTGTATAGTGTCTACTCACTCACGCAGGTACGCGACCCAGCTGAAGTGAGTGAGTAGTAAGTGATTGGTGAGCGAACGAGCGAGTGGGTTGATAACTTGATGCGCTTCAGTGAAGCGGTAGATAGTGATACGGGCCGTGTGCGTGCACGCGCGGATGTGAGCGTAAAGCCGCCTTCGCCTCTACTGCTACCGTTGTGCGTGGTGTATGCTTAGTTACTTAATCGAGTGACCCGTCGTAGGTATAGTCGTGGGTGGTGTAGCCAAAGCCAGCAAGAGCCAGAGCCAGCCAGTGTGAGACAGGAAACTTGCACAAAGAAGAAGGAGGAGGAGGAAAAGGAAGCAAAGCAAAACAAAAGCTCATCCGTCCGTTATATATAAGGGTGTGAAGTGGGTGGAGTGGGCAGATGTGGGATTTGTCTGCCTGCCCTGCCCGCCTCACTTCCCACCCACTCCTCACTCACACTTCCTCACACCCACACACCTACACCCGCACGCTCAAGCCGTCTCATGACATGACACCGGACAGCCGGTACAGCACAGCAACAACAACAGCAACAGCAACGTGGACGACGGCGTGGACGTGGACGTAGACGTAGACGTGTTTACCCAAGCACAGCAGAGCACAGCAGAGCACAGCAGAGCACAGCGAGCCGAACCACGGTACTACGGAACCAGCTAGGTACCAGTCACCAGCGCCGGGAGCCGGGATGTAAAGCTGTAAGGCTAAGACATCCGGACGTGTATTGTACATATACACAAATACAAACGCATACGCATATAAATATCCCGCGCTATATTTATTTATCTCTATTTTCTATCTTTTATTTATTTATTTTTTTAAAAAAAAATCTAGTCTATAATAACTACTCTACTCTAGCCTAGAATAGGATAGAATAAGATAGGATTAAAATACTCTACTATAAACTCCTCTTCCCCCCTCCTCCCTCTCCCTCTCCTCCTACCCTAAAACCCCATCTATCTAACTAGGTAGTTAACTAAACACCTACGCATAAGCGGTTAAGATACTAGCACTAGCTGGCGTAAAAGTAGTACGTGTAGTAGAACAAGTTAATGAACGAACTACCTAAAGCCTAAAGGACATCTAGCTAGCTAGCTACCCAACAGCGACAGCGACAGACAATCCACCAACCAATCAGCCAACTACTTAACAGCGCCAAACAGACAACCAAACAAACAGACAGCCGAACTAACCAACTAACCAACCCCGGCTAAACCAAACCAAACTAACCCATACAAAACAAATCCCACGCCTCGCATCCAAACAAACAATCCCAATCCAATCCAGTCCAGTCTGCTATTTTGTTGTATACCCATCCACTTGCGCACCAGCGTTTAAACTCCCATCTCGCATCTCCGCTCCTCACTTTCACACCAACTCCACACCATCACACCAACCCAACCAGCCCAACCCACTACCACACGCCCTCAAACCCAAATCCAAACCCCTCAACAACACTCTCAAACCCCATCCTCCCACTCGCATTCCCCTCCCCCATACCCCCATTCGCATTCGCATTCCCTCTCGCTTTCGCCTTCGCACTCCATTCCCGCGCCCTCTCCGCCCCCCTCAACATCTCCTGCACGCCCGCAAACCTCCTCTGCGCCTCCAGACTCGCCGGCCCATCAAAGCTAATCAGCCTTACACAGCACAACAGCGCGACCATAGCGAGGCCCTTACGCGAAAGCGCGCGGCGGTAGCGCTCAGCAGGCGATTCGGCGGGCAGGCCCGCTGCCGCGGCCGCCGAGGCGCGGAGCGTCGTTGTTGCTGTGGGGAGGGCGTTGGCGTGGCGGTTTTGGGCGTGCGCGGGGTTTTGGGGCGGGGGTTGGAAGTGGTTTGCGCTTTGGTTTGCGGTAGAATTTGAGGGGGATGGGTGTGTTAGGAAGGGCGACGTGTGCGTTGTTGTTGATGATGAGGCCGAGGGTGATGCGTGGAACGTAGGCGGCGAGACGGCGGACCCGGGGAAGAATGTCGGTGGTGGTGAGGTGGTGTGCGCGCCCGGCGAGGCGGCGTACGTCGTGCTGCCGGGCGAGGCGTCGGACGACGAGGGCGAGGCGGACGAGAGCTGCGGCGACGGGAATGAAGCCGTCGACAGCGTCGATGCCGTGCTGACAGGGGAGGCGACAGCGGCAGCGGCAGCCGCAGCAGCAGAAGCCGTAGCCGTGGCCGTCGGCGCCGGCGCGTCTTCCAGCTGGCGGGCCGCGTACGAGGGGTCGCGCGCCGCGGTCGTGGCCACCAGCGTGATCCACAGCAGCACGCCGATGAGCGGGCCCGCGGCCAGCTCCAGCAAGTCCAGCTTCTGCAGCGCAGCTAGAATGGCCACGGATGGGTGTGTTGGCGGGTCGGCACTCCCGTCGGCGCGGCCGAGTCGCCGTCCTGCCGTCGAGAAGGGGACGCGGGCAGCAATGGCAAACGAGTAGAGCACAGCGGCGTGCTGACAGGCGGCGTGCAGGAGGTGGTGGGTACGGGGCGCGGGAGAGTCAGGCGACATGTGGGCCTGGCGGGCGCGGTGGTGGGCAGCCCATGCGGCAGCAGAGGCGATGGTGTCATTGGGCGCAGCGGTAAGGAACAGGTCGGTAAGGGCGCGCATGTCGGCAAGGAGGGCCAGCGTCTCGGGAGCGCAGTGGGCGCGCAATGACATGAAGGCTTGGGCGCCGGGACGGCAACACAGCGGCGACTCGGGCATGCGTTGGGGCGTGGGCGTGGGCGTGGCGGGCTGGACTTGGTTGTTCTGGTTGTCTTGGTTTTCCTGGTACTGGAAGGCGCGGAAGACGGGTGGTGGCTGCCCCTCTCGCACGGCGGCGGCCAGGTGCGTGACACTGCAGCCGGCGCTGGCAATGACACCCTCGGCACCCAGAGCGGCCAGGCTGCCACCACGCGCCTCCACAATGCGCTCCAGCCCGTTCTCGTACACCTTGATCGTGCTCTCGTCGCCCAGCACCAGCTCGGCGGCCAGCAGCAGTGTGCTCGTAATAAACAGCCCGTCGCTGGCCGCCCGCCCCGGGTCTGCCGCAAAGTCCTGGTGCACGCACCGGAACACCTCCTCTTTGATCTGCCGCGTACGTTGGCTCTCGCCCACCAGCCCGTCCAGGATGTCAGCGTACGTGCTCTTCACGTGCGCCGTGCTCAGCCACGCCTGCTTGCACCCGTCCATGGCCGGGAAGTAGCGCGTCTGCAGCACCTCGGTCATCAGGTACGGGTCGAAGCGCTGCTTCAGCTCCCAGATGCTGACCCGCGGGTTCTCAAAGTCCGGGAAGCTGCCCAGCGGGTCCACGCCGCGCCCCAGCTTGCGCTGAGGGTCTTTGAAGATGGAGCTCCCGCGGCTGGTCCGCGCCCGGCCCCGCGGCTTGGCCAGTCGTCGTCGTAGCTTCTCGAGGGCCACGTCGGCATCGGCAGCCGTGATCGTGTCATCAGCTTTGGCATCGTCGGCGTTGGCTTTTTTGTTGGCGTCATCATCGTCGTCGTCAGGCTGGGAGACGGCGGGTCGTTTGCGGCGGCGCTTAGGGGCGGGAGGATTCCCGTTAGCGACGAGTTCGCTGGATGGGGCTTGGGCCTGGCGAAGGACCTGGGCGCGGCCGGCCGACTGACGTCTGGAGGGGGCTTCTGACTGTTGGCGCTGCTCCTTCTGCCTCACGCTCAGCATAGCATGCGAGCGGATGCACTTGAGGAAGCGCTCATTCTTGAACTGGGCGGGATTGTCGGTGGTGAGGAAGTGAAAGCCAGACATGGATGGTCGGGGAGCGGGCGGTGCTACGATACGTGGAGGGGGGGTTGCTTGGGGCGGGAAGGAGGAACATCAGCTTATGGGCGAGTCGAGCCAAGCTCCCCCGCGAAGGATGATCAAGCTTGCATGCACGCCGGCCCGCCTGCGCTGACGTGGTTCGATGGGCGACATCTTCAACGGGCGCCTTTAATCTCTGGACGATCATGGGCCCCAACGGGACAGGCGGGAGATGAGCATGTGTTCACGACAAAAAACTTCTCGTATGTGTGGGCGAATCGACCTGTCGCACATGCCGATCACAGGCGCAGCAGGCAGCAGGAAAGGAAGGAGCCAAGAGAGAAAGGCAGCCCGAGGCGCGCCGCGTCCCGGCCGGCCGATCTTTGATCCCGCCTCTCAGTGTTTACCGGAGACAGCTAGACTCCCCGCCCGCCGCACAGCCGTGTCCGTGGGAGCGGGAAGGCGCCGTGCGTCCCGCCAACGCCTGGCGCACGTGACGGCCCGTGGTTGTGGCTGCTTTTTTTCAAAGCTTTGCAAAATGGACTCTTCTCTCGCTTCTCTGCCGACGGGGGCCCCTGTCTAGTGCTGCGTTACTTGCGTTACTCGGCATCGCTGAGCTCCACGTCCTCGGCCTCGCTTCCTAGCTCGGCGGCTACGAGATTCGCGTCCTCTGCTCCTGACCCTCCCTCCTCCTCATCCTCGTCGTCCTCGCTCTCCTCCTCGCTGCTTGACCCACTGCCCTCGCTCTCCCCTTCGGAACCGGGGTCGTAGTCCTCTTCGTCCTCGTCCTCCTCGTCCTCCAGCATGCGCTCCGCCTTTTGCAGCTCCGTCTCCCCATCCTCCTCATCTGCCTCCACTCCCTCGGCTCCACCTGCGCCTTCTTGCCCGTTGACGTTATACTTCTGCGCGCGCCGCTGCGCCGCCATCGACGCGTCGTTGAGTCCGTGCGTACGCACGTACTCGTCGATGCCACCGTAGTCGGCCTGGTCCAGCATCGAGAACTCTATCTCTTGCACCTTCTGCTCGGGCTCGGCCGCCGCCGTCGTGACGTTGAGGTTGAACGTGCGCTGCAGCACCGACGTGTACGATATAGACTCGATGGCTGCAAACGAAAAGTACAGCAGCGGCTTCTTGAAGCCGAAGATGATGCCCACGTTCGTGAAAAAGAGGTAGCCTGCCCTGGTCAGCTCTGCGTGTGTGGAGCCCATCGCCCGTTCAAGCGGTGTTATGCTTGGCAATACTCACCCTCCTTGCTCCCCCGATGCGCCTTGACGTGAAAGCCCGGCTCGCCCTTGCGATGGCTCTGCGGGATGGCACTTTGAAACTCCTCTTTTGTGGGGAACACAATGCTCTTCCGATGCGGTTTCAAGCAAGCGTTCAACCGCTCGACCAGAGGCTCGTACGTAGCCTGCGCGCCCTTCTCGACTTCCTTGGCGGTAGGCTCCTGGAACGTCCACACTATCTGCTCGTGCTGCGGGGCACCCTCCGCCGCGGCAGTCAGTCCGTCATTCGTCCGCGGAACGACGACGAAGCTCCACTGACGCTTGGCCTTTTCGGGGACGGGGAGACAGAAGATTTGTTCTGCGCACGAGACCGTTAGCGCTTCCGGGTCGCATCATGGGAGACGCCAGCGTGCGGTGCGTGCCATGCGTGATATGCCCTTACCAATATCTGCAAACCCAATGCCAAACTCGACGGCTCCCTGGCCCGCGGTCCGGGCCCGCAGCCCGTCCGCCATGATCTCCAGCGCAAACTTCTTGCGCTGCGGCACCGCGAAGCTGGTGTCCGGTACGACGTAATCGGCCGAGACGCCAGCGTCTGCCCATGCTCCGTTATTCGTCGCCCCATTATGTGCTGCATTCGTGGTTTCGCCGCCCTCAATTTTGCGCTTCTTTGATGCTGGCTCCGTGTTGCTGGCTGCGGTGCCGTTGCTGCCGTGCTGCGCGTTGCGGAGTTTGAGAATGTACGCCGAGAGGTCTGAGAATAGTGGCTGCTGCGCTGGGTCTTCCTCTGCGCGACGATTACAATGCTGCTCTTCCAAGCACGAGCGGCGGAGACTTACCAATGGCGCTGTAAACTCTCTTTTTGAGCTCCGGCACGTCGACCAACGCATCATCGATCGCTGGGACACTTGGAGGCGCCTTGCTCTCCGGCGCGCTAGCCGTAGGCCGCGATGGCAGGTTCGCAGCTGTAAACGCGGACATGGCGTGGCGGTGGTGGTGTTGAAGCTGTTGATTGCGCTTGTGGGCGCCGTACTGCGGCGTTGCGTGGGTCAGGGCGCGGGCGAAAGCGAGCCGCCGGGGAAGCGACCCGCGGCCTGGTGCAAGCCTATCCCAACCTCAGACGACTGGGCAATCACCATACAGTCGAAATTGATCACAACGGTTGAGCTTGACAGCAGGCTCAGACCGTCAAAAAGACGTTTGCTATTCAATTCTTTTTTAGCTTTGACTGTCTAAGGCTCGTTCTATAGGTAACAATCGAAGCGCGCGAAAGGTTATGCAAACCCTCGCCGGACATACCGATGAATCAACTCCTATTAAACAGCCGGATGCTGCTGACCAGCTCAAGCATTGCGACCAACCTTGACTGTACTGTAATCGAGGCACGCCAGCACCACGAAATTCTCGCTGTTATTGAGTGAGATTCTTCCATTCGAGTATCTACTAGCTTTCCATTTTGCAAACCGCTATCCACAAGGTTCGGTAGCTATTGAGTAGTAACTGAGCAACCCACACTTGGAACCCCCCAAAGTCTACCTTGATGGAACCAATAGGACGATAGAATCTCATAATGGACCAGAAGCTTGGTAGGCCAAGCAGTACGGGTTCTGAAAAGAAGTGAAAGAAACATTCAGGTCGTTATGCAAAGAGCCGAGGTACATGATGCTAAAGCATGCCGAAAGTTGCTGTGCTTCGAGAAGGATCTTTGTAGCCGAAAACCTTGCTTAGTTTTCCTTTTTGAGAGCGTACTTGGATCCGGCAAGGCCAGTCTTCCGCACCGCCTCCATGAAAGCCTCAGGAGAAGCAAGTCTGCTAGCGAGAGTGCGTCTCTCAGAAGTCGGCGGCGTCTGCTCGCGGTTCACCGGCGGATAAGTGGGTGGGCCGATAGGGCGGAACGGAGACAGCTCGCGAAGAGGCTTGACTTTGTCGCGGTTGTAGGTGCGGGAACGGCTGTTGGTATGGTCGGCAGCACGGTCAAGAGGAGTGTAGCTAGAGGATGAGTGACCATTTCCACGGATGTTAGCGTTGCCACGGGTGTTGGCGTTGCCACGAGCGTTAGCATTGCCACGAGAGTTGGCATTGCCACGGGAGTTAGTGTTGCCACGGGTGTCAGCATGGATGTCAGCATGAGGGTTGAGGCCGCTGCCAATGCCGTTGCCGTAGTCAAGACCGCCAACCGGACTGAAGTCACGAGTGCTGTAGTTCTGCGCACCACCACGGCCGCCACGACCGGAACCACCACCGCGACCGGAGCTGCTGCCACCACCACCACGGTTAGGAGCACCGCCGCTGTAACTTCCCTTGAACTGCATGGCCTTCGCGATCTCCAAGGGATCCTTCAGGTGGTCAACGGCCAGAGTAGCGGGTGCGGGACGGGGAGCAGGCGGGGGTCCGCCATTGAAGGGAAGGGGGCCATGGAACTCTCCGCGGGCAGTACGGTTCAGGCGGTGGAGCTGTCCACCATGGAGGTCTTCATGAGCATGGGTGTTAGGGTCGCGGGGCTCACGTTCACGGAGAGCTGTATGAGGAGACTACATCAGCTCAGTTACGGGATATGTTTGGTGCGATGGTACTTACTGCTCCAGGCCGCAATGGCCTCGCGAGGGGCAAGGGTAGTAGACTGGTTTCCCATGGAAAGGACGGCCGATTGACGGACAGAGCCATAGCGGGCGCCACGGCCAGTGAGAGATGTGTCGCCGTAGTCAGGAGCGGAGAGTATCGACTCCCGGTGGGTCATTCCGAGGTCGGCATGGAGAGCGGCTGAGAGCGTCGCCTTGCGCTCGTTTGCCTCGATATCCTCGTCAAGGGCCGCCATCATGGCAGAGTAGTCGTTCATGTGGAGGTGTTGTCGGGATTGGTTCAGGCCCCGATGAGATTGTCAAGTTAGGCTGCCTGCACCGATCGTGGCTGACGGTGAAGTGAAGTTCCAGGGAGGGCCTGCCCTTATAAGTTCCCTCAGTTGGCGCTAAGAACCTGGCAGTCGCTCAAGGAAGTCGCGCCGCTGTTAAAGAATCCCAACCCGCCCTTAACATAATCCAGTGCATTGTGCGCGCCGAAGCAGGCACCGTACCCATGCCATGCATCTGCTAGTACTGCATCCATGCTGCATCCATGAGTACTCGGCGGTACTTCATAAACACAAATAGGAGTTTCAGCTCCGTGTGTGCCTTCGTGCAAATGCATATACGCATGCACATGACAACCCGACGGGCCAGCTGCACTAAGGTGAGACGGGGTATCCTCTACAGACACACGTCCCTGTCTCCTCGAAAGCTTACTGCAAAGACAGAGGACATTTCGTAGTCTTTCTGTAGGAGAGCATAGGTCTCCTTGCACCATACCTGTTGACAGATATGGCTTCAACACCTCGTCAGCGACATCCATCTGTTTGCTCTCCGAGACACTACTTACATACCATCTAACCCCTCGATGACGTCGATTACCATAGCACCAGCAACCGCAACAGCGCCGAACTTGAGAGCTTCGAAACCAGCAGAGAGTGAAAGGGTTATTCTACCTGTTGGCCAAGAGAATTGGATGACAAAAAGTCGTTGACGCAACCTCCTGTGTCTAAATCTGGAACTACTCCAAGGTCTTTACACCAACCACCGACTTGGCTGCAGGTCAAGTGCGGGAATACTATGTATGCTCAGCTCGACCTAGTGGAGTGCACCATAAGGCTTGGGATGCTCTTTTAGTGTCTGGATCCGAGAGTCTAAGGCATGAAGCCTTGGAGGTCTCAGACCAAAAAGTAAACTCAGTCGAATATACTGCACCTTGTGGATTTCTGTGCAATAGGGCACCATCATAGCGGCGCTGTCCCTTGAAGTCACGAAATAGCCAGCCCGGAAAGGCTAACCTATAACGTGTTACACGACCTTGACTGGCTTTGTGCAACATGAAAGCGCATGCTTGCCTAAAGTTCATCAAAATCTGGAATATGGAAGACAAAGAGCGAAATCGGAGGGTCTAAAGGTGTATAAGAAAGAGCCTGGGATGACATACTGCTCAATGTAACTTGGGTATGCCGAAATGAAGAGCCGTGTCCATCTTCTGCGGCCTCGTTCCATGCCAAACGGAGAACAATCAAAACTATGAAAGTTGCTCCCCTGGAGAAGTCATCCGGAAGACCACAAAGATTTCGTCGCTTTGTTGAGGAAAAGAGATGTCTTTGTCTCTGCCACCATGCGATCGATTTGTATCCATCCGGATGGCCCTTGTGTACATTGAGAATTGCTGTGTATTGGTTCGGAAGAGAATATCTCCCTTTAATCTTGTCCCTTGCTCTTGGTAACCGTCCTCTATCCCGACAGTCCTTAGTAAAGGGTTGTTTATCAGAGGCAGCAATCAATGCCGCGCCCTAGGCTCTCGGATACACTGGAAAACCGGACAGCAAACAGGGTTTTATCAGCATACGGAAACAATAGTATCAAGCCAACGTAAGCTCGAATCCCGATTGGCATCAGTCCGAGTCCTCAGTGAAGTTTTGTTCGGCGAGTGGGGGTTACCGGAGTCCATTGTCCTGAAAAACTGATTTTGGTCGTGTTTGTGAGTACACTGTTTCTTCCAAGGTCATATTCACTTGAATATGCGTTCTCATACACCTGTAACTTTGTTAGAAAGTATTCGGTAGGGAGATTGCTTACATTGTTCTCGAACAGCTTTATCCACCTCTTTGAAGTCATTCCCTTCGCCGTTTTCATTCTGGTTCGTCCCATGCCTTTAAGGTAAATATCAAAAGAGTTATTGGATGAAATGCCATCTCGACTCCGGTAGTAAGCCCTGTTTGTGTGAAAAGTCTCATTTGCAGTTGGCTGACGTATGTGCAGCTGTGCGCAACTTCGAGCAAATTGGCTAGAGCCCAAAACCCCTCGATCAGGAGAATATAGGGGTCCAAAGGAACTAGATGTGAAAAAGCACCAAGCGGATGTAAGTCAACTTCGTCTGTCTTCATAGGACGGCTCATGAACCGTTCAAAGTTGGTATGACTTACAAAGCAATTTGCGGCAGCGGGCGCCTCTCTGATTGCGCAAGCCAGGGCGCAAAGTGTAAGTCTCAACTAGTGTCAGAAGCCATCCCTGAATGCAACAGAGGCCGCCCGGTTACCTTCCTCTGTCAAGGTGTGGTCGGCTGCCTTTAGGTGTGAGGGAAAAGAAAGCAAGATGCTTCGTTCAAGAAAATGCGACGCTCAGTTGACAGCCACAACGAATACGAAAGGCCACCGATGGCTTCATCAGTTTGCGCGTAGTCGATTGCTTGCGCCCACGCGCATAATCCTTCATCGGGGGTTCATCTCTCTCAGTAGCTCTCGATCGAGGGCCGACGCAGGACGGTGCCGCTGGGCTTCGTGCCATATGGCGATCAGTTGATCATCATGTTTCTGATACACTTCAGAGTTAGCTTCCCAGGGCGCAGTTTGCCGTAACGTAGAGCCCTACAGCGTACGGACTGGCGACGGTGCTGGATCTGGATGACGTGGTGGGCCTTGCGAAGTCTTGTCGCGCGAGGATAAGGCCGGTTCTTGGTGATGGTGCTCATGCTGATTGATATAAAGGTCAGTGCAGTCCCCTTCAGGAGGTTTTAGAGAGAAACAAGCGAAGGGGTGTGCGTTGGGTGGTTAGGTGGTCAAAGAATCGCTGTGATGGGTAGGTGGCATCGCAGAGGGTGTGTTTACTCCAGAAAGCACTTTTAGCGAGGGGGTTGTTCAGGCACTGTCACTGAACTTGTTGCCCACCCTCCCAACACCAAACCCCAGGCCGACCCGCTACGAGCACCGGACAGCATCATGGATTGCAACACCCTCGACGCTAAGTAAGCCCCCTTTCTTGCTCGAAACCCAGCGCATAGTTAGCATCAACGATTTTATTCACAGCTTGCATTTTTATTCCATCCCCAGCTAACCCAGAAACACAAGACCAAGCTCCGCAAGCGGCTCTGCCGACAACCTCAACATGCTGGCTTCACCTCACCGCGCGGGTGAGAAGTAAGTTCCACCATCCATGCCATGGCATGTGTAGGTTATTAGCAATTGACCGTTCCTCAGCGCTCAACCAGCCCAGGAGACTCCCCGTCCTCCGCGCAACCGGTTCGACACCAGTCTTCCTGGGTCAGTACAATTTCCAAGTGTCGCTATTGGATACAACTTACTACAACTTGTAGACCAGACCCAAGTAGTATCCGATCTTTTGCGTCGCCACAGCTTCCGGGCGCTCCGCGCCGCGCTACCTCTACAGTTCACAATCCCAGAGACGCTGCCACCCCAAGTAAGAGGCAGAGACGCAGGATGAAGAAGACCCTTGAAGAGCTCCGAACGATTGGTTGCTCGCATGCATGCCATACGAGCAAGCGCTACCGCTTCAGGGACCCGTACAAGATTTTCAACCGCCAGGGTACATTCCTGATGTACGCTGACGGTTGTAAAGAGCCGTTGATGCAATCGTTCATGGGAAGGTGCTGCCACTGCGAGGAGCTCGTGATGTTCGAGGCGAAGAACAACAAGAAATGCCCGGCTTGTAAGGAGCACCAGTGGTGCTTCTCTTGTAGGTTCACCACCGAGTGGCCCAACCCTCTGCCCAGCTTCCAGGGCTTGAGCCTGAGCAACAAGGGCGACGAGGTCGAAGAGGCGGCCGACAACAAGGAGGTCGAGAAGGCGGGAGGAGACCCGATGGTCATTGACGCTTGAGATCCTGTACACAGCGCCAACGGAAACGTTGCGCTAATCAGCCTACCTGGCATTGAAGGCGCCATGACGGCGTATACGGCAGACTAGAACTCGAAGCAAAACCGAGGCGTCGTGCCTTGTAATGAGAATCGATTACCATAACTCTTTCGAACATCACACGTCCTACTTACAACCAAACCTGCCCAACTACCAAGCAAGAGGCACCAAATGACCTCACCTCGAAGCCCTCCCTCAACCACAAGCCAATCTTTTTTGAGAAGTTCTATTCTTGTCGCATCCAGGGACCAGGTTAGAAGCGTGAAGTTAGAGTTTAGGTCCTTCGCGGAGAATGATCGGCGCGCATTCAGCTCCTCGTCCCCGGCCCGTGTTTCCATAATTCTCCTGCACCGCCGCCGCCATCTGCGAAGCGAGGGTCCATCCAAACCTTGCAAAGTGCACAGCAGCGACATGTGATAGCCTGCGGCATCACGTGGCCATGAACCAGCATGTACTCTACCCCGCCGTGCCAATTCGAGATCACGATCTTTGTTGATCCCTTCAGACAGTTCTTCGCAACAGTTGCCTTGTCGGGCAAAAGGTGATCCCAGGTCGCTTTCCCCCAAACTATCCTGTCCATTGCTCAGTCCTTACAGAATTGAAAAGCCAAGGGCGTTGTCTTCGCGTCGGGAGGCTTCGGGTTCCTGAGAATGGGGTGACGGCGATGAAGGCGGTTATCGCGCAAAAATTATAATCGAAGCCTCAGTCTCAATGGAATCCGATAGGACACCGGATAATTTGCCCACCCACGTGATAGCATCTAGAAAATTATATAATGTGTTTTTTACTCTTTAAGATCTTAGGTCTCCATACCCTTCCCTTGTAAGTACCTTTATGCTCTTCGGATATTTTATTTTTATACTCTTATAGATACTCTAGTAGTCTTGTATATCTATACCTCTATACCCTCGTCGTATAATTTAGTACTCCTATAGTTTTACTTTTATATAATTATATAGTGCCTACTGGCCGTAGTGTCATAGTCTGTTATAACTACCTAACAAGTACTCTGTAGGTATTATAGATTTTACTCAGCGGGGTGGGTAAAATATCTAGAAGGGGTGGGCAAATCATCCGGGGCCATCCGATAGACCGCCTAATGCAGCCCTCCGTCACATAGCTGCAGTCCGTAGGCGGACAGGCTGTCCCGGCCATCGGTGGCCATTGGTGCACGTGGGACAGGTTGTTGGAGGAAGGATTCAGCTCGACGACCACTGCATTGGTCATCCCATAAGCCGGATTGCTTTTGGCCAATGGCGAGGAAGCATTGGATGCTCGACGGTGAGGCATGCAGTTGCGAACACCTCACAATATGTACGCTATCTGGAACCGACTCTCTGGCTTACAGATCGTTTCAGGCTGAGTTCAACAGTGGTCTGACTCTTTTTACCACTTACGAAGTAGGGGAAGAAGGCGGGGCCAGATCAGGCAGCATCGTGCGGTCCGTATGGTACAGTAAGCCCTATCTGTATCTGACTTAAGCAACACGGTTCCCAGCAGCAGCCGACCCGTGGACGGGGACCGGTACCGATCACAGCGCCGGCAGATGGCTTGTTCAAGGAAGTTTCCCGAGGGATCAACTGTCGTGTAGCGGATCTACCATCTCACAGGCACTAGTAGTCACCATTCTAGAACTGGACTCGGCTCCCCGGGGTCGGCTGGTGGGTCACGTACAAGACACAGGCACGACAGATGACCTAGCCACGTCCGGCGAGGGCTAGCGAAGGCTGAAACCCCACGAGGCGGCGACGGAAGCCAAACGATAGCAAGATATTTGGGCTTTGAGCTTGAACGGAAACTCGGACGCCGCATGGGGGCTTTGCAACTTTGGACCTGCAGCAGACACGCTTGGTGTCAGTGTTTGTATAACGCGCCTGTCGGAATTCTTCTCCGTTCAGCTGTCATGCATCCCCCCCTCCCGCACGTCTGGGCAAGGTGCAGGTTATAACTCAGCTTTTGCGCCCACGAGGAAAGTGCTTCGACGGGAGCGCGCAGATCTCTCAAACGCATGGCTTGCGGCACTCTAATCTCAGGCAACCGTCAATGTGATGGGACACTACCGCGTGGTCTATCGGCACTTATGCACGCTTTGTCAAACAAACAAAGAACCGCGTCTTGGCTTTGGATTCCGGAAAAGGGAACAGCTCTGTTCGCATATAGAGAGCTTTGTTGTGGCAGGTTTACTCCCCTGAACGCTTTCGGCAACGAATCCATGTCAGCACAGCGGACCCCTGCAAAGAGCGGGACGCGGCTCGCATGCCGTCGACCAGGAGAGTTTGTCGCATGAACTACACGATTAGTGATAGGACGGCCGCAAGCTCTGAGCATAAAGCCCGTATCGCCATGATGGTGAGGGCGGATTGGGAGGCAGCACGTGACGAAGTCAGCGCGGCTAACCAGCCACCACCAAAGTCAGAGTCCAGCCCCGACGGCTTTCTGACATGCGTCTCGCCGTCACTCGACCGCCAAGGCGATCAGCAACAAGTCGGCCGGCAAAAGAAGCGCAGCAGCGTGGCCCGGACGGCCGCTCCTTGCTCGTGCGCCCGGAAAGAATTGATTTGTATGACCGCGGAGTGCCTAGCGTGCACTTCTCCGCATCCAAGCGCCGGGCGTCGTCGAGGACGCTCGCCCACCCCCCCGGGAATCGCCGTCAGGTGGGCTTTATTTTTTTCTCCGGCTGAGCTGAGGGAGAGATCCAGGGTGATCAAAATCACGTCGACCACCAGAGTTTCAGCAAAGGTCGGTGTTTCCGGTCTAGCCAACGCCACCCGCACACGAAGATGGGCAGGAAGCGGGCTTTACGATGGCGACTAGCAAGGGTGGGCCAGCGCGCTGGTTCGTCGGGCGGTGGGGGTGGCGCGTATACCAGCACAGGCTGAGCCGGCCATTGGACTCTGCGGCCTACAGCACGCCCGGGCGTTGCAGCTCCCCATGCCCGTAATGGCAAGCCTGTGCAACGGTCCTCGACGGATGGTCGGCGAGGATTGCGCACCGCAGGGGGGTTCTCTTTGGCCGAGCCCTGATGCACAAGAAGCCCATGGGGCATGGGGCAGCTTTCGTGGATCCTCCGCTCGACAGCCCTGTCGCCTTTTCAACCTTCTCCGACCTCAGCTTTGTGTGCGCTTCCCCGTCCCCCCATTATTCCCAACGTACTGGACGCGGCTGGACTTTATTCTCTCTCCCGGTGCGCGCCGCACCGTCGTTTCCTGGTTCCCAAGCCGTTCGTTTTCTACTTCATGAGTGTTTCGTGATTCCATGTCCATGCTTCCACCACCACGCGACTTGCTACTTCCACTGCCATGGCAGCCGTACTCCTTCGCTTCGTGATCTTCCTGACCCTTGCAGCCTCATCCGCCCATGCCAAAGACCCTCTTAAAGACTTCTGCCGTCGTTTCGGCCACCAGACCGCCGTTGTAGATCGCCGGCTATACATTGACGGCGGCCAAGTAACATGGAACCCCATGTCGCAGAACCCCCTCAACTACTCCAGTACGGTCGCCGTCGGAATCGTCCGTGTTGTTCGCGAGCCTCTGCTGACACTGCGCTCCAGACACATGGTTGCTCTATAATGATCTCGACGAGACTTTCCAGGGCATGCCCCAGCTCCATGAGGACCTTAACAAGACCAGCAGCATCCCGGATGTCAGCGGTGGTATTTTATGGACCGACGAAGTGAACAAAGTGCTCTATCAATATGGCGGAGAATTCACCGACTCCCCGGAGAGCTTTACCCCCTGGGCTTACGACATCATCCACAATCAGTGGAATCAAACGAGCATCAGCGCAGCAAGCAACATCCAGCGCGTCGCGTGGGGCGCCGGAGTCACTGTGAACGAAACCGCAGTCGGCTACTACCTTGGCGGATGGCTCAGCAGCCAGACTGTTCCCGGCTGGGAAGGGAATCCCGTCCTCACGAGCAATCTCCTCAGCTATGACATGATCGCAGACAGATGGATCAATGCCACCGGGCCAGACGACAACATCGGAAGAGCAGAGGGCACCATGGTTTTTCTACCGGCCTCTGACGGCGGCTTGTTGATATATTTCGGGGGTGTTCAGGATCCTAATCGCAATGGCACAATAGAGGGGGTGAGAAGAATGGTTAACATTTGCAAAGAAAAAACAGTACTGACTTTTGCCTATAGGCCAATATGAGCGTAGGAAATGCGCTCCAGAAGCATGATACTTTCAATGCTGATTGCAGTCAATAGACAATCCACATCTACGACATAGCGTCCACGAAATGGTATACGCAGCAAGCCAGCGGTGATATCCCCGATGACCGGCGGAAGTTTTGTGGAGGGGCCACATGGGCTCAAGACAAATCTTCGTACAACATGTTAGTGCCACCAAGGGCGCTGTTCGGCTTTAAGACAGCTCTGACATGAATTCTCCAGCTACATATACGGCGGCCAGGGGATTACCAACACCACTGGATTTGACGACGTTTATATCCTCTCGATTCCTTCTTTTATCTGGATTAAGTGGTATCCGACGCAGCCTGGTCCGGGAAATCCCCATGGAATCTCGTCTTGCAATGTCATCAACAACGCTCAGATGATTATCGTTGGCGGTTGGTTTGCTCAGCATGACCAGTGCGATGCGCCTAACATCTGGGGTACTCATAACCTCAACCTTGGAGCCAACGGGCCGAACAACAATATGTGGGATTTTTATTATCCGAATATCACACAATACCTTGTGCCTCCGGAGATCATTTCTAAGATTGGTGGCGGGTGAGTTTGTTCTTCTTTCGATGCTCTGAGCACGCTGACAGCCTTTTCATGCAATAGATCAACCGGCGGCGCCACCGTTAAAAGTCCAGAGGACGACTGGGGACATCGCGACTTACCGGTCTATTTTGGACGACAGGCGCAGTTTTCTGCGCGCACTGCGACTCGAGAAATCCCGGAAGCTACGGGGACCTCAAGCAGCAAGGGCGACAAGAAAAATGGCGGCTCCGGGTCGCACACGGCCGCCATTGCAGGCGGAGCCGCAGGAGGCGGCGTGGGGCTTATACTAATAGTCGCCCTCGTCTTCTACTGCCTCTGGCGACGTAGAAAAAACAACCCGAAAGAAAAGAAAGAAAGGCCGCCATCCGAGCTGCCAGCAGCACCGCCCGCAGAACTGGCAGCAGCAAACAGCTTCCGCGAGGCCAAAAGCGCCAGCTCGCCATCGGGCAGCAACGCCACGCCGGCGTACACGCACGACGGCTCGACGCACACGGGCGGCGGCTCGCCCATCGGCGGCGCCGCATTCCCCGTCTCGCCGCAAACGCCGTACACGCCGGGCACGCCGTCGCAGCAGGCGCTCTGGTCCCAACAGCAGCAGCAGTACATGCAGCCGCCGAGCCCGAACTCGCCGCAGTACCCGGGCGGCGTGTACGCGCCGCCGCCACAGCAGCACTACCCGGCGCCGCAGCCGGCGAACCCGCCGTACGACCCGTCGCAGCACGCGCTGCACCAAGAGCACTTTCCGCCGCCGCCGTCGGCGTCGGTCGGCCCGGGAGGAGCAGGAGGCGGAGGAGGCGGGCTCGCGGCTCCGGGCGGGTACGGCGTCGGCGCGCCCACGCCCAGCGACTACAGCCAGAGTCAGAGCCACAGCTACAGCCAGAGCCGCAGCGGAGCCGAGAGCGATGACGGCACGGCAGGCAGCCCGATGTACCCGCCGACGACGAGCAATACGCCGGCGCATTTCTATCCGCAGCCGTTGCAGCTGGCGGGGAGTCGGCAGGCGAGCGCGACGAGGCCCGGGGCTGGCAGTCCTGGGGGGAGCAGTACGGGGGGCGAGGGCGTGCCGCTCGTCAGTCGGATTGCGGAGAGTGTGGGGCAGAGTCCGGGGCCCGGGCAGCAGAGGGTGAGGATGCCGCAGCCGGTGAGGGGCAGGTTTAGGGAGGAGAGCGAGGGGGTGTGACGATGACGATGATGATGATGATGGACTTTGTGTATTAGCTGGCGTTTCAAAGCTCATAGTAACAGTAAGATAATTTAATGTGTGCGTGCCGGGTCGCGGATCGGGGCTTTGAGGTGAAACGCTCGGGTCAGTGGGAATCCGGGGGGCCTCCATTGCCCTTCTTTACCGCTACGTGCGACATTGCCACTATCCACCCACCGCCTTTCCACCGCAGCTGACGCCTGTCGCTTCCTCGCACCCATTGGCACTACCATGCGCCGCTAGAACAGAGAGCCCGCCGTCCAAAAAAATGCTACAATGGGGGCCCGCGACCACGACGAATCTCTCGGCCTCTTGGCCCACGATGCAGCACAAGCCGACGACGTAGCAACGCATCCAAGTCCTCACAGCGGCCTCGGCATCCTCGACGCCCCCACCAGCGCCTCGCCCGACCACCTCATCGACAGCGGCGACAACGACGACCCCGATCCCTTCTTCGCCGTCGCGACAGCCCCTGCGCCGCTGTCCTCCCTACCGCCCATCCAGACCGACTCTTCCACTACTACTCCTACCACCACAACCCGCAAGACGTCATCAGGCTGGCGTGCTCCTCCGCCCCCCAGACCCAACAACCCCCGCCGCCAGTCCTCCTTCGCTCAACCCCGCCCCGATGGCACCCCGCGCACCCCCAACCGCGTCACCTTCTCCGAGCAAGCCGAGCTGATACCGCTGGAGACGCGGGAGAACGGCGGCAGCGGCGGCGGCGGCGGCGGCGGCGGAGGCGGGGCGAACGGCGGCGGGAGCGGGGGAAGCGGCAGCGGCAGCGCGGCAGCAGCAGCAGCAGCAGCAGCAGCAGCACATCCGTACGCGGCGCGGACGGAGCGGCTGATGTACTCTGACGACGACGATGACGACGGCGTTGACGCCTGGGGTGACGAGGAGGGCGGCGCTGCTGCTGGTGCTGGTGGCCGGAGAGGCTTGCTGGGTCGCGCGCGACATGGCAGGCAGGGCAGCGGCGAGCAGCGCCTCCCGCTGCTGACGGATATCGAGGCGCCGTCTGTGACGGTGGCCGCGGGGGACGAGGGGTTCGCGCCGGAGGAGCTGCTGGAGAGCGCGCGCCCCAAGAGCGGCATGGGCTCTGCGTTTATGAATATGGCTAATAGTATCATGTATGTATCCTCCCCTGGTGCTGCCATCATCATCGACGTCGTTGTCAAGAGAGAGAGCGAGCGCTTCATCTCCATCCACCCATCCATCCATCCATCCCTCCCTCATCTTACTTCCCTGCTACTGCTGCGGTGGCTGGCTCATCGTGTTTGCTCGCTCGTTCGTGGATGTCTGTTCTAACGCGCGGGATTTCGCTACAGTGGCGCTGGCATCATCGGCCAGCCTTACGCGCTCAAGCAGGCCGGCCTGCTAACCGGCATCGTTTTGCTTTGCCTCCTCACGCTCATCGTCGACTGGACCATCCGCCTCCTCGTCATCAACTCGAAACTCAGCGGCACCGACTCGTTCCAGGCTACCGTGCAGCACTGCTTCGGCAAGTCGGGCCTCATCGCTATCAGTCTCGCGCAGTGGGCATTGTAAGTCTACTTTCTATTTGTTTTGTTTTTGTTTCCCCAGTCACCGGACGCGGGCCACGCCAACCGCACTCTTGCTCTAGTATGAGGCGCTGCTTTTTCTGGGGGCGCTGCCTAGTTCGGGGTTGGGGGACTATATCGGTTCTCGTGTCCAGGTCCATGGCGGCGCCCCAAATATGCAATGCCCTCCTCTCCCCTCTCCCCTCTCCCTTGATTTGCCCCCCGAGCGGGAATGCTGACGGTTCTGGGGTCGCGCAGTGCGTTTGGCGGCATGGTAGCCTTCTGCATCATCGTGGGCGACACGATCCCGCAGGTGCTTGAAGCGCTGTTCCCGGCGCTGCCGAACATGCATTTCTTCTGGCTGCTGACGGACCGGCGCGCCGTGATTGTTATCTTCATCCTGGGCGTTTCGTACCCGCTTTCTTTGTATAGAGACATTGCCAAGGTGGGTCTTTTTTGCACGTCTTTTTGTTTGTGCTGCTGTTTTCGGCGCGAGAGCAAGAATTAGAGTGGCTAATGCTTGTGCGATGCCCTTGTAGCTGGCCAAAGCAAGCACCCTCGCCCTCATCAGCATGATCATTATTATCGTCGCTGTCATCACGCAGGGCTGGCGCGTGCCGTCCGATATGCGCGGCGCGATCCAGGGCAGCCTCATCATCAACGACGGCGTCTTCCAAGCCATCGGCGTCATCTCTTTCGGTGCGTACAACAGCCACACAAACCACACGCATAACCTGCGCGGCCCCAACTAATCACGCGCTCTCCCCTACAGCATTCGTCTGCCACCACAACTCGCTCCTCATCTACGGCTCCCTCCGCAAACCGACCCTCGACCGCTTCGCACGCGTCACGCACTACAGCACCGGCATAAGCATGGCGGCGTGCCTCGTAATGGCGCTGTCCGGGTACCTCACCTTCGGCGCGCTCACACAAGGCAACGTGCTCAACAACTTCCCGCGCTCCAACGCCATCGTAAACATCGCGCGGCTCGGCTTCGGGCTGAACATGCTCACCACCCTTCCTTTGGAGGCGTTCGTCTGCCGCGAGGTCATCGAGACGTACTATTTCGCGAACGAGCCGTGGGACTCGGGGCGGCACATGGTGTTTACGACAGCGTTGGTAGCCGGGGCCACGGCGCTGAGTCTGGTGACGTGTGACTTAGGGGCCGTGTTTGAGCTGATTGGCGCGACGAGCGCGGCCGTGCTCGCGTATATCCTGCCGCCGTTGTGTTTTTTGAAACTCAGTAAGAAGCAGGGGGGCCGCAGGGAGAGGTGGGCCGCCAGGGCGTGTGTGGGCTTTGGCTGTGCGGTGCTGGGCGTTAGTTTGGTGCAGGCGGTTTTGAAGATTTGGCGGAATGAGGGGGGCGGCGCGACTTGTGGGTAGGGTGGGGGAGGGAGGAGAGGGGCGGGTCGGGGGGGAAGAGGGGGGGGGGGGGGGGGGGGGGGGGGGGGGGGGGGGGGGGGGGGGGGTCGGTGGGAAAGAGGGGAGGTGGAGGGGGGAAAGAGAGGGGGTGGAGTGGAGGGAGGGGAGAAGATGGACGAGACGAATTAGAGCAGCAAGCATCGACCATGGCATGGCATAGCGAGGGCATCGAACGACGATACGGCAACGACTGGACTGGGCGGGTAGGAGGCGGGTGGGTAGGATGGGGTTGGGACAAGAAGGGACTAATAGACTACTGTAAAAGGCGAGAGTGGGAGTGTACATAGAGAAGCTGCAGAGAATCAGCGAGCTCTCTGCTGCTGTTTGGTTTGCATGGCATGGCGTGGTGTATAGTAGAACTTATTATTTTTTTATTTTTTATCTATTTATTTTTTTTTTTGGTTCGTGCAGTGTACGCGTGTTCGTGTGCTATAACAGACGATAGCGGCCTACCTCTTCGTGCATGCCTAGGTACAACTGTAAAGCCCAAGTCCGAATGAAGACGAAGGCGAGGCCAGAAAAGAACCAGCAGATGTAAACGCACCAGTGACGTTTCCTTACTAATCGTCGGCCCAATGGTCTAGTGGTATGATTCTCGCTTTGGGTTCAATCGTCTCCAGATTGCGAGAGGCCCCGCGTTCGAATCGCGGTTGGGCCCCTGACCTATATCTTTTTTTTTAATTTTTTTTTTTTATTATTATTGATTTTTGTTTTTTGGGGTGTCTCTCTGTCCACCCTTTAAATATTCGAGTATTTGGAATTCGTGTATGCTTGCGCGTTGATGGTTTTGTTTGTTTGGTCGCGCGGCTTTTTCACTGCTAGCTAGGCCTTTTGCCTATGCTATGTGTAGAGATGGATTGTGTGTGGATTACCTACTGTGTTGCACTCGCATGAACGCCCACGGCCCCGGCCACGGACACAGACGCAGACATGTCCCGCGCGCGCGCGAACACGCAGCCGACCAGCTAGTGACGTGCAGCACCACCGCGGCGAACGTGCGAGCGTGCGTGCGTGCGTGCGTTTTTGCGTGCGTGGTCGTGGTCTGAGTTCTTCCGCGTACGTGCCTAGCTAACTAGCCAGGTGGTGCTGAGGTGTATATTGTACCGTGGCCGTGGCCGTGGCTGCGCTTTTCCGCGATGCAGGCTGATGCGCGCTGATGCGCGCCCGTGCGTGTGCGTGTGTTTTGATGCGCGGTTGGCCTGCCAACCGTGGTGGGTGGGTGAGGTTGCTCGCCGACATCCATGTGTTGACTAGGTTGATTGCGCAGGATTGAGCCGAACGACCTACCTACATACTTCCTCTTCTTTCACGAGAGCGCACTTGGATTCCCGCCCGCGGAGTACGATCACGATCACGACTACGGCCGCCAATTGGTTACCTACCTACCTGCGTTTCTCCTTGTCGCGCTTTCCGGCTGCACGCTTGGTTTCACGTCCTGTCGGCTCTTCTATCAGCTTTCTCGTTCCTTATCACGTACACGAAGCCAACCCTCCCGACCCGCACCGCAGCTCACCATACATGAACGCCACGCACGCCATGTTCAAGCTCCTCGCCAACGCGCTGCACAGCGACGACGCGACGCCCGCGCCTGCACCGCCAGCCGAGCCCATCCCCGCCGAGCCCAGCAGCCCGCGCCTGCGGATCGAGCACGCCCGGCGTCTAGAAGAGGAACTAGCAATAGCGCGCGCGGACCTGGCCGAGCAGAAAGCGGCGTATGAGCGCAAACTCAGCGACGCGGCGGCGGCGGCAGCCGAGACGCAGAAGACGCTTCGCGCGACGTACGAGAGCAAGACGGCGCGCCTGGCGAAGCGCAACGAGTGGCTTGAGGGGACGGTGCGTCAGCTGGGCGAGGAGAAGGCGTGGTTAGCGGAACGGAACGAACGGTTGGAGGAGCAGGGCCGGGGGCTGGATGAGCGGGTTGGCGTGCTTGAGGAGGAGGGGTGCGCGCTGAGGACTGAAAACGGGCGGCTGAGAGACACGAATGCGGAGCTGGAAGCCGTCGTCGCGGAGCTGGTACGGGAGCTCGAGACCGTGGAAGAGGGGGCACTGGAGCAGGCGCGGCGAGCGCGCGCCTCGCTCGTGCGGCGACCAAGACTGGCGCCCGACGCGCAGTTGCAGCTTGCGGCTGCTGCGGGCGAGAAGGCTACCTCGACTACGGCTACATCTACGGCGGACAAGGACACGTCCACCACGACGACTGCGACTGCGACTGCAACCGCCCCCTCTACCGCCGCAGGCGCCACCGACACCGCGTCCCTCCGCACACCCACCCAGCGCCGCCTCCCAGGCATGAGCACGACCCTCCGCCGCGGCGCCGACCTCTCGGGCGCTACGCTGCGCGACTCGGCGCACCGCACGCCCTCGGGCAGCCTGGATCCGCGCTCGATCGCCGCGCTGAGGACGCTTGCTTCGCCGTCGCCGGCGCCTGGGTCTGGGGCTGGAGCAATGAACCCGCCTTCCGCAGCGTCTGTGAGACGCGAGAAGCAGCAGCAGCAGCAGAGCGGAAGCGCGGCTGGTGGTGCAGGCGGCTGCGTGATTGTGAAGCAGGGACGGAAGCGCATGAGGCGCGAGGTTGGCGATAGTGAGGGCGATGAGGACGATGCTTTTGGGGGTGGTGCTGTTGGTGCTGTTGGTGGGCAGAGGGGTGCTCGGAGGGAGGCAAGTGGTGTGAGGGCGACGGTTTAGGGGTTTGTGTGTGCTGGTGTGTGGGCTGGGGTTGAGGTTGGTATAGTTGTAAAAGTGTGGATTGGGTTGGGTTGGGCATGGCTTTGAATTGGTTTTGTTTTGTTTGGTTCCTGTAGTGGTTGGATGACTGGCTGGGCTTGGTCTAGTCTGCTCTGCTCTGGTATGGTATAGTATGGGTTCATGGCACAGCATAGCAGGCGTATTCGGTTCTGTCGTCGTGGTGTTCGGTATTATGGTTTTGGCTTGACATGGGCTTGGTTAAGTGTGTTTTAGTGGACGGGGCGGCGGCGGCGGCGGCGGCGGTGATGGTGGTGGTAGTGGTGGTGGTGAAGTACTGCTGCTTCTTTTCTTTGGTGCTTAGGTAGGTAGATACTTAATGGTAGATGCATGGGTTTCGTCCTGGGTCTGGTCTGGTGTGCAAGTGCTGGGGTCTTTTGTTTGGGGGGCGGATGTTTGCTGTTTGTGTTTGAGTTCAGTTCACAATCTAAGAGTGGCGTGATCTCCGGAACCCTGGTGGACGCTGGTACATGAATCTCACGTAGCGTGACGACGAACTACAGTGTGTGAAATACAGTGGGCCCGAGGCGCGTTAAATATAGGTAGGTAAGATATCACTAGCGATTAAGCTTAGGTAGCGTGGATTCGTCATTTGGTTCGGGGAAAAGAGGGGAGAGGTTAAAAATGACATGTCCCCTTCTTCTCCTTGCCCCGATAATTCAACCACGGAAGCTAGCGAGCCATTACTCATGGCTTACCAGACAACTATATTTCCCCAGGAATTGCCTATATAAAGCGGCCATGGATGCAGTCACACTCACACAGTGGGGTCGTTACCTTCCCACTGCTCTCAAACGGAACCGGGACCACTTCCTCGTGCACCCAGTACGAGCATCCTTCGAATCGCCGTCATGTCAGCTCAGTATCTCTCCATTACGAGGTCATCTAAAAATTGGTCATTGGTAAGAGTCACGTGCATAATCAGTGGAGCGGAGCGGAGAGCAAGCGACGTGCATCGACGATCTCGGCACAAAGCAAAAGCAAGGCTGTCGGGCGCGGAGATGGCCCCCGTCGCTCCACGCTCCAAACTCTTTCACACGCGCGCGAGCGAGAAGGCTAGAAATTTCCAGCTTGGCACGGGTCTCAGCACGCGGCTCGCAGATAAAAAGCGTGCTCCAGCCATGTACACGTGTCACTGGACGTCTATCGCGACGGAGACTAAGTACCCAAACGGGCAAAAGACGATGGTTTCTTTTTGAGCCACCCCACCGTCCAGGCCCCATACGGTTTAGCCCTCGAGCCCGCGGCGGCTTGTCTGGTTGGCCCGTTCAACTACAATCTTCTCCGGAGTCGTCGTCGCCTCACCTCTCCACACGCATGACTTCCTCGCTCGAGTTACACCAGCATGTGGTTTATAGCCGCTTCTTGCAGCGTCGTGTGCTTTCCAGGCTTCGCGCTCCCTTCGCGGCAGACAGTGTCCTTCGCAAAGCCTTAGCCATTCGACACGCATCCTTCGTGAGCACAGAACCACGACGGTGAGGTACCTTTGCGAACCTTCAACTCAGACCACTACCATGGTTCCTGTATGCACATCCAGTGGTCCGGGGGTCACTTATACGCATTCACGCTGGCAAGGCTTCAGCCAGTATGCCACCGTTTTGCCTGCCCTGCTGTTCATAAACCTCGAGGCCGGATCCCAACCCTCTTGCTGTCCTACGCCCATCGCGCCTCGCATGCAGATCGCATTTGGGTCTGGCTCTGATCGCGCCGTGTTACATCTACCCATTATAAACATGGCCGCGCTCATCAGCCATTTCCGCCGCCTCTCCATGGCCGACGTGGAAGACTTCATCTATTCGTACGTCAAGTGCGAGTATGCGCGCTATGCCCTCCATTCGGATCTCGACCACAACTCCCGCCTCTCGCGGCTCAAAAGAACCCTCCAAATCAAAACCGTTCACATCCCTCAAGCGGCTCGCTGGAAGGCAATCGGACGCGCTTTCGGCGACATGGATTCCCACATCCCTCATCACATCATCAATGATACCCGCGACTGCATCCGCCTCCTCGAAGCCCGCGATGTTGACCCCATTCTGCTCCGCGAGGTCCTTGTTGCCTTTGCCAAAGAAAACGGCCGCAGCCTCTCCACGCGCGCCACTGCCAGGCGCCTACTCACACAACATCTACTCGTCAGAAAACTGTGGTTCGAAGATGGTGCCATGTTCGCTCGCAGCCGCCGTGGTCAAAAAGCGATGGATTGGGTAGAGGCGGCGGAAGATCATCTTATCGAGTCCCGCATTCAAGAGGCCGGCATGACCAGGGTCACAAATTACTGGCGCGTTCAGCATCTTTCCCTGTTGGCCCGCCATGGATCCCTTTTGGACTTGCGGCCTGGAGCCGCTCTGTATCACGATGGGAGCCAGTTCTCCATATACGACCCGGATCTTCTGAGGGAGCCATGGCAATCGACGGAAAACTTGTTGACTTAAAGCCCGACTTATGCGGCTTAGGAGTGGTGGATGCATGCAGTGCGCCGGGCGTACTCAAACTTGGATCATCGGCGTCAGAATACGGGTTTCCTTCTTACACATGTACAAACGACGAGGAACGACTACAAAGACACATACGGTTTGCAAAATACGGCGTTGGTGGAAAATGGGCGGTTGGTCAAGCGATTTCCTTTGTTCTTTCATGACGATGACTATGGCTGATTGTCCATCGCAATCGGCAACTTCTATGATACAGAAAAGCCCATCGATAGCCCGTACGGTTGATCCTACCAAGACTATCGAGCTCGTCACCAGTGAAAAAGTAAAAGCATCAAGTTTATCTAAGCAACAATGATAGTCGGCATTTCTTTAGGGCTGTTTGTTTCCGTCGAAACATCACTGTTTCTAATCACTAACAATATAGTGTCTTATTGCACGTGGAGCGGCATCATCACGTGGAAGAAGAGCTTATCGAGCGGATCTCGGGTGATTTCCCCTCGAAACACATCGCTTTGCAATCATCAAGGTTCGGACGGGCCGTATCGACGACGACATTTTGACAGGTGATGGTTTGATAGCTTCCATGTCGGCGTTAACCAAGATAGGCAGGAGACTCGGTGCTGCTGATCATTCGGAGAAAAACCATCTCCGCACAGCGCCAATCGGCGTCTGAAGGAACCAGGTCTCCACCATGGCGCCCCAGACGGACTTCGGCCATCGGTTCGGGCGACATGTCTCCATGCCGTCACCGCGCGTGCGCTTTCCAGCCTCTTAACTAGGCCTCGCTACTTGAGGATCATGCACATCGGAAAGACCTGCATGAATACGCATGCAGTCGGAACAGTTTCCAACATACTACATACGAGCAAGCCGCCTTCACCGAGCCGCTCACTCTGGTTAAGAGGTTTCTTCTCTGCCATGGTTCTGTGTGCGACCTTACAGATGAGTCTTCGGAGCTCGGATCCCGTAGCACAGCGTAATCGGATGTTATTAGCACAAACGGCGAGGGGCCTCTGGTTTCACGACATGGTCTGTTTACACGCCTTCCATTGGCTGACGCCGATACCGTAGTTCGGCTATATTACTTTACCGGTCTGTTCGACGTACATTTCCAACGGCGCGCATGGCGAGGAGGGTATTGTAGGCCCCACTGTTTGAGGTCAAGCTTCCCGACAAGAGATTATCAAGCTTTCCGATCAACAAGCGAGCATTGGCAGTCTCAGGAACAGGCTACGAGCCCCACTCGATATGCCCTACAGCGAACGATAGTACATTTTGCTGCGAAGACAAGGCTTTGATCGTTTTGCTAGAAGACAAGGTAACGTTATTTCATCACCCCGGTTTTCGAAAGCACGGCTTGATCTGCTTTAACTTCACCAGTGGTCAAGGATCATTTTCCCTGTCAAGCAGCCGACGAATCAGAATATTCGTTGGTCCGTGGAGTCGTTGCCACATCTTCCCCGCGCTCAAGGCAACAGGCCTATGGCCGCGTCATTCCCGCTCACGGATATAGAGGGCTTTCCCAATGCAGCTTACGGCAATGCCCGTTTTCACATGGCCTAGATCGTTCTGCGTATCTGTGCCCGCTCCTCGCCCCACCCTCCCAATTAAAATGGTCTACCTTTTCACTAGAAGAGTTACATCAGTCTACGAGGCACCTTAGCCTTGCATGCGATCAAGCGTTTTGACTGGTGTTGTTTGGGTTGAAGTTGATTGCTATCGTTCGTCACCACGCACGCCGCAAGCAAGGATAATGCATGGCTTTTCGGATACCTGCGGCTTTCGCAAGGACAACCTTACAAAGGCTCGCAAGATCTTGGTTACGAGAATCTGAGAAATGCAGTTGGTAAGCCAGAGAGCATATTATTCAGACACTTGGTAACACGCCTTTGACGCTGCGTCGGACTTTTACTTCGCGTTTATATGTAAGCGAAACTTTCCAGTCATCCACCGGACCAAGTAACGGCTTAAATCAAAATCATCCTATAGTATCGAAGGCCGATATACCCTCATGCAGGGAGGCGGCCTGCTGATCAATCCCTCGGACATCGGCAGCGTCTTCAGGGTCGTATTACCGGCACACCCGTCCAGATCCACTGTATTCACCGCAGATTGGCGGCGAACGTGGCTGTTGCCAAGCGACGATTTGGAAGAAGACGTTGAATGAATGAGGTCACACGAACACGTCTGCAAGCTTGCAGGTCTCCGTTAATTCCATGAACCGGGTATAAAACGGGCGTGGATTGCGCGCGAAGAGCCGTCCATCCCTAGCACCGTCTTCAGCCAGACTTTGCCCTCCCTTCTGCCCATCACCATGGTTCAACGGCCCTCTATGTCTTACGTTGCATTGCTCTGCCTAGCTGCACTGGGCGCTGTGCACGCTGCCCCAGCCAGCAACCCAGGTCTTCGTGGCTCGCCAGCGCTGCAAGGCTACAACCCGACGAACATTCTGACTACCGAAAACACGGACGACATTGACTACAAGCTAGCACCGGGCCAGAAAGACGACGCCAACATTGGGCAAAGTCTCGACTTTTCCAACATCGAACACCCACAGCCCATCCGCGGCACCAAGGGCGGAACTGACCCGGGACCTCGCAACGAGGTGCTCGACCGGCTGTTCAGCAACAAGCTTGCGCCGCCTGGGACGGACCACGGCCAAACCATCAATGCGCAATGGAGCATGGGGCAGAGCCATGCGAAGCTCGGCAAAGACGGCGCGGGCTGGTCACGGCAGGAGAACACAGTCGTGATGCCGGACGCCACGGCCATGGCGGGCGTCGACATGCGGCTCGAGCCCGGCGGCTACCGCGAGCTCCACTGGCACGTGGCCGGGGAATGGGCGCTCATGCTCAACGGCACCGTGCGCATCCAGGTAAGGTCGGATCTCGTGCCGGGCGATGATGTCACGCTGATCGGGAATAGGCGGTGCAAGAAGATGGCAAGACTTTCGTCGACGATGTGAGCAAGGGCGATGTTTGGTTCTTCCCTCCGTGCGTGCTGCCTTGTCCTCACTGAGTGGTTGCTTCGCTGACGGTTGGTTACAGTGGCATTCCGCATTCGATTCAGGCTCTTGGTGGCGGTGCGGAGTTCATGCTCGTCTTTGATGATGGCAGCTTCTCTGAAGATAATACTTTCCTTGCCACTGAAATGTTCGCCCATAACCCGGTAAGCTCGATCAGCACAACAATTCAGCTTAGTGCTACTAGACACTAACAACATCCGCAGAAAGAAGTTCTCGCAAAAGACCTAGGCGTGGATATTTCCGCATTCGACGACATCCCAGAAGGCGAGCTCTTCATCTTCCCTGGCACAGCCGCACCCAAAGACATCGAAAAGCAAAACGTAACCGGGACCGCGGGGGCGCTCAGTGGCGCAACGGCGTACAGCTACCACTGGTCCGAGCAAGAACCGCACCTAGTGGCCGGGGGCAGCGTCAAGATCGTCGATCCGGTGACGTTCCCCGTGGCGCCCAACTTCTCCGCCGCCCTCGTCACCATCAAGCCCGGCGCAATGCGCGAGATCCACTGGCACCCGTCCAGCGACGAGTGGTCATTTTTCCTGGCGGGCAAGGCGCGCGCGACGCTGCTCACGCCGCCGAAGACGGCTACCACGTTCGACTACGCCGCTGGAGACGTCGGCTATTTCCCCAAGTCCAACTCGCACTACATTGAGAATGTGGGCGACGAGGACGTCGTCCTGCTCGAGGTGCTCCAGGCTGACCACTTCTCTGGTAAGTAAGCTCGTTCCGGCGCCCCGCAGCATCGGTGTGTGACGCTGGCATTGCGTTGCGTTGCGTTGCTGCTGGCTGCCAGTGCCGCTGTACTGTATTCATGTAACTGATTTTTTTCTTCCCCTCCTCGCTGCAGACATGTCACTAGGGCAGTGGCTGGGCCTCACGCCCTCGCAGGTCGTCATCGACACGCTGAAACTGAGCAACGAGACCGTCGCCAAGTTCCCCAAGGAGAAGCCCGTCGTCGTAGCCGGCTAAGGCGGCACAGGCACAGGAGAAGCAGCAGCGAGGATTCTGTGGAGCAGCAAGCAGGTCAAACGCGCAGTGACCACGCACAGCACATATACATACATAAAGGATACATATGTAGTATGTAGCTACCCTAGCTACCTGCCTGGTACATACCCGCTGCTTTGGTACGTGTTCGTGCTTGGCTTGGGGCGTGGCTATATTAGCTATGTATGTAGATCGCGCGCGAAATCTCCGTCCGTCTTTGCCAGCACCCTTGTCGCGCGCGCGCTGCCTTGCCCCCGATCGCCGCATACCTAGGTAGTTGGTTACCCGTCGCGCAGCCGCTGCCGTGCTGGGCTTGCGTCCTCACGGGCCCCGGCTAGTTAGCGCTGTGTTTTTGTGCTCCCTTTGGACCCGACAGCGCGGGTGTGCGCCTGGTCGTGCAGGCGCTGTCGGGAGCTGTGCATGCAATGCCTGCCCTTAGCTAAAGTTGTTGGTCGCTTCGTTGCCCGCTGCCTGGGCTATGCTTGTGCTTGTCGAGGCGCCGGTGCGCCGTTGCCGTTTTTCCGTGCGGTTGCGCGGTTTTCTCAGCCTTAGTGTCGCTGAATGCGTGGGCGGCTTTGCTGGCGTGCTTGGTGGCCGGCCGTCGCTGTGTAGGTATGTATGATATGTGGGTTGTGGGCAGGTTGCGCTGCTGCTGCTGCTGCTGCTGCTGGGAGCGCAGTGGCGGTGGCCATCGTGACCTGACCCACTTCCTGGGTGCCGGGAGTTGGTGCTGCAGGTCTGCGGTTTGGGGTTTATTGCTTTCACATGCTGGAATTCTGGCGGGGGGGCTGGGTGTGCGTTTATTTCGTTACGTGGTTTCGAGTTGAGGGTTCCACGCTGCGGGTACCCGGAGGGCGTCGCGGCTTTGGTTGGTTGTATGGAGTGTTATTAGGTATACACTCGAAGGGCGGAATTGTTAGGCTTGTGGTTACTTCCTTTTCTGAATGAAATGATGATGCTTTATCTTTGTAGTAGCTAAATCGTACGCTTTTTACTTATTTCTTATCTTTTCGGTTCTGAAATCGTTCAGGGTCAATTTAATAATACAAAGTTGGCATGAAGGTAGTAGAGCGGAAGAAGATATGTTAGATCTTAGGTGAGGCCGCTGGGTGGCGGTTACTAGGTAGGTTGCTCAGGCGCAAGAGAAGAAAAAACAATATACATAAATAAATAAATTAGCAAGTACTACGATGGTTTTGAATGGTAAAACTGCTCCTATCCGTTGTATTAGGTGGACTACAGAAAGTCTAGCTGTGTGTGGCTGTTTTAATCTCTGTGGAAGCTGTTTGCCAGTGTAACCAAGCACTGTTGATATACAATGGCCGATTTGAACCAGAACCGTCTTTGACCCGACTGTTCGTCTTATGAAAAGACCTCGAACAATGAACAAGAAGGCAAATAAACACACTTTTATAAAGCCACGCTATCACAATTAAGATCACAAACCAAGCCAACTAACACCCATCCCTAAACTACATTCCCAACAAACGCACTCACGCCAACAGCAAATATGTCTCTTTCATACCAACTCCGCGGGATGATGTCTCACCTCACCGGAAGCTGCTCATACGGGCTAAGCCTTGTGAAGATGGGATTGTGCCAGTTACGGCGCCCGGAAATCATCTTCGAGGGCATCTTCCTTGGAATGATAGCTTTTGCGTCTTTCAAAATCGGTGTTCAGGCCGGAAAGAGCGCTGAGATTGGCCGCCTTCGCCCTGGGCGCGGTGATTCGTAGCTTTCATTACTTCTAGAACCATCGGTGACTGGGTGTGATTGATGGTACGGGAGGTCTCTTGGGTACTGACAGTAGCACTGCGATAACTACGAATTGATTTTTTGAGGTAATTGTGTTTGTTTGTACTTGGTTGTTCTTGTTATTTTTCTTGTGATGAGTATCCGTGTGTGAGGTGCTGAGTTCTTTGTGTGTAGACGGGAGTGTGAACACAAGCAGGCAGTATAAGTGAGAACAGCCGAGAAGAGTTAACATGCATTTGAACAGTTAACTAGGCAACAGGCGTACGGCCTACGATAAAACCGTGCTCTCGCCGCCGACACTCAACCAACACCTTTCATCCTGGTCACCCTACCCAGTCCTCAGAGACAAACTCGAATCCGCCGCGAAAATGGCCTTTTCGTACACATCCAAAGAGCTCATGGCTCACGTCGCACGGTACCTTCCCAAGTGGCTCGCTCTTCTGGACCATTCTCACGAGCTCATATCCAGATTCGTAGCGCACGTCTCCAACCCCTTCAACCTCTCATACCAATCCCGCGAAAACATGCTCGAACTCATCGAGCTCGTGTCCGACTGGCTCAACCTCGTCAACATGGCGTTCCTGCAGGAAGACCGCGCGGAAATCCTCTTCAAGGCCCTTTTCTCGGGCATGGTAGCGCTCGTGGCTTTTGGCACCTGTGGCTGCGTCCTCGGTCGCTTCCTCTCCCGTCTACTGAACCTGCTGGAGACGCTGGTCAAGATCCTGTTCCTGCTGGCGAAGGAGCTGGTCAGGCCGTTTGTGTGGGCCATGACGTTCGGCGCTGTTGGTTTTCTCTACATCGCGGGGAATGTACTGTTGGTTCATGGCCAGTCTGTTTGTGAGGGTGATGAGCTTTGGTACTATCGGTATGCCGGGAAGCACGAATGATGCCCTCGGATCTTTGTGGGTCTTGCTTACTTGAGGCATGAGTGATGTTGGAGGTAGCAAATGGTGCGAGTGTTCTTCACCACCGGTACGAACCTAGGTACGAACAGCAACACTACAAGTCAATAATGAATTCTTAGTGAAAACTACATTTTCGCTTCTCATGCCTTTAAATGACTATAAATGGTGATTAGTGTGGCACCCAGAGATACAGACAGGCAGTGTTAGTCTTTAGACAGTGACTGGCCTTGAATAAAATCCTTGCCCCACTCTGTTTGACGACATACCTACCCCTACCGGTAAGTTTTTCAACAACATCGTAAAAGGCCGAACGAATAGAAACTATAAAAGCACAAATTTACTCCCACCCTTAACTTTCTACAAGCGCCAATCACCCACGATGGCTCCCTTCCTCGAGACCCTCCGGGACCTATTCCCCCACTGTCTCTGGATCCTCTTCCACTGGCTTTTACCCCAGCTGCTCCCTCTAGCCAGCACCACCATCAGCGGGTTTCTAGACCAGATCTACACCGACATCAAAGACGCAGTCAACGGACTTGTCGGATGGGCCACTAGAACCCCCAGAGTTCGATACACCCTGTTCCGTCCCATTAGGTACAAGGACCGTAGACCGCTGGTTGCTTGGCAGCCGGATGGACCAGCAGCCTCGCCTGACGGACCCCCTGACAACGCCCGGTTCATGCAGTCTTGGAATGGTGCTGATGTCGAGATGCTGGAAGAGTAGTTGAGCCTAATATTAGGTCTAGCATCTTGCTGGTTCGTGTTGAGGTGCCTTGACGTAGTCGTTGATGAAGTGTCGATAGAGGTTGGCCACTTGGCACGTTCCATGATTTGCGAAGGTCGACATGGAACTCATGACCAAGTAATTCAATCCTATGAGTAGAGAATAAAACTGACTATCAAAAAATTGTGTTTGACTTAAAAGATGGTCTAGTGACTGAATGAAATTGGCGAATGTAAGGAATTCCGACCTTGTTTGATTATAAAGTCTGAAAAGGGAGCTCGATAGTATTGGAAGATATCTTGTAAAACAATACATAGTTAATCGGTGCAATACGCATGTTGGCGTCTCTGGCAAACCCATAATACAGTTCAGTGAGCCAGTCTTGTTCGACCCGCTTCTACCGACGCAGGCATGCGTCAAAGCAGTCATTGTTATCAGGACCCATGAGCGAACGTCATAGATGCCCCTTGTCGATAACTGCCTGCAATAGCGTCGGCATTGTCCTGGCTATTGTCCAGAACAAAGCACCGGCGGGTGCCAAAACGAGCTTTATGCGCAACAAAGCAACAGCATCTGGAAACCACCACAACACCCATCATAATGACATTGTCACAGCTCGACGCCGACTATGTAAACGCACAGGACGCGCACCATGGTCCAGCACATCGAAGGCAAGCACCAGCACTCTCAGCCTCAACACCGCAACTCCAACAACAGCAGGACTAGTCGACTCATCACCAATTGCGCACCGCAATCCCCACCCACCACCACCAACAACAATGTGCAGGCAATACCAGATGAAGTACACCTGCGGGTGCGTCAGCTCCCTCATCTCGACCGACAAGTGCCCGGACTTCCAAGTCGGCAAGTTCTGCCTCTCGGCCTGGGCCTCCTACAGCTCGGACTTCGTGCTGACCAAGAGCGCGTGCTCCAAGTGCCGCGCTGCCCGCACCGAGAAGCGCGACAAGGCGTATATTGAGAGGAACAGCGGCGCCGCTGCTATGAAGAAGGCCGCGGACCAGGCGGCTGTGAATGAGCTTGGAGGTAAGTCTTATGCGTGGGAGTAGGTGCCACGTCCCCTCCCTCCCTGCCTTTGTTGGTCTTGACTGCTGTCTTGGACAAGCTTTGGGCGCGTGCTGCAGCTGGCTGTGGTAAGTGGCCCTTTGTAAAGCTTGGAGATCTCGCTGGCGAGGTCGATTGTTGCGGTGTTAGTTGAGTTTGCTTTTGGTGGCTTTAGTTGCGCTTTCTTTGTATTTCTACAGTCCTTACAGATGATAGTATTTAGCTGGCTCATGTCTACTGATTTGGATAGCTAGATCTCAATCTATAGTAGCCCTTATGGGTTTCGAAAATTGATTTGATTTTCTCTAATGATGAGTTTTTGTGTGTGATCGGTAGTATGCTGAATATAGAAGTTGTACTTTTTTCTAGATTTACTAGGTATCAACTGTGCCGAACTATTTCTGCATTTTATTTAATACCGGCGAAGTCGGTTGTGAGTTAATTAAGAAGAGTAGCTACGGAACGAAAACTGCGATGAAAAGGCAACTATGCTGACTACTACTGCTAGCGCTAATAAACTGCTAATACATCCAAAACAGCGTTCTTAACCTCCTAATCCCCTGCACGCAAAAAAGTGCAACAAAGACCACAGCAGCGCTTTTACTCTCTTACATCTTTCTTCTTCAAGCATTATATACCCCACTCCCTTACCCATCCTTCCCCCTTCTTTCCCCTAATCCATTCCTCTTCCTTTCCCCTAACGCCAAGGTAGCAATAAAACCACGCTGCGCATTCTACAAGAACAGTGCCGCGTTTCCGAACACAACACGAGGGACAAGTATAGGTAGTGACGCTAGCATACGTGTTACACTGATTAACTTTATATATATATTATATTGTTTCATTTATTATTTATTTTTTTTATTTACAAGGTATTGTCTAGTACTATAGGGTTTCCTTTTTACACTTTGTGGAGCTGGATACAACAACTGCCACGTAAGAGAGAAATGCTAAACGCACTTATTGATTGATTGCGTGCGTACAGCGTGCTCAAAGGCCACGCAAGCCAGAGAAGTCCATCGACTCAACAGACGCATGCAGGCAGCATCACATAACCAACCAGCCAGCTAGACAAGCAGCCAGATACGCAGGTACGCAGGCACGCCCCTAGGGAGTGCTAAGCAAGGAAGCAAGCAAGCAAGAAAGCAAGAAAGCAGTCAAAAGTAGAAGGGAAAAGAAAACAAGCGTGTAAAAAGTATACTAAACAACAAGTCAACAACCAACCAAGCCAGAGGCTCTCATCCCACAAAGCAAATCAAACAATCAAGCCCCAACCCAACAAACCAACAACCCAACAACCCAACAAGTACGCACGCACATACGCACCTAAACCAGCCCACCCCACACACACACCACACCTCACGCGCCCTCCCCCTCCGCCCCACCCCCACCCCCACCAGCACCCCCAGCAACCTTCCGCTTCATCCGTTCCGCCCACTCCCGACTAGCCAGCCTCCCCCTCTCGGCGGCCTCCGCTCTCGCCCGCCGCGCAGCCTCCTCCTTCTCGCGCCTCGCCACCTCCGCGCGTTCCTTCTCCTCTTTCTCGCGCGCGAAAATCGATCGCGCCTTTTGCTTCTGCGCGGTGCGGTCGGCAGCCGTGACTGTGGATTTCGTGACGGGGCCGGGGCGCGCGCTCGCAGTGGCAGTGGCAGTGGCAGTGGTGTTAGTAGTGTTGTTGTTGTTGCTGGCGCCGCCCCCCTCGCTCGACCCCGCGGCGCTGCCGCCGCCGCCCGTCCCGCTCGTCGAGGTGGACAGCGCGCTGGAGGCGCGCGGCGCAGAGAAGGAGAAGCCGCCGGATGGCGGGGGCGGCGCGCGCTGTTTCTGCTGCTTCGGCGCACCACCAGCTGGGACAGGACGAGCCGGCAGCGCGAGGCTGCGTTTCGCGCCGAGGGTGCTGGGGCGCTTTCCCGCGTCGGTGGGAGCCCCGGCCTTGTCGCGCGTGGAGAGCGAGGCCGTGCGCTTGAGGGGGTTGTTGATGGCGCTGGAGCTGGAGCTGGTGCTTGAGGCGGCTGCGGCCGCATCACCACTGCCAGCAGCAGCACCACCACCATGCGCGAGGCTCAGCCTCGCCGCGGCCGCAGCGTTCAGTCTAGGCGCCGACTCCGGCGCGCCGCGCACGAAGCTCGGCACGGGGCGGGCCTTGAACTCATGTTTCCTGGCCTCAGCCCTGCGGCGCGCGTCGTCTGCATTCTTGGCGCGCGCGTCGAGCGACTGCTTCTCCTGCTCGCGCTTGAGGCGCTCCTCCTTTGCGGCCTTGAGCTTCTCGGCCACGATCTCGCCGGGCAGCTTGAAGGTCGAGACGGTGGGCGGCTTGGAGGACTTGGGCGGGGGCGGCGGCGGCGGGAACGACACGCTGACGGGCCGCCGCTTCAGCGCCAGGTAGTCGACTACTTTGCCTGGCTCGCGTGGCTTGGTGGGTTGGTGTGGGCCTGAGGTTGCGCGGGGCGCGGTGGCGCTGGTGGAGCGCCCTCGCGGAGCTGTGCTGGTGGATGAGGAGGCGGTTGGTGGTTTTGCTGCGGGGGCGGGCTTGGACGAAGGCACGGCAGCGATTTTCTTCCCGGTGCTGGGCTTGGGTGCTGCTGCCGTGGGCCGGCTGCCTACCTTGGGCTTGGCGGTGACGCTGGTAGGGCGAGGCTTCGTGGGCTTGCCCTTGGCGGGAGCGGCTGATGAGGGCGCAGGTGCCGCGGGGGTAGTGTCCGCCTGCTGTGGCTTCTGTGCCTCCTCGACATGATTCTCGGAAGCTTCTGTCGCCTCCATAGAGCTTTCAGGGCGCGCAGATGCTTCAGACATACTGGCTGAATCCGCAGGGGTATCTTGCTCAAAGCTCTCAAGCTCTTCGGTAGAGGGCTGTGCCTCCGAAGTCATAGACTCAGTGAGCGGCGCAGACTCGTCCTCAGCAGGCTCGGAGATCTCCACCTCCTCTTCCGGCTCCGTAATCTCATTGCTCTCGACCGTCTCCGCAGCCCCAACGCTGGTGGCAGGCTCTTCGGATTCCGTGATGTCGTCTGACTGTGAAGCCGTCTCCGCTGCAGCTTCAACAGCATCGGCAGCTTCGACAGGCTGGGCAAGCTCTGCCTGCTCCCGAGCCTCCGCAACATCCGCAGCCTCCAACTGCGCCGCTTCCAGCTCTTGCTCCACAGGAGCCTGGAGGGTCTCGGGGATGACATCCTCCACCTGGTGTTCAGGCTCCTCGAGCTCAGTTCCTTGGGGAGCAGCCTCCTCGGTCTCGACGGTCTCCTGAGGCTCAACCTCAGGCTCAACCTCAGGCTCAGGCTCAACCACAGGCTCCGACGCCTGTTCCACCTGCACCTCAGGCTCAACCTGCACCTGCACCTGCACCTCCCCCTCCCCCTCTTCCTCCATCGCCTTCCCCCTCCCCCTCGTCGACCTCGTCCGCCCCGGCGTCTTCACCTCAGCAGCCACCACATCATCACCGTCATCCCCAACCTTCTGCGCCGCCTTCTTCCCCCGCGTCGATCTCGCCCTCGCAGGCGTCTTAGCGGGCTTCACCTCCTCCTCAGCCTCAGCACCCGCGCCCGCGCCAGCGTCCGCGTCTGCAGCCACCTCCCCCTCCTCCCCCTCACCCCTCTTCGCGCCCCTCCGCGCACGCGTCGAGCGCGTCCGCTTGGGCGTCTTGGCGGGGACGGCGGGCTCAGCTCCATCTTGCTGCGCGCCGGCTGCGGCGTCGGAGGCTTCTGTCTCTGGCTCGGGGTTGGCTTCGGGAGCAACAGTAACAGCAGCAGCTTCAGGCAAGTCTTCGTGTTCGGGCTCAACCTCGGGCTCAACCTCGGGCTCCTTTGCGGCTTTCAGTTTGCGCGCACGCTTGGGCGTCTTTGCTGGGGCTGGGACTGCTGCCGCTTCTTCTGCCTGCTCTTCTGGGGCGGCTTCGGCTTCCGTCTCCGGCGCGGCCACTGCCGCTGCCTCAACCTCGGCCTCAGCCTCTGGTTCAGGTTCGGGTTCAGGTTCCGGCGCAGGCGCGGCCTTCAGCTTCCGCGTCGAGCGCGCCCGCCTGGGCGTCTTCGCAGGGACCGGTTCCTCCGCCTGCTGTTCCGGCACAGCTTCAGCCTCAGCCTCAGCCTCAGACTCCGGCTCCGCCGCCGTCTTCAATTTGCGCGTCGACCTTGCCCGTCGCGGCGTCTTCACCGGCGCGGGCTCATCAGTCTTTACCTCTGCCGCCGCCTCTGGATCCGCGACCTCCGCCTCTGCCTCCTTCTCCTCACCCTTCTGCGCCTTCTTCCTGCCCCTCGTCGACCGCGCCCTCTTCACCGGCTGTGCTGTCTCTTCCTCCTCCTCCATCTCAGCCGGCTCAGCCAGCTCCTCCGCAGCCTGCGCTGCTTGCGCAAGCTGCCGCCTAGTCGTGCGCACCGCGCGCGGCGTCGCGGCCGGGACTTCGTCGCGCATGGGGATCTGGTGCGTATGCGGGACGACGGGGGCACCTACAAGACACAAACAAAACCAGTCAGTCAGACATTACCATCACACTACACCATACGACACGACAGCACAAAACCAGCGCGCATGTTCCGCGCAAGAAAGAAAAAGAAAAAGAAAACAAACGTACCTTCCTCGCCGCCGTACCCCTCCTCGCGCAGTTCCTCGACCGCAGCATCCGACGCCGGGCTCCCGGCCGCCTGGCGCCTGTCCTCGAGCACGGCGGGCGGCTCCTCTAAATTCTCAGCTGCTTCCTCGCCCTCGTCGGCTTCAGGCTGCGCTCTCGTCTTGCGCCTGCGCGTGGGAGCGGCAGCGATGGGCGTGGCGGCAACGGGCGTAGTGGGCTCTTCGGCATTGGCGTCGTCGTTGTCGTTCTCAGCGGCGGCGGCGGTGGATGCGACAGCGTCGCCGGCCTCGTTGTGCTGCGGCTCAGGCTCGGGTTCGGGCTCGTCGGCTGCCTGCTGCGCGCGCGCGGCGGCGCGTGTCGTGCGTGCCATTGCGGTCGTTTGCGTGCGTGTGTGCGTACGGTGGTGTGTAGTGTGTGGTGTCGGCGTGCGCGTTGCCGTGGGGGCGCTTGTGTGTGTGTGTGTGGCTCAGGCACCAGCAACAGCGGCAGCGATCCCTCTAGTCGCAGGCAGGTAGTGTACGCAAACTTGCGATTCTCGCTAGCAATCACACAGAAACCCCGTCGTCTTGCGCAATCACCCTCTCTATCGTCGTCGTCGTAGTCCGTGGTGGGTGATCCGTCGTCGTCCGTCGTCGTGATCAGTCAGTCGAGCGGCAACGGTCGCCGCGGATGTTTTGGGGCGCGGCATTTTGATTTTGCCCGAAAGGGGCTAGCGCCGGGCGTCGCGGCGTTGCGGCGCGGAGATGAGGCGCAGGAGTGATTGGTCTGTCGCGGCTTGCGACGCTGCACGCTTGTTACAACGCGCTGTTATGGCGATTGGCGATTATGATGGTTTGATGTGCGAGGTAGGTCCATGGACATTGGACGGCCTTGGATGGATGTAGCTACCTATTGCCTACCTGCCTATAGTCACGCGCGCCTCCTCCTCCTCCTCCTCCTCCTCATACACAGCTCTCCACATCCTCCACAGGCAGGTCAGCAACAGGCTAACAATACCAACACCACCACCACCAATACCAAGACCACTATCACTATCACTATAACCGCCTATACAATAACCACCTACAACTATACCACCACACCCACGCTCATCCCCCTCATCCTCAAACACGCTCCCCTCACCCCTCAGCACCCTTCATCATCCCACCCCACCCCACTCCCTGCAGCGATCGATCCGCACCCCCTCCCGAGTCCCCGTCCCGGTCCCCGTCCGTCCCTTGCAGCAGCAGCAGCAGCAGCGCGGCCACCAACCTACCTACACTACGCGTCGGCAGTGGAGCCCGCCTCCGGAACGCTCCTGCTCCATTAATCCCTATGGAGCCCCCCTCCCTCGGACCCTTGGACCCTAGCATACAATACACACACACGAGCGCACAGAGCACGCGTTTCGCCGTGACTAAGAGCGTGTAGTCAGGCCGGCTCGCGCCCCCGTCGCATGTGAGTCAGTCAGTACGGAGTAGTCAGTGTCGAATGTAGGTAGGTAGTGTGGAGCAGCGGATGGCGTGCTTGCTTGCCCACCTAGGTAGGCAGGCTGGTTGGCTCTCATGCATGTGCGTGCGTGCATACGAGTACGATTACGGTGCTTGCATGCGTCTTCCTGCGCATGTGTACATACACACCTACGTAAAACTAGGAAGAGACATGGAGGGTGTTGTGGTTACACTTCGAATTACTTGCTGCTAGCTACAACTACCTGCCACTACTACTACTACTACTTCTCCCTATGTATGTGTGTATACGTAAAAAAGCTACCTACCTACCTACCCGCCTACCAACTACGCCCAATTTGCCAATTATGTGTATATGTAAGTATGTATGTATGTATGTACGTGTGCGACCCCAAGCAGCAGCGCAAAACCCACATGATCCCACCCCGCCCTTGTGCAACACCCGCAACTCCTTGCACCGCAAGCGCAGCCGTCTCGCTCCCTTCCTCCACACCACCTATCTACGAGACCCATCCAACGCCCTTCCGCGCCGACACCAGTATGCAGAACCGTATCAGCCAGAAGCCAGAAACAGTGAACAAACAACGAACAACAAACCCACCGACAATAGGATACCAAACCAAGCAATAACCCCCATCCATCGCTATGCTCACCCACTCACTCACCTCAGCAAGCCTCGCCTCTCATCCACCAACCATCAACCATCAACCATCAAACCAGCCACCCCCCGACCACCGCCCCATCAACCACACAAACCCCCAACAGCACCACCGCGCCCGCCAACACGCCCACCCCTCCCATCCCCAACCCTCCCGCCTCGCCGTCCCTCCTTGACGAGACCCAACACGCCAGCGCCACCATCGCAAACGCCAGGTCCGCAACCACGCCCGTCACCACCGCCGGCGCCACCTCGCTGCGCAGTTTGCGCCGACTACTCGCCGCCAGCAGGCCCGTCAAGCCCGCAATGACCGCACTAGCCGCCAGAGCCGCGACGGCGAGCCGCGCCTTTGCGGCCGCGCGGGCTCGCTGCCGTGCCGCGAGCGACGCGAGCAGCGTGTCCAGGGCGGCGGGGTCGGCGCCGAGGGGAGCGGAGCCATGACCACGGGAGTAGTCGCTGGGATCGCTGGACCGGAAGATGTCGATCAAGGAGCTGAGGCGGCGCGAGAGTGACAGGCGAGGGCGACGGGCATGTTGGTTTTCTGAGCCCTCATCGCCCTCGTACTCTGAGCGCGTGAGCGTGCCGTACCCTCCCCCAAGAGTGTCACGCGCCACGCCGCTGAGCTCGTCGTTCTCCGAGCCTTCGGTGGATAGCAGTGATGCGTTCTCGCCCGACGGCCGGCGACGGCCGCGCAGCGTGTCTTTGACGCTCTGAAAGAAGCGGCCGAGCGTTTCCTGCCCAGGCAACTTGGGCGACGCATATGGATCGACATAGATGACGTATGCGTCGTCACCGCCATCTTCAGGATCATCATACTCGTTCCAGTAGCGACTGGCACTGGGGCCGCCACTCTCAGCCGCCTGAAGCGCCGCGAGCTCGCGCAAATGATGGCGGCGCGAAGGTTTGCTCGACTGTTGACCGGCAACGCCGGCACCATCCATCTCAGCGAGCGACGTCGCCGACGAGTCGTTGCGTGCCGCTGTAGAGTAGTGGCTTGTCTGGCCGTCAGTGACAGATGTGTTGGACACGGACGTCTGGCGCGAGCTGAGCGGATCGAGGTGCTTGGACGGACTGGCAGCACCGTGGCGCACTCTCGGCGCCGGTGAGGGTATTTTCCTGATATCACGTTCAAGCATGGGTAGCTATTGTTTGTCAGCGATGCTTATACTGTTGGGCCTACAGGACATACCCAGTACGGAGGCTGCATTGAGGCAGGTTTGCAGCATGTCCAGATAGCATGAGCTTCCAGGGAAAAGCCTCGTATCCGTTCCGTCTTCGAGCAAGGTTAGCAGCGATTTGAAAATCATTAGGTAAAACTTACAAGATGGCTCTTGTCAAGGGCCTTGATGAGTTCGTCGGAATGCCGTCCTTCACCGCGAACCTCAAGCACAGCATGCGGGAACGCGACTACCTCACTTCCCGTATCCCTAAGCCCATCTGTCTCTCCCAGGTGAGTGTGGAGAGACTTATCCATATAGATATCGGTATCCAGAGTGGCCCAGGTGCCATGCTCCGAATCGTTGCCGAGCCCAACAAAACGCGACCGTTTGGAAGAAATGCCAGCTATGGGCCTGATCTCTCGGTTTGAAGAGAGCCAGGACCGCAAGTCCACAACCGGGTTGAGTTCGGTGCTATCAGAATGCGCCTCCGTTTCCTCAACCGTGGATTGCGCGGAAGGGCGTCGAGCATTGAAAGGGCGTCCAATATCTAGGAGGCCAGGAAGGTGTTTGCGCTTCAGCTTTGCACATACCAGCTTTGAATATTCGTTCGACCCATTTGCACTGGGCGCCACTACAGCTGCTTCTCCGGCGGAAGTCCATCTGGCGCTTCCCATGGCACGCACAGCAGGCTTCCCGGGAGTCTCTTCCTGTTCAACGACAGTGGAACCGCTCCGCGAACGGGCATACCTGTCGACGTCATCCATAAACAGCATACCAATCTCATCTCTTCTCCAGATATCAGAGGTGCTGTCAGTCCTCTTCTTTGTACCGAAGCCGCCAGGGCTTCCGAACGGCGAAGATTGCGGCGACGTTTGTGCCCTACCTTCGAAGAACCGCAAGCTTTGTAACAAAAGTACGTGCAGTTCTACAACTTGATCAGCATGCACCCAGTAGGCTGCTCGGGCGCCCAACTGGCCCAGAGGCAGGTTAGCCAATGCCGTGTCCAAGTCAAGCTCAGACCCGGACTCTGCGACTGACTGAATTTGTTTAGGAATAGCAGTCAGGTTCTCTGCGGGGGCAGCAACAGTTGGCGAAGCATTGGTCGCCGAAAGAGCATCGCCAATGGCAATCTTGGGCACCGACTGGTTCTCGCCCGCCTGGTACGCTGCACGCACTGCATGGAGGACGTCGGACCATTCATTCAAGAGCGGACTGAGGTTGGTCCGAGAGAATGTGCCGGGTTGATTGAGGACTTCCTGGGTGAATCGCTTTCCCAGCAATTCTGAGCCAGTCCATTTCTTGTACTTCTTCAACAACTTCGCAAATCCTAGGCGTTGCGCACCCACAAACCTGGCCAGGGATTTGATCTCCTCACCGGCCCTGTTTTTCCGTTAGCATTTCAATGAGCTACAAAACAAGACTGGGCATATGCCTACTTCAGCACATCGGCTTCCACTCTGGCATACTTCTGCCGGCGCTTCTCTGATATCGCTCTATCGGAAGGCGACGATGCCCTTTCGCGTAATGTAAACTGGCGGACCTGCTTGGAGATGTGATCTGAGGAAGATCTTAGCAAAAAAAAAAGTCGGAATGAGAGGGGGGGTGGGTTCGCCTACTCAGGCGTCGCTCAATTTCCCCGGATTTGCTCTTAACGAAGAGATCGATGCGCCGGTACTCATCGGCAAGTGTAACGAACAACTCATCCTCAAAGTGACGTTCGGACTCCTCGCCCTGGCCGGGAATGGACAAGGCTTTGCCCTGGCCGGGGGTTGTGTGTTCTTTGATCAGATGTTTGATTTCATCGTAGTCGACGTTGTCTAGACCGGTCGAACAATCATTAGCGTCTACGTCATAGGCCGACCTCGATGAGGAGCGGAGAGAGGTTGGGACAACACACAAGGGCCCCATTGGGGAATTGAGCGCTGGCGGAGCGTGTCGCCGTACTTCATGCTTCGACGGATGCTATTGGACGTTGTGGTGGGAGAAAGGGCTGGTAAAGCAGACAAGAGCTTCAGGCACGCGACAGAGCATGTGGCGCAAATGACGATCAGCAGGAAGCTGCGAGAGGAAAGCTGGCGGGAGAAGGCGGCAAGCGGCAGTATATGTATATGTGCTCGCGTCGGCCAATGAACGGAATGCACAAAGGATGTCGCAGAAGACAGTGGCAGTGGCGGAGGTGTGTCCTTGTCCGGCGACTGGGGGTTGTGGAGACTGGAGGCTGAGCGCTGTGCCGTGCCTGAATGATAAGCGCGGCTCCGCCAAGACCACCGCTACGCGGACCAGAGGGCGATCAGCGGACTGATGGGCGAGTCGGTCAAGAGAGTCGTCCTTGACAAGACCGTTTCCGACAACTTTTTTTTTGCTCGACGGTAGGAGTAGGTCTGCGCCGCACGCTGATTGGAGAGACCCGCAGCAACCCTGCAACGATCTTTTTGCTCGACATCTCCCGCGCCACCGCCAATCAAGACCCGCGTTACGCCAGTTTCGGAAGCCTCCCGATCGGCCGTCCCCAACCCTAGACCCTGGTTTCGGTGCTTGTAATCCGTATGTTCTGCGTCACTGCGTTTGGGTCGCGTGCTTGTTTGCCCAACTTGTGTTTTGAGCTTCTGTGCCTCTTAGTATAATCTATTGGAAATCCACTCCAATCCTTCTACGTCCTACGTTGCGCCTCCAATTCTTGCGTGGCACCGCCAACACCGCACGCCCAGGAACTCCTCGTCACCGCTCTACGAAGTGTCAAGAGCTTTCTTCCGCCACAAGTCGCCATCGAGTGAGGTCAGAAGTCGAAACAAGCAAAAAGAAGCCCCCATCGGGATACGGAGCTTCAGCCTTCAGGTCTAGATTGGCCCCGCAGCAGGGGCCCTCGACGGCTGTCCCCGCTCGGGTATAGCATTGTCACATCCAGAGGGGCTCCAATGAATGCCGGCCATGGGCCCACGGGTACCACTGGATGGACAGGATGCAATGTTACCGGCATACATCCTGGTATCCCGCTGCAGAAAATCGACAAGGGTCCGTCTCTCAATTCCCTGCTTGGGCAATGGGGGCTAGCTCTCGACTGTCCCGCATGTCGCGTACTCAAGAGCCGGTAGATCCTCTCACCATCCGTTCCGCTGTGGGATGTGGGTATGGAGAATGAATCCGCGGCAAATCAATGCAAGATTGTGTCAGGAGGCGCAAAGGATAAGTTTTTCCTGGCTCCGTCGTGACCTTGCCCTTATCATACCTCGCGTCCGCTGCCGTTTCGTCGCGGAGTGGGGCCCGACGCCGTAGAGGAGCCTGCGAAAAGGAAGACGTGCGCGGCGACTCTCTGTTCTCACCAGTAGGTCACGCGTGCGCCGACGGCATTAGAAAGGCGGGACGAGCAATCTTCGATCAGCACCTAGTTGAGACAGAGGGGGAGCTGATTTTCCACTGACGGAGGCAACCATCAGCATATTCCGTGAGCTGCATCCGCATATCGTGCAACGGAATGAGAGGTTTTTTCCCTCTACCTACCCTTTTCCGAAAAATCCTTGGTCGACGGGAGGCGGGTACATCCTATAGCTGCAGTGGTACCCGTTTGCGGGTCGTTAAACGCATTGTAGTTGATAGACTCCACGTACCATCACACGATCAATTCCCGCAAAGGGGACGCGCGGGACTGTCATGCGACAACCTGCCTCAAATGGAATGCACCCAAAATTGCGTCAAAGGTGCAGTCGGAAATGGAAATGGAAACAAGCGGAGGCGGAGATGCGGGGTTTCCATTATGTCCGGGCGGAGTGCCAAGATGCGGCGGCGGAGCGGAGCGCGACTGCGACCGCAAGCGCGTCCGTGCCCTCAATTTTTCGTGCACTTGATTCTGTCGCGATCCCGCCCACCGTCACGACAGTACGCACACCCGCCATGGCGAAGCTTTCCTTCTCGCCGACCGACTCTATCTCGTCGCATACCCTCTCGGCTCAGTCCAACCAGCCCCCGCCTTCCGATCCGAAGAACGCATCCGCCCAAGCGCTGCTTTCGGCCCTCTCCGCCTCGCCGCACACTTTCCTCCAGCCCACCACTGGCCTCCACAATGCCGCCCTATCGCTCGCGAAGAGTCTTCTTGATCCCCTCGCCTCTGGTGTCAGCGAGGCGCAACTAGCCCGCCGGGAGGAGGCGCGCAAGAAGCGCAAGAGAGGCGAGAGCGATCATGGAAGTGATCAGGTCTTGCAGCTGAAGAAGGTCCACCTCGAAGGGTTCGGAGCAGACCAAATCTGGGAGCAAGCAAAAAGGGTTCTGGATGCTGCAAGGGACGAGGTTGAGCGCGACTTGCCTGACGTGCTGGGCGAATCGGATGATCTGGCTGACGGCGACTCCGATGCGCCAGACGGAGTTAAAGTGGGACGCTTTGACGAGGACGGCTCTGAACTCAGTGATCCTGAAGGCGACGAGGGAAGCAGCCTGGGCGAGGAGGGTGTGGATTGGGAGTACGATGGCGAAGATGTGGATGATGATGAGGATGGCGAGGGCATTGAAGAAGGCTTCCACACTGAAGAGGAAGACGGCGATCTGGATGAGGATGAAATAGACCCGGACCTGGATGATTTCGACGACGAAGACATGTCGGATGAGGACCAACCAGCAGCCGAATACGTTGCGGATCCTCATGGGCTTAACGACGGATTTTTCTCCATCGACGACTTCAACAAACAGACCGAATTCTTGGAACAACAGGATGTTCGAGGCGACCCCGACGATGGTGCTGCAAGTGATGAAGAGGAGGTTAATTGGGAAGCTGATCCCCTTTCCATGAACCCAAGCACCGGCGAGAAGCTCAAGAAACCCACTGAGGATGAGAGCGACGACGAAGAGGATGGTCCTACCTTTGGCAATGCAGACTTGAATGCACCAGAGGGCGCCAGCGACGATGAAATGGATGATGATGATGAGCCCATCGGGGACGATGACATGGAGATGGGCGATTCCTCGAACGCAAACAACATCATGTACGCCGATTTCTTCGCACCACCCGCGAAAAAGGCTAGCAAGAAGAAGAAGGGCCGCCCGAACCCGCATAACTTCCCTGCCGATTACGAGGGTAAGCCGAAGCCTACTGATGAGGACGTCGAACGGACCATGGCCGCTGTCCACCGCGAGCTCTTTGATGAGTCGGAAGATGACAACGCTTCGGATCTCAGCGACGCCGCGCCGGGTGAACCCAAGGCTCGCAAGTCTACTCATGAGCGTCGCCAGGCGAAGCTCGCTGAGGAGATTCGAAAGCTTGAGGCTGCCAACGTCGCTAAGCGCCAGTGGACACTTTCTGGTGAGGCGCGCGCTGCTGATCGTCCTATGAACTCTCTGCTTGAAGAGGACCTTGAGTTCGAACGCGCTGGCAAGCCCGTCCCTGTCATCACCGCCGAGGTGAGCGAGGACATCGAATCCTTGATTAAGCGTCGCATTCTGGCACGCGAGTTCGACGAGGTTATCCGCCGGCGTCCTGACGACCTTGCCACTGGCCCCGTCCGGCGCGGCAAGTTCGAGCTCGACGACACCAAGGCGCAAAAGGGCCTCGCAGAGGAATACGAAGAGGAGCACCTGCGCAAGACGGACCCCAACTACGTTGACGTCAAAGACGAGAAGCTCAAGAAGGCGCACAAGGAGATCGAGGCGCTGTGGCGCGACGTCAGCGGCAAGCTCGACGCGCTCTCCTCATGGCACTACAAGCCGAAGCCCGCGGCGCCGTCGCTGGAGATCCGGACCGACGCGCCGACGATCAGCATGGAGGACGCGCGGCCGACGGCGGGCGGCGACATTGGTGGCGCGAGCATGCTGGCGCCGCAGGAGGTGTACGCGCTGGGCGAGGAGAAGGCGGCCGGCGACGTGCTGACTAAGGGCGGCATGCCTGTCGCGAGGGAGGAGATGTCGCGCGAGGAGAAGGTGCGCAGGCGCAGGCGCGAGAAGGAGCGTATCAAGAAGAGCGGCGCGCCCCAGAAGAAGGAGAGCAAGACGCAGAAGGAGCAGAAGGCTGTGGTGGGCGATTTGAAGAAGGGCGGTGTTAAGATTATTGGTAAGAAGGGCCAGGTTACGGATGTTGAGGGCAAGGCGATCAAGGATGGGAGGGTACAGGGTGGTGCCGGAGCGTTTAAACTTTGAGATTGCGTTGTGGTTGATGTAGGTGATGTGAAGGGTTTTGATATCAATGCTATTTTCTGCCTCTTTGTAGGAGGGTTTTCGTCTTCGCTAAAGCACTCTCAAATATTCTGTTGTTGACACTAGTATTAGGGTGAGCGAGTGATGGTGTGTGGCAGTAATGTAGCGGTGCATTCGCGCTGCTTGGTACTCTGAGTAGGGGAGGGGAGTGGATATGTGGGTCCTTGCCTCGAGAGTTTTGGTTAGCGTGTGGTGCGGTTATGGCGAGGGGCTGAGGGCTTGAGGATGGGTGTGCGTGTGGTGTTTTGCGCTGAATTTTTAAAGGTAGGGGTGTGAGTGAGGGGGAAGTACGTTATGTTGCGTGAAACTGTCTAGAGGCGTATAAAGAGGTGTTTCTGTTGGCGGAGGAGGTGATTATTGTTTAGCTATTTTTGTGGTTTTGTCTCTGCTGTCTTTTCTTAAGTGTATAGAGGTATCGAGAAATTAGCTGAGAGTAGAGGGGGCGCTTATGTGCTGTTTTAAAGTAGGAACGGGGTGTAGCTTACTTTTTCTATTTTAAGTAGTAATGGTCTATCTAGACCCCGGATAATTTACTTACCTACCTCTTAACTATATAAAAAGTAAAATCTACGATAACTATAGGGTACTCCTTTAGTAGTTAAAACTAAGACTACTCCTACGACTACTAGAGTATCTATAAGGGTATAAAAATAAAATATTCAAAGGGTATAAAGGTACTTGTAAGATATAGAGACCTAAAATTTTTAAGAGTAGAAAATACATTATATAATTCTGTAGATGCTATCACGTGGGGTGGGCAAATATCCAGAGGGGGTGGGCAAATTATCCGGTGCCGTCTATCGAATCACTAACAGGAGACTGATAGATATATCTATCATGAAACAAGAAACTTGGGGAAAACTATCTAGTTGTTTGAGTTTGCTAAACGTGTGTTTGCCTGCAGCTTGTTCCGCGATTTCTTTGTGGGGTGATTTCATGGTTGGTAGGACAATCATGGTCGCAGTTGCCTAATTTGCCTGCTCACCGAACCGGTACCGTCTGTTCCTGCCAAGTGAACCAGTCAGAAGTGAAACCGACTCAACTATAAAAATTCCTAGCCCTCCACCTCACTTGTTCTTCCCATCTCTCACAACTCTAACAACCTCATTATGTTCACTTCGTCTTCAGTGCATGAGGAATCCGAAACTGTCGACATTCCAAGTGTTTTGCACAGCCAGGAAACCTACGAGTTCATCGGCTTCACACCACAAGTTGCCGCAGACATATGGCAATGCTTTCTTACGCAGCCACCTGACCTTGACGGAAGTTTTCTCGATTTTACGACGGAGCACGTAGGGCTGCATCCTATTTCGGATGCCGAAAGTGGCCACGATGACTGGATTGGATGCCTCCAGGCTCTTGGGATTAACGACCAGCTGTCGACCGCCATCCTGTTACCTGAATATGACGACATCAGATTCTCGGCTACCTGCAAATACTGGGTGCTCGAGTCACTTGTTTCCACGTATCATGCACTTCAAAATCTTACCAGGGGAAATGTCAAGTATGCAGAGACTGTCGATGCCATCCCTGGTCATCATGTCGTTTGGTGGGCTGGCGACAAGTCTCAGGCTGCAAGATTCTATGAGCATGAGACTGGAAAGATCAACCTCGCCTCAATTTCAACGGCACCTGGAGACTTCAGTGGAACTTTTAGAACCGCCTATTTCACTCCCCAAAGAGAGACGGCGGACAGGTATGCGTGCTGGAGGAAACATAAACAGCCTATATCAGAAATTGCGGTAATCCAAGTTGCTGTTCCGGACGACTTCATCAGAAGCTTATCAACACAATACCTATGGCTCAAAGACAGGTCTAGGCCTTCCGATGAATGGAAGGAGCTCATCTGGCATTCAAAACGGGGAATGCGCCTCCCCAAAGATCTTAGGTGAATGAGTCAGAAGGATCTGTTGATTGGACATATTGCGTCTGGGCTCAATTGCAAGTTCCACGGCATCGACAACCCAACCGACATTAAGGAGACGGACTTGGTCACGATCAAGGTGGACAGCACGTCGATGAAGTCCATCCAATGGGTTTTTATGACAGACGATGCAATGGACGGGTTCGAGGAGAATTGTAAAGGAAAGGTTCAGTTCTATTCCCTGGGAGCCCTTAAGGTGCCAAAGATGGTGGAGTGAGGGACTTCTTCAACACTATTATTTTTCAGTTACGTTTGTGATCATCACCTCCTGTTCCTGCCAAACGCCACCACCGCTCATAAACGTCAACCATTACCACCATCCCAACATATCTAAAGGTCACGGATAATTTCCCTATCCCCTCTAAACATTCTGTCCATCCTACGTGATAAAATTTAGCTGTAAGAATATAACTTACTTTATACTCTTAAATATTTTCTATCTTTGTACCTTTATGAGTACGTTTATACCCTCTAATTGTTTTTGTTTTTATACCCTAATCAAATACTCTAGCACTTGCAAAAACTCGCGCCTTCGTGTATTACTAAATACTGTTATTATAGGCGCTAGGTAACTACATAAATGTAGAAAGGTACTACTAGACGTAGCGTAGTAATTAATTATAGCTACCTAAAGAGTACTCTATATGTATAGGAGATCTTACTCGATTTCTAGTTAAGGAGTAGGTAGCGTATCTTAGAGGAGACGGGTACTGTTGCGACAGCGAGCGAATGGAACGGTTGTGGAAGGTAATATCATGTCTCTTTCCAGCCCACACCATCGGTATATATAGCCCAGAACCAAAAATCACTTCGAGTGCAGGGCTCTGTCGAAATGCTTATGTGCGTTGGCTATGCTACGTATGAATGCGTAGTATGGTTCGCGTGTATAGGTGTTGGGGGTACTGCGCTCGTTTTTGTTTTGGGACGTTCTGTGTTCGATTCTCACTTACCCCGCACTTTGTTTTTTGTGTGGTCTGTCTAACCGACTCGTTTGTGTAACGAGATTGTTTTTGATTTATGGTTTGGGCTCGCTGAGTTAGATGTACCTGGTGTTGCTGCTTAGATTAAGACTGATTGGTTTTGCTTCTGAATTTTTAGTAGTGTCTCACGGGTAGGTATGGGAGTTCACTGAATATATGGTTAGCAGATAGACATGCGCAGTGGAGGAAACACAAATAGAAAAAGGTCTTAATACGCACTTTAATCATACTAATGGCCGTTAGGTGATACATAAGAAGCAGGCTAAAAAATCTTTCAGTGATGCTTGAGAACTCACTGCTAGCTGGTTAAGTAGGCCGAAGCCTTATATCTAATGGCGAATGCCGCCTTCCCCCAAAAGGAAGCAATATTAAGACATTGGCAATTCCTATGCGCTAGCAAATAAATCCGGGAAGTATAAAACTGCATTAACTAAGGACGCGTTACTTATACAGTGCTTGTTTGGCCCACTCAGACGCCCGTTTGCTACAATCAGAAGCCTAAGTAGACGAGATACTTATCTGCCGCAACAGTATATGATTACAAAAAATCAACACATACTTCAGCAAGTCAATGGCCAATGCTGGCAGCCTAGCAGGGTGGTTTCGCATAATGGGACGGGAACGTCACCATATAACGAGACTTGAACTAAACAGCTGTAATCAGAGGCTAAACCTCTGCTCTTTTTGTTTTCGAACGTTCTGCGTTCGATCCCCTCACACCTCGCGTTGAGTTTTTTTGTGTGTGCTCTGTCTAACCGACGCTTTTGTGTAACGAACCAGGGTGGTTTTTTGCTTTTTGTGCTTTGAGCGCGAGATTGCTTCGATAGCCAACCCCCATCCCACAGACCCACAAGTCAGCATTCATACCTACTCCCCCATCAAACCAGACATGAACCAGGAACCCTTACCTGGAGACTTCTTTTTTCAATCATCTCATTGCCGGGCGCTCATGCCAGAAGCCAATGTGGTCTCGAATCTCGTCCCGCTCCCCCATTCACCATGAACCCGCTCCCCCAATCATTCACCATGAACACGCTCCCCACCACCACCCACAAACATTAACCCGCATCACCACACCGAGAAGCTGTCCCTCACCACCGCCACACCTCCCACATATCCCAACATAACGTATCTGACCCCCCCCCACACATGCACGGCACAGCACAACCCCTTCGAGCATAGACCACCCGCGTCGCGGATCGAACATAGTCGTGGAAATGATGAGTCGTCTGGAGGTATGACCAAGCGCCTGATCCCGACGATGTCGGCTCTGGATCTAGGAGCTGGGTGGAGGGTTATTTATAGTCATCGATCACAGGCAGTTAGTCGACTACTAACTACCTCTACGCGTGCATGAGCATGTCATATCATTGATCTGATTTCCACTATCCAAAGGCTTCCTCAGGAAGCACGTCTCGCACAAGAAGCACACACAATCCCTCAAACATTCACACTCACTCAATCACATCACTCAAGCAAGCACAAGCAAAGAGAATTCTCAACCATGAAACGTTATAATATCTACCTGGACACACCCCAACGCCATACAGTGATACCCCAACCATAAAACCCCCGATGCCCATGAAAAAAGCACAAAACCCATTCATCCAAGCATAGCCATAGCCCATGCATATCTAAACATGCAATCTGCAGCAATTAACCGCCCAATCCTTTAACCAGAGCACATGACACAAGCATCCTTGTTCTCAATACTGCACTGCAGCACCGCATCGGCGTAAATGTCGCCTTCGCGATCATTCGAGTCGCCCTCGACGTCTTCCTCCTGGCCTGCCGGCTTCGGCTCACGCGGGCTCGGCAGCTCCTCCTCCTTGGGCACTGCGTCCGTAGGATCTGTGCTCAGCAGCTTCGGCGAGTCGCCCTCGGCCACATCCGCCTTGAAGCCCGGGTTCGGGTGCGCCTCCTTGCGCGGCGTCGTCAGATCCACCTTTTCCTGCGCAGGGGTAGGTGATGCCGCAGGGGGCGGAGGCGTGCTTTCGGGAGTCGGCATGCCGGTGTTGTCGGTCGTCGAAGACTTGCGCATGTACATGGGGCGAGGCACCGACGAGGCCTGGTAGCTGCCAGCGCCCATGTTGGTGCGCTTGGGGCGCGCCTGGCGCGCAACGTTCGTGTCGGCGACCTTGAGCGCCTCCTGGTCGACGGTGAACTGGATAGGTGCCGCGGCGGCCTGCGTGCGCAGGTAGTACATGCCCGTCTTCAGGCCAAGCTTCCAGCCAGCAAAGTGCATCGACGTGATCTTGCCCATGGTTGGGTTCTGCATGTGGATGTTGAGCGATTGCGACTGGTCGATGAAAGCGCCACGGTCGGCAGCCATGGTGACGATGGTGCGCTGCGAGATCTCCCACACCGTCTTGTACAGGGCCTTGATGTCATCGGGGATGTTGGGGATGTTCTGGATGGAGCCACCAGACGCGATGATGCGGTTCTTCATGTTGTCAGACCACAGGCCAAGGTCGACAAGGTCCTTAAGCAGCCAGGGGTTGACGACCTGGAACTCGCCGGCCAAGACACGGCGGGAGTAGATGTTGGAGGTGTAAGGCTCAAAGCACTCGTTGAAGCCGAGGATCTGGCTGGTGGAGGCAGTGGGCATAGGAGCGACGAGTAGTGAGTTGCGGGTGCCGTGCTCGGCGATCTCAGCCTTGAGAGCCGTCCAGTCCCAGAGCTCCGTAGGAGTCTTCTCCCACATATCGTACTGCAAGATGCCCTGCGAGGCCGGGGAACCCTCGTACGACTCGTAGGTACCGAATTCCTTAGCCAATGCAACGGAAGCAGTCAGCGCACCGTGGTAGATGGTCTCGAAGATCTGGATGTTGAGCAGCTTGGCCTCGGGAGAGTCGAACGGCATGCGGAGGGCAAGGAAAGCATCGGCAAGACCCTGAACACCAACAGCAATGGGACGGTGACGGAAGTTGCTCTTCCTGGCCTCGGGAACGGGGTAGTGGTTAATGTCGATGATCCTGTTCAGGTTCTTGACGAGAACCTGGGTGACCTCGTGAAGCTTCTGGAAGTCATAGACGCCGTTGTTGATATCAACAAAGGTGGGGAGAGCCAGGGAAGCAAGGTTGCAAACAGCGACCTCGTCCGGAGCGGTGTACTCGACAATCTCACAGCAAAGGTTGGAGCTGCGGATGGTACCAAGGTTCTTCTGGTTGCTCTTGCGGTTGCAAGCATCCTTGTAAAGCATGAAGGGGTTGCCGGTCTCAGTCTGGGCCTCGAGAATGTGGTACCAGAGCTTCTGGGCGCGGACGGTCTCGCGACCACGGCCCTCACGCTCGTACCTCGTGTAAAGCTCCTCAAACTCGTCACCCCAGACGTCGGCAAGACCGGGAGCCTCGTTAGGGCAGAACAGCGTCCACTCTCCGTTGGCCTCGACACGCTTCATGAACAGATCGCAAATCCAAAGAGCGTAGAACAGGTCGCGAGCGCGGACTTCCTCCTTACCGTGATTCTTCCTCAGGTCAAGGAAACTGAAGATGTCGGCGTGCCAAGGCTCGAGGTAAATGGCGAAAGCACCCGGGCGCTTGTTGCCACCCTGGTCGACGTAGCGAGCAGTGTTGTTGTATACACGGAGCATAGGGACGAGACCGTTCGAAGTACCGTTGGTACCGCCGATGTAAGAGCCAGTAGCGCGAATGCGGTGGACGTTGAGACCGATACCACCGGCAGTCTTGGAGATCATGGCGCAAGTCTTCAGGGTGTCGTAGATACCCTCGATAGAATCCTCCTTCATGTCGATCAAGAAGCATGAAGCCAATTGGGGCTTGGGAGTTCCTGCGTTGAACAGAGTAGGGGAAGCGTGCGTGAAGTACTTGTTGGACATGAGGTTGTAAGTCTCAATGACCTTCTCAATGTCCGCGCCGTGGATGCCAACAGCCACTCTCATGATCATCTGCTGCGGCCTCTCGGCGACCTTGCCGTCAATGCGGAGCAGGTATGATCTCTCGAGGGTCTTGAAGCCAAAATATTGGTAGTTGAAGTCGCGGTCGTAAACGATGGCGGAGTTGAGCTCGTCGGCGTGCGTCATGATGATGTCGTACGTCTCCTTCGAGATCATAGGGGAGGGCTTCTTGTTCTTAGGGTTGACATATTCGTACAGATCCTTGATGACAGCCGAAAACTGCTTCTTTGTCTGCTTGTGGAGGTTGGAGACGGCGATACGTGCGGCGAGGATGGCATAGTCGGGGTGGGTAACGGTCATGTACGCGGCAGTCTCAGCGGCCTGGGTGGGAAAGGTGTCAGTGTTCGCTCAATGGTATAATGCTCGCGTGTAGAAACAAACTAACCAGGTTGTCCAGCTCAATCGTGGTGACTCCGTGGTAGACGCCGGAGATGACCTTCTGGGTGATGGCAGCAGCGTCGACGTGCTCGGGGTCAAGGCCATAACATAGCCTCGAGACACGGGCGGTGATCTTGTCGAACTGCACACGCTCCTTCCGTCCATCTAGAGCGTTGCGTCAGTACGGGCCGGGCGACGGCGAGGACGCAGAGACTTACCGCGCTTGTGGACAAACATTGTGGCGACAAAAGCTGGGGTAGAAGAAACTAAGCGGAATGTCGACACAAAGGCAGGCGAAAGGAGGGGGTATCAAAGTGGGTGGAGAGGTGGATTAGAGAGGGTGCATGGGAGAAGGGCTGGCGGTGGTTTTTGTAGCGAGCGTCGACACGCCAGAACGCGTCTTCTGGCGTTGCAGTCCGTGCTCGTGTTTTCTGCTTGATAATGTCATGGATCCCCGCGCCAACCACGCCAACCACCGACCTCGCAGGAACGGCACGCGTTACAGACGTGTCGGTGAGCGCCATCCCGTCACTCTTTCGTCCTGCTGCCTGGCCAATGTGTTAAATTCTGGGGTAATTCCTTGCTATGACAACCGACACCGGGGCACCTCTGCACCTTCACATGCTCGCGTCGTCATCTCATCAGATAAGATCATCAGATAAAATCCATCACCCATCTCCACTCACACTAGAGCGACCCTGCTAGACCGTTATTGTATCAGATCTACACCACCTTCCAAGCACTCTTCCGGTAGATATAAGTATTTGCAATCCACTACACTTAGCAGTCGCGATAAAGGAATTTCACAACTGTTCGGCAGAAAACAAGTCACATACCCTTACAAGCATACAATCACCCAGAACAAAGCAAATCAACCAACAAATAGGCCAATCCACAGTACCTATATAACTCTACACCTAACCTACCCACTACCTACTCCATCCACTCCTCAGAAATTAAACTCATCATCAATCATCCCCAGCCCCGAAAACACATCATCATCTGCACTTCCTCCCGCATCCAAAACCCCCTCCATACCGGTCCCCTCCCCCAGCGCGCCCAAATCCAACTCCCCATCATCCGCCCCACCAGTCCCAACCCCCAAATCCAAGCCCTCATGGCCCTGCAATCCAGCGCCCAAATCCTGCGCACCAGCGCCCTGCCCACCAGCAGCATCCCCACCCCCACCGGCTCCAGCACCATCTCCCGACCCACCTCCGCCACCACCACTACCCCCACCTGTGATCCCCACGCCCACGCCTGCGCCGCTCAGGTCCATTCCCCCGGTACCGCCCATCTCGATTCCTTGCATCATGGCTCCCGCCTCTGCACCCCCAAGCGCCACATGGTCGACTGCCGCCGCGGCCGCAGCTACCGGGCCCGCCAACTGCGCCTCCACGCGGCGCAGCAGCCGGATCGCCGCCTCCGCAACACCCGGCTCGCAGCGCTGCAGCAAGCCCGCCGCGTCATCGTGGAGCTCCGCTTTGAGGGTATCGCGTAAATTCAGTCGCGGATGCGGCTGCGGTGGCGCTGGTACCGGCGACCCCAGCCACTGCGTCGGCGTGCAGCTGTTCTTGAGCAGCGGGGCGCAGACCATGTTTGTCGCGATGTCGAGGGCGACGGCGCCGGCGCCGGCTCCTGCACTCGTGGTTTGGGCTTTGAGTTCGTCGAGGAGAGCGTGGAGGACCTTGCGTGGGGAGAAGAGTTGTAGCGCCACGAAGAGCTGGCGGTGCGTGTATGCTGGCGGTGTGGGGTTCAGGTCTGCAGTGCTGTTCCAGAGCGCGAGGGACTGTATCGTGTTGCGTAGTGAGAGGCGAGTTGATGTGCCTGGCGTTGCCATCCAGGGCTCCAGCTCGGCCATGCTTGGGTAGGGCGTGCGTTCCCAGTCGTGACATGAGTGGACTATGTCTAGTAGAGGGCCCACGTCGGTGCGTTGTGGTTCGCGGTGCTGGATGCTCTTGAGACAGCGCTCGAGCCGCCGCGAGACGATTGCCAGGATAGTGCTATGCATTGCTTGGGCGTCGCCTGATATAGAGGCGGGTCGGATGAGCCGTGTCAAGACCTGCATGGTTATGTCGAGATCGGATGGCTGCTCAAGCGCATACGAGGTCATCCATTGGACGGCGCCAACAAGGCATGGAAGAAGGAAGGTCTCCAGCAGGACTGCAAATATCAGTGGTCTCTTCTACAGATATACACGATACATGGAACTTACATTCCAGCCCGCCTTTCACCGTATCGAGGCTGAGCACATCTTCTGATATCGCATATATCGTCTGGTGGAACAGTGTTGGCACGAGCAAATAAAAGTCTTGTGGCTGACAGCTTGATAAAAGCTCGTCACTGATGCCCTCTGGATCGTACAATCCGTGGATCCAACCAGAAAAGTGCTTGTTCTGCTCCTCGGTCATTTCTGAAGGCAGCAAGCTCACATGGCCACGTTCTAGTAGCTGAGCAACAAAAGATCCTTCTTCAAGACCGAGCTCGTACGTTTGTAGATCGTGACGGTGAACGAAGGCCAGGACAAGCAGCAAAAGCGCACCGAATTCATCATACACCGGCTGATATTCTCCTGCACAGCGTTAATCATATATCTTTCGAAGAGTCTTCGTAATATGCTCTTACCTTGATCTTCCTCGTTCTTCCATGTGTCAAGCAGCTGGCATATGGGCTGGAGGATGCTGATTGGCGATGTATACTGCAACATGATATCTAGTGACCGAGGTTTGCGTGACAGTGCGTTGCAAATAGTCTTGAGAGACATCGTCTCCCGTGTTGCACAAAGATTACGGATGATCTAGGTAGAGGTTTCGTGGTTAGTCGTGGGTCTAAAAGGCCCTTTGAATAACTCACCTCAGTCATAGCTGCTACTATTGCGCCAGCATTACCATCCATGCCCTCAATCTCGTTCAAAAGCTCCTCAACACGCTCAAAGTTTGTTGAACATTGGGCAACCAAGTTCTCCTTGATGTACTTCCCCGAATCTGGCACGCTACTCATAGGCGTCTCGCCGAGAAGACGCTCGATACTAGACTCAGGAATGAGTCGATGCAAAGCACAGGCAAACAAAAAGTCCTGCCGAACATCGGATAGCATGCTGTTTCCGACAGTCATGTCAAACGCTTGAGAAAATGACGGGAAGGCATTACGATCAATATGGTTCAGTGCTTGTGTAATGCAGAGCTCCGGGGTCAGCGGCGGAAACATTGATCCGGCGAGGATCGTCAGGAGCGTGGGTATCTTGTTGACAAGGAAAGACCTGAAGTTGAATATCGTTTCGTTTGATTCGGTCCTTCCATAGGTGGCATTGTTCATGGCCGCCAAGACATCGAAAGAAGCTGTTACGAGGTCGACAGCAAGTGATTGGATATCCCCCTAATCTGGTTAGAAGGTATATAGTTGCGGCTGTAAGTGGGACAAACCTTGTATCGAGTGTGCAGGTAGCTTAGGACCATATTATCGTCGGTTAAAGGACGAGCAATGAGCTGTGCCATCAGCGGCCGAAAGCAAAACACAGGGAGGATTGTTCGTCATACCAAAGAGTTAATAAAGACATAGAGTCCCGCTCTAGTGTTGATAAGAGGCAAGTCCATAACGCTCTCGAGCTGCAAAAGTGCAACTTCATTGCTGAGGCTAACCGAAGTATCGTTGGGGCCAGTTCCAGTGTTTTCAAGTAGGTTATACTGCTTTTGAAACATGGCCAGTCTTTCTGCTAACGCTATCCCCCCAGCCTGACTCAACTGTGGATTGAACAAAGCCAAAGATTGGGCCAAAGATTTGCGCAGCGCTGATTCAAAGTTAGCGACGGAGCCCTGAAGTGGGAAGAGCTGGTCGGAAATTATGAAGAGGAAGGCCCGCTTCATGCGCATGGGCAGGTAGGATACGCACCTTTGGGCAAGGCCACCTCCATTACACCTGCGACTTTTACGTTTTGCATGACATAGGTAATCAACATCCCAAGTACCAGAATTGATTGAGTTCGAGTTGCCTGCGCTTCATCGGGCATCGAATGCATCACCGGATCAGCCGCATGAGGCGTGACGATAGCAGACATCCACTGCGAGAGAACCGCTAGTGTAGATAGAACCTCCTTCACCGACCTAGGCCTCTCGCCAGTTTCATAGGCCTTCGACAATCTGGTAAAGACAAGTTCTTCCATCTCCGGAGTGATATGCCCATGAGATATTTGCTTCTTGGGCGACTTCGGCGTCTCTTCCGCGCGAGCCGGGCGGTCGCGTGAGTAATGGAAGAGGGCAGTGAGAATATCCGGAGGCCCCAGCAAATCCAGCGCTAACAGCCGCTCCAAGTACACCGGGACCAGAGGGTCAAGGCAGGAGGTCGCACGCGACCTGGGCCGGAAAAGCGCCTGCGCGATCACAGTCCCATCGCTGCGCATCATCTTCCGCATCTCAATCGCAAACTTCTCAAGCTTTTCCGGACTGATGCGATTGTCCAGACATCGGTCGACAAAGGTCGTCCAGAGGGCCATTGATGGTTCGCGAGCTCTTGTCCGGGGTAGGCTGGGTGTTGGGTGCGCCATTATGGTAACTAAGCTCGGGCGGCAGTTGGGGTACGTTTCTGTCACTCGAGCATGGCCCTTTTCAAGAAGACGCCTTTCTCTGTTAGGCAGACGGCCGTCGATGAGCGAACGGGCGGGTCGATCGTTGTTTTGACAAGATGTCTTAGGTCGCGCCTGCGCTTGAACCACCTGCACGAATTAGGCAAAGTGCGCTTAGTCATGAAAAATCGGCGATGCATCGAGTCACGGGGTTACACTTCAAAGCAAACTTCGTAAAAGATATAAAATCGGTCATGGTCGTTGCTCAGTGAGCGGTGCAAGCCAATGGTTATACAGCTAACCCTGTTTACGACGTTTGGCCTTGTCAGCAAATCCTGACCTTTCAAAAGGCATTCCTTGGTATATCCGGCTATAATTTGCGCAGTCTTTCGCATACCTTTGCCGTTATAACGAGAGAGAAACGTTGTAAACAGCCAATGTTAAATTAACAGCCTGAAGCTGCTGACCAGTCCAAACTTTGTAACTAGGTTTCCCTGTAAAATCCCTTGGAACTATCGCAGAAATCATGTCCCAAAATCCAGATGTATGCTCCTTTCCCTGCCATTGTCAACGGCTTTTAACGCCATGCTAAGGACCGGACTCCACTTCCCTGGCCTGGAAAAGACCCCTCCCGCTACGTCAGATGAGCCTTATGGCCGTTCGATGCTCTCCGCCGGATCATCCATTGCTTCTGGTGCCCTGGGACCAACCATCCAGTCTTCCATTGCGAGCCATTCACTCCACGTTTTCTCTGCGCCCTCGATTTCCTCCAACTGGACGTTCTGGAGCGGCCTTAGGAATGGCACGGTCTCGTGCGGAGACATGTCGTACTGGTACTTGACCTTGGCCCAGCCGACGCTCTTGGCCGCGAAGAGGTAGTTGCGGCGCTCGCATTCTTGAACGGGGCCCACTCCTTTCCGCCAATCGTCGCCAAAAAAGCCGTGGAGAATGCCTTCCTTGTCGAAGCCCGTGACGACCAAGCGCCGAATGAACGGCACAAGCGAAACCCACACGGAGCCGGGACGAGGAGCATGGGGGGCCGGGCCGTGTCTGGACCACGTGGGGGGATAGGCACCCGGGCCGGTGCCCGGTGGAGGCATGCCAGATGAGCTCATGATGGGGTTCTGGGTCCACTGGTAGGGCAGACAGATGTTGACCAAGGCAGCGACAGCCTGGACGGGCCCGTCGTGCTGGGCATGGTCAAGGAAGTAGCGCTGGCAGCTTTGATAGGCGGGATGCCACTCGAAGATGTCGAATTGCGGGTCATTGATCATGCCGCGTGGGCCCTCGGAGGGAGGTCCGGAGGCGCCGAATGGTCCAGCTCGTGAGGACGAGGCTTGGGGGTATCCGTTGGGGAAGGCGGAGTAGGCCATCGCATGAGCCGCAAGTGGCTGTGCGAGAGGTGCGATGGAGGGGAGAGGGAAGGGTGGTTCGCGGCGGGCCGGGTCGCGAAGGAATGGTTGAGGTTAATCTAAGCGGTGGTGACAAGCGCCGGGGCAGAGAAGGGCTGTACCGTCCGCCTGGTGTCTTGGACCGGAAGGCCCTAATCTTATTATATACGGCGGCAGCCTCCTGACGACGGCCCCACCGCCTGGGTTTGGCATTGCTTCTGTTGTATAGAAGGTCTATACGGCGGCTGGCAGGATTGACGCAAGGAAGCTGTGGCGCGGGCGTTGCGACCAAACGAGCGATTCTGGGCCGGAGCTGAGCAGACGCGTGACAGCCGGCATGCATGGGGGCACGGCTGGAAATAGGCACGACATAGCGATGCCCCGGACTGACGATTGCACGGAGGCGCCGAGGGCTGGTCGAGAGCGGTCGGATTTCACCCCCTCCGCCTCGCTCCCTCCAGTCTGCACCGTCGCATGGCGCGCATGAACCTTGCGCCTCGCAGGGGCCCGCGGACCCCTTTTTTGCGCCGTCTCGCCGTCGTGCCCGGGTTGCTGGGTTTGCGAGGCTTTCCCAACAGCCGCCACGCTGGGTGCGGCAGTGCGTCATACCCTCGCCTCCAAAACACATCATCCGCGTGCCACCCGCCGCCGCCGCTTGTTCCTTTCCACCTACCACTACTCCTACGAGTACCTACTTTGTTCAGCCAGCATACCCTAACCGTAGCCCTACCACGTAGTATTTCAAATTTCGCCGCGACCATGGCTTTCTCGCTCTCCACTCGCGTCAAGGCACGCCGTTCCCCCCGTCAATAGCTCCGCCGCCGCCGCCGTAGTAGTAGCTAGCTGACGACGTGCTGCACCAGCTCTCCAATGGCCTCTCCATGCCGCAGATTCATCTCGGCGTCTACATGATGCACGGCCGAGAGACGACCCAAGCTATCCAGTGGGCGCTCGAAGTGAGTAAAGCTCCATCGTTTGTTCATTTCCACCACCCGGATCCGGGGTTACGTCGTTTCCGACCGGCCCTGCAGCGCGCCCTCCTACGCCGCGTCCAGTTAGTCTCGGCCTAGGTCCCGCGAGGCGCCTGTCCCTCGGGATGATCCAGCCTGCTACGCCCTGACAAGCATGCTGGTGACATGAAGACAGCCATTCCATCTGTCGGAACCGCCAATCGCGTCATGATGCCATCCAAAGCAGTCTCCTGCATATGAGGACGTAGCTGACAATCACAGGCTGGATATCGTGCGTATGTCTTCCCGCCGCTTCATCATTTGACGTCTACCAACCAAAGTGATCGCCCGCCAGGATCGACTCGGCCCAGATGTACCATAATGAACGCGAATCAGGCCAGGCGATCAAAAGCTTCCTCACAAGCAGCGGTTTGAAACGCGAAGACGTCCACTTTACGACGAAATTGGCGTCCAACGGAACGTACGACGCCGCCAGACGCTCAATTAAGCAGTCACTGAAGGCCTGTGACCTCGGATATATTGATCTATTTTTGCTACACAGCCCCTATGGTGGGCCTGAGGCCAGACTCGAGAGCTGGCGGGCGGTCGAGGATGCGATCCAAGAGGGCGAGATCAAGTCGGGCGGAGTCAGCAACTACGGTGTCAAGCACCTGCGAGAGCTGCTCGACTCCAAACCCCGCATTTTGCCGGTCGTCAACCAGATCGAGGTGCACCCGTTCAACACGCGCACCGACATCACGACCTTCTGCCAGCAAAACAAGATTATAGTCGAGGCGTACGCGCCTCTGGTGCGCGCGGAGAGGATGGATCACCCAGTCATCTTGAAGCTAGCGAAGAAGTATGGTTGCAACCAAGGGCAGTTGCTTGTCCGCTGGAGCGTGCAGCACGGCTTTGTTCCCCTCCCCAAGAGTGTTAACCAAAAGCGCATCATCCAGAACGGTGATATCGGCGGGTTCGAGATTGAGGAGAAGGACATGAAGGAGATGGACGGATTGGACGAGTATCTGGTCACAGGTGAGAGGTTTCCCTTTACAGTTCAGCCTTCCCCAACCCCACGGCCGCGAGGGCCCTCTGGCGAGCAGGGTCTTCGGCAGTCGGCTTGTCCCCGGTCATAGCACGCAAACACCCCACGTTGTGTGACAGGCAGGACCTTTGGGACTTGCATAGCCCCGCACATTGTGAAACGGAGGAGTTGTGGTGTTGTTGATGCGGCCGGCGGCGACGGGCGTCACGCGTTCGAGTGCGATTTGCTGACACGGGGCCAGACTGGGATCCGACGGACACGGCGTGATGGGCATCGGGGAGAGACGGAGCGTGGTGTGAGGAATGATGGAGATGGTTCCCACGGTAGTCTTGCAACGGCCGTTACCGGAGGGCGCTTGTCGAGGCAGTGGGGGTTGCCTTGGGCCGGAAGGACATTTCAATGACAGCGTGGAAATACAGCTTGTCGGAGCCGGAGATGGAATTTTCAATGGCCTCGCGTGATGCTCGGGACCGGCGCGGTGGCGCGAGGCTGTCAGCGCGATTCTGTAACGTAACGGCTTGCCGAGTGGATGGGGCGAGACGGGCGGCGGCCAATGGCTAGACAGTGGCTTATCAGGCACGCTCTCAGGGTCGACCATGTTATCGATACCGCCCGCTCCCGATCTAGTGGATCTGATCGGATTCGTCGCCAGGAAGCTGCTGCTCCGACCAATCGCGCGCCTGCCTCACATATGCTCGCCCACGCCTCGCCGCGCCCTGTGACGTCTCAGCACTCCCACCAGCCCGCGGGCGACGGGCTCACCTATCCACTGTACTCGATTCTTTCTCCCAATGCCATCTTTTTTGCCCCGAGCTCAAGCTGTTCATAAATAACGAACCACCTCTGGCCCTCTGTCTCGATATATCTCCCTCTCTCTCCATAATCTTTTCTAAATAAACCACCCCAAACTTTCTCACCACACCCGCCGCAAAAATGTCTAACCTTCCCCACGAGCCCGAGTTCGAGCAGGCCTACCAGGGTAAGCTACCTCGTCCTCACCTTTTTCCCCACCGACATCGGCAATGCTAACATTCGCCTCTCACAGAGCTTGCCTCGACCCTCGAGAACTCCACTCTCTTCCAGAAGCACCCCGAGTACAAGACCGCCCTCAAGGTCGCCTCCATTCCCGAGCGCGTCATCCAGTTCCGTGTCGTCTGGGAGAACGACAAGGGCGAGCTCCAGGTCAACCGTGGTTTCCGTGTCCAGTACAACTCCGCTCTGGGCCCCTACAAGGGCGGTCTCCGCTTCCACCCCTCCGTCAACCTTTCCATCCTGAAGTTCCTTGGCTTCGAGCAGATCTTCAAGAATGCCCTCACTGGCAGTAAGTCTTTCCTGAAGCATTGGCGCCGCGCAATGAGCATCGGCTGACATAATCCCTCCAGTCTCCATGGGTGGTGGCAAGGGTGGTGCCGACTTCGACCCCAAGGGCAAGTCTGACTCCGAGATCCGTCGCTTCTGCGTTTCCTTCATGCGCGAGCTGAGCAGGCACATTGGTGCTGACACCGACGTTCCCGCCGGTGACATTGGTGTCGGTGGCCGTGAGGTCGGCTACATGTTCGGAACCTACCGCGCCGTCCGCAACCGGTGGGAGGGTGTCCTGACCGGCAAGGGTGGCGCCTGGGGTGGTTCGCTTATCCGCCCCGAGGCCACCGGTTTCGGTCTCGTCTACTACGTCCAGCACATGATCCAGTACGCCTCAGGCGGCAAGGAGTCGTTCAAGGGCAAGCGCGTCGCTATCTCCGGCTCGGGCAACGTCGCGCAGTACGCTGCGCTGAAGGTCATTGAGCTCGGCGGTACCGTCGTCTCGCTGTCCGACTCCAAGGGCGCGCTCATCGCCACCGACGCCGCTGGCTTCACCCCCGAGATCATCGACCAGATCGCCAACATCAAGCTCAACCGCCAGGCCCTGACCGAGTTCTCCGACCCCAAGTACCAATACATCGAGGGTGCGCGTCCCTGGACGCACGTTGGCAAGGTCGACGTTGCCCTTCCCTCAGCGACCCAGAACGAGGTTTCCGGCGAGGAGGCCAAGGCTCTCATCGACGCCGGCTGCAAGTTCATCGCCGAGGGCTCCAACATGGGCTGCACGCAGGAGGCCATCGACGCCTTCGAGGACCACCGCCGCGCGGTCAAGGACCAGGCCATCTGGTACGCTCCCGGCAAGGCCGCCAACGCTGGTGGTGTCGCGGTCTCTGGTCTCGAGATGGCTCAGAACTCGCAGCGCCTGGTGTGGACCGCCGAGGAGGTCGACGACCGACTCAAGCAGATCATGAAGAACTGCTTCGAGAACTGCCTCGAGACCGCCAAGGAGTACGTGTCGCCTGCCGAGGGCGAGTTCCCCTCGCTGGTTGCCGGTGCCAACATTGCTGGCTTCAGCAAGGTCGCGGCTGCCATGCGCGAGATGGGCGACTGGTACTAAGCTAATGCGCGCCCGTGCGCACGGCTTAGGTCTCTCTCTCTCTGCCTAAATTGCTGAGCTGAGCTGAGCTGGTCTACCTGGTACTACCCTAAGCGCAAGGCTTCTTCTTCGACTTCAGTGTTTTTCTCTTTTTAGCCAGCCTAAAATGGCCTTTTATGCGGCTTGGATTGGATTGGATTGGATTTACGATAACAGCGGCGACTATATCAAAATGGGATGGTTGCAGGGGTTGGGGGAATCGGTTTCTTTTTTACTTTTTCGTTTTTTGCTACTGCGGGCGTGTTTGTCTATATACCTGATGATTGACTGGCTGGTTGGTTGGCTGGCTGGGGCTATGGAGGGAAGTGAGTGGAAAATGGAATGAAAATGAATTCAATTGAAAACACTCGGTTGTGATGTGATGTGTTCGTGGGGTGATGCTTGTGCTGTGCTGTGAGTTCTGGGATAGGAGAGGATAGGAGTAGGGGTAGGGGTAGAGTAGGGTAGGCGCTGGAGTAGGAGAAGGTGAGATGAGATGAAGACCTAATTAAAACCCAACTCCAAACCAGAGATTGCGCAGCGGAGATCCCTATACAAACACCACCCCATCTGCATACGCCTACAAGATTACTGAATAAGAAATCGCACAATCTCCCGCGCACAGTCTGCCTGCCTGTCTTTGTACACAGACACACGCCTGAAGTGGAAACGGCTGATCGCTCGCTCGCTCGATCGTTTCGCTCGCGAGCTGCGCCCAACCAGCAATTCCCCCAGGCAAACAGAACAGGCAGGCAAACAGGCAGGCAGACAGGGCAGTAACGCACCCGCTGCACACACTGCACTGCACTGCACACACTGCGCTGCGCTGCACTGCGACGCGTCTTTCACATGCACGCAGCCGTGGGAGTGGGTGGGTTGCGTGCGTACTGCGTAGGTGTGCCGTCAGCCCGTCCATCCAGGCGCGTCCGGCCACCGGAGCGGACTCCAGCGGCCTCGAGTGGCTGGCCCTGCATAAGTGGTGCTGGACTGTGGCGTGCACGTGCACGTGCGAGGCGCGTGGTTGTGGATAAGACTGTGTACTCTACGAGTACCTAGGCCAGGCAAATGATGTGGCTGTGCTGACGTCTGTAGGTATAGATAGGTACCTATGTAGGTAAGGTATATCGGACATCGTCGTCCTCTTCTATTCGTGAAGAAAGCCATGCCCGCATGCATGCATGCAATGCTTAAACCGCAACCCAACTCAACCCCACCACCCCTCCCCTACTCTAAGCAAGCGGCGTCTCAAAAACCAGAGCGACGCCATCATCCCCAGCCGTAACGACTCTCCCCGCACCCCCCTGGACAAAGCCCATAACACCGCCGCCTTCTCCGCCGCCCCTGTGCCCTCTCCACTCGCCCGCCAGCCCTCTAGCAGCCGCTGCCGTCCCACCCCTAGTATCCCACCTGCGGACGACGCCGTCGTTGCCGCAGCTCGTGAGCAGCCAGGCGCCCGGCGCGCCCGCCGGCCCCGCCTGTGCCTGCCCCGCCGGCTTCACAAACTCGACCTTGATGACCGCCTGCTCGGTGCCTTCTTCCTCGTCGACGTGCGCGCCCGTGATGTGGCGCCGCGCGACAAAGTTGTGCGCCGTGTCGAACAGCGCGATGCTTCCGTCAACGCTGCCTGCAGCTAGGAAGTTCAGTGGCGGCGCTGAAAATGCTAGCGTTTCCACGCTGTCGGCTTGCTTCTGGATGCTGGCGAGGATGGCGCCGGCCTGGCCACTGGCGACTGAGGATACGCCGCCGCGCGGGCCGCCCGACTGCTTCCCGCCGCCAGACTTGTTGCGCGCTCCGGCGCCGCGTGCGCCGCTGGTGACGGACTCGGCGCCAAGTCGCGGCAGTCCTACAATGCGAATGTGACCCTCTGCACCGCCGACAGCTGCGAACGCGCCGTTCGGTGCAACAGCTACACTGTACAAGCCGCCATCCACACGGAAGCGCTCGTCGTCGCCCGTGAGCCCTACGACGGCCTGGCCTGACGAGGCGCTGGTTACACCCGCAGCCGCCGCCTCGCCGAAAACGTCCCACACGTAGAAGCTAGCATCCTCAGAGACGGTGGCGAGGAGCTTGCCATCCGGGGTCCAGGCGCCAGCGGTACAAGGTCCGGAGTGCAGGTAGAAAGCCTGGACGATAGTGAGGGGAGAGGCCGTGTCAGCAGCATTGAGCGAGTAGACCCAGACGGAGCCATCGGAGGCGCCAAGCGCAATGGTGTTGGGGTATTGCGGGTGTGGGCATGTCGCGATCCACGCAATCTCCTCGACTTCCTGCACCTCTCCCACAAATTGCCAGGCCTGGCCGTTGGATGTGTCGCGCCATGCGCGCAACCGTCCGTCCATGCCGCCGGTGACAACATACTCACCGGCAGGCTGCGTAAAGGCTATGGCGACGAGCGAATCGCTGTGGCCCTCGAGCTTGAGCAACGGCTGCAGGCTTTCGCGCTCAGATTGCGCAGGCGCGTCACCCGCCTGGGAGCCCGACCAGCTGGCTGGCAGTGGTGGCCGCTCCTGCTCCTGCTCTTTCACCTTGACCTCAAAAATGTAACCGACGTCATCGCCGCCACCTGTCGCAACGATGGCTGGGTTGGTTGGGTGTTGCGCAATGCTGAATATGCTGTCCTTGTGCGCGTCAAAGTGGGCTACGCTGTCGTTGACCAGCTGTATCTCCTCGAGCGGACCTTGGTCGCCTTCGTCGTCGGATTCCATGTACGCGTCGGCGTCGGCGTCCTCGGGAACCTCTTCATCTGCCTCTTCGGCGTCGAGCATGGTAACCTCCTCCTCTTGCCGGCGCTGGGGATCTTGATCGGCCATTATACGTGAGTTCGTGCGCTGTAGGAAATGGGTATCTCAAGGTAAAGGGAAATGGTAAGGCGGAAAGTGTCCAGAGCTGTGAGGGGAGCTTGAGCTTGAGCGAATGGGCGGGCCGAGAAAATTCTTTATCGATAAGAGCGAATGGAGGGGAGAATAAGCTGTGATGTAAGCAGCGAGCTCCAAGTTGGAAGAAGATGGAAGCGAATGGGCCGTGCGGCGCGTGTTCTAGACGGAGACCCTACAGATGTTGGTTTGATGCAGGTCGAGGGTCTAGCCACTCGTCCACCGTCTCGACTCTCGAGTGCCAGGGTGCTAGGGTGCCTACTGTACGGTGTGCACTGCCACGCTGCAGGTACTCCTGTACTCCAAGAAAGTGACAAGTGACTGACTGATGGGATGGGTGGTACTCCAGACCGCAATTGCATTTCTTCGGTCACAGCCTCACACCCGCGTCGTCTTCGTCGCGCGCCCACACACCCGCATTTTAGCCGGCCGAGATAGAACCGACCGACCGACAGGCCCGTGAAGGCCACAGGCCGACCGACAGCCGAGCGAGCCAGCCAGGGCTGCGCGCAGACGTGCCCGGCGGCCCGCCCACGCACCTACCCACGCTTCAATGCCGCTTTCGGCAGGCCTCGGGCCCTGGAATGCGTCGAGCATCATTGGAGACGTCGAGTCGAGCCAGCAGGCGGATCCGCCGCCCTCACTATTGCCGTTATTGCCGCCGTTGTGACGCCGTTGCAACGGCTCGCGTCGCGCTCGCGTGCGCGGTGCGGTGCGGGGACGGGACCGGGCGCGCGACACGTGGGTTGCCTGTCTGTCTGGTGGGTATACAATAGGTAAGAGTGGGTGTGTGCGTGAGTGCTGAATAGGGTTTGTAGGTGTAAAGGGATACGTAGTACTACGTAGAGAGGAAGATGTCGGTAGGCAGGCCGAAAGAGTCTAGAGTAGAGTGTCGTAGGCGGGCGTTGGGACTAGCGCGGGAAGGGCCCGAGGCGTGCCGTTTAGAGCGGGCGGCCTGGCGGGCGGTCAGAGGGGCTGCGGTGGTGATGGAGGCGGTAGGTGGTGTCATGCTAAGGCGGACGTGGCGCGCACGGAGGGTGTTTTGGCGCGGGAGCGTGGAGAGTGGGTAACAGGTTCGCATGCATTGCGGAAGACGAGGAGAAATGGGTGGAGCATGGGGATTCTGACATTTGGAAATGGAGCTTTGAAGTTCTGCGTGGCGTGTGGAGCGGAACTTCTCTTCGCGATTGGTTCACGGGTGTTGGTGGCCTCGTGGGGCAGAGATGGTGGGAAAGTGCGATTGACGACGACCCCCCTTCTTATCCACATCCTTGCGCCGAAGGAGACGCTAATTGAGAGACCATTAAAGGCCGCGTCGACGCTGGGAGAGAGAACTGCCTCTTTCCTCTTTCCTTGTCTCTCTCACTCTCTCTCTCCTCCGCCTTCGCCTCTTTTCTCTTACCTCTCAAGTCGCAGCTCTTAATACTACTACCACCATCATGTCCAAGGGCACCATCTGTATCACCGGCGCCACCGGCTACGTCGGCTTCGCTACCCTGCTCGAGGCTCTGCGCAACGACTACAACTGCCGCATCGTCGTCCGCAGCGACTCCAAGGCCACCGTCATCAAGACCGCCCCGGCCTTCCTCGAGCTCAACAAGTCCTCGGCATGCTCTTTCTACACGGTACCTGACCTCAGCGCCCCTGGAGCTCTTGATGAGGCCATCAAGGGCGTCGACTATGTCATCCACATGGCCTCGCCTCTGCCCTTTGGCGGCGAGGTTCCTCCGGAGGAGCAGTACAACAAGTACGTGGTTCCGGCACTCACCTGCACGCTCGCTGCATTGGAGAGCGCGTCCAAGTCCCCCTCCGTCAAGCGTGTCGTTATCACTTCGTCGGTCGGCTCCTACATCATGCCGGACGTCCTCCTCGGCCCGGACCAGCCCTCGCTCTTGACCATCACGGAAGAGGACGTCAACGAGGATATTCCGGCTCCTTTCAGCCACCCCCTGACGGCCTACTGCGCATCCAAGACGGCGGCGATGCGTCGCTCCCTTGAGTGGATGGCCGAGCGCAAGCCGTCGTTCGACTTGGTCAACATCGCACCGTCATACGTCCAGGGCCGTCACGGTCTTGCGCAGAACATGGCCGATTTGACCGCCTCATCGACAGTGCTCTTTATCCGCATGTTCGCTGGCCTTGCGAAGAACGCTGATGCGCCGCCTGAGGTCGCGGCTGTATGCCACATCGACGATGCCGCTTCGGTGCACGTGCGCGCCCTGGACCGCAACACTGTGCCCGGCAACCAGTCTTACCTCTTCAGCCAGCACTACAACTGGAACGATGTCCTGCCTGTTGTGGCGGCCAAGTACCCGGAGCAGGTCAAGGCTGGTCTGCTCCCTAACGACAGCAATGTGCCCTCAAAGAAGGTCCGCTTCTCGGCAGAGAAGGGGCAGCGTACGTTCGGCATCAAGCTGAAGGGCATTGAGGAGATGGTCGACAGCATTGTGCCGCAGTACCTCGAGATGCTCGAGAAGGAGAAGAAGCTGGAGAAGGCGACTGCTGTTGCTGTTTAAGTGGCGCCAGGATCAAATGGTCTCAGTTCATGTGTTAAGGGATAAAGGAAAGAAGGAAGAAAGATAAGGATACCGAGAGCGAAAGAGGAAAGAGAATGGCGCACCATGTCCATGGTGATGGGACCTCCCGTTACCATTACCACGGTCATTGTTGCAGCCATCTAAAGATAGAATACGCCATCAGCGCAAGACGAATAATACCCCTCAAGCTAGCATTCAGCGACACCAATCAGTCAGCATAACGCAACCCGCGCTCGCACACCGATGCTCTTAACCCGTACCATGCACCCATGCCACACAGAAGCGTCCATGACCGACAGTCTCCGTCATGCAAAGCGCCACCATCGGTGGGAGTGCTTTTTCCCAGGCCAGTGACGGCTCATCGACTACTCTGATATTGGCTTTGGCTTGTGCGTAAGTATAGTTGCTTTTGCCGCTGGCGTGCCGTCGTGCTTTGCGCTCGCTTATCGATCACTTGCGTCTCAGTGGCTGCATGATATACATGCGTGCATGCATGCAAGCATGCAAGCAAATGCTACGCCAAGACCTGGGTAAGCACCATTGCAACGCTTTTTGATTAGCCTCTTCCAATTCTTCCTGTTCATTTCCCGCTTCTGGCTGACATTGTCGGCTCGACACCCGCCATGGCTTCCCTGACTAGCTACAGAATACAGCTGTATGTATGCATGCGCATGTATGTATGTGCACAGGCGGGTAGCAGTCAGTCAGTCAGACGCGCGAGCATGGTGCGAGTCCCCTCACCCGTCCGCTAAACAGCCTATCAAGCGCACAGCCGCCGGCATCTAACCCGTATGTAGGTTATCTAGACAATCAGGTCACAGAACACACATGCCAATCACATGGATGGCAGTGCAGCCGGCGCGAAAAAGCAAAGGAAAAAAAGAAAGAAAGAATAAAAAAAAAAAAAAGCAAACTCCCTCCCCCTCTCCCGTGCCTCCCCTTTCCGCAACCGGCCCGGAGCTGGCTACACAGCACCCGCCGACTTGCTAGCTCACGAGTAATCCATAGGTAGGGATTTGCTTCTTCTTCGCCGCACCCGCCACGGCTCCTTCCCGTCCCGTCCTGACCCGTCCCGTCCTGACCCGTCCCGCCCTACCTAGGTAGGTAGGTGCTCCTATGTCCTCTTACTCCGTAGGTCTAGCATGTACGTAAGGCACTCGCCTTCCCCTGCCTTAGCCGCCCCGGGCCCCGGGCCTGCACGCTGCACACCTGCACGCTGCCCGCACAGCCCAGCACTCATCTCCGCGTCGTTGGGCCTCAATCTCACGCTCACGCCCTGGTGGCCTGTCTCTCAGTTAGGGTGCCTACGGATTAGCTACCTAGTACTCGTCCCTCTCCCTACGAGAAGCAAAGGCTCCGAGACACGCAGCAGCAGCTGCTGGCAGGCAACCACGCAACCACGCGTCGCACGGCAGCGCGGTGCTGCGCAGAGGCCCTCCCCGTGCGCGGCAGGCAGGTGGGCTCGCTCCTCGCGTTGGTAGGCCCGGTAGACAGGCAGGGTAGGTCTTGCCCGGCTGGCCTGGCCGTTGCACTGCCATGCGGGAGGCGACAGGCACGGCACCGCGCGGGCGTCGGGCGTCGGGCACTCGGGTCGGCTGGCTGTGGCTCCCGTGGCAGTTGTGCTGTGCAAGCGGAAACGCAGCTGTGGCTGGGCAGCGGAAAGGGGGCGCTGAGCGGTCCGTGCGATGCGGCGCGCCGCACGCTACGTGCGTCGGAGATAGGTTGGTCCGGCGGCTGGGATGAATTGGTTTTTTTTTTTTTTCTCTTTCTTCCGCTTTTTGCGCCCGAGTCTGAGAACCACCTGCTTCCTTCCATCACGACGGATGGACCGACGGACGTGCCTTGCCTTTTTCCCTCTGCGGCCGCAATGATGACGACGACGACGACGACGACGATCGTGGCTAGGGGTGAGGGGGTGCTGGACTCGGGGGTTTGGCCTTTGCCTCTGCTGTTGAGAGGGACGGCGACGCGCCTCGCTGCTTGATGGACGCAGCGAGCGGCGCTGTCTTCAACCTCTCACCAGCAGGCAGGCGGGCGCAGAGGATCATTCACCTCTCGACACCAGGACCCAATCCCCAACACACCTCTCCCTTACCGACACCTCTCCCTTACCGACACCTCTCCCCTACCAAATCGTAGGAAGCGGGACGTACACAGTAGATAGCAAGAACCGGCGCTTTCGAAGACTCGGCGACAGATGAACCTTCCACGGTCACGAGTTCAAAAAGAACGCCGAGAGCGAGCCTGCAGTCGCCCTGCCTCTTTGGGGGGTACTGTCTCACGTCGTGTTGCGGGGTCGGAGCGGCCCTGAGAGGGGCCGCGCTGACGACTTCGCGTCTATCTTGTGAGAGACATGCTTTGTTTATGATGTGATGTGATTTTGTACTGTGTATATGTTTATGTGTATGTTGACGTGTGTATATGTTTATGTTCTGCGCGTGTACTATGTAGTATGGCTGCAGACGTAGGGCGTGTAGCTGCTTGTAAAGCGTGGCCATTTGTTGTATGGTTCAGATGCTCGCGTTCGTCCAGATATGTCTATGTCTGCGGTAGAGGTTGAACGCAATTCGTGAAGCAGTTCCATTCATCGTATCATCATGATATTAACCGTTCCCTCCCCCTTCTCCAAGCACCAAAAGCGTGAAACCACGCATCCTCACAGCTCCTTCTTCTCCGCCTTCGCCGCACCAGGCGTCTCCCTCCCCTCCTTTTTATTCGGCGCCGCAGCGCCCCGCGCAAAAAGCAGCACCCACAGCGCGGCGACGGCTTCCGCGACGAGCCCGATGACGCTCGCGCACGCTATGTTCCAGACCTGGACGCTGACACTGCCGGTGGGCGCTTTGGGGAATGCGAGTAGCCATTCTACGTATCCGGGCACCCAGTGCTGCGGGATCCAGAACATGGCTACCCGCGCGTACCAGAATTGAAGACCGGTCCGCAGTCCCGTTGTTCCGAGCCAGCGGAGCGTGTTGAGGGTTTTGTCGAAGGAGGTTCGGGCGGTGCGGATCGAGGCGTCTGTGGGGTGGGGGCGTGGTTAATTATGGTGTTTAGAGAGTGGCTGGCTGAGGTTGCGCTGGGGTTTGTGCGGTCGTGTACGTACCACTCTTGTTGAAGTCAGCCAGCACTTTGTCGTGCGCCCGGCGTATCTTGGCCCATTTTGAGAACTCGTCTTGCGCGCTCACGCCGTTCATCTCTTGCTTTAGGCGCAGGACCTCGCGCTTTAAGCGGATCTGCTCGCGGGCGGCCTTGCTCGTGGGCGTGGGCAGCCTGTTGTAGAGGATCCATAACTGCGCGAAGGTTTCTCGGGTTAGCGTTTGCGATAACAGACAGTAAAGGCGAGAACAGCGCGATGGATGAGACGTACCAGCTCGTTGATGGTGGTTGCGCCGAGAGTGTTGACGAGGTGGACGAAGAGGTTCACAAGGAACACGAAGAGTAGCGGCGACACCATCGCGGCGTCGGGTGGTCGTTTGCGGTAAGCCGGGTCCGACGAGGCTGGAAGATTGTGTTGCACGTTGAAGGTGCTGGAGATGCTGCTGCCGTGGAGCTTTGGCTTGCGAGCTGTCTGTCTGCCGTGGTTCACCGCCTGGCCCTCTGATGTCAGGCCTCGGCGCCGCTAGACTCCTACCCGTGGCTTCATCACTCCTCACCTGGTTTTTTTCTCCAACGTCTTTTACTCTCAACCAGCGATTCTCTGTGTTCATTTCTCCGTTTGCTTTCTGAATACGGTCACTTTCCTACACTCCTAGGTGTTTGGACGTGTCTTTACCGTGTCAAACGGTGCGCATTTCCAAAATCAGAACACCATGGCACGCACGAAATACATTGTGACATACAATGCACTAAAATCATTCTTCCAGCGCCATGAGACCGAAGTGGCTGAAATAGAAGTACTGCCACCTGCTTTGTCAACCGACGGCATGTTGGAGGATGGCTTGTGCCTTGGCATTCCAAAACAGGACCTCGTAGTTGCATTTCTGCATGCGCAGACGTTGTTTTTCAGCCGGAATACTGAAGCTGAAGTTTGCTACCCTGTAAGTGTGATCTTTCAGCGTAGTTCCACTTTTTCTCTTTGCTTTTCCAGAATCGATAGTCAGGCGTAATGCCTGCATGTCAGTGGTGTGGCATGATATTGCTTTTGACCAACCCGGTTTTTTCTCCGGCTACACAGAGGTGGATCCATCTCAGCCTTCCTTAGGGTGACCTGGTTTATGGCGTCGTCTCCATTCAATCGGGTTTCAATTTGCAGACATGCATGATTCCACTGCACTCAGAATCTTCCATACTCTAGGCAAATCACTAGTTTTATAATGGCAATATTCCCTTCGTACCCCACTAATGCTCAAACCAGGAGTTCCTCGACGCAACGAAAATCATACTACTCTCCGATCCGGAGCATTTGACAGCTGCCAATTATCGGAAGCGTCACCTGCTCCAACTGAGGGACCAGTCCGCAAACGATACGGCAATAGAAATGCAACGAGCCTTGCTAGCTGAATTGTGTTTCCTGGACAGCATTGTCACTTCTCCTTTACATCGGCAATCCAAATCTCCGACTTTGTGGCACCATCGTTGCTGGTTGCTCCGAACGTTCTATCCCATGATGTTACGCAGTAGAAATTTGGATCATCAAGAGAATACTCAAAGCTTTGTCATGGCAGAGCTCGCTGTCATTTCCAAGTCTGGGGAGCGACACCCGAAAAACTACTACGCCTGGCAATATGGTCGGCGTTTGTTTGAGGCGGCAGATATATACAACAGTTTGTCTGCCAAATCAGACTTTCAAGAATTGCTACGAGTGAGCATAAAGACCGTCCACGGCTGGTGCTTGCGTAATCCAAGTGATATATCAGGCTGGTCTTATATTCTCTATCTCCTACGACGCCTAGAGCCAGGCCAAGATGTTACTGAAGTGATTGTTGACAAAACACTTCAACTAGCTTATGATTTCCGTTGGCATCACGAATCGCTCTGGGTTTTCCTACGAACTGCAATTGCGGAAGGTTGTCTACTTTCTGAGGAGAAAAGAAAAATCTATTTGCAAAGATTGGAGAAAGACTTTACACAAGACACAACCATTACGCCGAAAGATCCTACCAGTCAACCCGAAACCGTAACACCACAAACTCCCGTCATTGCCTTGGAATGGATCCGATCAAACATGTCGACATTGGCCACTTAATCATCGTAAATCGTACCTCCGATTGTCGGACTTTGCGAGGAAATCCGTCCTTCGTTACGCCTTCTTGCGCCCAAATCGACGGATAACTGCCCAGACGCGGCCGAGCATGCGCCTACAGAGGAGTCCGAGAGCCAGGAGCCAAGCTGCGATGGCTGAGATGATATCGCGAACAGAGCGCTTTTCCGCTTTGCGGGTTGCTTGTACGGGTAGCGGTAGAGCATCTCTGTCAGATGATGGAACAGATTCGTAGTAGGAGATGACTCCTGAAAATCCGAGAGGTTGGCGAGGTTGTAATCCAGAAACGGGCCCGTAGATGTCATCTTCTGGTATCTCAACCACAACAGAGCTTTCGGGGTCTGAGTGGCTTCCTTCTGTGCTGCTGTCATCGGAAAAGTCCGCCAGACTGGGAGAAACTCCTCCAATTCCAGAGTCAGGGCGAGGTGGCTGCACTTCCGGCATTGCGGCCAGGGATCTGCACCGATTGTGCATTTTTCTGACAGACTTGCTGTCAAGACGTAGAGGAACCTGAGGAAGATTGTATCTTGTCTCATAACGATCAAAGATATGCCAGTCGGCTTCATATTCCTCGTTTGCGTTGATGTAAGAGTCTCGGACCATTTTCAAATCGTTTGAAATACGTATGCGCGGACATCCCAGAATGTTTGGATCCCTGAGATTTTCCGGGTGGTACCTGGCTGGCTCGATGGGAAGATACGTATGCTGGTGTCTCCAATCATCAAATCCATCACTGAATCTTTCTTCGAGTGTTTGATTGCCGAAAGATGTGATCTGGCAGGATCAGTGACTCAGTCCGGGTAAGATTGGATAGGGACCCAAGTATCACTTACCACATGGAAGTGGACAAGGCCACTTATCTCACTGCCTGTTGGTATGGAGCATATCACAACCGGATGGCCGTATGCTCGCGCATCGATGGGAGCGCCACTGGGCACTCTCAGGATGCTGTGGCTAACCGGCAAGTGCCTTCGACTTGGCAGCCACAAGATCCTCCCCGGATAGACCTCCGACCTGTCGAGCGAAGTCGAAAGAACAGCCATTTTGAACTCTGTACAAAGAAAGACGCAGCCAAACAGATGAAAATTGTCGAATGCGTACCACAAGCAAAGCCTACGTACCGCCTCCCATCCCACGTCTTATATCCCACCTACCGTCCCCTCTACGCGCACCCGACTCAGCCACACATACCTACATCATGCACCCCAGAAATTGCTACCCAGCGGCGCGCATGACGTTCTCATCAAGGAAACCGTCCCCCTCCCCTGCGACCAGCACAATAAACAGTGGCGCTGCGCCCTCGCCCATCCCCCTCTTCAACCTCCCTCAGCTGACCCCTCCCGGGCCCCAGACCCGCTTCCCCCCTCCTTCCAGCCCGTTTAGCGCCGAAGGAATCGCGCATCGAAGCGCGCACGACACAGCCCTGGACCCTACCGCTACGCGACCCGGAGAGCCGGGCGTGGGAGCTGGCACTGCCCCAAACTGGATGTTCTGCTGCCTGCAGAGCGCAGGATCAGGAATCGGGGTGACCGGTCGCGCGCTTTTCGGCGCTTGGGCAGCCACTTATCATGCTGCTGTGGTGTGCTGTGTGGATGGTGGAGTGGGGGTGCGGTGCGGCGCAGGCGGCGTGCGGCGCGGGCCGGCGCGTAGCGATACTGCCTTGCACCGCCACCGCTTGCGCGCTTGCCGGTTTTTGGACTTGTTCCTGCGCGCCTATACTACAGTGGCGCTATTCTTGCCGGTTTGGTGCGTGGGAGGCTGGGAGTGTGTTGCGGTGGTGGCTTGTGAGGTGTTGGCGGTGTGCTGCTGGTGTTTTAACCTTTTGCTCCTATATAGGGTTTGGAGTTTATTGGAGGGCATATATATTGACGGAGATTTTGTCCTTTAGGGATATGCGGGTATAAATATCTTTCTCTTTGCGCCTCTGGGTAGTTGCTGCTATGTACACTCTGGCGGAGCGACCTCACTACTCGACGCATTCGGCTGCTGGTACGAGGGTCTGGAATCTGGAATAGACGGCTGATTTACGAAACGGGGGTTCGCTTTAAAAACATCATAGAAAATCCATACTGTGGGTTTGGAAACCGGGGCAAGCTGATGGTTCGGGACAGCTCTTCTCCGAGAAGGCGAACGCCATTGAAGTCGCCAATGTCAAGGCGTCCAAGAGGCAGCAGGAGCTGTCCGACGAGCTTGCTAGTCTGCGCTCTGAGCTTGACTTGTCGAAAGCTCACAACAAGTTGCTCGAGAAGGAAATGAAGACACTGAAGGAAACTGTGACCGCGTTGTCGGTTCGTATGCCTGCGGATTCTCGGCCTGCGGATTCTCACATGCAGACCTAAGTAGCTTCACGTATGCGTCCTACTCTAGGTAGAGAAGAAATGCATAACTCGGGACCAGATCGGATGATGCGGGTTAATCTTTTTTGGTAGTGATGTAAATCAGCGGGAGCAGGAAGTGACGCGAACTAAAATGTTGAATGGTGACGCTGTGTCATCATAATCATGGATGGTAAAAGCCACGACAGACTAGACGGATGCTGCATACATCTTCGATTTCATTCTTGTCAAGCGAAACGTCCGTATGCGATCTGTAGTTGGTGATGGCCCTGAATAGCTCGAACAAGATATCCTCGGGGATAGCATCCATGACGGGTGAGAGGTAGAATAGAGGAGAAGTAACGAGCTTATTCATGCAAAGAGCTGATTGCAGAGTGAGTATGTCCCCACAGCCTGGCTTAGTGGCGAGACCGCCACGCATAGACGAGAATCCGCCGCGGTTGTTTCTAGAATCCGCCGCGGTTGTTTCTAGAACCGCGACCGCGAAGGCTCCCACGGTTGTTGATTGGAGATGGAGAGAGAAAGTAAGGCGAGGGAATCGACCTTCGTCAGCCATCAGGTGCTGCATTCCATCGTGTAGGATTCGTCTGATCTGCTAAATGTGGTATGATGAGGAACTGTCATTTGAGCACATTGGAAAGCTCCGCCCAAGATGAGCATCTCCTATCTACATAAAGAGCTAACGCGTATTTTGATTGTTCGCTTGCATTGTTATCTACGTACAGTGCAAATCTGAGAAATATAGAGCCATATTATCACATACTTGGAGTCCTACTAATGAATCCTATTATACCTCTCCGTTCTACAAGAGGGTAGTATCACTAGCCTCTCCAGTATCGATACAAAGAGCTTTCAATGGGCCAGACATAAATACCGAACTATAAGCTCTGGATCCAACCATATTAAGAACAAGAGACAAGTCTGTATGTGTTTCTTAGAGTATTTAAGTTAACGTAAAACTAGACGCTCTTACTCTCTCCTTTAGTATCGGTTTCAACCTTCGCCAAATCCGAAATACTATACGAGTACTACAAGAACCCATATGGTTTACTCGCTACTAAATAATCTTGTTTTAAACCAGTCGCAAGATAGCAAGAAAAGCTAAATTCTCGACTTATCCGAATAATGTTAACAACTCCCGTCAATGCTTACTATCATTATAGGAAATCGATAATAAGACGTATCTACGCATAACGATGCCCATCATCGCCTACCCCGCCCATGTTGGCGCCGCGCCGCTCTAGCTATATGACCTCTATTACCGGAAAGCATAGCGGCCCAATATACGGACATGTTAGCAGCTTGCGCGGTCTTAATATCGTCTAGGTAGAACTCCTGCACGTACTTACCTAGGATGTTTTTTTTATAATTGTCTGCGCCGTATAGTAAGTATTACTTAGTATGACTTCTAGAATGCATCGCCCTAGAAAGCCTTAGAGAGGCAGTATAACGCGGACGTAGTTCTTATTGTTTTTATATCCGGAATCCTATAACTAAAGACAAGAATACCGCTACTAGGAAGTTCCATACCAGCATACCGAACGAATGGCAGTATCAAACGGAGAACCAAACAAGTACAAAAAAGGCAAATAACGCTTCACCATCCCCCCGTTACACTATCCAAGCACATCATCCACCTTTTATATATATTTTATATTTATATTTTTTTTAAATACTACTTACAATTCTTGTCGTCTTGAAGTTTGCTTGTTTCAAGAGTCCTAAAAAATAATGTAATCGGGCAGTGGAATTCTACGACAGGTCCCGATAGAACATTTTAAGTGACTTAAAAGGCTTCAGACGATCAGATATTCTTAACCAAAGATCTATATAGCTTGACCCTGAAATTGAACTGCAGCCAGACAAGCCATTGTTTAGACCGGTCTAGCACCGACTTTCTGCTCATCGGAAGACAGTGTTGCTAACTTGAGCCAGGAAGAAAGACGAAATCAAGCAAAAGACTGACTAGCAGTGGAAGTAAGAAATTGATTACAGAAACTAATTGTACTTGAAAGGAAAAGAATCGTAATTTCCACCGCAGTACAGAGTTGTTTCAAGTAAAGCATATCGGCAAAGCTCGATAAGCATGTCCAGAAGACCAGTGAAGACCCAAAGCTCATGCTAGCTTGGTTGACGTGGAGTTCATTCTCATCCCGTACTTGCCCGCTCATCATTCTTCTTCATTGTCAGAATCTTCGCTCAAATCAGGATTCCAATCGCAATCGGAGTCGGAGTCGACGCCAGGTTCGGGCTCCTCTATGCCACGCGCCATCTGTCGCATCATGTCTACACCAAAGTCGCCGCCGTCCTTAAGGAATTCTTCGAAAACGCCATGTTCGAGGAGCTTGTTGAAGCTCTTCAACGCAAGCTTCAAGATGAAGGGACGCAGTGGATCGGAAGCCGGAAGATCGGTGTAGATCAGAGAGATAATTTCAGTAAATTTTGTGGCATCTCCTTCGTTGGTAACGTGATACTCGTCGGCATAAGTAGTAAGCATCTCGAGAGCCAAGGCCTTTAATCTGTCAAGACCGTACTTCTCAGCAGTGATATAAATCCGTATATCTTGAAGAAGGCGGATTAGGTACTCCTTGGCGGTTTCATTGTCGTGCTTCGTGTAGTTGTATTCGCCCCAGTAGCACCATTGCAGCATTGCATCCACGGCATCAGGGTGGTCATAGTCAAGGTTGATAACGTTGGTAGTTTCTTCCTAGAAGCATGTCAGTCTAAATTTATCCTCGAGGTGCAGAGCTAGTTTTTAAAATTGGTAAGAACAACGTACCTGGAAGCCTCCGCTGCAAGCATTATCGAAAAACTTGCATTGCGAGCATATTACCACCTTGTGGGCATTCCACGTCTTCTCACCACAGCGTATAGTTACGTCAGAGTATTTCCCTGAGCGGAGATACCTAAAATTCGTTAGTGTTAACTGTCCGGCAAGTCAGGCAGGACAAACTCACGCCAGGAGAGGCTTCGGGAGCGGTACGAGAGGATTAATCAACGCCACCGGCGGTGTCTTCTCCACTGGTGCCGCCATGGCTCGCTAGAGAGACGTGTTGTTGATGAGGGAGAAGGTGAGGTTTAGAACGTGGAGGAAGCGTGGCATATAACTATAAGGGCAGAAGTGTCCGTTTGACCGTTCCACGGTTTTCAAACGCCCCGTTCCCGGCCCGTCCCGACACCTAATTTTACTCCAACTTATGTTAAAGATCAATAAACAAGAAAACACAACGGAAAGAACATCGATTGCGAAAGCGAAATGTTTCAAACCTTCCGAACCCCCGGTGATATTGTTGCACACAGTTACCTAACCTCAAGTACTTTGTTGTCGATCTCATGTCACATGCTGGCGGTTGGTTTAGTCAGTTTTGACAGTAGATTCCGGTGTGTGGTTACACACAAACAAGCTACCCATGACAACACTAACTCGATTCTGCACCGTTGCCGGGCCCCGTCTACCAAACATAGCTTAGGTAAATTTATCTACTCTTAGGCCCTAGGCCGGCGGTCCCCGCTGCTTATGGTGGATCTATGCTCTACCTGACCGCTTTGCACCGATAGCCGCAACATATCGACAGCGAATTCACTACCGTCCCTAAGAAACTCTTCAAACTGAGCATACCGAAAGAGGGTCTTAACACGGTCAACAGCGATCTCGACGATAAAGGGGCGCAGATGATCCGTATCAGGGAGGTCTTCATAGGCCATTGAAACCGTCTCCATGAACTTAACAGTGTCTTCTTCGGAGTCAATAGTAAGGTCCGAATGGGCCTCTTGAATGTAGTCCCAGGCCAGCTCCTTTAGCTTGTCGATGGCGTACTTCTCGGCGAGTATGTAGACCTGGACGTTAGAGAGTTTGTACAGGTTTTCGTTTGCGGTTGCGACGTCGTTTTCGTCCCCAGGGTAGGTGTAGGTGTAGTCTCCGGAATAAAACCACTCCAGCATTCCGGTAACGGCTATAGGACGATCATGATTGAGAGTAATAGTACTAGTTTCCGCTTCCTAAATACACGTTAGTGTAGAGGTTTCCGTACAGTATATAGTAGTAAGTGGCAAGGAAAGCATGAATTTTCCAAGCTGCAACACAAAAGCTCGGCTTAAGGAAACCCCACCGCCGTAAGGCTTACCAAGAAGCCGTTGCTACAAGCATTGTCGAAGAACTTGCAATGCGTGCATAGGACTACTTTGTGAACTTTCCATGCATACTCGCCACAGCGAATAGTCAGATCAGAGAATTTTCCTGAGGTGAGAGCCCTGTACAATGTAAGTAACAGCTATTCGCCACATCCACAGCATAGGTAAACTCACGGCAGCAGACTTAATCCCGTCGGAGCCATTCTGAAGCAGCGGTAGCTTTGGTATATTTGGTATCTTCACTATGCTCTGCTATTGGATTCAGAGCGTTGGGGTGCGTGTTGGGGTGAGGGCGAAGAAGGAGCGACCGGAGCTCCGAGGTGCGTACGTTGTGGTGAGGAACAAGAAGGGAGCCCGGAACTTGGAGGGTGTACTTATAGGTAGGCACACGTCAGGGCTAAGCGAGGGTGAGTGAAAGCTTGTGGCAGACTAGGGCTTATTTGTTAGCCAGGCGTGACTGACAAGAGTGAAAGAACAATTGACTGACCCTCGCGCGCTTAACACGCCCCATGATTCCCTACAACCCAACCTACCCGTGACCAACCGAGCACCCATGACGAAGAACGTCGTTTGCAGAGGCATCATGTACCAAATATCATAGCAAGATGACAGCGACAACAGCGACAACGACGTCGGCGCCAACGGCAGCAAGACAAGAAACCCCAGGCCCGTAACCGCAACGACAGCACCGTCGTCATCACCAGCAACAGCCTGAAAACCATAGACAGTACAGTGACGCATACACCAACGGAGAGAATTAATTGCAGACTCACTAAGTGCGTATCGATCACTCCTCCCGCAGCGCCTACAACAGCAACCTCTCTAGACCGCACATCACCACACACCACACAACAAACCACAAGCCCCGACACTAAACACAAAAAGCCATATCATTCCATCGTACGTACGTAGTAGGGGGTATGCGAAACACTCTGACTTAAGACGCCGACGCAGCCTCCCACACCCATCACACCCACAACTACAACCACCTAACCTCACCCCAGCCGACCACCACGCCGACGCCACCGCAAACACAACAAACAGCCAGCCAGCCCATCCCAGCAAAACAAGCGCAGAAGGGCAGGTGTGCGCGCGCGCGCCCATCGCCCGTCGAGCAGCAAGAAGTAAGAAAAAAAGAACGAAGAATGATGATGATGATGATGACGAGCGGAAAGAAGAGAGAAAAGAAGAGAGAGAACAATGAAAAGAAGAAAAGAAGAGGAAGAGGAGGAAGAAGAAGAAGAAGCAGAAAGAATGGAGAGGGAATATAAAACGAAAAACGCAACGCAAGAACGAGTAAGGCAAGACAAGATAAGGTAAGAACAAAACACCACCGCCGCCACCCCAATCATCCATCCATCCATCCATCATGCGCAAGCATCAAAAAAAAGAAAAAGAAGAAGAATCCGTCAAGAAAGTGTATCAGCCACCAGCAAGCAGTCGAAGCAAGCAAGCAAAGCGCGCCCAGATCTACCACCTATCATCGCCTCCCCCTGGCTACATGATTTAAAATTTTCCTCATCTCTCACTTTAACCCCAGCAGTAGTAGCGTAGCACGCAGCAACCAGTAAACCCACCACCACTCACTCAGATACTAACTTACGAAACTCCACCCCATCCCGTCACCTCGATTCGACCCCCTGCCCCGAATCGCTCGCCCACCCCATGCCCCCATCCCCATCCCACACCCCGTCGCCCGTACTGCTCGCATCAAAGCTGCTGCGCGCACTGTACGCATCGTCGTCGACCATGTCGCCCAGATCCTCGGCCCCCGCGCCGTTCGGGCCGGGGCCCAGCGCGTCCCACTGTAGTCCCGCAAGCGCGGGGTACTGTTGCAGCAGCGCGGCGGGGATATACGAGTGCGGCGCAAACGCCGGGTGCTGTTGGTGCGGCGGCGGCGCCGAGAATGGGTCGAAGGGCTGTTGTTGCTGCTGATGATGCTGGAAGGGCATGCCCAGGCCGCCAGGGTGGCCCATGCCGCCGGGCGCGCCGAGCATGCTTGTCTGCGGCGCGGGCTGGCCCGGCACTGCTTGTGCCTGGCTCGCGGCGCCCAGGTCCCAGCCCTTTTCTGCTGCTTCTTCTTCCAGCAGTGGTCGGATGCACACGCGGCCCGCTTCGCTGCGGAAATGGCGGCCTAGCGCGTCGGCGCGTGCGAAACGCCGCCCGCAGCCCCACCCGTTGCCGTCTTTCAGCACGCCGCGGCAGACAAACTTCTTCTCACCGCTGTGGAGGCCCTCGTGCCGCTTGCGGTCATGCTGTCGCGCAAAGGCTTTGCCGCATACGCTGCATACGAACGGGCGCTCATCGGTGTGCGTGCGAAGATGGGATCGCAGGTTGTAGGCGCGCGTAAAGCGCTTAGGACATAGAGAGCACTGGAATGTCGCAGGATGCTTTTGTGTCCGCTTGCTACCACCACCACCACCACCACCACCACCACCATTGCTCGCGACGCTTTCCGCACCGGGGCTACCGCCCTGAGGTGAAGCACCGGGAGAGGGTCTGTTCGGATCTGCAAGTCCGAGCATGTAATCTCGTTGTGGGTTGATGCTGGAGGTCGAGGAGCGGCGCGAGGACCTAGAGCCGGGCGAGGGCGATCGCGATGGAGACAGCTTTGCGGCGTTGGGATGGAGAGAGCCCGCGGGCTCCGAGTTCCCGCTGGCGGGGGTCGATGCGCGCGTGCTGGCTCCGCTGAAGGGATCGGACTTTGCGCGCATGCGATTACGGCTGCGACCTGTACTACAATCAGCTCGGGGACTCGCATGCATATTGCGATGGCCACGACTTACTCCTATCGGGCGGGCTCAACGCGTTAGACGCATCGCCCTCCGGTTTCGGGGGCTCAAAACTCTGCTGCCGCGATGGCGGCGCAAAATCAATGTTGATCTCTGGCGGCGACATCTGGTCCGATGCGCCGTATTCGAAGTTATCATTATGGGAGAGTGCCGGGAAAGGTTCCTGCCCACCACCGGGGAACATGTCCAGGCCTGAATTGCTGTTGTTCTGGTTGCTCAGCACGGGAGTCAAGCCATAGTTGTTCGCAGCGGTGAACGGCGGCAGAGCAGATTGCTGGGGCATGAGACGCGGGGAAATGTGCGGACTATGTCCTGGAGTCAAAGATTGGTTCGCATTGTCTGAAAGCGAAAACTGGGTAAAATTCATCCCGACTTCCTGAAACATGGCGGGATCCTGCTGCGCGCCCAGCAATGGCGACGGGTTATCGTCAAAAGGCTCGTTGTTGCCCAAGTACGGAGACGGGTGATTAGACGAGACGTCGGAATACGTGTCTGAAGGTGCACGCCGATGACCCCTAAAGGGCACGCCATTCCAATCCACCTGCGGTTGTGTAAAGGCCGTCGAGGGGTCTAGCGACGTCTGCCTAGAGTGTCTCCCCGAACCGAACCCACCCTGGTTGAGGTTTGGCGACGCGTGCGGGCTGGTGCTCGAATGCCGCGGCATGTCGGGCTGGAGGAGATGGGGCGGGGTAGGGGAATGCGCGGTAGCAGACATGAGGTTGGTGGGGTCAATCGCCTGGCCCTGGGTCGTTGGCGCGTCGAGAAGCTGCGGATCTAGCGAGAACGAGGGATCGCTAAACTGTCCCTGCGAGTTGTCGCCACCCGGGAAGAATTGGGTATCGAACCCCCCGTTGTTTCCGGCAGCGTTGCCCTGAGCGAAGGGGTCGGGGAAGAGGTTGTTGTTACTTTGGGCACCAAATTGAGGGCTGGCGTGGGCGGAGAGGTTGCCCTGGGATTGGAGGAAATTGTGGTTTTGTATATGAGGCGGCTGCTGGTATTGGGCCTGGGTGGGCGAGAGGAAGCCGGAGTTGGAGAGGTCGAAGGAGTTTCTGTTGGAGGCAGACGTAAGCTGGCCAGCGGTGAAGGCGTTGCCGAAGGCAGCACTCTGGTCGGGCGTCAGCGAGTTGGCGTCCAGACCAAGACCGGAAATGTCGTGAAAGCTCCCATGCTGCGACGGCGAGGGCGAATGGCTTATATGGCGGTGGTGGCCGGCCGAGGGCGAGCGGGAGCGCTGAATGTGGTCCATGACTATGATGTATGTTGCTTTTCCTGGACGGCGGGACGCGCTCTGACCATGAGCGATGGATGCGGAGGCAGCTTGACGGGCACAAGCTTATGCGCGATGAAGCAGAGCAAAGTCGAGCCGACGCGCGCAGGTTCTGGTTGGGGAGAAAGTCGTGTGTGCTTGCGACTCAGCCTGGGGGCGCAGCAGCTGAAGGGTCGCGCGCGGATGGTCAGTGACGCGACGGAGCTAGCCGCTAGGGCTCTGGGCGGTGACGAGGCCAGGCAGCCAAATATAGGTGCAGCAACGGGGTGCAGGTGGTGCAGCGGTTGACACGGATGAGGGGAGTACGAGTACTGTATGTATGGTTGGGGGCCAGCCAGCAAGTATATGTACCAAAATACGCGTAGCTATTGCTCGAAGGATGTTAATTTGGCCGAGAACAGGCGTCCCCACCGGTTATTGTTTCTCAGGGCGGGCACGGCGGGCGCGGGACGGGCACGATGGCTGGCGGGCGGGCGACGGGCGTGATGTTGCGAAGAATCAACCCGCAGTGCGGAGTGGAGTGGCTAGTGGCGCGCCATGAGTCGTGTCGCTGCCTGACACCTCACTCGCCCATTATTCGTCCATTCCCGCCCTGTCCAAAACAGCACTGCCCCCCCTTCGCCAGGCTCCCTCCAAGGCTGACTATAAACAGATGCGCCGTTCCTGTTTCCATGGACTATTCTTAGAACCTCCTACAGCCAGGCTTGTCGTCATTCTTTGCCCATTTCTTGTCCCTTTGTTCCCTTGTTTCAGCCTTGCTCATGCCAGCACATTACCGTAGGAGAACCTTAAAAAACGTGACCTTGCCAGAGCACGTGCCCTTTTGATTTACCTATCTAAGGTTAACCGGCAAATCTACCACGGTACTACGTAGCTACGCAGACACGACGCGCGCGCCTCTAGTTAATCCCAGGACCGGCAATTGATTATCATGCCCCATTCAACGTATATATCTATAACTTAACTGCTGCTGCGCCACTCCGCCCGCGCCCCAGCCACTCGTCCGACATGATCTTCACGCAAACTTCATTCCCTTTGACGGATCCCACCGCGCGTCCTGCACCGCGCCCTTGGCGCTACCCTGGGGTGCCGCACCCGCTGGCCCTGGCCCTCCACTGCCGAACCGAATAGGCATGTCGGGCGTCCACATGCCATTCGTGGGACCCGCTGCCGGCGTTGCCCTCGTCGGCATTGGCGCGGGAATCGCTGCTTGCCCCGCGTGTGCCGGAGCAGGGTACGGCCGGTTCTCCTGGTCTGCTTGCTTCTGCTGTTGGAGCGCGTTGGCTTGCTGCAGGTGCAGCGAGGACATTGCGTCCGAGAGATCGCTGCGCGTGGGCCCCTGTCAGCACGTGCCCCCTCGAGTACCGGCATTTCTTTACTTACCTCTCGAATTGTGTGGCTTCAGCCCTCCGCTGGTAGCAAAAATTGCGGCAGTCGTCTCTGAATCTTCCCGTGATCTTGGCAAGGTCGTTGTAGAACTTGCGGCCGACGTCCAGATTCGATATGATTTCCTTGTACTTGAAGTACGCGTTTTCGAGCTGCTGCAGGGCTTGCTCGCGCTGTCTCGTCGAAGAATCCCCGCGGCGGGCGGCAACGAATGCGGCATTGGCGTCCTGCAGGCGTTGGAAAACTGACTCTTGCTCCTGCTCGTCTTCCGTTACCATGTCATTGTCGACGTCATACTTGTGCAGGCGTTGCTCGAAAAGGTCCTCAAACTGCACAGCCTCAATGCTCTGCATGGGGTACTCCCTCTCGAGCCGAGCCGTTTCTTGCAGTAAATCGGGGTCTGCTTACTATTAGCCCGAGACTCTCGGAAATAAGGCGTTTCAAACTTACTGATATCGTCCTGCTTCGCTTTGGCTTTGAGAGTCTCGATCTTGCGCTTCCGTCTGGTCTCAAGCCTGCTGACCTCGTTCAGACACCCCCTGAGTTTTGTGGCCTCCCGTTCCACAGCTGCAGTCATGACGACCCGCCTACTGCTGGGAACAAACTGTTCAAGGTCGTGATCTGTGCCAGATAGGAGCCGAATATGGCTTTCCGTGTCCTTGAGTTTTCCTTGAACAATGTTGTCACTGTTGGCTGCGGACTTGAGATATCCGTCTATCTCGCTGACCTGCGCATACAGCTTCGCCGCGGCGTCGGCCGAGGCCGGCCTGATCCATCGGTCTGTACCGTATTTCCTTCTGGCTCGCTCATCTTCGGCAGTTTCAGAGCGAAGCAGATCGACACCTTCCTGATAAACGGCCCGATCGTTTTCTTTGAGTTTCTCGGTTTCATCAATAGAGCGGAATAATCTATTGATGCCGTCCTGTTGACGTATTTCTTCGGCGTGTGACACAAGTCCAGGGGGCAGACCAAGGGGCTTTTCCAGAGCCTGTAACGAACCGGGGAGGTTCAGACTCTTAAGAACTCTGTTTATTAGGTTAGTATATCAATATGAGCGGCGAACGAGAAACATACTCGTGTATCCTAGCAGTAAGACCCTCAAATTCGTCAATCGTCTTATTGACAACGCGATCCCTTCTATCGGCGTAGATGCTTGCTGCAACATGAACAGAGTATGGTACTAATTTCGAGAACAAGGGGCGACCAAGCTCAGTGTTATCACCAAGCACGGAGAGCGGATCGGAGACCTCTTTCGGAACCTTGGAGGAAACCATAGTGGCGCGGTCAAGCACCTTGAGCTCAGGTTTCGGAGGAACGGGCACTATATGGATACTTCGATCAGCACATGTTGAGAGCAAGAAGCTCATTCGACGTACAAAGATATATCATATCATTGTCTTTCTCTGCACGTTTCAAGTCCTCAGTTACCCTGTTCTTGAGGCCGTTAAGGTCTGCCTGCACTGCCTTGTTGACATAGCGAGACTCCTTGAGCGCCTCATTTACGCAGTTCAGGCTGTCTTTTAGCCTAGCAACTTCTTCACCGTACTTGCGCTTCTCGAGACAGTCGCAAGCAGCCCTGTACTGCGCGGCGCCTGCAAAATGGTGGTGTTTGGCGTTCATGTGGTGTATCCATTCGCTGCTGATAGCGTCGGACTTGATACCCCAGTCTCCCGCGTCGGCGTAGAGGTCTGATACCTTAGCCGCAAGTTTGGATATCGAGGCGTCCTTCAGCCCGTCCTTTACGGCTTTTTGCCAGAAACACTCCTGCGCCTGTGCCAACATAAGTTGTTCCAAGCTCTCCAAGGTCATCGTATCCATATCCTCGGGCGGATTCGTGCGCAGGTCGGGGATGATGTTTGTCTTCAGGTAGGACAGCACGCCCGCTGCTTGGCAGAACTGGTTGGAAGCCAATTTCAGGCCCTCAGTGGTTGTTCTGTTCGCGGAGATGGCCAGCTGAGAAAACATGGCCGCGAGGTTGAATAAGATATTAGCGATTTCAAAGCGGATGTTGTTTTCTGAAACTAAGCGGAGGTCAGTAGTCTCTTCCAAGATCGGCAAGGACATAAAACCAACCTGGGCGCTGCGTGTTGTACCCCAACGCGGGGTACCAGGAGAAATCTACGCCAATCTAGGGAGTATAACGGCGTCAGAAAAGAGTATCCAGGCCAAAGTTCCACGCCGTATCTTATGACCTACGTCTACAGGGAATTTTCCGCCTATCCAGACCAGCTGAGCCCCATATGCTTCCAACTTCCGGATACCGCTCGCGTGCGGCTCGATGGAGTGAACGGCGCTCGCGCGGAGGATATCGATGGCCTCCAGATCGGAGGTGAACATGTCCGGGTGCTGATCATATTTGGTAGAGATGTACTGCTTGATCGCATTCGAGAGAGATACGGTATGCGTGCGACGGAAAGGCAGGAAAAGGATATTGCTGCTACGTAGGCCACGATTAGCGGGGTTGACGAGCGGTACAGGGCAAAGGCTTACGAAGACATGGCCACTGCTTCTTCTGCCCCGAGTTCAAGGGCGTATCTGGAGGTTGGGTGGTGCAGGTGGGCGCCGAAAGGCCGCGGGGCATTGGGCACACAAAATCGGTGACGTTTGCGCGCTCCGGGTCAAGCCGCAGTGCAAAGCCACTAGACGATCAAGCTTCGAGCGCGGGGTCCTGTCAATCACGCCGGCGGCTGTATTATTTCCGGGGCAGACTGGCGTGCCACGGAAGTGGAACGCGACTTGAGGTCGTTTCAGCGCCGGACCCGTGCCGATCGCGCATCCCGGTGTGTGAAGCGCGCAATTGACGAGAGCCAAAGAGATGGATTTGTAAAGCCGCCCCGCGAAACGACGCCGTTTGCCTCTCTCGCTCGTGTCCCAGCTTACGCGCCCTATTTAATCTAGCTGGTTTGGCACGAGCAGCAATCTGTCCCTCCCTCCCTTCCTCCCATCTCTTCTTCTTTGTGCCCCACCACCCGCATATATAAGTCCGACCCTCTCGCCGCTGGCCACCTCAACTACTCCCTCCAACTACCTACTACATACCTACGCATTTTCCAACTTCAACCACCGCCATGTCCGAGCACAACTACAAGTTCAACATCACCATGACCTGCGGCGGCTGCTCCGGCGCCGTCGACCGCGTCCTTAAGAAGCTTGATGGTGCCGCAACCCCCGCGCTGCCCCCCGTCGGCTGTACACCTTACCTGCTAACACCTCTCTCCCCCAGGCGTCAAGTCGCACACCGTCAACCTCGAGGGCCAGACCGCCGAGGTCGTCGCCGAGCCCTCCCTCGACTACGCCACCGTCCTCAACACCATCAAGAAGACGGGCAAGAAGGTCAACACCGGCGAGGCCGACGGCCAGCCTCAGGAGGTTTAGACGACGGCGCTTGCGATACCCACACCCACACACATCTATACAATTAGACATCATGGCGAGCTTCTGCTGCGGGATACAGGAGGACTGTTCGGATATGAGAAATGAAAGCGATTCTGGCCTGGACTTCCATGCCTTGGCTACCACAAACATCCACACGTGCAAATGCGCAAATGGCGCAATCGCGGGCTTGACTTGTGAGCGCGTGCCTGTCTATCAGTGTCAAAGTGTCAAGTGTCATCCATAACGGACACCTTGTTGTTCCAGCGATCGTTGCGGAAACAGGCTTAGAGCAACCGCGTCCCGCAGCGCAGGCACAAGGCGGACCCCTGAGGCGCGCTGCCGCTGCAGGTACGACGACGCCAGCTTGCCAGTGCCAGTGGAAGCCGCAAAGTCCGTGGCTTCCGCTGAAGTGGATGGACTTGCGAGAGCATGTTTCAGGTGATGACGGAGAACCGCACCGTGCGACGCCCGCAAAACGGCCTCAAGTCTCAGCGTCACAGGCGCAGAGAGATCCATCCATCCGTAGGGACGGACGGCCAGGCCAGGCAAATGCGCGCACGCATGCAGACGCCAATTGCTTCGAGGTGACAGCCGCCGCGGTTGACACGCTATTACGCGACAAACAGCAACATCCACCACCACCGGCGTCGACATCGCCCAACACCATCATCACCTGCACACGCAGACAAAACAGCATCGAGCCCGTCACACACCACGAAGACATGGAAGCGACGCGAAGCACAGCACATTGCAAACACGAGAAAGAAATGTCGGCCCAAAGCGAACCCACGTCTTTTGCAGCGCAAGAAAACAAGCCGCGGGATTAGAAAGGGTCAAGCCAGGTTGCATGCGTTCTTGGTCACTCGGGAATGTGGAAAGTCAACTGGAGAATCTGACTACCCAAGGGTATTTTGGGACCGTGTTTGGTATCATGAAGAAGAAAGGAAAATTCGCCTTGTGAGGGGTTTTTATATCCTGTGCTTCGTGCGCGCGCTAGTGTTTTTTGGGCTTAGTCGTCACTTCGACGACGCATCATCTCATCAACAAAATGCCATCCAACTCATGGAGCATCATACAAAAGGGAACCTCGATAACTACGGCATCTGGTCGTTACCTAGTTGTCAATAAAATCATTCAGGAGAGCGAAACTCCACTGCGCCGTATTGGCCTTGCTGTGTTTGTGTGCCTTAAGTCAGACCTACTGATATTATCTTACTGACTTCCATCGGCGCAGCGCTAAGGACAACCAGAAGTTCATACTAAAGTATGTACCTGATTCTGATTTTCGACATATCCAGGACATCTACAGCAGGTTGGATGGTTGCATCTATGTCCGTCAGTTGCGGGACACCATCAAGGAGCACTCGATCCTTATCCACGACTATCTGTCCGATGATCTTCTGAGCCTTGTCTCGAGAAAAACTACTTCAGCGCAAGACAGGAAACGGATCCTTAGAGACACATTACGTGGGATTGCGGCTTTGCACGAGAAGGACATCGTCCATACAGGTAAGACGTTCCCTGAGTTCTAATATTGCTCGGTAATAGTTAATGCATGGCAGATATCAAGCCAAACAACATCTTGGTAGCAATGAAAACGGAAGCTAGAGGATGTGCTGTCGAAAAGGTCCAGCTTGCCGATATTGAGGATGCAGCATATGTTCCCCCAGGAAGCGACATCATTGGCAAGTTAGTTGGGAACAGAATGTGGCGCAGCCCGGAAGCCCACGCAAATGGCCCAGTCAACAAACCATCAGATGTCTTTTCCTTTGGCATCGTTGTAAGTTTTCATCTCCAGGTTAGAACAGTTCTCTAAAGCAGATCAGATACTCACACTGGCGTTATATAGTGCATATATGCCATTCTTGGACGTGTCATTTTCGCAGTCGGCAAAGAAGAGTTGTCTGATGACGTTGAACCCCAGGCAATTATCATTGAGCGTCAAATATCCTATTTCGCAGACATGGAAGGGTTTAACGGATTGTTGGAGCACCTTGGCAACAGCCAATGGCGTCCGATCTTTCAATATATCCGAAGCGGGTTTGGTCGTGACAACCCGCGCGAGCCTATCACTTTATGGAAGGATATTGATACGGATTTCAAAAGTCTTGTTGCTGGTCTGACGAACTTTGACCCTAAAAAGAGGCTTACGGCGGCTGAAGCGCTAGAGCATAAATGGTTTCAGGATGTCTAAGCTAAAAGATATCTATTGGAGGTTGGATGGAGTTAAAGTTCAACATTTTAATATTCTACCAAATTGTTATACCTTTACGGTGTTGCCTCTAAACTAGACGTCCTTAATACGAAATTTAATGTCCTGTATAATAAACCAACCATACCACTCATCCTCATGTACCACCTACTCTAGGTAGCTGCCAATTTATCTTCGCTGTACAGATACTGCTCTACTGCTTGTGCCCTAGCAAAGAAAGAAGCCGTATAGCCCTGTGCACTTCGTAGAAGTATTTCCACAGAGCAGAGTGCTACAACACTCTGCAAAAACCCGCCTATCCCAACCCTCCACCAACCAGACCGAATTGCGCCCTTCCCCTCAGCCAACGCTGAGCAAGTTTGAGCATAAAAGCTATACTACATACAACACGCATACGACGCGTCCCAAAAAGCCAAAGTATAACTCCTGACTAGTTTCGCCTCCCTCTTTTACTACGTCCCACGCACTCTCCTACGTAGGCCAGGGTAATTAGCTGCGCGGAATCTTGCCGCTGTGCCGTGACACGCACTAGCTTGATTATCAAGCACGCGGGTTAGACTTTGGACTGAGTACCTAGTCGTGCACATACTATATAGGCCATCATGGAGGCTAAGGACATAGCTAAAAGCCATATTGGCCATGCACCGTGCTTTTGTTGTTGAGCATGGTAGGGGCTTGTACTCTTGTAGTAGTAGAAGATCATCAATTGCACTAAACCGTAGAAGCAGAGGCAGAAGCAAATCCAAAAGTAAATCCAATACAGTTAACTCATGCTATGACAGACAACAGACAGACAAACAGACGCCAACCCATGCATGGCACCCTCCCACCCCCTACAGACACATACATGCACGGCTTATATACCCACACCACCATTTTATTTTCCAAGCCACCCATGCACAACCACCCTAATCCGACAACTCGGCCTGCCTCACGACCTCCTCCCTCCCCTCCCTGGCTGCCATCGCCAGCAGATTCAGCGCCGAGCCCGCAAGCACGAACCCGCACTGGTCCTTACTAAGGGTATGCCTCGTCTCAATGGTCTTCTCCTCACCGCTCCTCTTCTTCAAACGCAACGTCACGCTGCCCTGGCCACCACTGCGCAGCGTGTCCAGCAAGCCGTGGGTGCTGATCTCGTCGCACGCGTCAATGGCATCGTAGTCGGCCTCGTTTACAAACGTCAGCGGCACCACGCCCTGCTTCTTGAGGTTCGTCTCGTGGATGCGCGCAAAGCTCTTGGCCAGGATGATGCGCCCGCCCAGGTAGCGCGGCTGCAGCGCCGCGTGCTCGCGCGCCGAGCCCTCGCCGTAGTTGTGCTCGGCCACGACGAGCCACTCGCGCCCGGCCGCCTTCCACCGCTTCGCCAGCTCCGGGATCCCGCAGCTCGACCCGTCAGCATCGTATGCCGTGTTAGTCTCGCCCGTGGCCGCGTTGACCGCGCCAATCAGCGTGTTCTCGGCAATGTTGGGCAGGTGGCCCTTGTACTTGAGCCAGGGGCCCGCCGCCGAGATCGTGTCCGTCGTGCACTGGCCCTTGACCTTGTAGAGGACGCTGAGGCCGCTGAGCTCGTTGTTCGGGAACGGCGCGAACGGCTCGAGCACCGCGAGACGCGTCGACTTGGGGTCGATCTGCACCTCGACGCTGGCGTCCGGCTTGCCGGGCGTGGGCAGGAAGTCCGGGTTGCCCGTGGCGAAGCCGGCTGTGGGCAGGTCTTGGCCCTTGGGCGGCTGGAACTTGAAGTCAGTGCCCGGAATGTTGTCCGTCATGGGGTTGAAAGTCGTGCTGCCGGCGTAGGACATGGCGGTGACGAGCTCGGGCGAGGCGAGGAAGTTCATCGTCGCGCGGTTACCGTCGTTGCGGGCAGGGAAGTTGCGGTTGTACGACGTGAGGATGGCGTTGGCCTCGCCCTTCTTGACCTCGTCTGTGCGCTTCCATTGGCCAATGCAAGGACCGCAGGCGTTGGCCAGGACGACACCGCCAGCAGAGGAGAACGTGTCCAAGGTGTTGTCACGCTCCAGCGTGGCGCGGACCTGCTCACTACCAGGGGTGATGAAGAAGTCCGACTTGGGAGACAGGCCGGCGGAGCTAGCCTGCTTGACGAGGTCCTCGGCGCGGGTCATATCCTGGTAAGAGGAGTTGGTGCAGCTGCCAATCAGGCCAGCACCGAAAGTGGTAGGCCAGCCGTTGGTCTCAACCGTCTCCTTGAACTTGCTAAGCGGGGTGGAAAGGTCGGGCGTGAAGGGACCGTTAATGTGGGGCTCCAGCGTCGAGAGGTCGATTTCGATGACCTGGTCATACTGAGCACCCTGGTCTGCGCGGAGCAGGTTACGAGGACCGGGGGAAGCAGCTATAGTGCCAGCCTGGACGGCGATGGCGCCACGGTGGGTGGCGTTCAGGTAAGGAATGTGGCCGGGGGAGAAGGGGAACAGAGAGGTCGTAGCGCCAACTTCGGCACCCATATTGCAGATGGTCGCCATACCAGTGCAGCTGAGGGACTCGACGCCGGGACCGAAGTACTCAATGATGAAACCAGTGCCACCACGGACGGTGAGCTTACCGGCAAGGCTCAGGATAACGTCCTTGGGGCTTGCCCAGCCGCTCAACTGGCCAGTCAGCTTGACACCCAAAACCTTGGGCGCCTTGAGCTCCCACGGAGCGTCCACCAGAGCGTCGACGGCATCCGCACCACCAACACCAATGGCAATGGCGCCCAGACCGCCAGCGTTGGGCGTGTGGCTGTCCGTACCCAGCATCATGAGACCCGGCGCGCTGTAGTTCTCCAGGACCGTCTGGTGAATAATACCCGCTCCCGGAGGCCAGAATTCAATACCGTACTTCTTCGCAGCCGACTCGAGGAAGTCAAAGACCTCCTTGTTGCCCTTGATCGACTCCGGAAGGTCGACATCGGCGCCACGCTCACCAACAATCATGTGGTCGCAGTGGATGCTGGCCGGGACAGCGGTCGTGGGCAGACCACACGACATGAACTGCAGCAGAGCCATCTGGGCCGACGCGTCTTGCATAGCGACACGGTCGGGCTTAAGCTTGAGGTTGGCGGCGCCACGGATGTCCTTGCCATTGTTGGTGCCGGTCAAGAGAGACTCCTCGGGGTTGTCCAAGTGCGAGTAGAGGATCTTCTCGGCGAGGGTAAGGCTGCGGTCGGCGCCCAGGATGCCGCGCACCTCATTGAGCTTGCGCAGGAGCTTGGGGTAGGGAGGGGTGCGAATGGCGACATCGAAGCCGGGGGGAGGCGACGAGGTCTGGGCGGTTGCGAGGTGCCTCCGGCCTTGGAGCAGAGTGCGCGAGGGCTACGAATCGTGAGAAGGGCGGCTCGCGGTGCGCGGTGAGGGCAAATACCTTGACATTGGCGAGCCTGGCTGCTCTCAGGGCGGGAGCCCGTAGGGAAAAGACTTGGCCTGCCATTGGGGGAGAGAGGCAGATGGTCGACCAAAATTTGGCGATGGAGAGCGAGAGCGGAGGCGCCTCTCACAAATCCACCGCTCGCAGTTGGTCAGTCCGCCACTCCGAGCTCGCCGGCCCGAGTGAATCTGGGGCCGATCGTCGAGAGAAAAGCGTGGCCGCTCAACAACTCGCAACCACCGCTCCCTGCTGGTCACGACAAAATGCACACCAACACCCGAACCAGCCCGACATCGCACCGAGGGTATCTCTCATCAATTCAACCATCTAGTATTTTCTTATCTCATCGCTCATCTTGTCTCGTAGCTCGTCTATGAAGTATGCACATCCGCCTTCTCCATGGCCTCCGTGACCTTCTCTATCGCAGGGTCCGCCTCCTGCTTCTTCTCGGCCGCCTCGACGCCCGCCGCGCCCTTGGCAGCCTCCTTCTTGGCCTTCTTCTTGGCCTTGTCAGCGTCCTTGGCCGCCTTCTTAGCCGCCTTCTTCTCCGCCTCCAGAGCCTTCTGGCGCTTGGCCTCCTCGCCACCGTACAGCTCTCTCCACTCCTGCTCCTTCTCCGGCTTGATCTGGCTGAACAGGTAGCCGGCCTTGCCAATCTTGTGGCCGGGCTGGATCGACTTCGCGGTCCAGTCCTCGGGAATGAAAGGAACGGGCTCGACGTTGAGCTGCTGGAACATGCCCGCAACAAACTCGCCCTTGTCGTTGGTGTAGCCCTTGGCGGTGGCGGGCATGTAGGGCTCGATGACGCTCGCAAGAAGGCGAATGTGCTCAAGCGCCATGCTGACAACAGCAGCGCAACGGTCAGGCTCCTCGGCGAACAGCCTGTTGTCGAGCTTGTTGTCCTGGAGGAGCTTGTTGCCCTGAGACGAAATGTGCAGCGCCGTCGTGAGACCAGCCCTGAGCTTGACTGCCTCCAAATCCTTGATATAGGTCTTCAGAAGTTCGTTGGTCTCCTTCTTGTGGTTCTCAAGGTAGTCATCCGTGTACTTGGTGTAGTCGGGAACAACTGCGAGTCTATGTGTCAGCTAGAACTACCCATCACAAAAAATTGTCTAGACTTACCAGAATCGTACTTGGCCGCCACAAACTTGATGACGCGGTTGACGAAGTTGCCCAGGTTCTTCAACAGGTCATTGTTGTTGGCGTCAATGAACTCGTTCCACTTGAACTCGGCGTCGCTAGTCTCCGGTCTCCTAGAGAGCAGATAGTAACGCCAGACGTCCGAGGGAATGCCGGTATCCTTAGCGTTGTTACCAAAGACACCGATGCCCTTAGACTTGGAGAACTTGGTGTTCTCGTAGTTGAGGTATTCGGTGGTGGACAGATGGTGGATCTTAGTCCACTTATCCTTGGTGCCGAGCTGCGAGCCTGGGAAAATGATGGTGTGGAACTGAACGTTATCCTTGCCCATGAACTGGTAGAGCTTGACGTTGTCGGGGTTCCTCCACCACTTCTCCCACTCATCGGTGTACGTCGCCGTGATGGAGACGTAGCCAATGCAGGCATCGAACCAGACATACATGACCTTGTCCTCATAGCCAGGAAGAGGGACAGCCGTACCCCACTTCAGATCACGGGTGATGCCGCGGGGCTTGAGACCCTTGTCGATCCACGACTGCGTGATCTGGATGCAGTTCGACGACCAGGCTCCCTCCTTGCTCGCCTTCTCAAACCACTCCACAATCTCCGGTTTCAGCGCGTCCAAGCGCAAGTATATGTGCTTAGTCTCTCTCTTCACCGGGGCGGCGCCGTCCAGCTTGCAGCGGGGGTTGATGAGGAAGCCAGTGGCCTTCACCTCGCCGTGCGCCTCAGCCTCGTCCGACCCAGCGGCGGCAGCCTCCGGCTCTGGCTCCAGCGGATCCAGAAGGTTGCCGCACTTGTCGCACTGGTCGCCTCTCGCGCCCGGGTCGTGGCATATGCTGCACTCGCCCTCGACGAAACGGTCGGCAAGGAAGGAGTTGTGCTTCTCGCAGTATGGCTGGACGGTGGTCTGCTCCTCTAGGTAGCCGTTCTTGTAGAGCTTGGTGAAAATGTCCTGCGCGATATCCGTCTGCTGCTGAGTGGGGGTGCGGCCGAACTTGTCGAAGCCGATGTTGAACCACTTGTAGACATCGCTGTGGATCTGGTGGTACTTGTCGCAGAGCTCCTGGGGAGTCAGGCCCTCGTCGATGGCCTTGGTCTCGGTGGCAGTGCCGTACTCGTCGGAGCCGCAAATGTAGAGAGTCGGGTGACCGCGGGCCTTGCAGAAGCGGGAAAAGACGTCGGCGGAGAGGACGGAGCCAATGATGTTGCCCAAGTGAGGAATGTTGTTAACATATGGCAGGGCGCTAGTAATGAGGATGTTGCGCTTGCCCTCCTGGGGGAGGATGGGCTCGGAGGTGGCCATTGTGGAGTGTGATGTTTTTCTTACCTTCTGTCGCGCTGATTCCCGTTGACTCAACTTGGTCCCCGCGGCCGGAGCCCTTCAGCCCCGCACTAACCCTGAACAGGCATCGCCTCTCTGGGGGACTCCCTGACTCACTCCATATCAGTCGACAACCTGGATCCTAACATGTCAGATCTTCATCATCTCATAAACACTCCCTCTAATCCCTGGATCTTGACAAGCCATCTCGAAAACAACATGTATTTATTGATTAATTCAAGCTGCCACAAGCTCTCAAGACCAGCTTGAGTATCATATCTACCTAGAAGTTCATTTGCTGCCACTGCACCCCAAGGCAAGCTCAAGTACCGTATCGGTAAAGAAAGACAAGCTTGAACATTGTATCGCTAAAAAACAAAAGACCAATCCCAAATCTCATCCGTAGGAGCGACGAGAGCTACGCATATTGTAGCTGCACTCGCTGTTCAACTCAAGGGCGAGCGCATGGTCTTTTTCCTCCTGAACCTGCTTCTCAGCCTTGCCCTGCTCGGGGTTGGTACTCTCTTCTTCCTCCAACTGCTGCTCTTCTTCTTCTTCTTCGGGCTGGTCGTCTTGTTCGTAGTTTTCTTTGTCGTCTTCGTAACCCTCAATCGTCTCGTAATCTTCATCCCCCTGCTCCTCTTCATCTCCATATTCATGAACCTCCGCGTATCCTTCAGAATGTTCACCAGAAGTCTCGGCACGAGCCTGGTATGCCTCTGTGTCCAGCTTGGCCTTCTTTGAGACGTGGGAGTTGCCAGAGTTGGTGTCTTCATCGTCGTCGCCGTCGTCGTCGTAGCTGGCGCCGCGCTTGCGCAACTTGAGGCCTTTGCCCCCGAGTCCAGGGAGATCCTCTTCACCAGTCGAAGGAATGCTCTTGCGGCCGATTGAGAGAAGCCTCTTGCCGCCAGCCATGGAAAGATGCGTCTTCGCAGCGCCGGGGTGCTCTTTGCCGCCAGTCGTCGGAAGGAACCTGTTGTAATGATGGCAGTCCTTCCTGTAAAGGGGCTTTCCATCACCAGGAACCGGGTAGGCAGCGGCAGCCTTAAGCGCCTGGACAGCAGCAGAAGATTTCAGAGCCAGTGACTCGCCAACAAAGCCGAAGTCGTCGTCGTCGCCCGCGCGGCGCGCACGGCGGACGCTGTGCTTGGAGCCGGGATCCTTGCTGGAAGCAACAGCAGCAGCAGCAGCGGCGGCGGCGGCGGCGGCTCTCTGGGCCTTCTGCTCCTCCTTCTTGTCCTCGCCACAAAGCGTCGTGCGCATAGCCTGGGCCCTTGGTCTCTTCCGCTCATCGACGCCCGACTCGACGCGTCCATTGCGGTTCCAATAGTTCTTGACGCCGGAAGCAGTGCGGCGATTGATGTTGAACTGGCTGGCAAGAATGGCGCGCACGTCGTCCCAGCGCTCGACGGTCTGGAGCACCGGCGTGTCGCGCAGGCTTTGGCGCATTGCGGCGGCGCAGCTCTCGCGCTCGTACGCGTTCCAGTCGGGGTTGCGGCGCCCGGTCTTGTTGTCTTGGGCCGCGTCGGCCTTCTCTTGGATGAGCGAGGGCCGCGGCGGGGCGGACATGGCAGCGGCGGCGGCGGTGGTGACGGGTGCGGAGGCGGAAAGAGCTGTGTTGTTGGCGTTGGCGGACGAGATGTCTGTGACGGATGTGGTGGTGGTGGGAGCGCCGAGTTCGCTGTAGCTGTCGTCGTCGTCGTTGTTGTCGTTGGACATTTCGTCGCCATCGTCGGAGGAGATGACGATGGGCCCGCCGACGCCGCGCTCGCCGCTGTCCTCGCCGTCTTCGTCGCCGTCTTCGTCGCCTTCGCCGTTATCGAGGCTGGTCGAGGGGCTAGGCTCAGGGGCAGGCTCGCCCATGCCGGGGAACAGCTCCTCCTCCGCTGCGTCCAAGGGAGGGAGATCGAAGAGCGGGAATTCCGTCGGGTCGTGCTCGCCAGGCACGTCGTAGGCGTAAGGGGGCTCCGGGTCCGTCCACCAGAAGACGGCGTTCTCGAGGCCGAAGTTGTCCATGATGGTGGTGGTGGTGGTGATGGTGGCGGAAAGGGGTAGGCAAAAAAGGTAGGAGAGGGGAAGCAGAAAAGGTCAAGATTTCGGTGATGGGCTTGCAGAAGGTGGCAGACGGTTCACAGGTTGAAAGAAGTTGGAGGAAGCTTCATGGGGATGGATTTATGCTCTATAGGTTACAATAGCTAACTGAATGGATTGTTGGACTTCGGTGTATAGTGATAGGAGCGAAGTGTGGAGTGAAACACTTCGAGATGGTTCCTGCATGTTGTGTACTTTCTGGACAATAGAGTCAATAGGTAGAGTATAGTGAAAGGGCGAGGAGATTCCGTCATCTTTGATGAAGTGAAGTTGAGTGAAGTTGGAGCACGGTTTCTCGGGCTTACACGCTTTTTCTGCACGCTTACCCGGACGAACGCACGGCATCACGATACACACGCAGCGGTCTAAGTTCGAAATGTTTTTTATTGCTAATGGTAGTGTTCGAACGCTCTACGCTCTGAATTTGTTACCCTCGTGCTCAATATAGCTGTTATGTTACATAAGCACATATTGTGGAATCGCTTATGGCATCCAGTGCACCAGTGAGGAATTGGTTTGTTGGAATGATTCGCAAATTGATCTATATAGGTCTTCGGGGATGCAGGTGAAAGGTAGCGGGCGGCAGGCGGCGGCGTATGCATTTACTGAAATTTAAATCGGTGTCATTGAGATGCATCCAGGTACATACATAATATGCTGTAGTATTTCTTCGAGAAGGCATCGAGAGGGGGAGCATAGATGGTGCAGCGGGAATATAGCAAGGCATCTAATGATAGGTGGAGGGGTAATGTTCGCAAGTATGAGAAGAGCCTACGAGTTTACAGTGAGATAGTATTCGTAGGTACAAAGGTAGTTTAAGGGTAGACGACGATGCGACGCTCATGGGTAGGGAGGTAGCATGATGATAGACAACAAGACAATGGTCGTGTGTACGAAGGTAGCATGGAGAAAGATGAAAGTGGCCTTAATGTACACGCTCAACAGACTATGTCTCTCTTGCTGTGATCCAAATGAGACTAGATACGGTTGCACCTATATCCACGCATTGGCGGTATGTGCACGTAGCTAAAGATTCATTCCAAGGCATACGAAAGTAGTTCGGATATAAAGAGGAGAAGAAGTTTCGACTGCGAAGTGACAGCCTAAGTAGGTAGATAGGAGGTCGTATATGTGCTTTGGTGTTCTTTTTCGTTGTGTACTTAGAAAGTGATTCATGCTATTGTCATTGTAAGCCGCATATGTACATGAGAGGCTTCTGGGGCTTTCGCGATGTTCTTTTGTTGATAGCAGAAGGGTACGCTTTGTATAGATGCGATCCGTCGCTTTCTGTAGAGATTGGTAGAGTTCAGGGAAGTTCTATCTGCAAATCTTTCGCGTGTAGAAACGGCTTCTCAAAGGCACGAAAAGTTAGCTGCATCAGGCTTCTCAAATGATGCTTCGGGTTGTGAATAATACATTTTCTCAACGATACAAAATGGGTTATAGAAAGACAGTGATTTATGCTCGACAGCTCCATGATATACAAGCTATATGGACAGATTTTACAATACCATGATAGGTCGGATAGATGCTTGTGTATACAATGGGAAGTTTTATTGTTCAAGCGGGCTCGGAAGGGTCGCCCGCAACCAGCCTGCAAGCGCATCCCTTTCTGCTATACCTCCTTCGTACTTGACGTATGGCCGCCAATCATCAATCTCGTGCAGATTGCGGCCCTGCAAAGCCTCCTCGCGCGGACTGCGAGTTTCACCAAGCGGTCCTAAGCAAGCTCTCCCACCTTTGATAGTGCCATTATGCACAGTAAGCACAACCTGAGCATCCTCCAAGTGGGCAGGGAGCACCGGGTCTCTACGCTCATCTGGCAAGGGTTCCTTGGTCGAGAAGATGAACTTTGGCGTTGATAGATAGGTCCATTTGAGGGTCTGGGGAGAATGTCAGTGCGCAACGTTGAGGCGGTGGAGTAACTCATAGCACACCTTTAGCTCTTCATATCCCTTGTCGATTTCGGGGACGCCCAACTGTTCTTCTCCAACTTCGACAGCAACGCTGCCGTCCGAGCTCAGCCCGTACATACTGCCAAATTCGCTCTGAACCCCTTCCACAAAGTCACTGTTCTCAATTCCAATGTTTGCGACCGGCGAACTGACACTCTCAACACCCTGGGCCTTGATAAACCGCTTAGCAGGGGAGTGCAGATAATCCGGGATGATCTGCAAGTTTGGCGATGAGAGCAGACAAGTAGCATGGTGCAATGCCCTCCCACGAATAAGCTTATACGCCGAGCCAGAAACCTTCAACGGGCGCGGCCCCTCCCCGAACGGCGTCTTATGGGTATCGGCCTCATCCACCTTCGCTCGTTCTGCGCCCTGGTCCAGCACAATATCATGCCGCTCATTGACCCTAGCGCGCTCGACGCCGAGCTTCCGCAGCGCGCGCACCACCATCTCCGCATGCTTGTCGCGCGAGAAATCGTCCGACGGAGAAATCACGCCCCAGTTGACGTTGCCCTCGTCATGGAAGACTGTGCCGCCGCCGGACCGCCGCCGCACGAGGTCGAGCTCCCCAATGCCTGGCGGTTCCGTCTCTTTACGTTGGCTCGACCGCGCCGCTCTCAAGAGCCCTAGGTTCACTTCCATCCATGGATTTTGGTTGCGCCCGATGACGATGCATGGTCGGTTGGTGTAGAGGAACAGGATTGTTGAGTCGTGCGGAGACTTCGTGAGTAGGTAGTGTTCGATCGAGAGGTTGAGGTACGGGTCGCGCGAGCGTGAGATGAACGAGTGTACTTTTTTCTCTGGGTTGGCGAGCGCGTCAGCTAGGGTGGATCCATATCGCCGATTGGCAAGTCTGGAGATGGTCCAGACACGGTTGCGCTGCAAAGGCTGTAAAGTCCTGGAGAAAAGCATGTGTTGTTGATTGGGGAAGCCGATTGTTTTTTAGAGCTCCGCGCGCGGAGATCTTCCGCTTTGATACAGCTCGGTGACCTCATCTATTTTGGGAAAGTCATAATTTAAGGCACAACAGCAAAAGTATGACTCGTATACTCTGTACATTTTATTGATTTCCAAGAGACAAAAAAAAACATGCACACATGCTAAAATCTCTTCCACCAACAAGTGCAAGTCCAGTTTTGTACTTTTCATACAATTTGTCTCCTCAAAAATTCTAAACATCACACCTTTTACGAAGAACGAAACATAATTAGGATTTATAAGCTTTTCTTCATAGCTGAGCTTATCAAGCATTCAAGCCGACTTCTCCAGTTAAAGCCTCGCTACTAAATCATGGTGTCTATACATCATTTCCGCAAGCTATCACCCCTAAACATCCACCCACTCAGCTTCCGCTTGCCTCACGGTAGAAGGAGATGCTCTTCCCAGCACCTGCCACAGCAAACATCTCAGCCCGGTGTGCCGCCGATTTCGGAAGCCACTTAACGGTCCACAGCGTCTGGTCTGACTCGGAGTGAGTCGCAACGCACATCCGGGTCTCGAGAGACCAAATCTTGGCTTTGCCGTCAAAAGCACTACAGAGCCGCAGGTGTTAGTTACGTTGATATAGAGTGGCACCTAAGTGCCCCTAAGATGAGACGGGGTGTGGCCTTGAGGAAGTCAAGAAATACATACCCGCTGAGAAGATACTCGCCCGTATCACTCCAGTCCAGGCTCATGATCCATGCCGCATGGCCCGACAAGTTGGCGATCTGCTCACCGGAAGATACATCATAGATGGCGATGGTCTTAGCATCGCCAGCAGCAGCCAGGAGTTTGCAGCCTGGGGAGAAGGCAAGAGCGCGGACGGGCTTGATGAGACCTATAATGACCTAGTCAGATGCCAGAAATTGCACATAAATGTAAACGTCTTGGGTTATCCCAAACATTGAAGTATTTTGCGGTTGTGGAGGAATTATTGCAAATTCATGCTTTGAAGAACGAAACATACCTGGAAGGGAGTGGAGCAGGCGGCCGGTGTCATTGTTGAAGATATATACGCTACCGCTCTCATGACCAGAGGCAGTGAAGCGGCCGTCGACACTCTGTAGTGGACAATTAGTGAGTGGTCACACTGAGGCGTTCAAGCTGAAAAGCAGGTGTGCCTCAAAAAAGTGTATCTCACCAGGTGGATGCTCATGCCAAAGCTACCCTTAGTCTCGTATTCCCGAATCTTCTCTTTCGACGAAGTTTCCCACACGTTGACACGGCCATCGTACGTCGTGCTTGCCAGGTATCTGCCGTCTTCACTCAAGGAGATGGCCCATACCTCGCCAGCCTTGTTTCCGTCTATTGAAAACCGCAGTCAGCCAATGTGCCCAAAAACCACCGAGATCCCGCGGGAAATTGATGCTGCCACGAAGTATACAAGCTGTATATCCCCCTTGCCGTTCGTCTTGGTATCGGTGGTGGGATCCGTAGGTAGAAGAAAGCACAAACCCACAATGCTTCCGTCCTCAGCCCAGCTTCCATCTTCGCCCAAGCTCCAGAGCTTGACTTCACCGCCGAAACCAGCACTAGCAGCCTTTTGTCCGTTCGCAGATGTAACCAAGTGGTGGCATCCGAGCTTGTGCACGCCTTGCAGCGTCTGCGTGAGCGGGAAATCGGGTTGTTCGGTGGAGTAGATTCGGATATTGGAGGAGCCGGAGGCGGTAAGGAGGCTAGTCTTGGTAGGAGCTATCGCGAATACATCGGTGGGATGAGCTGGGAGGTATCAGTGCCTGAGCTGGACCAGAGTGCAAAAAGAGGTACCATTGTTGACGGTATGAAGGGTGAGGTATTGTTTGGACTACGAAAGCTGTTAGCTCGGCGCATTGGTGTTATTGCGACAAGCGCACCATGTTCGTGACAGCCTGGAGCTTCCCCGGTCGATCTCAGTGTGGGGAAGGATCTGAAATGTTTCGCAAGTGGACGTTGGTGGTTGCGGATCGCGTGGTGCGGGAGACGCGTTTGAGGTCTGACGATGTCATAGTGGGGGAGCAATCGCAACGCACATCAATGCTCCGGGCTTATCAACACGCGGACAGATGCCATTGAGGGCTCACGAGCACATATGGAATTTCTCACAATTCGGCATTGTTCAAAAGCAGCTTTCAATCTTCTGCTGGTAATGTTTTTTTTACATAGTCCGCGAGGTATCCAGAACGCCAGCCCAATGCCATGACCGCCGTTGACGCTATTTGCTGTCCATCTCATTCTCTCATACAATTCACAAACCCTCTCTCCCCCGCCTCAATTCTAGGTTCTCTATGCCGTCGCTGCGCTATCCTCCTCGTTCTTGAGCCATTTCTTGATTGCTATTCAGGTTGTCAGCTTGCTCTTTAAACGTGCGTGAGGCCAAACGACGTACATTGCACGCAGTAGGGGCACAGAATGTGCGCGCGCTTTGGCCTGCCGCAGCCGGGGCACTTGACAAGCTCCGAAACATCCTTCAATGCCTTGCCAGCCATCTGCCTGTGGCGCTTCTTCATGTGGGACGTCTTCTTCTTGGGAACGGCGCGTAGGATGGATTCCCAGATGTCGGAGAGGATGCCAGACACGCTCGTTATCGCGGCGACTGCGGGACCGGGAATGCGAAGAGAGACGGGCAGGAGCGGCTGCTGCAGGCGACGGAGCAGAGGTGGGAGGGAGCGCGTGGGTGCGCTCCCGCTCGCGCTGGAGAGCAGCGAGAGAAACGGGCCAGCGGAAGCGCGGAGAGCGGCCATGGCTGGAGGAGAACCTTAGGGAAGAGCTTGGCAATGATATGGTGGTGGGCGGTGATGGACGAACTTTTGGTGGTGCATCGAGCAGCAAATGGCGCCTTCCCCGTACAAGGATGGCGTCGCATGATCCCTGTCGGGGCGCGGCTGCCCCTTTCCCTCACTCAGTACATGTACACGCAAAGACCCTTAACGGCGCTTCCTACTACTCCACGCCCGACCACCTCCACGCGTCCAACTTTCTCTAGCTCTCCTCCCGACCACGCCACTCGTTAACTCTTCCATCCCCGCACACTGTCTGTCGACACCATGGCTGCCGCTCCCGCAACGCCCGCTGCTATCGCTCCGGCGGCCTCCGTCTTCCCCAAGAGCCACGTCGGTTTCGACAGCATCACCTCGCAGATCGAGCGGAAGCTGTTGAAACGCGGCTTCCAGTTCAACGTCATTTGCGTTGGTATGCACTGCACCCTTCTCTCGAGCCGCCTGCAAGCTGCGAGCTGCCGCTGATGCCACCTCCACCTTACAGGCCAGACCGGACTGGGCAAGTCCACTTTGATTAACACCATCTTCGCCTCGCACCTTATCGACAGCAAGGGTCGCCTGACCCCCGATGAGTCTCCGCGCAGCACCACCGAAATCCAGGCCGTTTCGCACGTTATCGAGGAGAATGGCGTTCGGCTGCGCCTCAACATCGTCGACACCCCCGGTTACGGTGACCTGATCAACAACGACCGCTGCTGGGACCCTATTGTCAAGTACATCAAGGATCAGCACTCCGCCTACCTCCGTAAGGAGCTCACCGCGCAGCGTGAGCGTTACCTTCAGGACACCAGGATCCACTGCTGCTTGTTCTTCATCCAGCCCTCCGGCCACGCTCTCAAGCCCATCGACATTGTCGTCCTGAAGAAGCTCAGCGAGTTTGTGAACGTTGTTCCTGTTATCGCCAAGAGTGACTCCTTGACGCTCGAGGAGCGCGCCGAGTTCAAGGCCCGGATCAAGGAGGAATTCGCTTTCCATAACCTGCGCATGTACCCGTACGACAACGAGGAAGACGACAACGAGGAGGTTGCCCTCAAGACCCAGATCAAGGTGGGTAGAGCGAAGACTGGAGAACGCTAATCGAGCTTGAACGAAGACTGACCTCGTCGACAGGAGCAAATCCCCTTCGCCGTCGTCGGTTCTGAGAAGACCATCGTTGTTGGTGGCCAGCAGGTTCGCGGTCGCCAGAACCGCTGGGGTGTCATTAACGGTAAGCAGAATTTTGAAGCTCGCGGGACGACGCAAAGAGGGTATTTGCTAACATGCGGCACAGTCGAGGATGAGACCCACTGCGAGTTCGTCGCTCTGCGCGACTTCCTTACCCGCACCCACCTCCAGGACCTGATCGAAACCACTTCGCAAATCCACTACGAGTCCTTCCGCTCGAAGCAGCTTCTCGCACTCAAGGAATCGAGCGCTGTTGGTCACGGCGGCGGGTCGCGCCCCATCTCTCCCTCTGCCGACAGGGAGCTTAGCCGGAACAGCCAGAGGATGACGATGAACGGCTATTAAAGAGCCATCCAAAGCGCGAGTCGAGCGGCGTGAAAACGCCCAGCCAAGTTGCGAGGCGGGGGGACGAGTATGATACCAACGCAGGCCAGCAGGGCCAAATTTGCTTCGACAAAAGAGTTTCCGTTTAAGCGGTGGAGTAGGTTTCGTTTTGACTTCGGAGCTTGTATTTGCATAGTTCTTGGTTGCTCTCTCTTCCACCTTTATAGTGTAGTAGCCCTTATTTTTTCTCCTTAGGCGAAAAGCAGTCAAATACCTTTTGCGGCGGTGGGGGTAGGTAATAATTGATCTTAGGAAAATGCCCGCTTTCGCTGTGTGCGTGCGTGAGTGGCTGGGTGGGTGGGTTGGTTGGCCAAGATGCTGTACCTGCGTGGTACAGACGGTTTACTGGATGGATCGTCGTCCGTCGACGATCACGATGGCCCGCAGTGATGATTGTTTTTCCAGAGCCACTGAAAGCTCAGCCTTGTGGGGTTGCGGTTGGGACCGAATCCATAAGTCCACTTAAGTTGCCGTGCCCATGAACTAATTAGGTAGTTAGTGCTTGGTTCCCGCGGGCAGCCAGGCAGCCAGCCAGGCAGGTAGGCAACTACTACGTAAGTGTATTGCACGCCCTGGCGCGCCACACTCGCCTAAGCGACATGAAGCAGGCAGGCAGGCAGGTGGAGTAAAGTAAGTAAGCAAGCATTCAAAGAAGAAGCAAGACATATAGATACCAATTGATATCTATGGATGGATAGATGGATAGATGCCAAGTAAGCCCTACCCCTACCCGTACCTCATCCCTCAACATCCCTGCACTAAGACGAAAGCCTGTATATGCATGATGGGATAGATAAGATAGAATAAAATATTCCTAGGATGGCCCCGTAGGCTTGTGTGCACGAAAGAGCCCATCGTCCGCAAAGAGAAAAAGAGAAAAAAGGACAAAGAAGCAGATGCATGCAGATGCAAATGCGACGGCCGTGTCCGTCCCGCCCGCTCAAATTCGTCACAGTAAAGAAGAAAGAAAGAAAAACGCCCAAAAGATACCTCCTAGAGAAAATAGACAGCAGCACCAGTCCAGTCCAATAACTCCCCTCCCATCCCCACGTATTCCCAGGCCTTAGCCCTAGCCTTGGCAAACCTGTCGTGAAGCCAACCCAAACTCGCTTGTCGCTGCAATGCACAGCACGCACTCACTAATCCATTTACGTCTCATCTACCAACCAACCAACCACGGACTCAGCTTCCGCCATTCAACCTCGCCCTCTTGCTCTCCACCGACTCCGCCGTCGACGACCCATCAGGCTGCAAATTACTCATATCCGACAACGGCGGCCTCGCTGCACCACTGTCTAGCGGAGCGGCTCTCTTGGCGCCCACGGCTGGCCCAGGCGGCCTGTACGTCGAGCGGTTGGCCAGCGGGCTCTGCGCCGCGCCGGGCATGCCTATGCGCCTGTTCGCGTTCGCTTGCGGGTTGACGAAGTCCGGCTTGCCACCTGCTGCCGCTGTGCCGTTGCCGTTGCCGTTGGTGGTGCTCCCGGAAATGGCCGTGCGCGCCACGGGCATCGATCTGTTGTGGTCGATGCCGCTGGTGCGGCGCAGCGAGGGAGACTCGGCGTGCGGGTTGAAGGGCGCGACGTTGCCTGGCGGTCTGCCTGCCGTTGCTTTCTGGAGAAGGTCGGCGGCGCGGCCGGTCACGAAACCGACGGGCGCGTCTTGTGGGGCTTGTTGTTGCTGCGCAGCGTCTGCGCCATTTGTGTCTGCTCCGTTCGGCGGCGTCGAGCGGGCCTTTTGGAGCTTTTGTGCGAGCAGGTCCGCTGATGTAGATGGCGCTTGCTGATGTGGCTGTGGACGAGAGGGTTGCTGTTGTTGGTCTGGGCCAGCAGCACCATTGCCGTTCGGAGCGTTTGGTCCACGGACGTTAAACTGTGGTCTATGTGGTTGATGCTGCTGGTTCTGCGGAGGCACATTTGTACCTTTTCCTAATTGAGGTAATGAATGGGCGCGCGAAGGGCCCTGTAGTTGCTGTGCTGCATTCGGCTGGTTGTTAGGCTTCGCTCCAGTCGTCTCCATCAGCATACTCTCGTAGGCAGAGTCGTCATCGTCAACGTTGGGGCGGTCGAAATCCATGCCATCGAAGAGATTACCTCCGAACTCATCGTCGGGGTCTGTGGCATTGGATAGGTTAGACTGCTCGCCCGCGGGAAGAGTCCTGTGCGGTACAGCCGGCGTAACGGATGGTTTAGACTTCTCGGTCTTTACCACCGCATAATCTCGATGGCGATGTAGACTGTCAGTATCCCATTTGGGCGGCGGTACTTTCATCTTTGAGACTTTGCCTTCGTAGTGCTTGTCGTACAAACAGTTTCCGAGCATGTTGCCAAAGGTTCGGAGGGCTCTCTTCAACGCGTCGGTAGAGGCTTCCTTCTTTGCTTTCTCAAACGCCTGCGCCTTGGATGGGCAGTTCTCGATACTACCATAGCCAATGTCCTGCAGTTTGTTAGCATAGCACCTGGAAGATAGCAGGAATGTCCACTCACCTCATGGAAAGCACCATCCTTCAGTGTGACGCGAATGACCACGCTTATACCCATACTGATTCTGCCAGAGCTTTGACTGACATCAACAAAGTCGACCGTGACATCCCGTACCGAGCTGTTCCAGCCGTTGAATCCGAACACGTCGTTGGCGAGGTTGATGGCCTTCTCCGCCGGCAGGTACGACACATTGCGGCCACCCGCGCCCTTTCGCGAAGCTATGAACTCGGGTCCAAGTTGTTTGTTAAGACGGCTCTGGAGTGTGGCGACCTGCTTTGCGGACCATTCTGATATGCGCGGCTTCTCGTCTTCTTCCTGGAACGGGTTCGCGATGCCGCGATGCTGCTCGCCGGGTCTGTAGCGTGTCAGTAAGCTGCAAACGGCTCAGTTAGGATCTGCTTCAACGTACAAAGGCATTTTGTCAGGTTAGACTTGATGCAACGAGCTGCGCATCGCTTTATGTGAGGTGGGAGCTGGGGCGGCGAGGCGAGGCGACGCGTCCGACTTCTAGGCGGCAACGCGCGAGCGACACAGATGTCATCAGAACGTGCTCACGTGACGCGCTCTAATTTGCCCCTCACAGCTACCCGCCGCATCAGTTCAGAGGTGAACTTGCACTGACATCAAATAGCCCATTGCTACAGTACTTCATTTCTAACCGTTGCAAGTGTTATACATTACTAATTCGTACATACGTCTATGTCACCGTTTACAGAAAATGAACAGCCAAGAAATTGAAAACGAAGAACTGTAGCCTATCCTCACCAGTGCGCCGTACGTTGCTATGCTCTATAATCAGCCCCTCATCTCGTTCTCTTTTCCTGCCCAATGTCTCCATGCTCGCTTTCATCATCCGTGTCAACTAGACCGAATGCTTCCTCCTCCACAGCCCCGTTTCTCTGACTCCGCCTCGGCCTTCCATCATCACTGCCTGCGGAAGAGCCAGAGTCGGCCAGTTCGTGCTCTTCATACCCCGATTCCATATCCCTTACTGAGCCTCTGCTCCGGAAACCTTCCAGGCCCATGCCTCCCATGAAACCGCTGCCGTTGTTCTTCGCCCAAGGGAAGACGCTGTCGTAACCAGACCTGCGATTACGGTCCCGCCAGACAAACAGTCCTCCGAGCAAAGCCAAGCTAGCCACGACTACAAGCGCAACTTCGCCAGACTTGTAGTAGGCTGACCACGTAGCATCATCAATTTTCTCTTGCTGCTCTTCCTCGGCTTCCGTGGAGTTGGGGTGGCTGCCCACGCTCGTGAGCGGGCCCTTCTCACCATCGATTTGGGAGTCCACGGGCTTTCCGCCGATGCTGGAAAGGTCCACCTGCATGAAGCGGTCCAGCATGTCGCGAGAGCGGCGGGGGTAGTCGAATGGCACCATGTGGCTGCTGTTGTAGAACATCACGTAAGTCAGGTTCCGGGCCTCCTGGTAAATACCAGCGGGTTCGCCCTCAAAAGTCCAGTCGCGGCGAGGAGCCGTGTTGCCACGGCTAAGCTCGAAGCCCTTGCCGCCGTTCCACTCCATGCTGTTGATCAGCTCCTCAGTGCCGATGTGGTTACAGATAAGATCCTTGTCGCCGGAGAAAAGCATAACAGGAACGTCTTTCAGAATCTCGGGCAGAAATTCGTTCGCGGGCTTGGAGTTTCTGGCCCGGAAGTTGCTGGACACACTGCTTGAACATTCTGTCCAGCCCGTATTCTTGGCAGCATCGATATGGAGAGCTTCCTTAACGTCATCCCGACGCAGATAGGGCGTGACCTGCTTGAGGTCGGGAGGCCAGTTCATGCCGCAGGAGTCGTCATCCTTGAGCCGGATGTCGTACATGTTGGTACATTGCTCGTACTGTGAAGCCGACTTGTCCATGGTTTCGCTCAGGATAGTAGACAGGATCTCCTCGCACTGAGAAACATCCACATGGCCAACTCCGCCGGACTCCAAGGCTTTGACACAAACGGCTTGCTGGGCTTCAACCCTCTTGGCCGCCTCGGAGCCAGAGTGGATGAGGCCATTTTTATAGGCAAAGGGCAAGTATGAAAGATACTGGTCCACGGGCGAGATCCAGCCATTACCGATTAGAAGACCTGCTAATTTCCAAGGCTCTTTTGCTTTTTTGTTGCGCTCGAGAATCGCACGCGCGATGTACGGGATATGCTGGCCGGCATATGACTCTCCGGCGATGTAAAGCTATGAATATTGTTAATTTGCGTGCTTTCTGCAGGGTTAAAGGCATACGTACGTCATCATACATGTACTCCGGAAACAGGCTGTAGAACTTCTCCAGGAAAATGATGAACTGGTCCGCCATTTCCTGGAGCTCCTGCAGATAGCTATCGCCATCTACGTAGCTGAATCCGGTTCCCACCGGGTTGTCCACAAAGAGGAGGTTGGCGAACTCGTTCCAGGAGCCGTTGTTGTACTCCAAGTTGCCGTCCTCCTTTAATCTGTACGGCCCAACCTCCATCATCGCGCCATCCATAGAGCTACATCCTGGCCCACCGTTCAGCCAGAGAACTGTGCGCTGCTTGTTCGCAATGTGCTTGTTCTGGTAATGCCAGAAGAAGAGGCTCCCGTGGTGCTCGGCGCTAACTTCGATGTGCCTACAAGGGGAAATTAGCAACTGTTACGTGCTTTCAGAGGACACAGATTTGGATGCAACCTACCCAGCATGCATTTTCAGCAGTGGGCCTGCGGGCGCGCCAGGGAGAGAGTGTATGAAGTAGTCCGCGGCGGTCTTGTCCGCCCATGCCGCGGGCAGCCATGCTGCCGCGCAGAGCAGACTGTAGGTGAGTGTCCTCAGCATTCTGTCCGCTCGCCGCTACCTATAGAGGCTGGGAAGGAGCGAGATCGCCGGAAAGCTGAGGGCTCGAGAGAAATCAGGGAGACAAGGAGGCGAGCGGGACCAGGCGGCGCGTGCTAGTTCATGAAGCCGGTGAGAAACAAGGGCGTCGGGCGGGACCTGTCAAAGGCGTGTTCAAGTGTCTTGCAGAAGCTTGGGGTGCGCCTGCATGCAAGCCGTGCAATCTCAGCTATTCAAAGCCGTTTTGGGGGCTGTTCTTTGAGGACTCGTGGCCTGCGCCAAACCGCCGCCAAGGAGATCGGCCAAGGGTCCAACGGAGATGCAGACAGTCCGTGCAACGTGCAGACGCGTCCGGAACAGGCGGAATTGTGGGCTGCTGCGCGTCTCAGTCGACCGTCTGAAAGGCAGATCGTCGTATTCGTCTCAGCGAAGTCCAACAAGCTATCTAACTCTACGAGGAGGCTTTACGGTCCCTTTTAGCCTCCGAAATCCTACCCGATTTTTTGGCCCGCCCTGCCTTCCGCCCGCTGCCCCTGCTTAGGCGACGCGTTCCTGACTGCGCCCGAACGGCTGCGAAGCTGAAAGAGGACATCCGCCGTCCATGGCGCACCTATCACTGACTGCGTATGCCTCTCGCGTGTGCCATCCCATGCCTTTGCCGTGCAAGATGTATTGAAATCCCCCGGGCGCCATCTATCCGCACCCGAATCCACGTATATAGGCGCATGGGAAGCATGCTGAGTGGTCATTTGTTCCGACTGTATCTAATCCGGTCTGCCAGTCTGGGGCGCTTGCACATCGGGTGGCAAGAGTGTGCTCGCGCAAAGCAGATGTAAACTACATGAAGCAGACGCGGGAGTGCCATAGGTTGTGCCATCCGGCCTCCAAAACCATCCTTGTCGTAAACGCCAAAACCCATGATCCGCCCCGGCTTTTGATCAGCGAGACAAGGCAGGCGTGAGCGATCTCCAACCGACCTAGAATGTGCAGACATCAAGTCATAAAGCTGCAAGAGAAGCCAATAGCTGAAACCTCAATGAGGACAAGCCCTTGTACATCATTCTCACGACTGACGGATGGGCACACCCTTGCCCTCTGCCTCAGCCTGGGCCTCAATGCTGTCCATTTTTCCCTCGTCGTCAACGGTGGTCTCGCGGTTCAGGCTCGTCTCGCGATGCAGGAACGTGTTCTCCTTAACGGGGCTGCTGCTCTGGCCGCCATTATGAGGGGTTGGGGTGTTGGCGTTGCCGCCGGCACCCGCGCCGTTGTGGGGCGACGAGCTGTGCGGGATGTTCTCAGGAACGGGATGCTCACGGCCAATCTGGGTGACGCCGACATCGTCTGCCTTGCCGGCCTTGGAGAGGGCATAGTCACCGCTGTCGAAGTACTTGCGTTCCTACAAAGTGCGAATGAGTACGTGTCGCAGACAAACGCGGGGCAGTTTTGTCGCCTACCTTCAGCTTGTTTTGGAGGAGGTCCTTTCTGTTGGGCAGCTTGCCATACAGCCTGAAGAGGCGCTGTTCCTCGGCCGACAGCGACTGTTGCGTGAGTTAGCAACGATGTTCGTAGCGGTGAGCCAGCTTCACGCAGAGCGGTAGCAGGCGGGCAGGGAAAGGGTGCGACGTACGCTGATGTCGACCTTGTTCTTCTGGTGGGGGTTCATGTTGCGAGAGCGTGAATTCGGGGTCGTGTAGGACTTGTAGTCGGAGTTGGATCGAGCGCGACCGCGGAGTCGACGGACGCCAAAGATGAGTGGTCGCTGTGGAGGGTTCGGGGGCGCGGAGTCTTTGTCTTTCGACGGAGTCGTCTCAGGTGGAAAGTTTGAGGACTGGTGGTCCGTAGAAGGTGCGCGTACACGTCAAGCCAGAACGGCGTCCGTGTTGATGGCCTCAGGCAGGAATTGGGTGTTGACTGTCGGCAACAGCACGGATGCTATGACTGCACTGGCGGGGCCCCCTCGATAAGGTGATCCCTGCAAGAATTCGCAGATGCCAAGCGGAGCAGCTGGGTCGCTCGTAAAGCGCGCTTCCACAGTGCGGTAAGACGGCTGGCGCAAATGTCCGAGGTCTCCTGTTTGGGCTGCGCAGACTTAGGCCCGTTTGCTGGTGCCGGTGGAGTAAAGGCAACTAATAGTGGGGTGGCTTGAGCGAGGTAAAGTAGAAGTCCAGGTACGACCCTAAGGCCAGGGTCTGCAATTCACTCCTTGCGTGGAAGGTGACCAGACTGCATACGGAGGGAATTCAGCGGGACAGGAAAGGTGTGAGGAGCAGACGGGCAGCGGTCAGGGCTAATAAAGAGTGCTCGTTTGATGTCCCTCTACCAGTCGTCGACCTCTCCTGGCCGCGGCACCATTCCAATTGGTCGCTGCCTCACGTCACGCGCATCTTTTGGGCCGAGCAAAACCCATCAACCTATGTCACTCGCGTATTGTTGAATTGCCAGCCCAGAAATCCACTCCCGGCTGTGCAAATCATCGCTTTGCAGAACTGACTGCACGTCGGGCCAATCGCACCCAATTTCCTGCTTGGAATTGGATCGGTGTTTCAGCTCTCCCTAGGATCCAGTGCACTACGAGTACTCGTTGCCCGGTTCTTGCGCAGCTGTCACCGACGACACGGCCACTGACGTGCTTGCAGGCCGAAAAGAACGCACTCTGCCCCAGACTGCCGCGATAGGAAACGGCGCGAGCCAGTGACAGTCGTCCCGCTGCAAGATAGTTTGTCCGGCGCAGCGCAATCACACACGGCAGCTCTGCCAGACCACTTTTCACGTGCTCTCGACCGCTCCGCTCACTGCACACTGCATCGCATCCCTGGAATTTCCTGAAGCAGCTATCCCGAACCGCTTACAAAGCGAGAAACTATGTCTGCGCCAATCAAGAAGACGTTCGTCGTCGAGCACCTGGACCCCGAGCTCGAGTCGTGGTCATCGCTCGAGTACGCCGCGATCGCCAGGGAGTCTGACGCTGCAGGATGCCGCTTCCTCCTATCTAGTGTGCCGGAGAGCCTGCGCCTGCCCGATAACCTCGCCGGCATCAAGGGGCTTGAGGTTGAACATGACAGCGTGGAGAATCTCTTTGAGAAACCCACCGTGTGTCTGCTCGATCCTTCCGCCACGAAGGAGCTAAGCCCGGAAGATGGCGACCAGTTTAGCGTTTTTCTTTTTGGAGGGATCTTGGGTATGACCGTCATGAGCAACCGGACGAGTGGATAAGATCGCTGATTCCATACAGGTGATGATCCGCCAAGAGGTACGATTTTTCCACAGACTTGTGGCATCCCTCGTGACTGACACGACAGGATAGACCGCACATCCGAGCTCCGTAAGAAGGGCTTCGAGGGCCGCAGGTTAGGCCCCGTCCAGATGACCACGGACACAGCCGTCCGCGTTACGAGGATCGTGGTTCAAGAAAGAAGTAAGGGATTTGCCTAATTGATGAACGCCACGCAAGACCTAACGGCTTCTGTGTAGCACCTCTGGAGAAGATCCCTTTCGTCGACAATCCTGAAATTAGGGTTGACGCCCACGAGAGCACTGAGATGCCCTTCCGTTACGTCACGGACAAGAGCGGACAGCCGATCATGCCTAAGGTTCGTATCACTGCCGAACTGTTTCACAGATATGACTGACGTAGTAGGGGATGGTGGAACTTATCAAGAAAGACTCAGAGAGAGGCTTTGGTGATTTGCTCTAAGCATATCCCGGAAGCTAATCGGTTAAGAAAAACGGCTGCCGTCGCGGCTTGTGTGTGCTTCATGCCCTGTTCTGCCATGAAACAAATTTGTGGAACCCGCGGCTTATCATCGTGGGGTTCTCATACTATTGTTTAGTGAGGGCAGGCGTGGCCGAGATACCACTTACTTTCTCCAAAGTGAGAAACGCTGACGAGATAAAAGTCCATGGCTAGTATGGTAGAAGAGAATGAATCATTGAATCACTTAGGAAGCACCTGCGACTGGACGACGTTGAAGCAAAGTCGTAATATGATTTACAATAGGGGGTATCATCACACTAATCATACATCGTCAAACCATCGACATGATCGCTCTTTAGGATCCCTCCGCTCACTCAACAAGTGAGGTATTGGCTTCGCCCTTTCAGTCATCGACACGATTGCCTTTCGGAGAACCCTTCCGCTCAGTAGGTGCGGTGACGGCTTCCCCTACCGTCGGTACCATGCATGCGCCTAGTGCCAGCAGCCTAAGTGAAATCGTCAGTCAGGGTCCACGATGATCTACCGGGGAACTGCGAGTCATTACCTTCTGACCAGGCTTGCCGGTGACGGTGCCCTTGAGCTTCAGAATAGCGCCCGAGACCTTGTCCTTCATCGAGGGACGGCGCTTGTGGTGATGCGTCGCGCCCGTCGTGCCCACGGCGGCCCTGCGCGTCGGGTTGGTCGTGGTCTTGGTGGTCTTGGTGGTCGTCGTAGTGGTGGTGGTTCCGCCGTGACGGTTGGTGCGGGTAGTCGTGCGACCAGTGCGGTGACGGTTGCGCAGCTTGTCCATGATGGTGGGCCTGCGGGCCGCGGAGCTTCTAGTCGTGCGGGTGATAGGCATGTTGGAGGAGTATTGAGTTGGAGTGTGGTTTGAATTTGGATGTGGTATGGATTTGGGTGTTGTTTGAGTTTGCGCTTGGGTCAAGTGAAGTATTGGCTATAGAGGGAACTTTCGGGTACAGTCCATGGACGCGTATATATAAGCACTGGGTGACTGAGGGGTGCTAAAACAGGGTTTCTGCGGGGTGTCGATACCGGCCAGGATGGACGTCATGCAGGGCGAAAGCAGGGCAGCGCCTGCAGGATTGGGACTTGGCGTCCTTGTGATTGGAGAAGAGGTAACATCTCGAGAGTTTTCTAGAACGTTGCCGCGAGCACGAATGTCAACATTCATCGTGCTGCGAAAATGTTTGGGAATTATGGAGATATTTGTTTCATTTAGCCCGTGGGGACATAGTGTTATTGGCGCTTCAGTCCCCTATAAGAGAATCGTGGGGCATCCACAAGCGCTTAGTGGAACACGTCGTTTGCGCCCCAGATTCCTCACGGGAGGCGGACGTTGTTCCTACCGGCGTGCTTTGCTGGTTTCAGGGTCTGGCCGCCGCGGGCGGCGGAACGAAGCGAAGACCGCCGGTGGTCTGTGCGTCTACGTCATCGCCAGAGCTCCCGTGAAGCTGTCACGAGCTGTCTGCTAAGTTATCATCAGCGCATACTTGGTTTTTCTGGTGTTCCTTCAATTGCATGTCTAAGCCTCTTTATGGCGCAGGAGGCTGGTCAGTCGGAATATCAATCGATCGATTTTTTGTACACGAGTCAAATGGGAGGAGGTTCCCGCGGCTGAAATCCTCAACAGCGCCCCGGCCGGAGCTATGAGAGTCCGCCGTTTGTTGACAGCTCCAGACCATCTTGCCATGTGGAATGCTGGCCAGACCAGCCTTATCGTATCGCCGCGATAAATTGCGGGGCAGATGTTCGATGACCGATGTCTGCAGAAGGAAGGAGCTTTGCCATGTCGTCAGTACAAAATCGCATACCTGCAAATGATGTAATGGTGTTCGAATAAAAGCATCAACACCACCCCTCCTTTCACTTTCCACTCGCTCTCTGCTCACTTTACAGCAACATAACTCCTGTCACAGACTTCATTGAACCAAGTTCTTTTTCTCTCGTCGCAAACACACATCCTACAGACTTCAACATGTCTTCCCAGTTCGAAAAGGGTACGTGTTACCGCGATTAATGTTTTACTACCACCTTCAAAAGCTGACATTCAAAAAGGTCATGAGATTCCCGTCTCGGACCAGAAGCCTCCCGGACTTCAGAGTGAGATGAAGGGACCTCCTCCCGAGAACGAGCATGTGCCTACCGAAGACGGCGGTTACCAGATCTACAAAGCGGCCGGCAAGCTTGAGGGCAAGAAGGCCATCATCACTGGCGGTGACAGCGGCATTGGTCGCGCTGTTGCCATTCTCTTCGCCATGGAGGGAGCAGACAGCTTCATTGCGTACCTGCCCGAAGAAGAGAGTGATGCCCAAGAGACCAAGAAGCACGTTGAGAAGTATGGCCGCAAGTGCCACTTGATGGCTACCGACCTGACGGACAAGAAGAACTGCCAGGCGGTGGTTGACAAGGCCCTGGAGGTTATGGGTGCTATCAACGTCCTGGTAAACAACGCTGCGTACCAAATGATGGTCAACGACATCAAGGACCTGTCCGAGGATCAGTGGATCAAGACCTTTAATACGAATATACACCCATTCTACTACCTCTCAAAATACACCCTTCCTCACATGAAGAAGGGCGATACCATCATCAACAACGCCTCCATCAACGCATACATTGGCCGCCCCGACCTTCTGGACTACACATCCACCAAGGGCGCCATCATCTCCTTCACGCGCGGTCTTTCCAACCAGTACGTCGGCCGTGGTATCCGCGTAAACGCTGTGGCACCCGGACCTGTCTGGACTCCTCTCATTCCCTCCACCATGAACCACGAGGCTCAGGAACAGTTCACCTCTCCCATGGGACGTCCCAGCCAGCCTAGCGAAATCGCGACTTGCTTCGTCTTCTTGGCTAGCACCGACAGCTCGTCAATTTCCGGACAGACCATCCACGCCAACGGCGGCGTTATTGTCAACGGTTAAGCGGTCACTTGCGGATTACCCGGAGTTTCACTTGCGCTTCACTAATGAGACCGAGGGCGGAACATAATGAACCTACCGTAGTATACATAGGCGCCCTGAGAGGCTACGAGATATGAATTAATGGAATGAGCACTTTGTGTGCTTTGATATTATATCTTTGGTCATACCTGCATGAAACGTGTTAACGTGTATGTGAATTTATATTTGTAAACGCAGCCGTAGTCTGTGCCTAGTCAAGACGGATAGCTAGACAACATTCCGAAGTTTCTTGTGTTTCTAGGTTTTTTCAGCAGATAGACAAAGTGATATTCCTTATGAGCATAACTAGATTGCTCTTCGATAAGGGATTTGAAATTAACGTGCTGTGAAGTCAAACATCATGACTTAAAATTGTCTACGCATCTCGTAGATCTTGAGTGGAGAGGGAAACGGGGCCTTCGGGTACGCTAGCATCACGATCACGTGTACGCTACCCCCTTTCGGAAAGAGAGCTTGGCGACACTTGTCCCTGGCGGATCGACCATGGTGTTGCATTTCTGTTATCGACGACCCTCACGCCGACAAGCAGCACGCACCTAGACAATGGCACGAACGACGACGTGGACGACGAGCATGCGCACGATTTTCACGATCCTGGCCGTCGCGGCCTGGATTATCCCCGCCCAGGCGCTCTACTTTTACATGGAGGGCGACGCGCAGAAGTGCTTCTTCGAGGAGCTGCCCAAAGACACGCTCGTAGTTGGTCAGTAGCTACCTCAACTTTGCCCGCATAAGGGCGCACCCAGCGCGCCCCTCTTCCTTCCAGCAGCCTGCCTGCTTGTGCCACCACCACCAGATAACTGACATGGTGCATCTGCTCCTCAGGCCACTACTCCGCGGAGCAATGGGACGACAACGCGCGCACGTACATTCCCAACACGAACGTGGGCGTCTTCATCAGCGTTGAGGAGGTCTTCGACAACGACCACCGCGTCGTCTCGCAGCGCGGCGCCCAGAAGGGCCGCTTTACGTTCTCGGCCGCCGACAGCGGCGAGCACCGTCTCTGCTTCAGCCCGCTCAACGCCGTCACGCACTCGGGCCAGCTTGTCGGCGGCCAGCAGATGGGCGGCATCCGCTTCACGCTCGACCTGGCTATCGGCGAGACCAGCCAGATCGAGAGCACCGACAAGGGCAAGATGCAGGATTTGCAGCAGAAGGTCCGCGATTTGAACGCTAGGCTGCAGGATATCAGGCGCGAGCAGATTTTCCAGAGGGTACGGTTCCCGTTGGCTTTGGGGTTCTGCATTTTGCATTTGGAGACGCGTGGATTGCTAACTTGGCACAGGAGCGCGAGGCGGAGTTCAGAGATCAGTCCGAGTCCACGAACAGCAGAGTCGTTCGCTGGACTCTGGTCCAGCTGGCGGTTCTGGGCGTTACTTGCGCGTGGCAGCTGTCCCACCTTAGGGCCTTCTTCATCAAGCAGAAGCTGACGTAAGGAGGTTCTATAGCTTGCACGAGAAGCATGACTAGTTCACGTTATTGTACGGGCATATATGGTGTTTGCGGCGACGGCCGAGTCTAGCATTGACGTGCCCTTTGGTGAGGCAGCAATGGAAAAGAAAGTCTATATCTGATGTCCTGATCTAGGAGGGATTCCCGAAATGTGCACTAATAGATGAATTGCCGCTTATTTTGGTTTAATCACAAGGACGTAAAGTTAAAAAGCAAAGGTGCTGGTTTACCCTCCAAGGGTCAGGTTCTCATAACTCTTTATCATTTCTTCGAGCGGACACACAACGTCACTGTAAACAGCACTCTGCAGCTCTGTCCTTTCCAAGTCCGTGCCAAACGCAAAGTCACAGTATATGCACTTCCGGACAATGGCCTGGTATCTCGCGCCCAGCGTCGTGTGCAGGCCTGCCAGCAGCTTCCGCACCGTGACCACGTCGTGCGGATCGCGCGTGTGCCGAAAACTATGCACTTCTTTCTTGTAGCCGATTTCGAGCAGCGCGAGACCTAAGTTCGCCAAGGTTAGGTTGCTGATCCCGTATAGCAGCTCGGGGTCGGTTATCGGCTGTGAAGGAGTGGCTGTTGCAGAGGACTCGACGCCCTCCATTGGCTGGGTGAGCGTGTTGTCTGCTCGTGGGAATTGAGTGCTGAGATGCAGTGTTTGGAGATCTCGCAGGGTGTTGTCTATACTCTGCTGAGGTTTGCTGAAGAATGATAGGTCTCGGAGATGCCAATCGGGGGCGAGCCATGCTGTAGAGTGGTATTGGAGCACGGCGGTTGCGAGCCGGTGTGCTAGCTTGAATTGCTCGATGACGGGTAAGTCTTGAAGGAGTGACTGGAGTGGTATTGCTTCTTTTTGTATTTTCGTATTTGCTTGATTGCTGACTGCGGCTTTGTTGTCTGCGCTATAGAAGACGAGCTTGAAGAGATCATCTGTTTCAAGATATCCGAGGCATGATGCTTTGTGATCAACCGTAGAAGCGGAGGCGGTCTGCTTCAGATGACAGCAAATGCTTTTAGCATCACGAAGGTTGTATGTGGAATGACATCCGTCGTTGCTGTCATCGTTGGCGTTTGTAGCGCCCTTGCTTTCGTCGTCCGGATCCTGAGGACAGAAGCGAACTGCTTTAGCTGGAACCGAGCCTATCTCCATGGAATCTTCTTCCTCGCCCAAGGGTGCGGCAAATCGAACTCTCTTTGCTTTCCGTACGCATTGTTTCATGCTGTCGACGAAACGATTGGTATCTCTCTCTTTGCCCTTCGAATTCTGCGCTAATTGGATGGTTTGAGTTAGGTGGGTAGAGAGTTCGCTTGTAAGTGATGATGATGCGGGCAGAGCAGGCCTTGGTACCATTCCATTTGTCGTGATCGACTGCACGTACAACCATATTGGTGGTTCAATGGGTGATCTGAGCTAATAGTCAGCGCACGTACAGTAAAATGTTTCTTCTAATGGTTATAGAATAACATGCTCGAAGGTTGGCGATAGTGCCATGCTAACTCCTACCTTTCTACAGCTGTGGAGCTCTTTTGCCGACATGATATCGCCATATCCAGGCGGATCCCACTCTTGGCCTTTGCGTCCAACAATAACTTAGCCTGGTGGCCAGTATGCGAGGAGTTTGAGCAACACCAAGCCTTCTCCAAAGTATCATGCAACTTTTCTGATGCCTGTCGAACTTCGGGGTACGTCGGCGGTAATGGCTTGCGGACAATGCATGCCGTGGAAGCATGCTGCGGTTGTTGAAGTTCGCTATTTTGCGTTCTGATATGTGCAAACTCCGCATTCCACACGCTAAGGTCTTCCAGTTTCTCCTTGTACTGCTTTTCTTTGAACGAAAGACGGAAGGCTTCACGAAGCCTCGTTGCGGTATCGCCTTTCGGCTCAGCCTATAATCAATGGGTTAGTGTCTGATTCAATTCTTTAGGAACTGAAAGTACACTAACGTTAGCAGTCTGGGCCGTCTGGACAAAATATGACATCTCCTTTTTGATGTCCGTCAGAGCGTCGTATATGGCCTGTAGTATCTCCCTACACAGCTCATATTGACCACCACCACATAGACATTTCTGGAACTTCTCGTCTAACGCCTTGTCTTGCCAATACCAATTGCCTGGGTCCTTGAGCATATCTTGCAGGGTTATGTCATCGTCTATAACGAGCCGCAAAAAAGTCGACATTCGTTGCGAAAACTGGTTTCTTGAATCCGGACACGAAGGCGAATCCTCTGAACGGCTGTAGAGTAGGTCCTGAAAATTTGCAGTTTCTCCGTCAATACTCGGTAAGACTTCACTGCTTCTATGAGAATGGGGACGACTCCAAAGACCAAGCCAGCGACTTCGATGCCTGACATCGTGTGAATGTTTGATTGCCCGTACAAATGTTGGGAGCAAATGTTGGGTGCAAACGTCGGGTGCAGATGTCGGGCGCAAGTGCGCGGGATACACTATTTGACAGTTGAGGTAACCGCGAGGCTGACACAGCGTGGCAAGGGTGCCTTATGCAGCCAGCGAGCACTGCCCCGCAGTCACATGTTACCTCGACCTGAAATATTACCACAGCCTTTCTACATCCCCAACAACCTTGTTGCTGCCAACTTCCCAGTTACACTTTACCTCAACATTAGCCCTTACTCTTCTCAGTTCCCATTCCAAACAGTTGCTAACGCGGTCTGGCGAACGGCTGTCGAGTCTACTTGATAGAGCTACGCCGTTTGAGCCGGCCAGCAATTTTAACCATCAAAAAGGCCTTTGTCGGTATACCTGGTTGGGTTTTGCATGGTCATTTGCATAACATTGCCTTCGCAATCAATAGCCCAACCTATTAGCAACTACGATCAAGACTGCTCAGTCGCTTCCTCGCCAGTATCAACATGCCACCAAACATACAACGTTCGTTGATCGACAAAGACCATATGATCCGCGCCTGGCGGGAACAGAATGAGGAACACCCGTCTTCCGAAGGACTCGGCATTATTGGCAGCCTTTTCGAAGCATGTATTGTATTGTTTAGGCTAGCTCTTGGAAGAGCACGACAGGAACCGGCCGTCTCATCTAATTATAGAAGCTTAGATGACAGCTTCGCGGCGCTGTTTTTCTGGGGCGACGGCTTTGGTGTCGCTCGCGGCGAGCTTGATACCAAGCTCCAACAATGTGGAGAGCTACGCGAAGCTACATTGTCCCTTCTTCTGGCCATCGGGACTTTATTAAGTCAGGGTATGTTCGCCATGGCTATACGCAGGGATAGATGGCTGATTTCACTACAGGTTTGATACACCTTGTCGCTGGAAAACTCGCCTGTGATGACATGTTACGAAAATCCAACATTGATTCTCTACTCGACCAAGCAAGAAGCACAATTATCGACGAAGAACAGGCTGTAGATTGTCCGTTTGAAAACATTGACGAGCTTTCCATGAACCTTGAAACCTACGTTGATTGCCTGAGCAATCTAGGGTCTTCTCTCGAGTATCCAGCAACACTCGACGCTGGCCAAGAGGAGGCTCGGGAGCCAGTGAGCTTATCAGATAGACTGGCACATCAGCACTACACAGAGTTGATCGGCTCAAGATTCCCAAGGGCGCAAGAAACTCTTCTTGAGCGCTTAGGAAAATGTAACTGGGACAGATATCAACGAATATCAGCTCAGAGGAAAATTGCAGCACTGCTCAATTACGAAGAGCATACCGGCGACCCCGAAGATAAGGACGCTTTATCTCGCTACTACGACTCCGGTCTAGGAAGTTCCATTCCTTTATCTTCGTTGATGTACGCAGAGACAGTTGCCACTTCCATTTCTACGAGGGCCGAAATTAGTCATGGGAAGCTTCCCCGGCGCCCTGACGAGGCAAAGAAAGGGATGCCGTTTGTATGTGAGGTCTGCTATAGGACAGTCCTCATAAAGCGCACAAAACAGTGGAAGTCAGTAGCCATCATTGCTCTGACTTACAGCACACGCTAATCAACCTTTTAGGGAGCATGTTTTCCAGGACCTCCGCGCTTATGTATGCATCTTTGAGGGTTGCCCTTGGCTAGGGGTGCCATTCGAGAGCTGCCAAGCTATGACCGATCATTTAGGGACCCATCACAAGTTTGCACCTCAATGGACAAGCCAGCATTGCCCACTATGCTGTGAGCCAACACCTGAAGGGTGGTCTCAAATCTCACTTCATTTTGCGAGACATATGGAGGAAATCGCACTTGGGGCACTCCCGCCCACAGAGGACTCAGACGCAAGTTCTGATAGTAACTCTACCCCTTCAGCTTGCCCTGAAGATGCTCAGAGTACGCAATTCCAAACTAAAAATGAAGATGACCCAGACAATTCCGGTTCTGCGATGCAAGACCCTGGACCGGAGTTTCCTAGACATACTAGATCATACGCTCAATCTGAGCTGCTGCTAATAGAAGACCCTTTTTCATGTCCCGGATGTGGCAAACATTTCCCGTACGGGGGAAATAATTTGCGGTATAAATTCCACTCTCTATTAAAACCAAAATGCATACTAACATCAATATTAGGCGGCACATTGATCATGCCTGTCCCGCAAACCCGAGGAGCTTTGAGTGCCCTTATGCGGCATGCAGCAAGGTGTACAAGCGTAAAGATGCACTTCTATTCCATATAGGAAAGCATTACGATAATGCTCCTGACCTAACTCCCGGAGCGTTGAAAGAACAAGCCGGGCCTGCTAGTGGATTGGATTGAAAGGATGAGAATTTTAGGGCTAGTCGTCCGCCTGAATTATTTAGATTGACCCGATTAGTCCTATTGACATAAGGGAAAAGAGGGAGGTCGATAGGCGCACACGTAAATGTTCAGTGTATGCTTGGTTTAGGTCACTAGTTTCACGAAGACAATGACAAGAGTGACATGCGAAACACTAAATCACTCACCTCCAATCCAAGAAACAGGTATAAGGTATGTATGTATTAACCCTGTCAGTGTTTTCGTTCCACTATCAATGCCAATTTGCCTTAAAGTAATACTTCACCAACACCGTCCCCAACTCCGTTCTTTGTTCCGAGCCTAAAGGCCGAAAGAGAACGAACAAGCCGCACCCACAATCCCTTAGGTAGTAGTGTCTAGTCAGACTCCGAAAGCCCATATGCCAAGTGAGTAAGTAAACGCAAGCCCGCATAACCACACGCATAACCACGCACACCCACACCCGCACCCACCTAACCCTCCCGTTTACAATCCTCCCACCAATACCTCTTCCCACCCAACGCATCCCTCGCGGCGCGATCCATCTCGCGCTTGCGCACCGCGTCGCTGTTGCGGAGTTTGCGCAGGGCTTCGGCGCGCGCGCGCTGCTTGCGGCAGGGGGGGCAGCGCCGGCGCTGCGTTTGCTGGGTTGCGGTTTGTGTGGAGTGGGGGCAGAAGTGGCGTGGGGGAGGGGGGCGCTGGAGTTGCTGGAGTTGTTGGTGATGGGGTTGGGTGGGTGTGCTGCTGCTGGTGGTGTTAGTGGTGGTGGTGGTGCGGTTAGTGTTGCTACTGCTGTTGCTGTTGCTGGTGGCAGTGAGGGCGGCAGTGAGGGCGCTAGCGCACGGCATTGTCGTCGTGATGGTGTGGCGGCAGACGGTGTAGTGTTTGCTTTGCGTGTGGCACATTGTGGTGGTAGCGGGCTAGCGTTGGGACTGGAGTAAAGCTGTTAACAGACAGTAGTGGTGGTTTGCTGAGGAGAGTGTGTTTTGTTGCAGTGGGTTTGTGCAAGGCTTTGAAATGCTGTATCGAGTTCGCGGTGAGCCTGCTGTCATGGGTTTGCAGTAAGAATTCTGTAATGCTTTGTTCGCAGTGAATTCGTTGTCGCAGCTTTGCTGCAGGCAGCGAGTTCGTAGCAGTGAGCCCGCTCCAGTGAGATCGGACTAGAGGAAAAAGAGGAGCAAGGCATGGGGGGTAGGCGGTACTTATATACGCTGCCCACGTGTTAATGTTAAGGCGGACAAACGAGCCAAGTGAAGCGAAAGATGTCCGGTCATGTGTCGTGCTATCGTGTTAGTGAATGTATGAGTGTTAATGAATGTGAAAGAGTGAGTGCCCCCAGCGCTCGGGAAATAAGATATAAGACACTGAAATTTTTGGCTCAGACACGCGACTTGAGAGACTTCACTTTCATTGTCGGTTGTGAAGGCAAGCTAAGCCTACCTAACAATGGCATGGCAGAGGCTATTTTGTTTTTGTCTTGTGTATTTTCTCGATCAGGAGGTGAGATAGATTGCTTCCGTTGTCTAGAGTATCGTCACTGTCATTTGACATCTTGTTCTGGTCAATACAAGTGGCAGCAGCTCCTCGATCCTCTGAATTAGAACAGCATTTACCAGGTTCTTCACTGACCAGCCATTGTCGTCCGTGCCGTCCCCACCTCCACTCACCAAGCAGAACAAAATACCCAACCCAATCTCAGTAAACCAACCCCAACGCAAACGCAAGCAGTCTCCGTCTCTCAGACACATGTACCATCTATCCCACAACAAACCAGCCACACCGCAATGCCAGCAAAGCACCGAACCCATCGGATTCACATTAACATATTACATCGCCTAACACCTGTCCCCCGCCCGCGGTCCCAGCATCCTGCGTAGCGTAGCAGCAGTCACCAGCGGCAGCAGAGCCACCCAGGCCCGACCTTCCTCCCGTATACAGCCTTACACGCCCGCTGCCGCCACTGCAACGTACACACCAGTAGCCCCTGTCCCGTACGTAGGTAGTCCTACAGCAAAAGCCTACGGCAAAAGCCTACGGCAAAATACCCAGGCCCTTCCCGTCGCCGGCGCCTGTCGTATTAGTCGGGCTTACGATGCCGCTCCCCCTCCTGCTCGCGTTGGCCGACCCACCCTTACCCTCCAGCGCCTCCTGCTCGAGGAAGTTCTGCCATAGCTCTGCCAGGCTCTCCTTGTTGGAGCTGTGGTCCGTGAGCAGGAGGTCCGTGTTCAGCGAGGGCGTGGACGGCGTGCGTCGGAATGGTGACAGAGGGATGCGCAGGTTGCTGTTTGTTGATCCTGGGCGGGCGAGGCCGGCTTGCTCGCGTTGTTCTGGGGTGTGTTGTTAGCCACAGTAGATTAATGCACTGAAGGGACGATTGTCTGGAGTATTAGTGGGGGTGGGTTGGGTGACTTACCCTCATTCCAGCCTAGCAAGGCGGCGATGAGCTGTAGCACTTGGAATTTCTTCGGGTCGCTCCGGTCTAATGCAAGGAAGTGAAGGAGATGGTTCGTGACAATCTGCCTGTCGACGTTGTCTTCTGGCCTTCCCTTCTTTAATATCCGGAGCGCCTTGGTAAGGTGATCGTTAAGGATAACGGCCTCGTGCCGCAGCTTGCCGATCAGAAGGTTCTTTTCCTTGACTTCCTTCTCGAAGGGCAGGGCGCGCTCGAGCTCCTTTTGCGTGGCCTCGAGCGTGGATTTGGCGGAGGCGGAGGCTTCTTCTGCGGCGGCGAGCTGGGTCTTCAGGGCGTCGACTTGCGACTGCGAGTTTTCCACGATTTCTCGCAACTCTTTCTTGCGCGCTGTGTCCCAATGTAAGCAATGCGGGAATCGGCGCTATACCGACCGAACACTGACCGTCTTGGATGTCCCTGAGCGCCCTCTGCAGGCCATCGACAGTCGACGTCTGAGTGTCGCGATCGTTGACTGCCCGCTCCAGCGCCTCCCTCTGCGCGCTCAGCTGCTCCTCCAGCTCTGTGACCCGGTCGCCGAGGTTTTCTCGTAGCGACCTCTCTTCCATGGCGAGCACTTCCCAATCTTGCATCGCCTGCTTCGCCGTCTCAAACTCTTCCCGCGCATATGCCTCCCTTTGTATCAGCTCATCCCGCTCCTTGACCCAATTTTGCTGCGAGAGGTTCGCGCGGCCCCGCAAGTTGGCAATCTCCGCCGCCTGCTCTTCGTTGAGCGTGCGCAGGCTCGCCAGGTCGTCCGAAAGGCCGTCGTTCTCCTCGCGCACGCTGCGGTTCTGCTCTTCGAGGTCGTCGATTTGCGCGCGAGAGCGCTCGAGCTCCTCGGCGTCGGCCTTCATGCGCTCGCCCAGTTGGCTGCGGATCGTGTTGACCTTGCCGCGCAGGTCGCGGTACTGGTTCTCCGCGTGCTCCTTGCCCGACGCCGCCTCGTCCAACTTCGTCTGTAGCCCTGTCCTCTCCTCTTCGTGTTTGCTCTGTATCGTCTCCAGCGACTTGCGCAACTGCGTGACCTCCTCGCGCAGGGAATCGCGCTCTTTCGCGAGCGCGTCGAGTCGTTCCGATGTGGTGGCTTGGTCCTCGTCATCTTTTGCTGCGGCGGCGGCGGCGGCGGCGGTGGACGAGGAAGGCGAGCGCACATGGGCGCCGTTGCTCTTGGGCGACGACTCCTCATCGTTCGACGTCTTCTTCTGCAGATAATCATTACTATCTTCAGCCGAACGTGGTCTTTCGAGAGGAGGTGATTTGAGGTGCGCCATGAGTGGCGCGTACAAAACACGCATGGGGTGCTGGGCCTCCCATACCGACGGCGACTGCGGCTCGTCTACGTCGTCCTCGCCCTCGCCCACGCCGTCGTCTGCGTCAGGGTCGGGGTATTCCTCTTTGGCGCCGTTGGGCGCGCTGTCGAGCTTGGCATTGGCGGTGCTCTTCTTCTTGGACTTCTTCTTTTTGCTGGCCTTGGAGGGCGCTGGCGCTGGTCGGCGATGCATGGTCAGTTCGCGCGCTGGACGGGGCTACATTGGGACAGTGCGACTGACCTTCAACGCGCGTGGGGTCTGTGTCGGGGGTAGCAGACATGATGGCTTAATGGGGGTATAGTGTGAAGGTGGTTGTACTTGTACTGTACGGTAGTCGTGTCCCTTGGGTGTTCGAGTTGCGCTAAATCCAATGCCCCCTGTCAAGCTGACGCCAATCCATCTCCGCACCCGCCCGCGCCCTTCCGCCATTCCATCACCATTAGCGCTGCCACCAGTGACAATATGCCATCATGGCTTCATACGAGGGGTATATATCTATAGCTAATCCTAGAACTTCCTATCAATCTATCATTCTCTTCCTCTCAGAAACATGTCAGACCTAGCCAGCAGAACCTACATACGGTGGGACGCCGAAGGCGTCGAAGTCGTCCCTCCAAACGAAGCCCAAGACATCCAAGCCACAGCAGACATGATCAATGAATCCCAGCGCTCTCAGTGGGACCACACCAGACACTGTTTTGGCGGCACTCACGCCCGAACCCAAGGTATAGTCAAAGGCAAGCTCATCGTCCCAGACGACCTACCCAAACATCTCAAGCAGACCGAACTCTTCGAAAAAGGCGGCGAGTACCCGGTAGCCTGCCGCTACAGCTCCGAGCCGGGCGACCCAGGCCTCGATGCAAGTGGCACAATTCGCCTTGGCTAAAACCCGCTCATCCTAATCCACAGCAGGACCGCATCCCGCAGCCACGCGGCTTCGCCATGAAAGTCTTCAACGTGGAAGGCGAGATGTTTGAAGCCGGCGCCGGGATCCCAACGCAAGACATCGAGTTCAACAGCACGGCGGCGATCGAGCTGGCCGATGCCAAAACGACGCGCGAGATCCTAGAGCTGCGCACCAAGTACGGCGGCAACAAGGCCGCGCTCGACAAGCACCTGGAGCAGCGCCCCGACGCCGCGCTGCAGAAAGCGCGCGACCAGGTGCCGAACACGCACCTCGTGGCCACGCGCCTGTACTCGCAGACCGCGTTCCGCTTCGGCGACTACGTCGTCAAGTACTGTCTCATCTCGTCGAGCGAGACGCAGCGGAAGCTCGCTGACGAGACTGTCAAGCCCGACCATGGCTCCGACGTCTTGCACCGCTGGCTGCAGAACTACTACTGCGAGCACGACGCCGAGTATCTGTTTCAGGTGCAGTTGTTAGAGAATCTGGAAGACCAGCCCGTCGAGTATGCGGGCACGGCGTGGGACGAGGAGAAGTATCCCTGGCAGACTGTCGCGAGGCTGGTTATTCCGATGCAGAATAGCTTTGATTATGAGCGCAAGACGTTTTGGGAGGACCATTTGAGGATGGATCCGTGGCATGGGTTGGTGAGCTTGCGGCCGTTGGGCAGTTCGAATCGGGTGAGGAGAGGTGGTGAGTCGAGCGTTGCTTGAGTGGAGGGCGGGTGGTATGGAGCTCTGCTGACTTGGATCTTAGTCTACCCAGCAAGCAGTGTGCTGAGGCGCCATATGAATGGACGGAAGGAGGTCAACGTCAAGAGCATTGATGAAATCCCGAACTGACGCTTGCCTCGCTATGGCCATAATGGTATGTATGGCATGCAACCACTTGAACACACAGACCCTATAACGTTTTGTCTATTACATTATACGTACTTTAAATCAACTGAGCTGCTTTCACTATCAAAACATTCATAAACCCAAACCCTCAACACCTCACACAAAAACACCCACGCTACCACAATACAACTCACCATCGCCCAAACCACGATACGTGTCACCACTAACCTTGTTTCTTCAAAGTAGTGACTACTACGTACTCATTACCCCTCCCCCTCCCCCACGCACCCCCCACTACCGACTCAAACTAAGCAACCCCTCAACATACCTGCGCGCATCAACTCCCACGCCCTCGACGACGCCCCTCCCCCCATTACCACCACCATTCCCCCTTCCACTCCCCCCTCCACTGCCCCCATTACCCCATCCCCCCTCACCACCACCAGCCAGCCCAACACCCAGCCGCCAAAGCGCCGCCGTGCCCGCGCCTATGCTCCCGCCGGCGCCGGTGGTGTTAGAAGTGGCGTTGTGGGCAGAGCTGGTGGAGGAAGAGTGCGAGTGCGTGTAGGAGTGCGAGCGCCGGATTAGGAGCGCTTCGCGCAAGAGGGCGGTCGGGATGTTGGTGTGTGCTGGGGAGGAGGAGGAGGAGGGGGGGTTGTGCTTGGGGGGTGTGGGGGTGGGGGGCGGCGATGTTGATGTTGATGCTGCTGAGAAGGGCGTTTCGCTTGCGCTTGCGCCTGCGTCGTCGCCGTCCAACTCCAACTGCCGCGACAGATGCAGCGAGCGCACCGCCTCCTCCGTCCGCGTGTCCTTCTCCTTCTCCTTCTCCTTCTCCACCCCGACACCCGCTCCCGCGTCACTAGAGCCATCCCTACACGTCGTGCATGCCTCGGCCTCTACGGCCCTACTAGGCGGCAGCCGCATCCACACCAGCCACCACCCGCGATTCGTCTTAGCCGTGCGTTCGACGTCGGCAGGCGTGCGGCGCGCACTCGCGACCGTCGCCAGGATCTGGGCGTGGGTATTCAGCGCCTCGACGCGGGTCCACACGGGCGCGCCCCTTGCACCGCCTCCCCTGCCTATAGCGTAGCCGCTCGCGCCGCCGCGGCCGCTGCCCCCGCCCCAGTGCCCGCTGCCGCCTCCGCCGCCACCGGCCAGGCCCTCGGCCCCCAGCGTCCCGGGTTCCGGGATCGAGGGGATGCTGCTGTGCACGCTCAGCGCGAGCGGGTCGTACACCAGGTCGAAGATGGGCTGGGAGCTCGCTGCAGCCGTGGTGTACGGGTCCGCGGCGGCGGCGATGCGGGCCGCGACGCGGGCGGGCGACGTGCTTAGCGCGAGCGGCTTGTACATGGGCGCGAGGAACGTGTGGATGTGCCGGTAGAAGGCCGCGTACGAGAGGACTTCGGTGCGGTTCGTGAAGAGGAACGTGAATATGAAGGGGCGGTGCTGTGGGGTGCGCGTGTTGGTTAGTGAGGGGGGCGTGGAGAGAGAGGGGGTGGGCCGACTCACGACGTAGACTACCACGCGCAGTTTCTCGTATGCCGGCTGTGGCGGCAGCTCCGCGATTGTGTCGGAGGAGGACCCGTCGTTGTCGTTGCTGTTGCGGTTGCTGCTGTCGCCGTTACGGCTGGCCGATGGCTTCTGCACCTTGACATGCAGCGTGCGCAGCATGATCCTTCTATTGTAATCACCGCCGCCAATGCTACCGATACTAGCGTCGGTCTCGAGGCCCATGACTTCGTCTTCGTTTGGCTCTTCGTTGTCCAGGTCGCCCTGCAACCCTACGAGGAAGTGCCCGATGTTCTCACGCCGTATCTGCGTGTTTATGGCCTCTTCCCGCGGGTCGACGTCCGGCTGAGGCTCCAGGTGCTGCATGCCCGCGCCCGCCGCTTGGTCCGGCTTCTCGCGCTCGTCGTGCTCGTGCTGCTTCTGGTTTTGTGTGCCTTCCTGCGGCCGACCGGACGGCGGTGGCGGCGTGCTTTTCTTGCTGGTCAAACCTGCGCCCCAGCTGGATCCATAGCCTAGCGTTAGATAGTTCATCAGCGTATCGCCGTAGCCTGCGCCTTGGCTCGGGCTCTTTCCCGCGCCCTGCTGCTCTTGCGAAGCATCGGCGGCGGTGGACGCCTCATCCAGCGAGTTCTCCACGGCAGTGACAATGGGCGGTGGTATCCCTGGAGGCAGTCCAGGGGCTTTACTTTTCTGCTGCTGCTGAGATCTACTTGGCACGCTGCCCTCCGACTGCTCTCTTGCATGGCCGTTGCCCCTCGGCGTCGGAGACTGCAGGTTGTTGCTCATCTTGCTCGCGTTATTGCGGCGTCTGCGGCGTTTGCGGTCCGAGTTCGGATTGTCGCGCACGCCGTACGCGCGCTCGCCATACGTGTAGACCCACTGGGTCCAGGCCGACACATCTCGCAGCGAGGGGCGCGTGATAGCACCAATTCCAGAGAAGATGACGCCGTCGTCCGTCTCGGGCTCACGGCCCATGCCCAGCCACGGGTCAGCGTCCGCCAACGCCTGTTCCGAGGCGTTTTTCGCGTCCTCCGCTGCGGGCTCGCCAAAGCGCGACACGACCATGTCCACTAGGCCGTCGGTGCGCGCGGTAAAGTCCTCGAACACGTCCCGCTCGCCACTGCCCCACTCTTCCTCCCCCACGCCCATGCCGAGCTCCCCGCCAGCCGCAAGCTTGATCCCTCCGTAGATATCCGTCGCCGGGTTGCCGTGCAGCAGGACTTCCCACGTGCGCGCGAAGCGTGACCAGAAGTTGTCAAGGATGTTGCAGAACTTTGTGCGCGTCAGGCGTGCAAACAGGTCCGACAGCGACGGCCCATGGTGCAGGCGGAAGACCCTGTGGGCGCGCTGGATCTGCTTGAGCAACAGGTCCGGCGGGCTGACCTCCCGGGACGAGTACTCTATGGCCTGGGGCGGCGTCGAGGCCGACGTGTCCGTGGGAGATTTGGCCGACGTTTGCGATGCGGGCAGGCGGGTCAGGTCAATGGACTGCGCGCACGCGTGTCAGCTGGGAATCTCTCCTTGCCGTCGCGGCGCCACCTACCGCCAACACCCACCACTCCCCCTCCAGCGGACATAGAACAATTCGCGACTTTTCGGTGTCGACGTGGTCGACGGGCTCGCCCTCGGAGAAGCTCCTGGCTAGAGTGTCAGTCTCGGCACCAACACGGGCAGTTCTCCTCACGGGGAACCCACTGGGCAAAGTTCACAACGCCCTGTGCCAGGCCGATCTGGCGGAGCTGCTCGTTGATGTCGTCGCTGTCGTCATGGGCGTCTGCGGGTTGGGCGTCGTCGCGGCGCCGCGGTCGCGAGTTCTTTGAGTAATAGAACACGAGCTGGTCGCGAAAGGTCTCGTCGGTACGGCCCAGGCAGGGATTGTAAATGGCGAGGAAGGCTAGTTGGGCGGGGACGACTTTGGCGGCGGCTTGGGCGGCTGCTTGGGCGGCCATGGTTTATAAGGTGGTGGACGACGACCGGGTGGTCAGCGGCAGGCAAGCTATCAGGGAGGGAAAAAACGAAACATAGCACCGCAAGCAGCAGCAGAAAGAGGGTGGAGATAGAGCCACCTTACATGGCTCAAGTTTTGGTCAGTGGCGCTAGAAGTAGCACCGGCAGTAAGATCTAACGCTCCGTCTTGCCGTGCGACATTGTGATTCGTGCCGCGCCGCGTACATGGATCTTCGGCGATCGACTGCAACCGATCGATTCGCTCTTACCTCCGCAAGTCCGCAACGCCCGCCATGCTACTACTGCCCCGCCTTGTAACATTAGCATCACGAGCTCCAGCTCCAGCTCTCCCTCACCTCCGCCGCTGTTACTCCACCACTACTACCTCCACCTTCACCAATGCCACCCACGAACCCCTCCGCATCCTCTTCTGCGGCTCCGACGACTTCAGCATCGCCTCGCTCCTCGCCCTGCACCGCGAACACCAACGCGACCCCGCCTTCATCGCCTCCATAGACGTCGTGCACCGGCCCAGCAAGCGCACCGGCCGGGGTCTAAAAACCATCCGCGAAGGTGCGTAGGTCCCTACACCACCAAACCCCCACCCCACGCACTCACACCTCACACACCACAACAGTGCCCATCGCCACAACAGCGAGCACGCTCTCGCTGCCCACCCACCCCCTCGACACATTCACGCGCTGGACGCCGCCCAGCCCCGGACCCAACCTCATCGTCGCCGTCTCCTTCGGCCTGCTCATCCCCGCCCGCATCCTCAGCGCCGCCCGCTTCGGCGGCCTAAACGTGCACCCCTCGCTGCTGCCGGACCTGCACGGCGCCGCGCCCATCCACCGCGCCCTGCTGCGCGGCGACACGCGCACCGGCATCTCGGTGCAGACGCTGCACCCGCGCCACTTTGACCGGGGCACCGTGCTCGCGCGCCGCAGCGTAAGTATCACCGAGCCCGAGACGTGCGGGCCCGAGGCCCTGGTCGCGCAGCTCGCGCCGATCGGGGCCGAGGAGCTGGTGCGCGTGCTGCGCGAGCGGCGGTACGTGGATCCCGTGGAAGCGGCGGCGGAGGCGGAGGCGGGAGCAGACGCAGATGCAGCGCCCCCGCAGCACGCAGCCAAGATCCAAAAGTCCGATTCACAAGTCACTTTCGACAAGCAGCCAGCCAGCAGCGTCCTACGCACGCTGCGCGTCCTCGGCAGCGTCTGGGACGAGACAACCTTCTCCCACCTTTCCTCGGCCGCGAACCCCCCCGCCGACGTCCCGCCTAGACGCATCGTCTACCACGCGCTCTCGCGCCTCGCTGGCCCTGCACCAACGCCCCTCCCCCCGCTCAAGTGGTGGGTGCTGGACGCACCTGCGGATGCGAAGACTAAGAGCGCGCCTGCGGCCGTTCCGCGCATCGCGACGCTCGCGGCGGATGGGGACGTCTTGGTTGTGGACTCCTGCACTGTTGATGGTGGTAGGAGGGGCGAGGGCACGCGCGTGCTGGCGCGTCTTGTTGAGAAGGCTGGTGTGGCAGGTGCTGGGGCTGGTGAGAACAAGGTCCCGCTATCTTGATTTGACTTCTTCTGTCCGTCTTGAGAGGATGCTGAAAATTGTACTGTACAGTGGCATGTCTGAATGAAGCAAAAATAGAACAGGACATGGATGTATTGTGTACCTAGTTAGCTAGGTAGGAAGAAAGATAGGTAGGTAGGTAGCAAACACCAAAGGCAGCAGAGATCAAGAAAGAGACAAAGAAAGGAAAAGACAAAAGACGAAAACAAGACCGATCAGTTCAACCATCCAATCATATCCCATGCCATGTCATATCCCATGCCATGCCATCCCACCTCTCCACCAACACCAAAAGCCAAACCAGCAAGCAAGCAAATATCTAAACCCAAAACCAAAGCCAAGCCTCCTGAAAATCAAAGATCAAAAGAAGCAAAAACAACCAAAACCTAAAACCCCAAAGATAAAAAAAAAAAAAAGAGACAAAAGAACACCACCAAAGACAAAACCAACCTACTCCTCCTCGCTCCACTCGTCCTCAGAGCAGTACTCGCGCTCAGGCTCCTGCGCTTCAACCTCAACCCCAACTTCAACTTCCTCATCAACAGCACCAGCGTCGTCGTCAGCATCAGCGGCGTCGTCGTCTGCGCCGTGGTTAGCGCCATCATCGTCATTGCTAGCATCCGCAAGCGCACTCAGCAGCGCCTCCTCCAGGCCGTCTGCATCTGCATCTGCATCCGCATCTGCGTCTGCGTCTGCGGCTGCAGCGTCGGTGTCATCACCTCTCGAGGCTTCTAGCTCCCGCCAGAGCTCCTCTTCTCCGCCTGCGCCCCAGCCGTCGTCGTCGGCGTCGTTGTTGTTTTCTGCGGCGGCGGTGTAAGGTGGTGGGGGCGAGGCTGGCATCTCGTCGAACAAGGGGTCGAATTTTGCGTCTGAGATGTGACGAGCAGGAGCAGCTGCGGCGGGACGGGCCGGGGCTGGAGCAGGGGCTGGAGCAGGGGCTGGAGCAGGGGCACGAGGAGCCGTGGCGACTTCCCTAGGCGCGTGGGCGGTAGGAGGCACCGCGGGGCGAACAAGCGGCGTGGGTGCGGGTGTGGCTAGGCCCTGTGCTAGCGGCGCGGAGGCGAGGTTGGTGCCAGGGCCGTAGGGATTCAGTGACAGTGACGGAGCTCCAGTTGCTGCGCCGACGGATATGGTACCAGCGGCGGCGATGGCGGCGCCGGCTACGGTCGTCTTGGCCTTTTTGGTGGCGTTGGCGGCTCCGTCTGTCGTTTTTGAGGCAGGTGCTTTGCGCTTGCGCTTGTTTGTCGTGGTGGTGTCGGTGGTGTCGTCGATGGTGTTTGCTGGTTTCCTGGGCCTGCCTCTGGGCCTGGGTGCCGTGGTGGAGGTCGTGGTGGTGTTTCCTGCTTCACCGTTACTGTTGTCATTCTTGCGTCTGCGCTTGCGCTTGTTACCGTTGGTGTTGGTGTCAGCGGTGTTGTCAGTGGTGGCTGGGGTCGATGGAGTGGTTGATCCACTGGGCTTGGCTGTGCCTATATTGGCGCTGGCTCTGTTCGTGGCGGTGCTGCCTGCTTCGTCGTTACCGTTGTCACTCTTGCGTTTGCGCTTGCGCTTGTTACCGTTGTTGTCGGTGGTTGCTAGGGTCGATGCAGCGCTTGATCCGTTGGACCTGCCTTTGCCACTGCCCGTGGTGGTGGTAGCGGTAACGGTGGTTGTCGCGGTGGAGGTCGTGGTGGCAGCGGGTGCCGTGGTGGAAGTTGTTCCGGTAAGGATGCCTGCATCATCACCGTCGTTAGCAGTTTTGCGCTTGCGCTTTTTCTCCCTCTCGTCAATGGCCTGATTAAAGAGATATGACGGGGCGTCAGGATCGGGCGTGTCGCCGCGCTTCTTAAGCAGAGCTTGCTGCTGTTCGATGCGATGGGGAGTAATACCCCAGCGGTCAATCTTGGTCTTGATGCGCTTACGTGCAGGTTTTGGGACATCTCGGAAGCCTTGTCCCTTTTCCATGGGTACAGTCGATCCTTTCGTGTGGTACTCCTTTATTATCATTGCCTCGATCTCGAGATGCTTTAGCCGTCTGAACCGATGTATCATCTCCCAGTTTTCCGGGTTGTCCTTGTCGAGGAAGTATCGGGTTAGGCTCTCGTTCAATGGATCGATCCTTAAACCTGGGAGGGTTCGCATCGTGATGATGGTGTTCCACATGCCGCCGCTGCAAATCTCGGGCGGTACGCCCTCCGGATACGTCGAGGGATCATCTTTAATAACCCCAGGGAAGACGTCCTGCTTCCGGAGAATGTCCGTCACCTCGATGTACTCGGCCTTCTTCTTGGCCGGGGCGGGAGTCGCGGCGGCGGCGGCGGTAGTGGTGGGGTTTGTGCCGACAGCGGCGATGGGACCGGCCGGAGGAGCGGCAGTGGCATTGGTGGTAGTGTTGGCCGTGACGGAAGAAATGGTGTTGACGCCAACGATGACGGGCTCATCGTCGTCGTCGTCGATGGAAATGGGCTTCTCCGCGCTACCACCACACGTGGCGAAGGAAGAAGAGGATGGGTGACGAGTAGTGTAAGGAGAAGTGTAGGTGTTCTCCGCGGTGGGCTGATAAAGCCCTTGGTTCTGGTGGCCAACGATGCCGTTGGACCTCTGCTGCAGCTGCTGCGGATGCTGCTGCGGATGCTGTTGCTGAATATCGCCCAGGACCGCGGCGGGCTGGTAAAGCCTTTGGTTCTGATGGCCAACAATGCCGTTGGACTTCTGATGCAGCTGCTGCGGATTCCGTTGCTGAATATCGCCCAGCACATTGGGTTGATGTAAGTGTTCGTCATACTTGCGCTTACGGCTCATATACTGCTGGGTTTCGCGCTGGATCTGCAGGGGGCCCTGCTGAGGGGACGGCTGAGCGTATCCATGAAAGTATTGTGGTGAGAAATCCTGTCCATATCGCTGCTGCGGTTGTTGGAAGGAGTATTGCAGCTGCTGCTGCTCCAGCTGCTGCGCCTGCTGCAACCTCTGCTGAGGGGCAAATTGTTGCCTGGCTTCCACTTGGCGTCGCACGTCATGCACTCCTTGGTTAAATGTGTACACTTCCCTACGGTTCCCGAAGGGCTCTTTACCATTGGCAGTACTAAGGCCAAGAAGAGAATTGACGACATGATCATCGGCGTTGGTGCCGGGAACACCACCGTTACCGTAACGGTTATTGGTGGCAAGAGCTTGGGGGTTGACAGTAGCGGGGGACATGTTGAAATTTGGGAAGTCGAGATCGCCAAGGGTGACCCGGTTGGCAAGATGGTTGTTGGCGAACCCCACGTACGCACCCTGACCGAAAACGTTCATGTTGTTGCGGTTCAGGGACATCTGGTTGACAGTCCCGTCCGCGTTGTTGTGATTCTGGGGCATCTGGTTGCCAGTTTCGTTCATGTTGCCGTACGGTGACTGGTATGGCGGGTACTGATGGATGCCGTTATGGTTGTTGTTCGGTATGTTAGGAGACATTTTGCGCGTTGGGATGCAAAGAGTCTGTAAGAGCGTAAGGATGTGAAGAGGTGGATGGGTATTCAGGTCGCGATGTCTTACTGTATGTTTGCTCACGCGCGATACTGGATTGGATGTGTATGTCAAGTCGCGATGCTGGATACTGGACTGGGTGTCGCTCAAGTCGCTATGCTGACGATGTTGATTGCAGCGACGCGAGGCGATGCGATGCGATGCGTTTGACGTCGAACAGAAGATCCGCGCTGATGGAAAAGTAGATGCGGGAACCGCAAGAGTGGATCGCTGTCTTGAAGGGCTCTTGCTCTCGGGTTATGCTCAGGTCACTGTAGAGATACGTACGTCGCGTGGGCTATGCAAGATGGTAAAGCAGATCGGTCAAGTCAAGAGCTGGGGCAGTTGTTCGTCAAGAGAGGACCTGCTGGTTTGAGGAGAGGCAGAGGTCGCAGACGTGAAGAGGCAACCGAGCAGGTCGCTGGTTTGGTGGGTGGGCGCTTGCTCTGGACTGAAGGTGCGGAGGCGAGGTTGTTTGTGAGTAAAGGAGGAAGAAGCGGAAGAGGAGCAGGATGATGGAAATGAAAGCCGTGTGAACAGCGGCCTGCGCTCCTCCGACGCTCCCTCCGATGCTCCTTCACACGCAGCCAACCCCGCTAGCCCCTTTGGACCCTCAGTATCGTGGATCGCAACGAGAGTCCACCCGGCACGGCCAACTATGGTTCTCGCTGATTCTGAATGAACCACGACTCGCAGAATATATTCCCTCATATTGTACCGATGGAGAGCGCAGATGTCCGCAGCAGTGGGTTGCAATGCAGCGTCCAGACCCGGCATGATACGGTACTGTTCAGCTTTATTCTCCACCACAAGACCTATTCCAGCTAGGAGTACTTTTGACCGCTGATAGGGACCAGTTTCGCCCGTGTTAAGCCGCAATGCGCGTACGATCGGCGGCACGGTCCGATCCGCTCCCGCGCTGCGCACTGCAGGGATATGCAGGCTGGCGATGACGTCGTTAAAGGCTCCATAGTTCCTTCGGTCACGTATATGGCCAATAGGTTAGCTGCGACTCATTTCCGGGCTCGGAGACAAAATAACTGAATTGCACCTAAGTGTTGGGCTGCAGGTGTTATTCCTGTGGTTTGGGCGAACTATGTATCTACGGATTGTCCATGGGCGAGTCGAGTCGAGTCGAGGTCAGGCCAGGCGAATCGAAGCGGCCGGCAGCAAATTCCCATCCTTTCTCACTACCGTTGCGGGATTTTGTGGAAGGGTCGCTCATTTAAGTATTCTGCTCAAATTCCATACGTGGCCGTGGTGGTCTGCGGATCAGAGTACCGGTGGAGCGTAGGGGAAAAAGCGCCGTCCCGCAGTTGAGTTTCCTCTATACCAAGGTTTGTTCCAAGTTGGCACACTTTGTGTCTTTGTTTTGTTCTCGAACAACCATGTGGTCACGGACTGTCTGGACATGGTTTGCGGATTTGATTCAGCCACTTGATGTTTGTTTGGACAGTGGTGGTTATGGGCCCGGCCAGCAGAGGATTTACTGTAATAGTAGCATAGGAGTTTAGGTAATGTCCGTCACCGTGAAGCGAGAGTCACCGTGAAGCGAGATGGCAATGCTTGTACGGAGTAGAAGAAGATACCTAGTTAAGGCATATAGTGGCTCTATGCGCTCTAAGACCTTTTCACCCATGCCCGGGACTCGGGCTGGGAGCTAGGCAAGGAGTACTCTGTAGGGACTGCTTGTATCGCCCTCTGTCTCGCTATACGGTGGATCTCGGTTCGCGGTGACAGACGTTAGTCGGGCGGCCTTTGCTTTGAGGAGACACGTGGCATTAATGAAGCGCACCATCTTGCTCGCGACAATTATTTTCTGATCGTGAGGGTTGATATGAAGTGTGAAGTTGCCCGTTGAAGCCTAGTGTCGGGAGCATCCTTGTCGGAGCAGGGAGGGGCACGCGACGATTTAGCGCGCCAGCTTAGGGCTTAAGGCTGCTGTCATGGCTGCCCGCCCTGCCGTCCGCCGCTTTGGCTTCACCACCGCCGCTCTCTAACTACCTACCTACCCGACTCTCTCTCTCTCGCGCTGCGCCTTTGCTCCCCGACTTCGTCCCCGTCGTCTGCCCGCGCCGCATCCTTCGTCGCGTCTTCTTCCATCGCGGAGCTTCGCCTTCACACGCTCCGTCGCTGGACATCATGAGTGTCATTCTCTGTACCGCTGGTTACGACCATACAATTCGGTGAGTCGGCACGTCACACGCGCCCCTCTATGATACCGTTCATCTTCAGATCCCACTGATTCCGCGCCCAAAGCTTTGCCGCTCAGGACTAACCCGTCGCGCAGTTTCTGGGAAGCGCTCTCTGGCATCTGTTCACGCACCATTCCCCACCCAGACTCGCAGGTGAATCGCCTGTGCATCTCTCCAGACAAGCGCTTCCTCGCCGCTGCCGGCCACCATACTGTCAAGCTTTACGATATCAAATCATCAAATCCCAATGCTGTCCTGACGTTCGAGGGCCACACGGCCAACATCACGGGCGTTGCTTTCCATTGCGAGGGCAAGTGGATGGTCACAAGCTCCGAAGACGGCACCGTTAAGATCTGGGACACGCGTAGCGGCAACGTCCAGCGTAACTACAGCCATGGTGGCATCCCCGTCAACGACGTTGTTATTCACCCCAACCAGGGTGAGCTTATCAGCTGCGATCGCGGTGGTAACGTCAGGATCTGGGATCTCGGCGAGAATAAGTGCTCGCACCAGCTCATTCCAGAGGATGACGTTGCCGTGGCAAGTGTCACTGTCGCCAGCGACGGCTCGATGCTCTGTGCCGGGAACAATTCCGTAAGCCATCCGTCCCTCTCTTGTTAGGGCGACTAATTTAACAAGGGTGATAAGGGCAACGTCTACGTCTGGCGCATGATTCAGGACCGCGACGTCACGTCCCTCGTCCCCGTTTGCCGCTTCGTCGCGCATAACACGTACATTACGCGCGTACTACTCTCGCCCGACGTGCGGCACCTGGCGACGTGCTCGGCCGACCACACGGCGCGCATCTGGTCTGTCGACACGACGCAACCGCACAACGTGAATGGCAGCGAGCAGCTTCCCGCAGACCGCGAGCCCGGTGCCTTTCCGCTCGAGACGACGCTCCACGGCCACCAGCGCTGGGTCTGGGACTGCGCCTTCAGCGCCGACTCGGCTTACCTCGTCACCGCGTGCTCCGACCACTACGCCCGTCTCTGGGAGCTGAGCTCCCAATCCATCATTCGCCAGTACAATGGACATCACCGTGGCGCTGTGTGTGTCGCGCTCAATGATACGGCGCTGAACTGAGCGTCGCGAGGTCTGCATACGATGTGCGATAGGGCGCATATAATATCAGGTCGTTCTTCGCCACGTTATTGCTTTTCTCGCCTCGCAGTTCGCCCCTTTCTCGCTACAACGTCCAGCTTGTTTTCCCGGTTTATCAGCACACGCCGTCGCCGAATATCTGTCGCCTGTACCCGGAAGGCGACGGCGGCGGCCCTCCACGCATACCTTCCGCACACCGCATTTTCAACCCCAGAATTCTGGGTTTGCTGTACCATCCCACACTACTTTTTGCACCGACGCGCACGCATACACTCTTTTTCGCCTCGAGGGAAATAGCTCAATTCCTGGGCCCCACGATGGTTTTACCAACATAAGTCCTTGCAGCTGCCTTACCCGCTCGGCCAGGCCTGCTGCGTTTCGCTTCGCTCTGCTTTTATACGTATGGTGCGGCCTGAGACTCGATCGGTGCAAGAGCTAGGAGACTGCCAGGTCACTGTCGGCATTTACACTCGACTCAACAGACGAGCGTTCACGCCTGTCGATATATGATGGTCAGGAAAGTCGGTATCTGTAGTAGTTTCTGCTCCGTCCCCTTGGCGTCTTTGATCCCTTCCTCCTTTCTTGTTGTCGTTGTTGTTAGTGGAGGCGTTGTCTGATGTTTGGTTTCACCTGCCTGCTACCTAGCTTGCTAGCTTTGCTTCTGCTGGGGTTTCTATCTTCGTTGTTTGTGGATGCTTGCTTGCTTATGCGCTTAGGTACTTATGATGCGGGTTAAGACGATGGCGACGACGACAGGGAAGGAAGGAGAGCATAGATAGGGACGGTACTGGGCGTTGTGGAGATGCGTGGAGTTTAGGGATTAGGAGCGAGAGTGGCGACGGAGATGGTGGGTGCGTAGACGTGTGTGTGTGTGTGTGTGATGCGGTGGGGACATAGGGGTGGCTTGCGAATGTTTGTCAAGTATCTACCGCGCCGGACGCGCGATACTGGGGTGGCGGGGCTTGACTGGGCTGTGGGAGGTGGCTGGGCGCTGCATATGGACTGCGACAGAATGTAAATGCGGAAATGGCTGGCTGGATGCTTCTGCTGCTTCTGCTGCTGGTGGTGGTTTTGCGAGTTTCTAGGCTACTTGCTGGTGCGGCGTTCTGGGGGGATGCAGGGGTTGACTTTCTGTAGGAGTGGAGGTAGTTACCCAGTTGACTGCGCTGGCTTGCCTGCTTGTTAGTTATGTATACCCTCCCTTTCTCGGTCTCTCATTCTCATACTCGTGGGATAGATGAAGGGCGTAGTGCTTGTGAGGAGTGCATGTGTAGGGTTTGATAGTGGACTGATTAATGCAATAGCTGTCTTTTGTCGATTTATTTGCGTGCAGCCATAAAGCTGATGCTGATGCTGATGCTGATACTGATGCTGCATACATGGGAGGGGGTTTCGGGTTTGATTTGATGTGGCTTGTTCTCGCTGCTGTATGTGTGTATGTGCATAGATTATATTCTTACACAGTAACCCATCCAAAGCTATCTCCCAACACACACACGCCCCAGCACGTTTCCCAGCCGCGGTATATATACGTCCACCCCCATGTTCCGAGTGCCCTGCAGCTGGACATACCCCTCGAGCACGTCGATACAACGCTCCAGCACCGGAAGTGCATGATAACGGGAAGAGTTTGCGATATGTGGCTTACTGAGTATGCCAAGTTCGAACGAGCGGCTTAAGTGCCTGCCTAGCTGCTTGGGAAAAACCGAATCTGGTATGCAGGTAATGGGGATATTGAGCCACGCTGTGCGTTGGTAGAGCAGATCAGTGTGTTTTGTTGATGTTGCTCGCCATCGACAGTAAAGCATAGCGTACTTGTCGGCGTGGAAGTTAAAGTGGTTTATGTTATTGTGTGGGACTTGTTCGGGGTATGACGGACTTTGCCAGTGGGACAGGTCGAAGATCGGATCGGCGGTGCTGGAGACAGTGGACAGTGGAGAGCTTAACTAGTGCTGTGAGAAGTGCGGGGTTCTTCTATAGTGGGTTGCGCATCTTGTTTGTTTGTGTGGTTGTAAGCTTGGTGGGTTGAGTGGTGGCTTTTGGGGGTGTTTTGATGGAAGTGTTTAGGTGTGGGTGGTTGTGTTGTGCGAGATCGAGATGAGAGTTGGACGGATGTTTTGCTCGACTGGCTTTCGAGGGAATTAGTGACAGTTTGTGGCAAGTGCACACCATGTACAAGCCGAGCATGGGGTTGGGCTCGATGCCCTAGTGTGAGCTATGGGATGTGGTTCTTGAACAAGGAGTGATCAGGGGCGTCGATAACTAAGTATACAAAAAGCATTAACAAACCACACATACAGTCCCCTAGCACCAACACACCACCATATCACATACATTGCACCGACTACACTAAGTATACACCCAGAGAGGCACAACCACAGCAACAATCCCCCACTCCCCACCCCTTCAAACAAAGGACCTATCTCAAACAAGTCGAAGCGGACCCAGTCTGCCGAGCGCGGCTTACCACATCTTCTACCAGGCCAATCAGGCGGGATACCAAGCTCGTGGCAAAGCGAAACAGCTATATACAAAAAAAAAAAAAAAAAAATCAAACCAATCTATTCCCCCAGCGAGAAGCAACACTGGGCTGTACCACCCATTCTATCCACCGATGGCGAAGAATATTGGAATTGGGAACAACGCCCCGACTGCTGTTATTGGCTGTCAATAGGCTCATTCGAGGCCGCCAACTCGCTCAACTGCTGTAGCCCGCCTGCCCAAGCTATGCAGCATCTTTAGAGGATACTCACCACCACCTCCACCACAATATGTGCGCCAACAATGCCAGCCGCTACTGCGCCTCACCATCGCCGCGGCCAGGACTCCGATCAACAGAGCTTTAGCCGCTGTCTCTTTTGAATCGTGTTCGTCGTTCGTGAAATCAACGCAGGTCCCCAGTGTAACGTGTTCCTTTCTGGGTCTTCCACCATATGGCTGATATTTTGATGTGGGTGGCTGGCTTCCAAGCTTCACTGGCGATGGGGCTTACAATATGCGGTGGTGTGCGTTGGTGTTTATATGTCTTTTGTGAGGAGGATATAGGGGTGTTTGGTTTTGAGGGTTGAGGCTGGTGGCTGATGGCTGTGCGTGCTGGTTCTGTTGTGTTGTTGTTGTTCTTGCAATAGGCAATAGGGACAGGAAGAAGTGCAGACCCGCGCCAACCCCCAAACAAAACATATGCATAGCGCTATATACACCCACACCCACCCACATTGTCGATTTTGCCCTATCATACACAACGCACCACTCTTCCCCCACACACACTCACTGAACCAGCGTTTTCCGAAACTTTCAATACTCGTTACTCAAAAGCAGACGTTTATTCCAGCCGATGCTCTAGTGCTAAATTCTATGGCACTTTAAGCAGCAGCGGTGGCGGCGGCGGCGTTCGCCTCCGGGATCACGGGCCAGGGCTTCTTGAGCGCGTCCTGGATCTGCACGATGCAGCCCTTGGGGCCGCCGACGGCGCCTATGTGAGGAAACGATCAGCACGACAACCCCTAGCAGCAAGCAAAAAGACGAGACAAAGGAGAGAAGGAAAGGAAGAAAGACAAGAGGAAAGGAAGGAGGAAAGGAGGAGATATAAAAGACAAAACATACCGCTAACGACAACAATGCCATTCGCCGCGTCGACGTGCATGACCTTGAGGTTCTGGATCGTGACGCGGTGCCCGCCCATGCGACCCGGCATCTTCTTGCCCGGCAGCACGCGCGAACCGCTGCCCTGCGAACCACCCGACGAACCCATACCACGGTGCATGAGCGACTGACCGTGGGAGGCGGGCTGACCGCCGAAGCCCCAGCGCTTCATGCCCTGTGTGGAAATGATGCGTCAGTACCAGCCCAAGCAGACTCTTTTCTAAAACCCGCGTCCCGAACTCCATAAACGAAAAGAAAGCAGAGAATGAGTGAGGGAAAGAAGAACTTACACCCGCAAACCCCTTCCCGTGGCTCACGCTCCTCGCATCCACAAACTGGCCCACGACAAACCACTCCGGCGTAATAATACTCCCAACATCCAACATGCCGCCCTCACCCGCCACCCTAAACTCGCTGACGAAGCGCTTCGGCGAAACACCAAGATTGCTCCAATGCCCCAGCATAGGGCGAGAGACATTGCTCTCGTGCTTCCAGCCCGCGCCCACCTGCACCGCCCAGTAGCCATGGCGGTCGCGGCGCTTGGTGCCCACAACCTCGCAGCGGTCCATCTGCAGCACGGTGCAGGGCGTGCGCTCGCCCGTCGCCGCGTCGTACAGCGCCGTCATGCCCTTCTTGGTTGCGAGAGCGCCCGTCCGCTCCGGGATATTCCATGTCTTGCGGGCGAGGGCGCCCGTGTGGCTCGCGCCCAGCACCGGCAGGTGCGCCCCGTAGTTGAAGCGCGAGCGGACGTGCTCGGGCGCGATGCTGCCGATGCTGCGCGCGGCGCGTGTCGTCGTGGTTGGAGGAAGCGTTGCCAGCGAAGGCCGCAGGTGCGTCGTTGCTGCGAGGGGCGAGGGCACGGCCGAGCGCGCCAATGACGGCGTGAGTGCGCGGGACCCCGAGGCCCAGCTGCTGAGAGTCGGCCGCGCTGGCATTGTCGTGTGCGTCGAGGTGGGTTGCTTGGGGGTATATCTGGCGCCGATGCTGCGGGTTGCACTTTTCTGGTGTTGTTGAAGTCGCGCGCGGGCTGCGCTGTTGTGCCGCTTCGGTGGCCGTATACTATACCCGCCACTACAAGCGCCACAGTGCACCTCAGTCAACACCACTCTGCCTATAACCACAGCACCATACTCCTACTTTTGCACTATACTCCTACTTTTGCACTCGTCAAGCTGTCGTTCACTAATTAGAAGCCTATCCTAACCGTCAACTCAAGACACACACACCCTGCGCTCGTCCTTTTTTTTCTTCCCCGCCTACTTTCCACCCCAAAGCGCAGTGCAGTCACAATCCAGGCTAGACGAAAAAAATAAGAGAAAAACTAGTTCCCTCCCGCGCCAGTACTCCATGAGATGCAATCTTCACCATTGCCGGTACGCCTGCATCCTGCATCTAGACGCCGTGTCACTTTCACAATCAGATCATCTCCCTCCGCACAGTCCAACTCAAAGCTAGCTCCCGACTGTACTCCGGCCCATGCATGCATGCGATAAGCACCTTGGTACGTCTGCAACTACTTGGCGCGGGCTCCGTTGCTGCCCGCCCCAGACCCCATAATGTTCGGGATCGGATACGTGCCGTTGGCCGTGTATGACGGCGGCCCCGCGGGAACGCGTGGGTTTCCGGCGTGAGGCGGGACGTTGGCAAACTTTTGTTGCGGCTGCATCGACGCCGGGGGAGGGGGCTTAGGCGGGAGATGGGACGGCGTACCCCACTTCGCGATACTGCTCTGAGCAGCCGTTGGCGCTGCCTTTGGGCCGGGCGGAGCCGTCGACACCGGTTGAGGTAGCGGATGCGACATGCCTTGGCCTTGGCTGCCGGGTTTGCCGAGAGCAGGGTTACCCATCGGGCGGACTGGGTTGAAAGCCTGCGGAGGCCCTGGTGGGTTGGGGCGCGGCTGTTGTTGGTGCTGCATAGGCATGTTGTAACCCACAAAATTCCCCATATTCGGGACCACCGCTCCCATCTGTGGCGACTGCGTAGGCATGCCGAAGGCGGGTCCAGGACCGCGCATGCCGGGAACAAAGCTGGGCACAAAAGCTTGACTTTGAGGGTTGAACTGCTGGCGGTTGAAGCTTCCAGGCAAGGGGTGCTGGTTGCGGTTGTTGCCGTTGAACGCCGGGCCCGGAAGCTGGCCGTAGGGATAGCTGGCCTGGCCAGCTGACATGGGTCTGTCATTGTAGCCATGCTGGGCGAATTGCGGCTGGGCCATTTGAAATGGCATCTGACCCGACATTTGCCCCGACATCTGCCCTGACATCTGCCCCGACATCTGCGGCCATGGCTGGTTCATCCCTTGCGACTGAGGCCGGTATCCGTCAGAGAAGCCCGAGAGAGATGGCGAAGACATCTTCGGCGTCTGGTTTGACGCGCCACCAGGTTGGAACGACATTCGCTGGAAGTCCGTCGAGAGGTCGTAGTTCACGGGCACAGGTGAACCATAACTAGGGACGTTCATGGGCCCATTCGGTGGCGTGAACTGTTGCATCTGCCACGAATACTGCTGCTGAGGCTCCTGCGCCACCATGACCGGATAGCCGTTGGGATATGGCACCGGGCTAGAGACATTTCCGTTCATGTTCGGCGGTCCCGGCATCATCGTGTAGGGACCATAGAATACAGGGGGGGTATCGCTGGAGTAACCGGCTCCCCCATATTGGGAGGGAAAGTAGCCTGGACTGACAAACTGCGAGCGCGTTTCGAAGCCGTCGTCGTCGTTATTGCGCTGCTTTTTCTTGTTTTTCTTGCCCGAAGCGGAGCTACACCGAGACATGTCTTTGCCTTCATTATCCTTTGAGCTGTCGCCGAGATCGCCGTCCTCAGCGCTGCCAAAGATACGCTGGCGGGCCTCCTTGTATTTGGCTTCGCGTTCTTCGCGCGTGAGCTTCCTGGGTCCTTGGCCTGCGTCGCTTCCGCTGTCGCCGCCGGCTTCTGAAGTGGTTTTGGAGGGGCCCTCGGAATTGTTGGTGGTGTTGGTGCCAGAGGGGCCGTTGGCACTATCGCCACGGCGCATAATTTTGCGAGCAGGTACAATCAAAGGAGGAGTTTCAGGTCCGGAAGACAATGAGCTCGGAAGACTAGAAAGCGGTGGAGGCCTCGAATAAAACGTCAATCCCTGCACGGTTCAGATGGGAGGTGCAACTTACATTCTACTGTAAGATGTCTTTGTGATCTTCACTGCACTTGTCACAGGATCAACTACATGGCCGAGAAAGTAGTAGTCTGCAAACCGATGGGCCAACATCCGATAGAAGGCATTGCAGTTGGGAACATCCAGCTCCTTTTCTCTGTGCGCGTGTTAATATACCTGTTGATAGGAATTGAAAAGGTGACTTACGCAGAGTTTCTCATAAAATCAAGCACATCTTGCTCCAACTTGAGAACAAAAAGTCTGTCTCTTGGTGACTGGAGGGCCTCCAGTAGCTTCTCGTCTGGCTGCGGCTGCGGCTGCGATGCGCCGTCGTTCTCCTTGATCGAACCGAGCGGTAATGGTGATGGCCGGCTGGAAATGTCATTGCCACTCAAATTGTGAGGGGCCCTTCCAGTCAAGACTCCGCGCTGAGATGCCGCGCCCATGACCGAAATCTCGTTCAACTGGTCGCGGAACGCGCGACCCATGCCGTTGTCCGAGCCGACCCTGGAACCGGCTGCGACGGAATCTGGAGGCGAGAAGACGTCCTCTTCCTCGACGGCACGAATGCTCGCGCTGTCGTCAGGGCGGATGCTCTCCTTCTCGTCAAGAGCGAAAGTCGTTCCAGACGCAACACTCTTGCCGTCCAGGCTTGGCGGCTTCACCGAGCTGTTGGACGAGGACACCTGCGTCGCATTGTCATCGGCGGAAGCAGGTTTTGCGGTTCCCGGCAATGGCGCCCTGGACTGCGCGCCGTTCATCTCCGGACTTGCGCCAAAGATTTGGACTTGGGGTTCCTTGACGGGCGCTTTGGCGTCGGACACGGGCGTGGTCGGGGAGTCGTCATGTTTGACTCCGTTCACGACATGGTTCTCGGACGCGGGCGGGCTGGTGTCTTCTGCCGGGGCGGTAGGGTTCGGCGAGAGCACCGGCTGGGTACTCTGGGGGCTAGAAGCGGGGTCTTTGGTATTATGCGGCATGTACGCTGAAGCGGCGACCTGCATGAAGTCAGACTAGGGGAATTTGAGATGGCGGGGAGGGCGGTGGAAGGGAAGAAAGGCGGATCCACTTCCACAACCGTGCTTGCGTGGGGGTGAGCGGAGGAAGGGTGGGCACCTTAGCAAACGAGGGCTTCAGACTCTGGGTCTCGCTAGCTTGAGCAGACATTCTCCCCGAAGCAATGGATTTCTCTCTCTTAAGATGACGCGGTAATGAGGCCGGGACCGGGGCCGGGCGGGCAAAGACAAGGAAGAAGGTTGAATGCAAGTGGGATTTCAGGAACCGGATTGCGCAAGGAAAGTCGTGACAGCCAGAACCATAGGGCTGGACATGGTTGTGTGTGCGGATTAGAAGAGCGTCGGTGATTTCATAGCGGTGCGACCAGGCGGGTGAAGTGTGTAGCGGGTGGGTCCTCGACGCGCGCGAGCTTTGGAGAGACGGTCAGGAGTCGGCGGGGGGTGGAGCTCAGGCCGGGCGAGGCAGGGCGACTGGGGGGGAGATCGGACGCGCTCTCCAGGAGAGCAGAGGCTTCGGGGGCGCAAGGCGATTATCAGCCGACGAGCGTTTGACCGGTGGAGGACGAGAGCAACAAGCAGCGCAGCGAGCGAGCCGAGCCTTGATGGGCCAAAAGTGCTGCGCCGGCGAAACGACGGGCCGTGAAGCTCCATACCTGTGACCGTGACTGTCGCGTCATTAGTCGTGGCCGCGGCTGACTGGCCTCCATGCCTTACTTACTACATCCCACTACTTCTTTCATATCCCCTACATCCTACACTCTATACCCAACTATCTCTCGCCATGTTCCGCGGCTCCGGCCGCTCCAGGGCCACGCCCTCGACCACTTGCCAAAAGTGCCTGAAAAAAGGTATACATCCCGAATCTTTCGTTCCAACCTTCTAGGTCCCCCACTAACTCTCCCACCCCCCAGGCCACTACAGCTACGAGTGCAAAGCCTCCGCCCAGGAGCGCCCCTACCTTAGTCGTCCCAGCCGCACCCAGCAGCTCTTCAACCCTAAGCTCGTGCCCAAGCTCAACAGCGACGTCCCCAACGACCTGCTGCGCAAAAAAGGCGTCGCCGACGAGCAGCTAGCCAAGAAAGCTGAAGAGCGGGGCCGCAAGCACGCCCGCGACGAAGACGACTACCCAGCCGCATCCCGCAAGCGCTCGCGGTCCGCCTCAGCCTACTCGTCCTCTTCCGTCTCTACCATCTCCACGAACCGCTCGCCCTCGCGCTCCCCCTCCCCGCGTCGCGACGTCGCCCCAAAGCGCCACCACAGCCACGCAGCAGACGATCGCAAACGGCGCCGACGCTCTGTCAGCTCCGACGCCTTTTCCAACCGGGACGAGGCTCTGCCACACAAGGGCGAGCGAAATACCAGACGGAGGCGGAGCTCGATGAGCCCAGTGGAACGCGGACGGCGCAGGAGCAGGTCCTCAGTCTCTGACCGCGACAACATCTCGAGGAGCGACATTGAAAGATCCGCCTCTCCCCCACAGCACCGTGATCGTAGGCCCCGTCGGAGCTCGCCCAGGACGACGCGTTATCAGAGCCCTCCGTCGGGCCGTGGGGGCGTTGCTCCCCCTCGAGGCGCTGATGAGCCCAGAGAGAGGCCGCACCGACCGCCTCCAGCTGTGGCGAGCGCTCCTAGCCCTCCTCGCAGCTTCAGGGAGAGGAGTCTAAGCCCATACAGCAAGCGCCTGGCATTGACGCAGAACATGGGCACAGGCGGGCGTTAAAATTCGACAAAATGAAGCGTTGAGTGGGACAATGGAGTCCAAAACAAAAGTCTGTTATGAGCGTAAGAATATGCTTTTGCTTAGCTACAGTCAGTCCGGATGGTCCTAGGCGGGTTTTGCAGAAAGAAAGAAGAAAAAAAAGCTTCCAATCGCCAGTCAGATACAGTAGTCGCCTTAATTAGATACCCAATGGCGCGAAATTGATTACATTCAGATCCGAGGTGATGACGCTCGAGGTACACCAACTCCGCCCTTCGCAAATGCACGCATCCATCCATCATGAACCCGCGTGGACCCAGACAGGCCACGCTCCAGCGCCGTAACTCCGTGACCCCATCCATTCTCCATCCTTCCGTCTTCCATCTGCACGTATGTAGACGTCGAGCAGCACACCACACAGCACCGCTCCACTCCACTATGCCTCATCCTCATCGTCCTCGGCCTGTCTCTCCCTCCGCTCATCTTCAGCCTCTTCCCTCTCCCTCTGATGCATCGCCTCCACCAACTCACTTCCCCCCATGCCCGCCCTCTCGCCGCCATCCTCCCCTTCCCCACCATCGCGCAAAGCCGCCGGGCCAGCCTTCTCCCTCGCAGCCTCCTGCGCCCCCGCAATGCGCTCCCTCACCAATCTCGCAATCGCGTTCTCAGTCCTAACATCGAGCACCTCCAGCTTGCGCTGCAGATCGCGCTTGAGGTCCCAATTGGGCTTCTTAGGCTGCAGCTTAAACAGGTCGAGCGGGCGGTCCTCAGCCTCGGCCTTGGCGGCGTCGGCGCGCGCAGAGGCAGCAAGCTTGGCGGCGGCGGCCTCGAGCGTCGCCTGGTTTGCGGCGGGGTTCTCTTCGAAGCCCAGCTTGGGGCCTTTGGTCTGCGCGTCGTAGTTTCGCCCCGAGAGGATTGTGGCCGCGGCGTCGGGGAGCTCGCCTTCGTCGATGGAGGGGGAGGCGTCCGTGTCGTCGCGTGGTGCCTCGTCGGCGGCTTTGCGTTTGAGTGATTTGAGCTGCGCGAGCCGCGCTTTGCGGTCGGAGGTTGCGGCGCTGAGGTTGGCGTGCGAGGACATTGTGGGGTGGGCGTGGGTGCTTGCTTGGGAGCTTGCTACCTAGGTAGGTTGGTGGTTGTTGACTGCGCGGGAGGGGCGCGGTGGAGGTGACGGCGGGTGTTGTTGGTTAAGCCGCGCTGGAGGGGAGTATGTATGTAGGTATGTATGCAACGAAGACGCGCCCGTGGGCAAGTGAGGGATTGCGATTGAGAAGTGGAGCGGTGGTGGTGGTTGGAGCAGCAATTGGATGATGGATGGCGTCGTTTGGCGCATCTCTAGAAAAGTTTCGCCGAAGGCTGCGCTGAACCTCCGTCCGAGAGCCCGCAGTCGTCACACCCCCGGCCATGGCCAGATAGCACTCGCCCCATGCACTCCCGCAAGTCCGCCGTCCATGCAGGGAGCAGCCTCGCCAGCACCGGTCCGCCCGTCCTGCCCTTTCTCGCGCCCCGCGCCTTCGAGCCCCGTCCCGCACGGCCATGGATGAGCCCTGCGATACCGCATGCTCGCCGCTCGGCTAGCAGCAATGCAAGAGCTTGGGGAAAGAAGTCTGAACTGCCGTCGCCAATTCCTCGTGCCAACTCGCCATTGCCATCTTCCTCCACACAGGCTGCGGCGTTTGCCCCTCCTCGCCGCCGGTTCGCGCCTCAGTACTCGCAGATATGGTCCTTCTTCCACGGCCAAGCGCGGCGGGCGTACACTACGGACACACCTTCAGCGGACAAGACAGAGCCGGAGGCAATTGAGGAGGAGGGAGTGCGGGTAATACATCTAGGCATGTGGGCAATGCAGAACCCATACACGAGGTCAATACGACGAGCCGAATTCCTTGGGGTTAGGTCAAAAGACCCCATGTCCAAACTCGGCGCGCAGGACGAAGCCTGGATCAAGAAATTTGCGCTGCTCAATGCCGTATACGACACCAGACTCCCAGCCGAGCTGCGAGTCGAGCGGCTTGAGGTCGAGCCCGGCACCGAGGACTCTGTCAAGCACCTTTTGGATAACGCGGCGGACGCCGAGGCCATTTCAAAAGCGTGGACCGCACAGTTCTCCGACTGGTTTCCCGACGAGGAAATGCGGAACCTCTGGTGCGACATGATGCTGTGGTTGCTCCACCATAAGCCTGCCAAGGTGCCGTCTGTCTTGTTAGCGACGGCGAAGGGACCGCACGCCCCGGAGTACGTCGTCGCCGACATATTGGAGCACCTTGCGAGCGTGAATCTGCAGAATTCGCCCAAGTACAACGAGTCTCTCTCTGCGGATTTTCTTCCTACAGTCTTCGCGCTGTTGGAAACCAAGCCGGACCTCCATCTCGCTCTGTCGCAGAAATTTGTGCACCTGGCTTTGGTCCATTGCACCTTGGAGCAAGGAATTGAGTTTCTCGACCGGCTAATGGCACTGGACTTCACGTTCAAGCTGTATACGCACTGCCATTTTGCTTACTTTTTTGGCGTCATGGGTGACTACACGAGAGCGCTCGGCGTGCTGGAGCAGATCCACGCGCGCGGAATATCGCCCAACAACGAGATTTTTCTGGAGACGTGCACAGAGATCCTGAGGGGCAGCGCCACCAAGGTCCAGGCATACCACGTAAGCTCGGAGATAATGGCCAAGTTTTTGGAGATGGGCGTCAAGCTCAACGTCATCCTCTACACGGTCGTCATAAACAACGCGGTCGACGCCGACGACATGCAGACGGCTATGCGCGTGTACAACATCATGCTCCAGCAGGGGGTCATGCCAAACGACCACACCTACACCGTCCTTGTGAAGGGGCTCAAACGGGGCGGCGATCTCGACGTGCTCCAGGAGATTCTAAACGCTGCCATGCATACACTGCCCGAGGCCAACAGGCCCGAGTGGCTCACCACCGAGATCCTGCACTGCACGTACCTCAATCTCTTCAAGCCCGACATCACGCAAGACGCATACTACAAGCTCGCGCAAGCATACGCGCAATACTTCTCCGCCGCGCCACTCATCACCATCGGCATCCCGCCCGACTACTTCACACCACCGCGCCACTCCGCAGCACCAAGAATGCAACTCGCACCCCCCGTCCCCGCAATGGGGATCATGCTCTTGGCATACCTGGAGCTAGTCTCACACAGCGACGCCTCCGAGCCCCTCCGCCTCTACCGCAACCTCAACACGGCCGTGTTTCCCGGCGACAGCCCCACGCCCGTCGACATGGCGCTGCTGCCCCTGCTCAAGAGCAACTACACGCACAACGCGTTCCTGCTGGCGTTTGGGCAGCAGCGCGAGACGCTGAGCGCGCTGCCCGCCGTCCTGCGCCGCATGCACGACAAGCGGCTGCACGCGACGTCGCTGGCGACGCCGCACACGTGGAACATACTCGTCAACGCGTTCATGCGGCATCGGCGGCCCGAGGCGGCGCGGCGCGTGCTGCTGGTGATGAAGGAGCGGGAGCAGGAGGTCGGCGAGGTTACGTGGAACGCGCTTGTGAGGGGTTATGCGCGGCTGCAGGATGTTGCGGGCGCGGCGGACGCGGTCAAGGAGATGGAGGTTAGGAGGTTGGCGTTGAGTAGGAAGACGATGGAGGTGCTGGGCGGTGTAAGGAATCGCGACGCGTTGATGAGGGCGTTGGGCGAGAAGGGGGAGAGGCCCGACACACCTGCGCCGGAGTATTTGGTCGATGAGCATTATATGGAGGAGGTGGAGGCGGTGGAACCGGTGCAGCAGGCGACGGACGCGGAACAAGTGGTCGACCGGGAATCGCAGCTGTCGTCTGGGCAGGAAGTAGAAGCGCCGCAGGAGCAGCTGGTCCCGTCTCCGTCGTCATCGTCGCCGTCGCCGCCGACTGTGGAGCAAGAACAACAACAACAACAACAGCAGCAGCAACAGCAGCAGCCCCCAGCGGAACAAGACGACTACCTCGTCGACGAGCACTACATGGAAGAAGAAGAGGAGGGCAGCACCACCACCTCTACCACGATGGACAGCAACAGCAACAACAGCAACGCCGACAACGACAAAAGCAAGAGCTAGAACCGGCATTAGAGAGAACAGGGCGTCTGGCCTGAACGCATGTACGCACCAATGCGGCGGAGCGCGCGTGGTCGACCTGTTTGCCTGCCTGCGTTGTATGCTTTGTCATTCTGCCGGCCGGTCGGTTGGTGTGTCAGTCTTTCTTCGCTCGCTCGCTCGCTCGCTCGCGCGCTTCCGCGCCTGTCTTGGCGGGTAGACGCTGCGTCGTGTGGAGACGGCAGGGTGGATAGTGTACAGACGGCCTCGAACAGCCAATAAGGAAAGGGCGAGAGAGAGAGAGAAAGAGGTATGGCTCGGGACACAGTGGCAACAAACGACCGCCAGGCCCAGGTCCAGGAGCACCAAAACACGAAAGCACAAAAGCAGGAGCGCGGGCGATGTTGATGTAAAGATGTAAAGATGTATGTATGTACGAAATACTGTAAGAGCCAGGAGAAGGTTGTATACTACCAACCTACCGTGTACGACTAAAGCTGTACAGTATGTACCTAACCCTGTGGATATTAGCTTGCTTGGGTGGGAAATGTGATGGAGGGTTGATTGCTTGCTTGCTTGCTTGTTTGTTTGCTGTTGCTGTACAAATACGGCTGGCTGTTTTTCTAGTAAGAGACTGTCGGGGGATTTACGAGGACGTCGCGATGGTGGTGGTGGGTGGGGGGGTGAGTGGGTGGGATTATTTGATATGGTGGAGAGGTCTTGTGTTTAAGAACGTCTTCCTTTCCGCGCCTCCGTTCCTCCTGTGGATTGACGCTCTTATATCTGGATAGGCTGCAGATCAAGCATCAAACGCGACAGGATCTCTAGTGGGTTCGCTCTGTCTTCAGCTTCCGTGCCGTCTTCCAGGCGTTGCTAGAAAGCTTTGGCCGTGGGCAGTCGACACTGTGTTTGTTGCCTTGGTGCCGACAAACGGTAAAGCTCGCGTCTTTAGCTCAACGACCAGCTAGCACAATGCGGCTAAATGGGGCGCGGGACGGGGTTGAGATGTCCAAAACAAAAACAAATGTCGAGCAGGGAAGGCTGCAGATACGGAAGCGCTGGGCCGGGTAGTTGGCGGGTTTCGGGCTTGTGTAACTAAGTACGTTTCTATATCTGTCTTTCCCCTGCAGGCTGCATCCGTGTGGGCCCGTGTGGTTGGCTGCGAGCTGCTTGGACTCTGGGTTGGAGGCTTGAGATGGAAGGACAGATTGTCACGGAGGTCAGTTCTGGGAAGTACGCTTGCCTGATCGGGTAATACGCGGCTGAAAGAGTGAAGTTGCGGTGTCTGCGCTGCGCAGTGAAGAGGAACTGATACTAGGTACGCATTCTACAGCCCGTCCGTCTACCTCCATTATATACCTTGATCATTCCAGACAATGTTAGGACAGTCTTCTCCAGCACCGTCTTCCGCATCTAAAAGGTTTCTTAAGGTTTCCTAGCCGCCCACAAGAGCGAAAGAACATCTCGTCAGGCCCAACGGGACCTTACTTCGTGGTCGGCAAGAGACTGGGAACACGGCCTTCGCGACAGACATGTACCTACCTACCAGACACTTGGCTAGCACGCACACGCACCAAGCTCCTCTTCTCCCTCTCCTCTCCCTTCGTAGGCAGTACCCACCCCCTCGGCTCCCAGCGGCGCAGCCCTCAGCTCCCGTGACCGTCGAAGATCCTCGCGTAGCTGCACGCCTGCCCATCGTACCCACAAGGCCGAAAAGCCGCACCCACACGCAGTGGAGCCCAGGCAGCACGGCCGCTCACGCTTTCGGCGGCCGGGCTTTGGGCTGACTTGCTCGATCCCGACCTGCTTCTCCACCTCTCTGGCACGCATACGGCTTGGTACGATATAGCAAGCCTGTTAGAACCCAAGCCTCAGCCAGCGTCGACACCTACACGAGGTCTTGTATTGTACGGCGTAAGGTAGATAGGTAGGAACGAGCCGCCCGCCCGCCCGTCCGTTGTTCCGTCCGGCCCGCCCCGCTGCACAGCCCGCACTGCACACGCCCACCTACCTACCCAGGCATGCATGCATGCATGTACTACGTATGCCGCGCTTCCCGCCGTCAGCATCTTAAATCTTCTATCTTCATTTTTTTTCCTCTTCATTGCTGTGATGGCTGGGAGTGGAGGCTTGTCGTACAGCAGCAGCTTTAGCCCAAGCAGACGGGCATAGATACCACGCACGCAGACAGAGCCTTCGCCCTCCCCACCGCCAACCCACTCCTCGCAGCCCAACGGCCTTGTACATATTCACTAAGCAGCTACTAAGCAGCCCTGCTGCACCGCGCCCCACCTCTCACCCACCCACAGACAGACAGACACAAACTTCACACACAGACAGCTCACCTCACACACACACATCTCACACACCTCACACACCTCACACACATCTCACGCCTCACGCAACTACTAAGCGCACTCACCGCCCACCGCCAACTTGCCCACCATCCAGCGCGCGCGTACGCAAACCCACCACCTCACAGCAATCACAGCAGCAGCCAATCAGCGCCTTGCACACCGCCCACCACACCACAGCCTACATACGGCCGCGCAACGGGCCGCCGGCGTGGCCGGGCCAGGCACCCAGGCCGGACCCACGGGCAACGCAACGCTGGCCGCACCTAGCAAGGCAAGGCAAGCAGAAAGAAAGACAGAAAGACAGGGAGCGCACGAAGCGGGGCCAAAAGCCAGCAGAGTGGAGCCGCGCTCCAACACCAACAACAGCGGCGGCGGGCAAGGGCGGCGGTGCAGCGGCCGTGACACGGCCTTGCCGACGCTCGCGTCTCATCAAGCCCGCACGTACGTACGTGGTAGGTAGTAGTTATTAAAGCACGCGACGCGAGCACGCGAGAGAGCGCGACGCGCTTGCCGCGGGCGGTGAGCCTTTCGTGCGGGCGTGTGTGCGTGTGGGGGTGATGTGTGAAGAGGGACGGGACGGGACGTCTAGAACCACGCCCGCGCCCGTCGTGATATTAACTGCCTACAATATGTGCGGACGAGCGCGCACGCGAGGCAGCCCGGTTGCGGACGGGAGCGAGACTGTGGTGCGCGGCTGGCCGCGAGGCGAGACAAGGCCAGACAGGGCAGGCCAGGCGTTGCGCAGTTACGTTACGGGCGAGACCGAGACGGGGACGAACGGACAACGGACGGGCCGTCGACGGAGCGGGGGCGTGGTGGTGGCGGATGAGGCCGCTTTGCCCGCCGCCGGGAGCGGGAGGCCTTGCCTGTGGTGGCGGAGAATGGAGAATGGAGATGGGAGATGGGAGATGGAGGGACTAGGTAGGGGACGGGAGTGCGCGTACGCGCCCGGCGGGGGCGGGTTGTGGATGTGAGTTACGGGTAGGGAAGGTGCGATATTGCGGCTCGTCGTGCCCGTGGCTATAATTAGTGTGTGTGTGTGTGCTGGGCACGGTACATTAGTATGTTGGACGGGAAGGGCCGGCAGACGAGATGAGGCGGAGGAACGCTGGACTGAGATTGAGTGCTTGAAGGCCGGGTAGGTGAGGCGTGGGAGGGAGTCGGTCGGAGACGGCGAGATTGCAGGCGTGCGCGGCAGTGGCAGCACACGCGAGTACGACTGTGACGAGGTGTGCTTTGCTTGCTGTTGCCGTTGCTGTTGCTTTGCTGCCTGGAGGGAGAGTGGAGGACCCCGCGGAGGAAAAACCTACCAAGAGGGTGCGGGATTAGTGATCGTACTCGAATCGCCGCACACTATCGAGCACACAACAATCACGGGCGACGTCACGACGACGACGACGACGACGACGACGACGACCATGGGCTATTGTACACAGTACGGAGCACGGTGTAGAGACGGTGACGCCGACGGCACTGCGGCAAAGGCGACGACGGTCCTGGTTCATCACTGGAGCCGCAGCCGCCGTCGCCGCCGCGGACGGGCCTTCGGCTGCGCAACGCCGTGATCCGGGGAAACCGTCGGCGGGTTGCAGGGCAGGCTGCAGGCCCACACTACCCCTTCCGCACGTGGTGATGGCCAGGGAGGGTGGCTCGCCCCATTTGCCGTCGCTTGTCGGCTTCATTTTGTGTCCAAAAGAGGCATTGCGCTTCGACTTTAAAGTAGCTTGCTGGGTGTTTGTTGCACTTCCTGGGGCCGCTCGCCAGGGGGATTGGGGCTGCGTTGCTTGAAAGAGATATAGAAGCGAGTATCCCAATATAGCAGCATCACAGGCTGCTGAATATTTGGTTGCAAATTGAAAATTGCTCGAGGAAATCATAGGCAAAGTTTGAATTCATTCGCAGTTGCTTTGCGTGAGCCGCAGGCTGTTGATAATCCTCGCTTAGGGGTCGCATTTGATGTCGAGTGCCCTGGTGCAAACAGAGCAAACACTCCTGCATACAAACCAACCAGTCGCCGCGCCAGACGCGGCCAGGGGGCGCTAGTCGCAAGCACCGCGACCGCGTTGGTTGGCCAGCAAGTCCAAGAAATCTCCGGGTTGACGACGGAACGCCTGACCCAGGACCATGACTTTGGGACGGCCACAATGAAACGGACCGCAGCGGCCGCCCCCAGCAGGACAGGGTCATGGGCACTTCACTATGGATGGATTGAGGAATGATTGGTTTGTCCCTTCCAGGGGCGTGTCCAGTCGTTGGTGATGGGGCGGCGCTGCGTCAGCTGCTGCTGTTCGCGAGTAAGGCGACGAGACGCTCGAACCGCTGGAATGCTCGGATGCCGGTGGTGATTACTCGGCGCGCGCGTGGGGGTGGGTTCGTCGTGCTCTGTGATGAATTACGATTGCCGGACAACACGGTATTGGCTGTGCGATGCTGCCTATTGGCAGAGTGGTTGGACTCCATGACGTTTTCGTTTCTTTAGACCGCACTGAAGGCAGGGGGCCTGCAGCTGGGGCCGTTGCGGCGGCCTTCTGGCCGCGGAGGAAAAGTTGCCATGGTATTTGCAATTGCCCAGTTCCCAACATCTTGATTCTGAGAGGTCCCTCTATGCAGTACTGTTTGATCTTCTTACTCCTATAACGGTAGCTGCTTATAACGTTATTCTCTCCTCTATAACAGCCAAGGTGTGCAATCGGCCATGCAAAACCTACATAGTTGTCGGATATACCGATAAGCACGTCTCTAACGATCGGAATTGCTGACCAGCTCAAACTTTGTAATCAGTCTTGACTGTACGATGATATCGAGAAGCTAGGCAGAAGACACCCCCGACCAACCGGTGAGCGCCCCTCACGGCGGGTCGCGCTGCATGATGCATCGAGTCAAAGCACTCATGAGGCAATTGCGGATACTGATGTACCCCCGAAGTCGGCGATAGCGTGAAAACAGTTGTAGGGGGCCTTCGTGGTGCACACGGTCCTGAAGAAATGCTGATCAGTTGGACCACGTGGGAGGTGCTGGACCCCGATCAAATTTAAAAGGCGAACAACATTTCCAACTGAGGGAGCACACGGGAAATGGAGCTTTGAGCGCTCGACGGACGTTAAAGTTACTCACAACCTTCGCAACGCCCGCGATCTTCGGCGACAGTTGGCGTCCGCATCCGGGTTGCTTCCGAGAGGCTTTTTCGCAGCGGCAGGATTGCCGCTAACAGGAGCTTCCTCCGTTCTAGCTGTCGAAAAACCTGCCAGTCGGTGAGACCCTACAGCAGGGCTGAATCCTTTCGGCAGTTGTTCGAAATTCATGTGATTGCAAGACGATGTGTTGGTTGCTTCATAGAATCATGATGAGCTTCACGAGTCGCAATGCCGGTCGGCGATCTTTAGCGCATTCATCTCGTCTGTCGCAGCGACGGCGTGTTGACCGGTCAACGCCACGGCCGGGGAAAGCCATGAGCCTTACGTCCATGATTCAACAAAGAATGAAGAAAGCACGTGGAGAAACGACGGACCGCGGGAGTTGCTATGACGGACTGGATAGCGTACCGCATGCCTACCGGCCGTGAGTGCGGATTGTACGCGCCTGTGCGGAGAAGTGTGGAGTTTTTGCTGGGCTGCGCGGGATGGTCCAGTGCGCTCTTTAATTGCCCCATGCTGGGTCTTCATCGGCCCAGAGCCCGGGTTGAGCGATGACGAGCAGCAACGCCAAGCACCTTCCGCCGCGCGGCCTGTGACAGTCTGGGCAATATGACGATCAACAACGATGGCGCTGTGCACAGAGCTCTCATCATCAGTCGCAGCGGGTCGTGAGTCTGCATCGCGCCGTCTGGTCTAGCGATTAGCGAGGAGGAGCGCAGATCAGGGTAACAGCCACAACTGCGCCTTGCCGTCGGGCGCTCCATCGTCACGCCTGGCTCACGCCCCAAACACTTGATGGTTAGATCCCAGGCGTCATCCTGCCAACGCCTGCCTCGGTTTCAGGGGTGCTCCTTGACGCGCATCAGCATCGCGCGTGCGCGAACTCCCCTTTTTGACGTCGCACCAAGGAGGTACGTCCGCTCCGCCCATGTAGTTGCACCAAAAAAACAAAAAGGGCTGTCGAACCTACAACCGCCGGTGGAGTACTTTAGGTGGATGGTGCGACCGCCCAATCCTTAAGGATTATTCGATGTTTTGCTAGAGCAAGCAGACCAACACCTATTGCAAATATTTGAAAAAGGAAGCATTTCGGCCATGGCAACTGAAGATCATGACGAGCGTCGCCCCAACAACAAAGGCGAGGCGGACTGACGAGTTGATCATCGCAGCTGAGTGTTTCGAATGGAGATCTAGATGCTCGTTTTCCGTCCGGAGCAGACCTGTTGCTTTCGGGCGTCGCTGCCGGTTGCGTGACCCGGGACTTGGCAAACAGAGGTAGGTAAGACAGCCTGCAGATGACGGCAACTCGAATTAATTCCAATAGGACACGCAGCTATAACACTGTCAGGCAACGGAATGTCTTTCATACGAAGCCGGCTTTGTTGGTAGCAGTAGCTGAACTAGTAGCAAGTTCCAGATGGTCCCTGGCGCGACGGCTCGGGACGGGTACGCCAGTTTCAAACATCCAATAGCCGTACGCGGGCGTGAAGTCTTCTGGCCGCGATCTGTGCTTCGCATCTGGGTACGAGGTGTCCGATGCTGCGATCGCGCCAATGTCAGCTGCTCTACCGAGGCCCGGTTCAGGAGAGCACAGGACCACACACACACTGAAGTGCCGCGTGGAGTGGGAGGTGCCAACGTTGAGCTTGATCTCCATAGATTCACCCGTTGGTGCAATAGGAGCAACGCGCCGGCTTATTTCCATGGGGGCATGACGGTGTGGTGACCCCCACGATTACCGTTTGTGGCCCTGCGCATTGAAACAGACTTGGAGGGATTTGGGAAGTGGCGCAGAGCTGTGGTTCCCGAGAGCTTGAGTGCGGTTCCTGGACAGACAGGCCTAGTTGGGTTCAGTGAGCAGGATTCGGGCAGGGCTCGCGGGATCGAAGGGGGGCTATGACGGAGGCAGCTGTAAAAGTATCCAGACGAGGTGCAGAGAATCAGTGAAGTTGGTCGGAAGCCAAGGCATGTGGCTTCTAGGACGAAGCTGAAAGGGCTCGTAAAAGCGGAGGGAGAGCGAGGGAGTCGAGGACGAATATTAGCTGCAGGCACGATAGGACGCGGGTGTAACGCGACTTGCCCGGACAGGAAGAGGGCCCGTCGTAGCCCGTGGTAGCGAGTGAAGCGACAGTGACGGCCCACGACCCTGGCTGCAGGCGCAGGCGAAGCTGGCGGTTAGCACACGCGTACGCCTTCCCCGTCATGCGTTGGCGTTGGCTGAGAGGGCGGCGTTGCAGCTACCGACAGATAGTTCATGCGCTCGCATACGGCACAGGGCGATCTGCCCCCCAATACGGAGGGCAGCGCGGGCGATCGCAGCAAAAGCAGAGGTGCAGCGAAATGACAATTATTGGGGCGTAATGGCGGGGAAGTGGACGGCCGACTCCCCTCCCGAGGGCCTTCTGCGGCTCCTGCCCTCGACATCTGACCGAATGACCAAGGCGCGATCTGCACCGGGCTGGCCTGTGCAAAGGGAAATGATTGAGGGCAATGCTAGCTTGGTGGGCTTGGGGCGAGGCGTCCGGGTAGGGCAGCCAGACTACGACGGACGGAGTACGAACGGAGAGTAGAGTAGGAGTAGGAGTAGAGGCCGCCGAGGCGGCCGCAGCGGTGTGTGGCGCACATGTCAAGAGGAAAGTGGGAGCAAGCCCCGTCGGGCTTTGTTTTTTGTGTGCCCAGGGCCAGGGTCTCTTTTCGCATCGCTGGTTATATCACACCCCGCCGCCAGGGCCACAATTCCAATGTGCCCGCCCGCCTGCTTTCCTTGCCCTTGACCGGACCCTTGCTTGCCGCCCTACTTTACCATCGCGGCCCCGTCCAGCCAGTCGAGCGCTGGCCCTCCCGAGCATTCCTATCCACGTAAGTACCCAAGACCTCATTCTTCACGCGTCGCTGGGTAGGCGCATTCCTCACCTGGTCCCTGCCTCTTTCTGCCCGTCACCGTCAACAACACGCTTTCTTGCTAACCACATGGCCGCACAGCTCTCGTCGTCCGCCACCCCACCTCTCTCGATGATTGCCGCATAGGCTTCCCCCTCGCATTTTGCCTACATGTTCGGTTTCGGCGTTGGCGGCGTTGCGAGCATTGTGCTGGATGACTCCGCCCACCACCGGAGCTCGCAGAAGCACGCTTTCAGATCCCGCAAAAAGCAAGAAAAACGTGCCTCCAAAGGCGCCGACTCCCTCAGAAGCAAAAGCTCCGGCTCCTCCACAATGACCAACCTCACCGAACGAGGTCCCATGGACCGCACCAGCGCCTGCGTTGCTCCGCTCTCCATCAAGAAGAAGCCATCGGCATCCTGGGACCATGACTCGCGCCAAAACACCCAGTCGTCGCCGAAAAACAAGCGCGCGCCTTCAGCAAAGTCATGCTCCCAAACCTGCCAATCCCCGCAAGCGACGCCCGACTCCGTTCACGCCGAACCCGAGAGCTTCCCCAACTTTCTGCGAGCTTTTTACCACTTCCATCCTTCCGCTGCCATCGCCGCCGCCGACGAGTCCTCAGTCACAATACCCATCAACCAAGGCGACGTAATCCTAGTGCATTCTATCCACCCCAATGGCTGGGCAGATGGGACTTTGCTTGGTTCGGGAGCTCGCGGTTGGTTGCCTACCAACTATTGCGAGCCCTACGATTACGCATCGATGCGGAACCTTCTCAGTGCTCTGACGCACGTCTGGGACCTTGTGAGGAGCGGGGAAAATGGCAATCCGACGGTTTTCACAAAGCAAGACTACGTCAGAGCAATGATTGCCGGCGTGCGCATTCTGCTGGTCAGTGGTGATCCCCTGGCCGTTTGCACGTGCCATTAAAAAGTCCCCCAGTGCTTAGGGAACAACGTATGCTGACCGCATCCTGGTCTTTAGGAGAACTGCGATTGCTTGACTAGAGATTCGCAGACCGTTCAAGCGCACATCAGCGTACGACGCATGCGCAAAGGGCTTTTGGGCGATTTGTCTGCCCTAGTAAAGACTGCCAAACACTTGCAACAGGCGGCCCATGACGATTTGTCCAGCGTGCAACTTTACGAACTCTTGGATGAGCTGGTTTTGAAAGCATTCAAGGTTGTAACGAGGGCCGTACGTTTTTTGGACGTCTGGACGCAAGAGACTGGAGCAGAGCAGCCGTTGGAGAACACGGACCGACCGTCGACGCCATCGCATGATACCATCAAAAGCAACGATGGCCACTCAAACGTTGCCGAGGAGCGTGCGGCTGGAGTGTCACAGAACGCTACTGTCGTGTTACAGCCGAGCGCATCGACAACGAGCGACGAACGAAGTGAACTGACCAGCAGCACGCCCCCAGGTCACACGTTTGACATTTATTCCGCATCGACTCCCTCCTTATCGAGCTCAGCCCCCGCGCAACCTCCTCACAACAAACGGACGTCCGTCTCCCATCGTGTGTCGTACACAAATCAGGCGGCCGGCCCGCGACGACACAACCTTGCTTCGGAACGACTCTCGGCGGCACAGGACTCGTTTCTGGGGTTCATTGGCTCGTTCATCGGGTTACACCTCCAGTCGCGATCGTCGTCTGAGCTCCTAACCACCACCCAACAGTCCGTTTTCGCGTGTCGCCAGCTCCTTGTCGTCGTTCAGGAGGTATGGGAACGCGACTCACAACGCTCAGAACCTCTCGCGCTGGCAAGGGATACCATGCACGAAAAGCTCTTCGAACTCGTGCAGGCGACAAAGGGCATGTTCGTTTCGTCTGAAACCAGCAATAGCGACGACGTTATCGTCCCTACTCAGGGGAAAGAGATAGTTGAGGCCGCCACCAGCTGCGTTCGCGCAGCCGGCGATTGCATGTCAAAGGCACGAGTTGTCATCGAGAAAATTGGCGATTTCGAGTTCGAACACACTGGCCCAGGACTTTCCGACTCGATCTTTGACAGCCTTGACTTTGCGCCCATTTCAGACACGACTCACGAACGCTCCACCTCGCAACACGACATTAGCAAGCCCTTACCAGCACCACCAGAACCTGTGAAATTACCCTTACCTCCCCCTCCTCAGGACAAACCTCTGCCCGAACCTCCTGCATCCGCGTCCGTGTCGTCCCCCACGGCCAATTCCGCGGCGGCAACCGAACTCCTTAGCCCAACCGCGTCCTCCTTCCGTTCTTCCAAAGACTCCTTGCCATCGCTGGCCAAGATCCCTATCCCGAATCCTCCATCGAACCAAAATGTTGCGACCGAAGAATCCCCAAGCACCTACAGCAACTACCGGTATGGCGGCAATTCTGGCAACGACAATATCAACGGCTCTGACTCCACTAGTACGTACCCGAACAGTCTTCGCGGTGATGGCGCAAGCATCATCTCGCATACATCCACGCGCGCCACCACACCGGAGGACTCGCCCAACTCGAAAGCCGATTCGGTCTTGGTCAAGAGCTTCCCTAGCATTTCGGAACTGCAGTCCGAGCTGCATTCGACAACCAGTGAGGATTGCTACAAGGTTGAGGCCCAGGTGCTCGAGAGGACTTATGTACATGAGTTGGTTTTCAAGGATGGCCAAATCGCCGGCGGTTCGCTCCCAGCGCTTGTTGAGCAGCTGACTACACACGAAGCCACCCCAGAGCCCACGTTCGTAAATACCTTCTACTTGACATTCCGCCTCTTCACGACACCTCGGGAGTTCGCTGAAGCCTTGATCGATCGATTCAACTACGTTGAGGACAGCCCCGATGTCGCTTGCCCCGTCCGCCTCCGCGTACACAACATTTTCAAGGGTTGGCTCGAGACGCATTGGCAGCCTGAGGATGACTCCGATGCGTTGGGTGTTATCCTGGCTTTTGCCACCGGGAAGCTGCGGACTGTCTTGCCGAATGCAGGCAAGCGCTTGGCGGAGTTGATAGCCAAGGTTTCCGGCATACAAGCCAGTGCGCCCACAAACCGCTTGCTTTCCTCGCTCGGGAAGACAAACACTTCGGCCACGGTGTACTCGGCCGCTGATCCCAACGTGCCGAACCCAATCGTCTCAAAAAGCCAGCTCAACGCCCTACGGGCCACCCGCGCGGGGGCGACGGTATGCAGCATCTTGGATTTTGACCCGCTTGAGCTGGCAAGGCAGTTCACTCTCATTGAATCGAGGATCTTCTGCTCAATCCAGCCCGAGGAACTCCTGGCCTCCGAATGGACCAAGAAGAATGGCAGAGCCGTCAACGTTCGGGCTATGTCCAAGCTCTCCACGGACCTCACCAACCTTGTCGCGGACACAATCCTGCAGCTGGAGGAGCCGAAGAAGCGTGCTGTCATCATCAAGCAATGGGTTAAGGTCGCTGCTAAGTGCCTGGAGCTCAACAACTACGATTCTCTCATGGCCATTATCTGCGCACTCAACTCCTCGATGGTGCTGCGTCTCAAGCGTACCTGGGAAGCCTTGTCATCAAAGACGCACTCCCGTCTCTCTGAGCTCCGGGCCATTGTCGAAGTCGAGCGCAACTACGCCGTCCTGCGTAAACGCCTTGAAAACCACGTGGCTCCCTGCATCCCGTTTGTCGGCATGTATCTGACCGATCTGACCTTCGTCGATGTGGGCAACCAGACGACGCGACAGCTGCCCGGAGCATCGGGGAACGGGCGTGATGGCCTTCGCGAGGTCATCAACTTCGACAAGCACATGCGCACGGCCAAGATCATCGGACAGTTGCAGCGCTTCCAGGTGCCGTACGCGCTTGCGCCGGTGCTGGAGATGCAGCACTGGATGCAGGTGCAAATCGCGCGGGTGCGCTCATCAGACCAGAGCACGGTGCAAAACTACTACAGGCGCAGTCTGCTACTCGAGCCGCGTGAGATGCACCAACACCACTCGGGCAAGGGCAGCCCTTCGGTCGACTCGGGCGCCTTCACGCACAGCACAACGCGCGACGGCGGCAAGGAGCGCTTTGAGTTTTTGAACGCAATGTTCAGTGCTGCGATGCAGAGAGAGAGGGGCGAGAGGAACGGAAGCCAGGGCAGCATCCTGTAAGGTGGGGGAGTTTGTTCAACTTCCCGCCGTGACACAGGATTGTCTATTGTCAAAGGCGATACCCCGCATTCCCTTGCTTCCAACCGCTCTCTCCCCCTCTCTTCCTAATACGTTTTCTGGGAGATCAATGACGACGACCATTGATAGCTCCCGGCTGTACATCTCCCACCTTCCACCATAACAAGGGGAAGGGCTTCACGACCGTTTGTTTTCTGCCTCCTTTTTACAGTTCGCGGATCCGGGTTACATCCTCCCATCCGCGGCTACGACGACTTTCAGTTTTTATTTGTGGCTTCTGTGCCTTCTGTACTAGATACCTCCAGCGTTAGTCATTTATGCCCCTCGGTTTCCTTTTTTATTCTCTATTTTTTCAGCCACGTTCGCTTTTCTTGATTGTTTTCAATGACGGACGACGGGAAATCTCACGGGACGCGGAAAATGAAGCGCGCCTTCTAGGTATTGTGGGTTTTGTGTTTTTCTGCGTTTTGCGGACTCTGGGTTTCCCACCGCACTTACTACGCGGTTCAAAGGATGGCGTCTCAGCGACACATGGGAAGCGGCGAGAAGCCGACACGGCGTTTTTTCTTTACTTTTTCTCTTTTTTTCTGTCATGGCGGTGGGCGACGGCAGGATCGCGTGCCGCTGCTCTGGGGCTTCCAGCCTACGGGCTTGCTCCTCCTGTTTCTGTCTTTTCTTGTTCTTGGATCACATGTGGTCGACGGCACTAGCGGGCGCATTTGTCTGTTTCTAAAAGCGTGGCGCGGAAGGGATGGGCGCTCTGTTTGTCGCTGCCGCTACTGTCGCCGCCGCCGTTGCTTTCTGCACCTCGTTCCTTCCTTGCCTTCTTCCTTCTCGCCCTCGGGAGCATACCGTTCGGCTGGGTTCTTCATGGTTCTCGCGAGTGACATTGCTGAGGAGGTGGGGTTACGACAAAAAAGACGGGACGGGACGGGACGGAATGGGATGGGACGGGAACATGGCGAGGCAAGCAGGCAGGCAGGCAGGCAGGCAGGCAGGCATGCATGCATGCAAGCGCTGCTGGCTGGCTGGCTGGGAGGGTTTTCGGGTGTAATGAACGGACAAACAAACACGGAAGAAGACACTGGCTGGCTGGCTAGCTGGCAAACAGGCCCCTCGCATCTCCTCGCTGTCTCTCTTCCTCGCGGATGGGACGGCTCGGCATGATGACTTGGGATGAGCTGCCCGCGCGTATACATGCGTCCGTTTGTACGCATGCGCGCTGAATGAATATATTTGTGGTCCATACTGTTCACTGTTGTTGTGGCGGCTGGCTGATTGGCTTGGCTGCTGATTTGGTTGCTTGTGCGATGTGTGATGTGTGATGAGTGATGAGTGAGTGGATGCTTTGAGTGCTGCGTCGGTGGTGGGGTGTGTGATTTGGTGAGCAGGTAGGAGGTAGGGGATCTGCGGTGTAGGAGTGGTAGATGGGTGGGTGCGAGAGGGAGAGAGGGAGCTAGTACGTGAGTCGGTAGGTCGTGAGTGCTTCCTCTCGAAAGGAAAGCAAGAAAGGCAGGGACCGCGAGACACTGGGGTTCTTCCTTCCACATCCGTTCATCCATTCATCCATTCATCCATCCATCCATCCATTTATCATTGGATTTACCATCCCACCCCTCTCCCTAGACCATTTCTCGTCTGGGTAGGCCGACTTGCCTGCCTTCTCGTCTGCCTGCGAGTCTGCGAGTCGGCCTGTCTGTCGGGTCCTTGGTTCCTGCGCTTCTAATTATGTGCTTAGGTCTTGAGTCCAGGGCGCTGATGCTACTGCTACGTACGACTGCTACCGTCACCGCTACCGCCGCCGCTGTTACTGGGCCGGTGTTGCTTATTGCTGGTGCTGCTGCTGCGCTGATGTGGTTGCACTGCCGTGACATGGTGTGGTATGGTATGGCATGATATAGGATACTGTTATTCATGGTCTCTATGCTAGCTGGCTAGACGGGTAATTCTACGGTGATTGGCATCGTACGTTGATTTAGGTTGGGCTGATTAGGTCGCTTCGGTGGGAGGTGAGGCCTGGAAGTGAATAGTGGGGTGGGGGAGTGGTTGTGGATGTGTATAGTGAAGACTGCAGGTTTTGTTTGTGTGGTCGAGTCCGATGTCGAGTGAAATATGGTGGAAAGGACTCTTCTCGTCTGCTGGTTTTGGTTTGTGCTGTAAGATAGCTTGTTTGTCTCGTTCTATTTTGCTTATCCTTCCTATCTTTTTATATATCAATAACAACTATGTTCAAAACTTTCCTATACCTTCTAGATGTTAAGTAAAGTCTGCTATACCCACCGAATACTCCTAGGGTAGCTATAATAAGCTATAACGCTACAGTCAGCTGCCGTCAGGAACTCATATAAAAGTAGTTATAAAGACATAAGTACATAGATATCCGAGAAACAAGGGTATACTATATAGATATAAAATTTAAAACATAGAAGTGTACGAGGGTATCCCACAGGACGCAAAGGTAAGAATAAACAAGAACTCGAGGGTGTTCTTCAAGGGTACGAAAGCACGAAGGTGACAGGGTAAGGAGCCCGTATAGATATAGGTATATAGGTGGAAGTCGCAGGAAGGCACAAACATGTTTAAAAGAGTAGGCAAGTTATTCGGAGCCTACCCTGAACGCCGCCCCCAAAACCAACAAAAAAAACATAACAAAAAACAGAACCAGCAGACCCAAGTCCACACCGCATTACTCCGCAAGTCTACACAGACACACACATACTTCACCACGCGCCCACCCACTCAATAGTCGGTCGATATGGACAAAAAAAAAAAAAACAAAACAAAAAACAGAACCAGCAGACCCAAGTCCACACCGCATTACTCCGCAAGTCTACACAGACACACACATACTTCACCACGCGCCCACCCACTCAATAGTCGGTCGATATGGACACGAGGACTAGAAGCCAAAGACAAGCAAGCAAGCAAATGCCAAGTCCCAGCTCTTAACCCAAGACCAAACACAACCACCTACCTCACCAATAAAACAGCAATATCACACGACCATCAACACCGATAGTTAACACCAATAACCACAACACCGCCGCTACCACGCTCACTGCGCCACACCTGCCTCACCTCTCCAAGTATCCACTACTCTCAAACAACAAGCCACCTCGCTTCAGCCCAACTCAGCCCAGCACAGCACAGCACAGCACAGCCCAGCCCAGTCCAGTCCAGTCCAGTCCAGCCGCAACCCCGCCACCCACCCTGCCTATACAACACCCAAGCAGGGCACCGCGCCCAACACCTACCCAAACAAGCAACTGCAAACAAGCCAGCAAGCAAGCAAGCAAGCTAGCAAGCAGCCACGCGGTCTCAGCGTCAGCCAGCCAGCCAGCCAGCTTACTTACCCACCGCGTACTACGCACAACAACCAAGCCAAGTCAAGCTAAACCAAGCCACATCCACATCCACATCCACATCCACATCACTGGACACGAGTATCGTACGCAGCACGCAGCACGCAGCCCACAGCAAAGTGGGGCACCTCGCAAGCCCACAAAATGTGGGGAAGCCCCGGCCTCGCGAGTCGCGGCTTCAATTTGTCCGTTGGCTGCTTCGGGCCAGTGGGGCGGGTAGGTCGGCGTCGCGGTCAGCTACGTACCTGCTACCCGTCTTTGCCGTAGGTACTACGTAGGTACGTAGCCTACACCACTCTACCTTACGTACCTACCTAGACACGCCAACGCCAGAGCCCAGAGCCAGAGCCAGTCTATAAGTGCAGGAGCCCGACAAGGCGACGAGGTTCTGATTAGTTATGTAATAGTCCTGCCTGACTCAACAGCCTCTCACCGCGCAAAAGCGCCATAGGCGCGGCGCAAGCCGATGCTGCCGTGTGGGGAGCGCAAGAGTCAAGGACACCCCGGGCGCAGCCGAGCGGGCAGCGGTGGGCCGGCTTCTGCAGAGCAGACGCAGGGTCCTGTCGCAGCGGGGCGGTGTTGGGATGTGGGTGTGGGAAGTGGGGACGTAGCTGAGTACTCTACAATAGGTAGGCCGGACGATGGATCGGTCGAGGAATGCGTAAGCATGCCAGAATCCGAGGATAATGAATCAATGCCGTTATGTGGTGCGTAGGCGGAGAAGCGCGAAGCATCTATCTCGTCCGTTTGTCCGTCCGTTTCATCGTGCCATTCATCCTTCCTTGGGGTCCGAGCGGCTGACGCGGAGCAAGTGCCCTGGTGATAGAGGGGAAGATGGAAGGGTTGCCTGACTACCTACTACCTAGGTATACTGTATCTTCCATTAGTATCGCTACGCAAAGGTCAGAGAGGCAGCAAAGCCAGGCTCAGATTCCCGTTCCCGTTCCCGCCCGAACGACCCGCGCAAGTCATGGTGGCCGCTTCGTGTCGTGGCTCGTCCGAGCGTAACCTTCGGTGATGTGTACTGAGTAAGCTGCAACCCTAGTGTCGAGTGCTTCGCAAGCATCAATAACCTCGTCGTTTTCGACCACCCAGCTACTCGATGCGTCCAGCATCCCACCTAAAAAAAAACACAGTCCTTCAAGGCAAAGCTTTGCCTCTCCATCAGGCAGATGCACGCGTTAGTTACCCGATACCGGCGCACTCGCGTCGTGCGCTATCCTGGATGCGGGCATTTTCGTGTTCCGAAGCGGTGCGGTGCAGCCTAAACGGTTGGCCACGCTGGCCGTTGGGATCAGCGCCTGCCAACGCCGAGTCTTGAGGCGCAGCAACAGGGCACGCTCAAAACTCACGACCAAAGTCGCGCCATTCGTGACCGATGAGGCCGTCGCGGGCTTGCTGTCGCACCCAGAAGTCGTGGTAACTCGAGTAATCTGCTCACGCGCAATGTCAGCATCAGCCCACTGCTGCGCATATCATGTTCAATAGTGTACAGTCAAACCCGGTTACAACGGTTTGGCTGGTTAACAGTTTCCGACTGCTGAGACTAGCGTTGACTGTTTACAACGTTCCCCTCGTTATAGCGGCAAAGGTATGCGAAAGGCTACGCAAACCGTTGCCGAATACCGATGGACGCCTCATCAAGAGTCGGAATTCGTTGACCGGCTCAAACGTTGTAACAAAGTTTGTTTGTATGCGTTTTACGAAGAGGAGCACACATACCGCGCTCGCCTGAGATACCCAGTTCGTTTGCGACGTTGACGTAGCCTTCTGCGTTGACTGTGCCGCCTGTCTTTGCGATCTTCTTAAGCGATGCCTCGTCGCCGGCCCAAGGCGTGCGGCAGAACGGGCACGTCACCGGGCCCGAGCCTTTCTTTGTGGCGGCCCATTGCTCGAAGCAGTGCTCGTGCACATTGTTACCACAGGCGGCCTTGCAGTACACAATCTTTTCCTTCGAGGGCTCAAACTCCATGCAGCAGATGGGGCAGTCGTCCTCGATGGGTTTGCGGTTGCCGTCATTGTTGCCGTCTCCGGAATCGGACGGAATGGGCGGTGCTTTAGAGAAGATATCGCGAAGCTCGGAGCGCAGGAATGAGAGCTGATACTGCAGGTTTTCCGGGGCCTTAAGGACGCGGATGAGGACCTGGCGGATCGTTGGCACACTGACGGAACTTTCTAATTCGACCAAGAGCAATGGGTACTTACGTAGACAATGTGCTTGCATTGGTTGCCTTTCTTTGCGTGTGGGCAAGTGCAGTTAGGAGCTTGGTCAATGTTCACGGTGTAAATGTTACCGGTCGTGCCTGCGATCTCGATAGATTCTTCAGGGCAATCATCCGTGCCTCCACGAGTGCGATCAATGACGAACATCCTATCGATACGCGTGAGCATGCACACCATGGTGATGCGGGCTTCAGCGCTCACCTTTGGGTCAATGCTCTGTCCTTGATCTCAATGAATGAAATCGGAGGATTGGAGCGGAACTTCCGCAGACGCTTTTCTTCATTGGACTTGTTTTTGGCCTTGTTCGACTTCTTCGCGGGCGCATCGACATGGTCGCTCTGCTTTCCCTTTCCCTTCTTGGCCTTGGCGGTGGCTTTGGTCGCAGGCTGCTGTGCCGAAGCCGGCTTGGCTCTGCCTTTGCTGGCTCTCTTCTTTGCGGGTTGAGACAAGACGTCTGGCTGGTCGTCATCGGCGTCATCCAGAAGGATCGGCTGGTCTTGGGTACCTTGAAGCTTGGACGCAGCATCGTCAGTGACGACCGGGCGAGTGGCGCTGCGGTCGTTGAGCTTGCGCTTGCGCCCAGCCACCGGCACAGGGTCCTGGTCTACCGCCATTTCAGCCACAGAGGTGTTTTGACTCTTTGGAGACGGGTGACTTCAGACGATTGCGCGTCTTTTCTGGAAGCCTGCACGCCGGGCGTGAAGTGGCGAGCGGTGGAGGCAGTTTGGGTGGAGACCGGTCTGGGGTTGGCGCAGCAGCGCGCGCTTTGACGTCAGGTGTAAATGCGGCGTCCGCAACTCAGCGCGCCCTCACGTGCCAGGCCCGAGAAGGCCGAAGGAAAATCGAGTTCCCAAAGGTCCCTGGCGCGTCCAAATGAGGGGCCTCCTGAACGCCTGATCATCGCATGGGCGCTCATCTCTCGCCGACTGCGCCTCGTCGCAAGAATAAATGCTGCCGGACCACCGGCCCAAGCGACGCTCCCTGATCGGCCACGGTCAATCTTAAGTGGACACCTGATCGACATTGCCCTCGCAAAGTTGGAACTCATGTGTATTATCTCTTACTGGGGGCGCTATCTACGCAAGGAAAACGATGACTCGAAGAGTCTCTAGTAGATCCCAAAACCCGCCCGCTAAGAACGCTAACGCTGACCGACCCACGCCATTCGCAAACTGGAAACTTGTTTTTCGCCGAACAAGGAACTAGGAGTAGAAACCAGGAACCGCGGACCCTTTTGGTGCTGTTGTTGTACAATATGGAAAATCGTTGCCTCGTAATGCTCGCTCCTCACGGCGTGCCCTTCTCCATGTCCGTCATGGTATACGCCTTCTTGCTGCCCGTCTTCTTGCCTCTCCGGACGTCCCGGCGGCTGGCGCAGCAGCAGCACAGGCCTGTCTGCACCAGTGTCGCCAGGATTGCTGCGACGCTGGCGATCCACATGAAAGCGAACATCCGCTTGCCGATTTCCGCTCCAAGGTTCAGCTCCGAAATGGAGCCCAGGGCGTTCTTGAAAATAATAAACATGGCCGACGCGAGAACCGTGGCCACGGTGATGAAGAGGGCGGTAACAAAGGAAAAAATGGCAATGGGCAGCGTCGCCCACCTCGTGTAGACTGAAAGGGGAGTGATGAAGATCATGACACACGCCATGCAAGCGCCGGTCAAGAACAGGCCGAACATCCAGTGCGAGACGGTCTCGACAATGTCCAGATACTTGAGAGCATCTTCGGGAATGGCGACTGGGAGGGAGTGTTAGTGGGTTTGCACCTCCACAAGGGCAAGGGAGCTATGGCCACTTACTGGTTGCACCTGCAAGCAGTTCGTTGAGCAGAATCTCGACGGGATTGAACCAGTACAAGGCCTTGGGCTTGGAGCAGTGGGTGATGCCGGCGCCGTTGTAGCCTTCGCAGAAATTCCAGAGGCCGACCTGGTAGAAGTCGTGCAGGCCCAGGGTCTGGGCTATCGAGTTGAGGAGGACGGCATCCGGGTAGGACGTGGGCACAATGTTGCTCAGGTCGAGCTTGATGAAGTAGGTGTCGCGTGCGACGTCTTTGTTGAAGGTGTTGCCGACCTCGACGAGGATAAGGAAAATGACAGATAGCAGGAAGAAGAAGGAGGTGCCTAGGGCGAAGATCTTGCGGGTGCGGGTGGCACGGCGGAGCTGTTTCTGCGACAGAGAACGCTGCAGGCCGGGACCGGGCAAGGGAGCGTTCGGCTCAGTGAGGGTCCTGGCCGTGTCGGTAGAGCGATGGGGGGACTCAGGCATGGTGGTGCCTGACGGTGTCGTGGTTGCAGGTGACGGGCAGAGCGAGCGAGCGGAATGTTTCTGCAAATAAGCTCAGCGGCAGCAAGTGGACGGGCTGCGACCGGGGGCAGTCTGGAGGCGGGAAAGGGCCGACATTATGAGAGGTGTTCGGGCAGCAGTGATCTCACGGTGGTTGAAACGCGTCAGGACTGTGCTGCGGCCAGACAGCCGGTTGATGCAAGAGGCGAAAAAGCGGGTCGGCTCTTCCGAGAAGAAGGCGTGGGCGCTGATCGTGCCGCGGCGGATCTCCCAGCCCACGCAGCCGCAGCGGCCGAGACCTGACCAGGGGCCAAGCGCCTGTCGTGGCAGGCCTAAGGGAATCCTGCCGCGCCTCCATCACTTTTCGTATCCAAGTTGCTAATTTGGACGCTCCAAACGTCATCTTAACTCTCCCCCAGCCACTCTTAGTGTCCCGTCTTTGTGGTCTTACTCTTGTCCCTTCCACTCATCCCTTCTCTTACCCCGACCTCTCCGCCTTCCTCCACCACCCCCCATACTGCTGACACCAACCATGCGTCTCGTCTCTCTCTGGCTGGCCAGCCTGGCAGCGGCCGCCGTGTCCGCCTCTGAGCTGAAAGCCGTCACGCTGCAGGGCACCATTACAAAGACCGATGCCTCTGCCTCCGTTCCCACCGGCTCCTACATCTCCTACGACTCCACCATCATGGTCAGCGAAACGGGAGATCGCCAGCAGGCTTCGCATACCGGCACCGCTGCCCTCTCCCCGTCCGACTCGGCAGATGCCAACAGCACCGAGCACACCGTCACCCGCACCCGCCTGGAAACCACCGTCGTCTTCCTCACCGGCGGCGCCAAGTCGACCAAGGTCCACACCGGCACCGTAACCATGACGCAGAACGGCACCATGAACGCCACGTCCACCAGCTCTTCTTCGGCTGAGTTGCCCACCAATACCCAGGCTTGCAACGGCTACCCGGAGTTCTGCAGCAGGAAGTACTCGAACATCACCGAGGTGTGCGCTCACAACTCGCCCTTTGTCAAAGCCAACAGCGCTGCTGCCAACCAGGCCTTTGGCGTGACCACTCAGCTCAACGATGGCATCCGGATGCTGCAAGCCCAGACGCATTTCAACGCCACTACCAAGGAGTTCAACTTGTGTCACACAAATTGCGAACTGCTGAATGCCGGTACCCTTGTGGATTACCTGACCACCGTGAGAGAATGGGTTGCGGCCCACCCTTACGACGTTGTGACCGTTTTGCTGGAAAATGCCGGATATGTCGGCGTGGAAAACTACACTGCCCCCATTGAGGATTCCGGACTGAAGCAGTACCTTTACGAGCCGCCCAAGATCCCCATGGGCCTGGACGACTGGCCGACGTTGACCGACATGATTCTCGCGACCAAGCGCGTTGTGCTCTTCTTGGACTACCAGGCCAACCAGACGGCCGTGCCGTACATTCTGGACCAGTTCAGTCAGATGTGGGAGTCTCCTTTCGACCCGACGGACCGCACCTTCCCCTGCACCGTCCAGCGCCCGCCAAACCTCGCCGTGCCCGACGCCAAGGCTCGCATGTACATGATTAACCACAACCTGAACGCCCAGATTTCCGTTCTTGGCACCGACCTGCTCGTGCCGAACACCGTGGACCTGGAAGTGACCAATTCGAACAAGACGGAAAACGGCTCCCTGGAGCTGTCGGCCGAACAATGCACCGGTGAGTAATATCCCCAACCCTTAACCCCAATCCTTTAACCACAATCCTTCGAACTTTGGAACCAATCAATCCAACCCCGCACCCCTGCACACTGAGCTGCGCCGCCTCCTCCTCTCCACCTGAAACGAAACGCGACGACAACCCATCTGACACGTTACAGAAATGTGGGGCCGTCCACCCAACCGCCTTAACGTCGACTACTACAACTACGGCAACTTCAACGGTAGCGTCTTCGCCGTCGCCGCCAAGTACAACAACGTCACCTACAACGACCAGTGCTGCGGCAGCACCTCGACGTCCGGCGCGGCGGGGCTTGGCGGCGATTCGGCCGCGCACTCGTTCATCGCGGCGGCGCTGTCGATCCTACTCGTCGCATTCGCGATGCTGTGAGAAGCGAAACCGTGGCACCATCCATCAATTCCATTCCGATCGGCGCGGCCCTCATTTCCCTTTTACTATGGTGTATTTTTGTTTTTCACCGGTTTAACCGAGCACACGCGTATTTTCCGTATCGCAACAACAACCCTTTTATCTTTGACGGCAGTAACGAAGCAACGGTCCTTGCATAGGCGACGGCGTTCCTTGGGTGGAAATCAGTCATTTACTATTTCCGGACGGACAGGCAGAAAGCAGGGAGCAGTGCACAGAAAAAAAAAAGGTGGTACAGAGACGTTCGCAAGAAAGAGAAAGGGAGAGTGTGTGTGAGAAAGAGCAAGAACAGCAAGCGCGCAAGCGCGGAATAGACTCTCAGGCGCGAGCAACACTAGTCCGGTCTAGAAGGCTCTCGATCGTATCCGCTTTCGCGATGGTCCCGGCAGCAGGCATCTAGCCCCAGCCCCAGCCACAGACACTGCTGTAGCGCTTGAGCAGATTTCCGACCCTATCTTCCGCGCTCCGCAGCGCACAGTGCAGCAGCAGTAGTAGTAGTACATGCAAATCTAATATCATCCATCCATCTTATCAAACACCCACCAACCGTGACTCGCGCACCTTCCTCCCGTCACAGATAGGCAACACGGCCGCATATCAAAAACCGTCCCTGACACGCTCTACTTCGTCTACCCCGCCCAGCACGGCACGCACACGCTACCCCATCAGGCAGGCGTGGCAGGCAAGACCCCAGCGCAGCAGTATCCGTACCGTAGCACGCACCCTGGCACACCCAAGCCGCGGCGTATTGCGCACCAGACAGATAAACAACACATGTACGCACGCAGTAATATAACTAACGGCAGGGCGGCGCTGCGGCCGTTATCGTTATATTAACTAGGCCACGCGATGGATACAATATATATCCAAAGTACGGGGGCTCGGAGATTGGCGAGCCCGTAATCTACCGTAGGCGCAATATACGCGACGCGAGTCCTCCGCATTCGTAATGCAAATCTCTTGCCCCCCCCCCCCCCCCCCCCCCCCCCCCCCCCCCCCCCCCCGGTGGAGGGACGGAGCGAGGCTGTGTGTGTGCCTTGTGCCGTGTGCGTGCGTGCGTTTTTTCGTGCGCTGTGTCTGTCGGGTGCGTGAGTGTGCGTTGCTTCTGGGAGCCTTCTTTCTGCCTTCTTTCTGCCTTCCTTCCGCCTTCCTTCCTTCCTTTAAATGGGACGGGACGGGGGCGTTGCAGTTGCACGGGCTGCGCGCATGTCGCTGTGGTGTTGCTGATGAGGATAGCCGGCACTGCGCTGCACAGCCTCGGTGGCCGCTGTCGCTCTTTCCCCTCCAATGCAATCCAGTCCCGAGTGTAGCTTCCGAGAGTCGCGTCGCGTCGCGATCTTCGCCACAGCAGCAACGCTCACCCCTCACCCAGCACTAAGTAGCTACCTGGGGTACGCACTCACGCCCCCTTCTTCCCCTTCCGCCCCTTCTGCGCCTTCTTCGCCTTCGTCGCCTTCCCAACCACAGCCACAGCCACAGCCACAGCCTCAGCCTCCCCCTCCATCGCAGCCTCACCCGCAGCCTCACCCGCACCCGCACCCCCCGACACCCCCTCCGCCAGATCCCTCAGCTCTCCCTCCCCCAGCCCAACCATCCCCCGCCGATTCGCCTCCCACCGCGCCCACGCCGCCGCCTGCAGCAAGCAGTCGGCCAGATCGTCCAGCTTGGCCGCGTCCCTGTCGGCCGCGAGCGTGGGCGCTAGCTGCGTAGACGCTGAGGCTGACGCCGGGCGTCTGCGCGAGGAGGCTTGCTTGCGCGCAAAGGCTGCGCGCATGGCTGCCGCTTGGTGCGTAAATGCGAGGGTGAGGCCGGCGTCGGGGAAGGGGGCTGAGGCTGGGGGCGCTGCTGTTTCTGGTGGGGTTTGGGTGGTTGTTTGAGAGAGTAGTGCTGTGGGTGAGCTGAGGGTTTGCAGCCAGTGCGCTACGAGGGCGATTTTGTCCCGTTTTTCTATCTTGCCGCCTTTGGCTTTAGCGGCTCTCTTCTTCCGAGGGGTGGGCTCTGCGGGCTCCTCGTCGTCGTTGTTGTCGTTTTCGTTGACTTCTTCTTCCTCTTCCGGGTCGCTGGAGCGGGTGCGCCGCGGACGCGTCGTTGCGGCGTGTTGGCCTGCGGGCGTGTCCATCCAAAAGGTGCCGACGCGGGAGGGGCTGACGGCGAAGACGGCGGGGAAGGCCTGCTCGTGCTGCTGCCCTTGTTCGTGCTCCGCGGCCACCGCATCCTTCTTCTTGCGCCCACGCCGCGGCTTGCCTGCCTCGCTTTCTGCGCTGCCTCCCTCTCCCCCTGCTGCTGTCGGTGCTGCTGCCGCTGCTGCTGTAGTTTTCGCGGCAGCTTTCGCAGCTCTCGCCTGCTCCCGCCGCAGCGTCTCCAGCACCGCCCACAGCATGCCCTCGAGCATATTAACGCGATACGTCCACTCCTGAATCGCAGCCGAGTTCTGGCTGCGATAGCGCTGCTGCTCGATGAGAATAGTAGCGGGCTTATAGGGCAGCAGCAGCTGCGTCAGCACCGCATACGCCATGCCCGCCATCTTGGACGGGACGAACGCGTCCGCGCCCTCGGCGGCCGGGAGCGGACTCGCTGCCGCGGTGGTGGTGGGGTCGGATGTCTGCGCTGTGTCGAGCACGGCTATGCGCTTCCATGCTACAACTTCGATGCGTACGTCGTCTGCGCCTGCTCCTGCACCTCCTCCATTTCCTGCTCCCTTTCTGGACCCTGCTCCTTTCCCGGACCCACCCCCAACCTCGACGTCGCACACGCAAAACGCCATATTCTTGATGCCCATGTCGACGCTGAGCACGCGCGTGCTGCCGTCGCGCAGGCGGCGCGCCGCGAGCTCGTGCTGCAGGCGCGCCGCGAGCGCGGGTTTGGTGCCCGACACGGTGCCGCCGACGCGCGTGAGGAGCGTTTTCAGGTGCGCGAGGGTGATGGCGCGGGAGGGTTTGGCTTTGGGGGCGGGCATTGTGCTGGTGTATGAGGGAGGTGGATGAGGAAAAGGTTGTGTATGTGTGTGCTGCTGGTTGAAGTGGATGGAGGGGTGCGCTAGCTAACTAGGTATGTAATGTTGTGTGCGTTGAAGGATTGAAGATGTCTTTTCGTGCGCGATGAAAATATAAGCTTTTGTTTTTGCGGGGAAATAGCAATTGGATGACTTTTAAACTGGAGAAAGAGATAAGGAAATGGATAAATTCATAGAAAGCTCAGATGTGCTGAAAGTAAACACGACGTCGACGGGGTGGCGGTTTTTTGACGCGCGCAGTCAGAATAAAAGCGGAAGCGCGGTCAAATTATAAGAGAAAACGCGAAATCACGTGCCGCTGCAACCCCTTAGCAAACATTGCTAAATTCAATCAAAACTTGTAGATTTAGAGTCCTGGGCTGATATATCTGCGTATGTTTTGAGAATTTGATCAGACGGTTGGCATATCGTGATGCCCCAACTACCACAGAAACCTCTGCACCATCCCCGGCTCCTGCGGCCATTCATAGCCCCAGTTCAAGAAGATGTATCCTGTCACCACGTTTACGACCAGGAACCAGGCCGTCTCTAGCCACAGGAACTTGTTGTGCTTCCCCCTTGAAGCTGGCGCTGCCTGTGCACTGCTTGGACCGCTCGCACCGCTCTTCGCCTCCTCCTTCTCCTTGACTGCGGTCGAGCTGCTGGACATGACCTCGTCGTCCGAGCTATAGATCGGGACGTGCAGCCGCCACATGATCCACGGGATAATGAAGTACCGCGGCTCCACCAGCGGCGCAGTGATGAGGTTCAGCGTCGTGGTGGCCAACCAGACGAGGACGAAGCTGGCTTGGCAGCCCTCCTCGACCATGCCTCCCTGACTGTTGGCTTGCTCAGCCTGCTCATCTTTCGCTTCCGCCTTCGCTTCCGTCTTGTCCTCGGCCTTCTCTTCCGGCTCTTCCTTCTTCTCCTCTTCCTCCTTTGCAACGATAATTCTTTCCGCAATCGTCAGCCTGGCTGACCCAAGCGCTTGGATTACGGCCCAGGCGCAGAGGACGTAGACTGGCACGGCCAGGTACTTGGTCGCAGGGTGGCGGCGCAGGATGCGGAAGACGTAGAAGACGTAGTGCCGGTTGTCGGCGAGCGTGAAGGAGTGCACGATGGTGTTGAAGCGGACCGCCGCGGCGAATGCGGCTGCCCAGAAAGCTAGGACTGCCACTCGGGGGAGCAGGTCGCGCTGGCCTAGCTTTACATATGGCTTGAGCTGTGTGGGTACGGCGCGCTGCGGCAGCAGAGAGATCATGCTGCTGAGGAGACCCGGTAGGAGGATGGGGAAGGAGAAGAATGCTATGTATGGCCAGATGTACAGCATCTGAGGCGTGTGGATAGTCGCGATGTGGTTTGATTTGTCGCCTGTTTGTCGTCAATATGTTGTTCAACCACTTCAATAAAGTGATTGGGATATACCTAGGACCACTCCTCCGTTCCAGGCAACAAAGGCTCCGAACAGCCCTATCAAACCGCCATACGGTGCAACCGCCGTTATGACCTTAACGGGATATCTAAGCGCCGCAATGGCAAGGGAAATGATCGTTTTGATATAGTCTATCGCCATCAGTCACCAGCCCATCCCACTCATCAAAGACATGACATAAAACTCACCATCAAGGCCAGCATATCTCACCGGCTTGTCGTACACCGTCATATTCATCAAGCTGGCCCGCAGCACATCGCTGACTGTGAGGTGAGCCGCATCGTCCGAAGGCTGGGGGGCAGTCTTCCTCAAGGCCTGGACGACCGCCAGCCCAGCCGGGAAAACAGCGACCCAGAAGATGTTCGTCTGGCGGAAGAACAGCGCTACCACACCCAGCAGCACCGTCATGGCAGCAGAGTAGAGGCGGGATGCGCCTTTGCGCTGTGCTCGCAGGGCATACAGATAGGTCAGAAGAACAAACAGGGTGGAAGGGACGTCAGTGTAGTACAATCCAAAGAAGAAGAAAAGAGGCGGGAAGAGGCAGATGTTGAGAGCAGTGTGGACGGCATTGGTAAACAGAGGCGTCTTGTCATCGCTGGAGGACAAGGCCGCCTGAACGGATCTTCCAGGTTTGAGCAGGCCGTATAATCTCGTTAGGATTGAGAACGAGGCCTGAGCGATGAAGAGAGCTAGAGAGCAGTTGAGAGCTCGAAGAATGAAGATATCGCAGCGACCCGAGATGCGGTAGACGATGTATGAAAGGAGGTATCTTAGACACGTCAACACATGAAGCCACACAACTCTGGACTAGAGAACGTACAGGCCCGGAGGCGTTGTGATCTTGGGGTCCCAGACATGAAAATCTCCCGCGCAGTAAACCTGGGCCTGGCGGACATGGAACACCTCGTCCTGGAATTGTGATTAGAAACAAAACTCCCACTAACTGAAAGCTTCATAAGACAGCACTTACAAGATACGGTTCGGGGACCTTGTCGGAAACCCTCGACAGCCATTCCCAGGAAGGTATCAAGAGCAGCACAAAAGCCAGCGCCAGGATCCTAAACCCAGCAGATGGATCCATGACCTCGATCGCGCACTCAAGGAAAAAAGAAGAATCTCCAAACCGACAAGAGGCGGTGATTCTCAGCGAAGGGCAGCAAGAAAGGCAGCTCACATCACCGGCAAAAGCCCGGAGTGAATTTCCCACCCACTACGCGCGCTCCCACCCACTGACGTACACACACGCACACACACGCACATACGCACAATGGCACTTCCGCTGCCGCCGGGCCTCACGCCCGCTGAAACCGCCTTCCTCTGCGAGATGGAGCTCGTGACGGTGCTCCCGCGGCAGCGCCTCGAGAGCCTCGAACTGCTAGGAGTGAGTAGCTGACCACCCCGCCGCCGCGCGTGGCGCCAACAACAACTACAACTACTATTGGCATACGCATTGTACGTCCCGATTCCTGGCCAGCATCCCCTCACTCTACCCACCTTGGCGCGCGCGCGCCTGGCAAGCGGCAAGCAACAACCGCACTCATACAAGCACATACACACACGAAGAAGCAGAAAGCTGACCGCACGCACAGGGTCCCACACCAGCACTCGCCCCACCCCACCGCGCAGACATACCGCTGTGGCTAGCCCTCCTGCTCAAGCGCCAAAAGCGAGCGAACATCGTGCCGCCACCATGGCTGCACCCGGACTCACTAAACACGATCCTGGAGATCGAAACAGAGCACGAGAGCGCCTTCGCACCCGCACCGCCACTCCCATCCTCCAACAACAACAACAGCAACACCGCCAGCACAAGCACAACCACGTACGCCGGCCTAGACGCGACCACCTCGTCGCCACCCTTCGTGCTCACGAGCACCGCGTCGGCGCCCCCCACCGCACTGCCCTACCACTGGCTCGAGCTGGGGGAAATGCTGCTCTCAGCCGCGCCCGACGACTTCGCCGACCCGGACCTCGTGCGGCGCCTGATGCGCGACCTGCGCGAAGTGCGCATGGCGAAGCTGCGCGCGGGCGTGGACGCGCTGGACGCGGGCGCGGGCGTGCGCATGAACGGCGTGGGCGGCATGGAGGTGGCCGAGGGCCGCAGCTTCATTGCCGGCGTCGTCGACGGGCTGCGCCGCGTTGGCGCGTCGCGCGAGCAGGCGCGGCGCGAGCGCGAGGCTGAGGATTTTGATGCTGCTGGTGCTGGTGCGAGGGAAGGCGCGTATAGTGATGATGAGATGGAGCTGTGAGAATGCCTGTGCCGCGTTTGGTTGTTGCTGTGATATCCTGTGCCGGCGTATTTGGGGCGGGGGAATTGGCCCTTGGGTGGGGAATGGCTGGGCTATGCTATGTATGCTGCTGCGAGCTACGAACAGCGGCTGCTTTTGGAGCGGAAAACTCTGGGCTGGTCCGTTCTATTTGATATGAGACGGAGGATTTATCTGCAGTAGATGCGGCATCTGCTTCGACGGAGCAGCATGACGTGGTAGCACAAAAAGTCATTGAACGTCTCATATACAATCTTCATTTCACGACAATTGACTGGCTCGAACATGCACGAAAAGTAAAACATTCACTGCTTCAAAGCACGGTGACCGCATCGTCACATAACAGCGTACCAATTCATGAACTCATGCGCTTTTCCGCGGTAAAATCGGGAGCGCCAACGACCCTTCGGTCTTTGATTCGACATTCTTCAGAAACCTAACCATGGCCAGAGGCCCCAGACCTGCATTCCGACAGAATCTCGCCCTGACGCCCGAATGAGAAATCTTTTTCTTAGCCACCCCAGACAAGCGGATCACACCAGAACCTCCCCTCTATCGAGAGAAAGCAATCTAAGCGTCCTCGACGACAGCCGTGGTCAGGCCCTTGGGGTCCTTGACGTTGACGGCCTGCACGTACGAGTACAGCTTCTCCTTGGCGCCCTCCTCGTCGTTACGCTTGCGCGAGATGCGGACGCGCAGGCGGAAGGGAACGCCCTTGATGCCGGACTCCCAGACCTTCTTGTTGAGCTGGGGGTCGAGACGGACGTCCTTGGTGCCCTGCACGGAAGAAAAAAACACACATCCGTCAGCCAAACCTGCTCCAAACCACGTCTTTGCCCCATCAAACCACAAACAAACACACTCGTTTGACCGAGTCCGTCCGTCCGTCCATCTGCCTAGACACGACACTACCGGGGAGGGAAGAAAACGTACCATGGCCTTCTCAGCGAAGGCACGGACCTCCTTGATGGCGCGGGGCGCCCGCTTCTTGAACGCAACGCCGTGGACCTGTAGAATGTATCCCCAATCAGTCTTCCGCCCAATGCCACTTGTTGCCCGAAGTGACCGTTTCTGGACTTCACCAAACTGATGTTGCTGGGTGTGTTGGGTATGTATGTGTGGTTCAACGTACGCGCTTGTGCAGGTGGATCGTGTACTCGCGCGCGACAACGTCGGCGATGGCGCTGCGCTGCTTGCCCGCGGGCTTGTTGGTCTTGGCCTGGGTGCTCATTTCTGCGTAACGCTCCGTCGTCAGTCCTTGTCGTTCCTCTCTGTGTGTGTGTGTACGGCTATTGCCGTCGGGGTTGCTCTCGTACTGGTTGTTTTGGAGGGCCTGGTGGTGTGGTCCGGGAAAAGGTCGTCGCAAGGAGTCAAAGTTCTCGGGCTGCTCTGCGTAGAATTGGGATGTGGGTTTGCCTCGCTTACCGGTGCGGCCAAACTTCGGCTTAGCCCCAACGCCTTGTCCGTGGCTTGCCCTTCGTTCGAGCACGTCTCGCAGGAACATCATGTTTCGTCTATTTCACTTTAATGCGTTAACGCCCCTTATCATTAAGATGGATTTACCAGCTGGCGAGATAGTGAATGATGCAAGCGGTCCCTATAGAATATTCATTCGTTGTCTAGCTACAAGCCTGAGTCCTGAACACAAGTGATGGAGTGAAGGTCTTCGAACACACATACTACAAACACCTCAACTAGATTTCTTTTTCAACTCCGTACAAGCTTGACAGTGACAAACGTTAATTCACTTAACGCATTAATTTCTTAATCATTTTACGTAGCCTACCTGCCAGGTATCTTGCGTAATGAACTAATCGCCGACCATCCCATACTCCGAACCAAACCCCAACCCATAAACTATGGTAGAACCAAGCCTCCGCTAACAGTCTGCCCTACTAAAACTCGAACGAAGCGCCTTTGTGAAAAAGAATCCTCATGCGGAGCTTTATCCTTACTCCATCGCTCGAGCCTGACGCCCAAATGCCAAACTTCTGACCACTTGAAGCTGATCGCAATCTCACATACGTGAACCTCTCCGTTATCGGTGTCCAATAAGTTCAAGTCCATCGAGCACGTCTTCCTCTGCATCGTCAAGCTCTTCGTCGTCATCCAAATCTTCATCTTCATCCAGATCGCTATCGTCATCGTCATCATCATCATCATCTTCCTCTTCTTCATCGTCCATGTCATCCGCGTCGTCATCAGAAACACCAAGGAAATGCCGAACTGGCGAGAGCGATCTAACTCTCTGCAAAATTTCGAATGGTAGGAACGAGCTTCCTGCGACATCGACCGACCTTGGCCTGTTGCGCTCGCGCTCGGCCTCGGCTTCCATCTCCGCCAAGAAGAAGTACGATCCAGATGATCTGCGTGTGAGATCGGGCGCGGGTGCTAGCGACTGGGGCCTAGCTCTCGGGATCGATATGGGATCCGTAGGCGTGCCGATCCCAGAACTATGTTCAGATTCTCTGCCCGTGAGGACCTGTACCTCGTTTGTATTGAACGAGTCGCAGTGAGCGCATTGGTTGCCGAGCCAATGGTAATTGGCCGTAGACTTTACAGAGCAATCATTGCAGTGAATGACCACTTTGGTGTCGGCGAATTGGGCAGGCATAGGCTGGGTTTCAATAGCGTGCTCGAGCTTTCGCCATTGAAGCTCCATGTTGACGCAGCTCTTCTTGCATATGGGACATTTGTAAGCGGTTTCCATGTACGCTTTATAGCAGTCGCGGTGCATGTAATGTCCGCAAGGCATGGAAACCACGTCTGTGGAAGAGGTGAACATGTAGTCACCACAGATTGGACAATCACACTCTGTGGCTCTCTCAATGCAGCGGTGATCTTGGGCAAACTGGATGGAAATGCAGACGTTGCAACGCTGACACAGTCAGCATTTCTGGTTCACAGAGATGCTCAGGGGTGGATCAACATTACCTTGCAATGGACAAAGTCCTTGCCAAGTCCTTCGCCGCGTCTACATATGCCGCAGTCGGGACAGTGATATATACTTTTCGTGTTGTCGTCGTCCCATAGCTTGCAAATGTCACAATACCACCACGCCGTGCGTCCTTGGCAAGCTCTGCAAAACTCTCCAGCCGGCTGGGGAGTGGCGCAAAGCATACAGAACATGTTCCGGGTTTGCTGCCGGTTCAAATGATGGGTTTCTTTTTCATCGTGGCAGTGCCTGCATGTATACCAACGATTGCAGTCGAAGCATTGGATCTTGACGTTCCTCTTGTAGTGCTTACAGCCGAAAGATGGCTCTTCATCCTCCTCTTCCACAGCGAGGACTTCACCAGAAATATCCGTCAACGCCGCACGCTCCTTCAGAGGGCAAAAGGTGGGCTTCATGTCCTCCACAGAAAGGTTGTAGTGCGATTCATCATCGGCTGCCGAGTACAGAGATGCGGGTGACGACAAATGCATATGGCTATCAACGACGGACGTGGTGGAGCTGGGCGTGAGCGGGCGCTCTTGAGACATGATGCTCGATGGCGATCGTGGTCGAGGTTGCGCTAGATGGGCGTGCAAGGCATGGTAGCGCTCCGTCATGAGGTTGTGCATCTGTTTCGCCTTCTCCTCGTTTGACGTCTTCATGTCCCGGATCTCGTGGATCTTCAGGCGCAAGATGCGCATGCCGTCGTCGGCCGGCAGGGACTCGGACATTGTGACTGCTGTAGAGGGGCTATTCGAAGTAGGATATGATAGGGCACGGCCGGGGCCTCGGCGCGATTGCGAGTGTGCTATTGCAATTGTGCTTGTACTACCCCGCGGCGAGTCCGGGCTCGGCCCAGGTCGAAAAGGCTCGGGGATGCCGTAGGAGGGGTTGGAGGAGCGCTCGTCTTGCAGCGGAACTGGGTTCGTCGAGGAAGGAGATGCCCTCGTAGCCGGAGACGTGAGCCTGACATGACCAACTGCTACAGTGGACCCAGGTGGTACTTCGGCATGGGGCTCGTGGATAGGGGTGGCGATCAGGCTGGAGGAGTCGTCGTGCGCGGGCAGGAGGGGTACGGCGGGCGCAGCTTCACCGTCGACCTGATGAGTGGAGATGTCTCCCGTGGCAAGCCCACCTGTCGCAGAGGGGCTCGCTGCTGCTTGTCCCGTCGACGGGCAATTTGCACGTGATGGGCGCGCGTCATTGGCGATCGCCGGGACGGGATGAGTCTGCTGCGTACCAGACAACCTTCGCGCGTGGCGAACGACGGGCTCGACGAGGAGCGACGAGATGAGGTTGGGCATGGAAGAGAGAGAGGACGAAGGAGCCGCGTGCGCGCATGTCGTCCGGCGTGCGCGTCCGGCTCCGTTTTGAAGCTGCTGCGGAGCCGGTCAACGTGACCTTGTTTGTCGCCAGCACTAACGGCCGCAGCAGCAGCGCCTTTCCTCTATCCACCATGTAGGTAGCGAGTCCCCTGGTTCTTTGCTGGGTAGTAAGTTCTAACGTACCATGCTGTGTTGCAAGAGCTGCGAGGACTGGATGCCATCGAGCCCGCCGCCAACCACGGATATAGTCCGTTTCATACGTGCGCGTCTGTCCGGCGAAGGTGTCCAAGACCTCCACCAGTGTGACCAGGGGCCAGAGGCCTACTCTGAAACTGGAAGGTAGATCGGCACGTTTCAACCGCCTTTTTCCCCAACAGGACTTCGGGATCCCCACCGATTCGCTGTGGGTGCGCCGTACATGCATCGGCAATCCTCCGTCCGTCTTCAGCCCTTATGGCCACTGCAGATGACGGTCAGGTTCTCGCCAGAAGGCCAGATTGAGCAACGAAAAGCAATTGAATGGACGCACAAGCACGAGGGAAGTGGAGCTGGTTGCCCGATTTGTTGGGAATCCTCATGGTAGGAGCTTTGTCAGAGCACCGTGATGTACATGCAAGAATAACGTATGGCACGAGGCTCCAGTGCCGCAACGATAAGGAAAATACGCGTGATTCAGCCCGTCACCTAGTTTTCTTTTTATATAAAAGAAGAGTGAAGTTCTACACGGCCGCGGCTCAGAATCACATCTATTGAGACCAGCTGAGGACAGACAGCAGAACTCATACAATGAGTCTGGCCATATCCAGCCGCCGGCAGTATCAGATAGCCCTCATCGCAATTTACATCAACCCTCACCAGCCTAATATATGTTAACCTAGGCCCTTCCCAAAGCGGCAACCCGTAGGGTTTGTAATCCAATTGTGGGGCAACGATCTCAACCCGCAGCAAGCTAAAAACCACCAACGGCGACAACCACCACTGCCGCCACCGCCGCCGCCGCTGCCGCCACAACTTTGACAGCGCTCCACACCCACACGACCGCAAGGCAGAAAAGAAAAAGAAAAAGAAAAAGAAAAAGCAAACCCAAGTAAACCAGTTCGCAACCCGCACACGCACACACACCCCACCGCGCAAACCCAACCATGCCACCACCACCACCAGCAACGACCACAACCCCCAACCACACCACCGACACCGACCCCTTCGACGCCCTCCTCTCCCTCGAAGACGAATACTACACCGAAGGGCACGCCCTAGGCGTGCGCGACGGCGCCCGCGCCGGCCAAATTGAAGGCCGCGTCTTCGGGCTCGAAAAGGGCTTTGAGAAATTCGTCGCGTTGGGGGCGCAGCACGGGCGCGCAGCGGTATGGGGGGCGCGGCTGCCGTCGGCCGCTTTTGGTGCAGAGACAGAGCCAGCTCCAGCGACAGCGATAGAGATAAAGGCAGACGTAGAAGCAGAGGCAGCGCGCCTCCCGCCCCTAAAGCGCAACCCCCGCCTCGCGCGACACATCGCAACCCTGCACGCGCTGACGGAGCCCGCGTCGCTGCCCACGCAAAACACAGAGGACGGGGTCAGCGAGGTGGAGGACCGCGCGCGGCGCGCGGCAGCCAAGGCCCGGCTTATCGAGAACATTGCGCAGGAGCGGGGGCTTGATGCCGGCAATGTCGACGCTGCCGATCCCCGCGAGCTCGAGACCGAGATCTTGGCTGCGCCGAGGAAGCAGGCTCCGAAGCGCGCGGCGGGCGGCCGTGCTGCTGTTAAGGTGGCGGGTGGTAGGGCGAGGGCTGCCCCTGCAGAGAGGAATATGGAGGATTTTGGGGCGTGAGGCTGGGCTGCTGGGGAAAGCTCTGCTCGGTAAGCGGGCTAGGGAGCTATCGAGCGAGCAAACGCCAAGTACCCAAGCAAGCAAGCGAGCGAGCTTGGAGTATTCAACCACGCAAAAGAAGCCGCAAGCGAAGCAAGCAGGCGAGGCCGCACTGCGCGCCGGCGACCTTGGCTTGTGCTACCTACCTAGGTACATTTGCGGTGACGAAGCGGTGGGCATGGACTGCGTCGGGCCTGGCCTGGCCCGCCAAACAGGCCTCGCCGACGTGGTCAGCTACATGCACGCACGCACGCATGCACGCATGCACGCGCGCAAACAGACGGACGGCCTTATGGCAGGAATTGCGGAGCTTGAAGACAGGGAGAGGGGAGAAGGGGAAGGAGGGGCAAAATGCGAATGAGACGAACGAGGTTATAGGCGTGGATGCGTGTGGGCTGGGCTTGAAGCTGGGTATGAAACCGGGCAGCGTTGTGTAGAGACAGAGACGCATGTCACAGTGAGATGAGATGAGATGCAAGGCAAGCGCAGGGTGCTGACTCCGAATGGTATTAGACTGGCTGCAAGCAAGAAAGCATGGAAGCAAGCAAGGGGGTGAGAGTGTATGTATGAAGAGCTCAGCATCGTAGGCAGGCATCGGAGCCGCAGGGGACGAGGTGACGAGCAACCCACCCTCGCATCAAACAAGCAGTCGTGCAGCTCTTTCTCCCCCCACCTACACAAGCAAAAGATCCATCTCGGACGCCGTGGCCCTCCGTCTCAACGGCACGCGATGCTTCGGACAGCTCTCCCGACAGGTGCAGCGACCGCGCCACGCCGTCCAGACATTGGCATAGAACCAGCCGAAAAGAAACGCCCTGCCGCCAGAGAAAGAGAAGTAGTCAACCCGGTCTTCATCGCGCACTCGCTCGTGCCTCGCGCGCGCGACCCCAGGCCGCCGCGAGACGGGACAGAGCTGCTTGCTTACAGGAGGATGTAGGCGCCGAGCGAGGCGAGCATGAGGCCGAAGATGGCGGCGGGCTGGTTGAGGCGCGGGACGCCGGCGCTGGAGCCGGTCGCCGACGCGGACGTCGCGGCTGCGGACGTCTTGGACGCGTCGTCGTCGCTGCTGCTGGAGGCGGTCGACGTGCTCTTGCTGTCTGAGGTGCTGGCCGTCTTGCTGGCGGAGGCGGTCTTGGACGCGGAGGCGGAGGCGCTGCCAGAGGCCGAAGCGGTGGTAGCTACATTGCGTTAGCGGAGGGGCTGGGCAATTTACATGTACGAGCCAACGGGAGAGCAGCCAAATGTGTGTGTACGTACAGACAGTGACGCCGGCGGCCTTGCAGACGGAGGCGAAAGCGCTCATGGCGGCCGTGGACTCGTCGCCGGTGCAGGCATCGCCGATCTTGCCCGCGATGGCCTTGTCCTTGCAGATGGTAGCGACGTCGGAAGGGTTGTCGGTGCCGCCGATGACGGTGAGGAGACAGGCGGGCGGGGTGTCGGCGAGGGCGACCTGCGCGACGGCCAGGAGCGCGACGACGAGGAAGAGCAGCGTCTTGTTGAACATGGTGGGTATCGCGGTGCTAATCACTGTTTTAGGGAAAAAAAAGTATGCTAGGATAGCCGAGGACGGAGGTCGGGCGGGTTTCGAAGAGATTGTCAGGGAGTTGCGGCGTCAAAGAGTGACTGGAAAGCAGATAGGGTTCTCAAGGAGCGTGTGTGGAGGAAGGTCGGAGGTGGGCAGAGGTGAAGGTCGTGTTTAGAGCTGCGACAGACATGGGGTGGCGCTAAGCTGGACCCTGTTGGCGCTAGCGTCTCGCTGCTGCCCGTGGGGGCGCAGGGACCGATCAGCATCACTGACAGGGGGGGTGCCCGACGACTTCAAGAGACTAAACACTTTTTTTCGTGCTGCTATCAACATCATTATTATAGCTCAAAAAGAATATACTCGGCACTTCTCTAGCGCACTCCATGCCATCTCAACCACCCACACCGGCCACGACTAACCCCACCATGCCTTCCTCTCACCCCAAACTCTCATAATAACTATACGGCATATTCAGCTTATAAAACGGCTCCGGCTGCTGCTGGCCCTCCCCACCAACCCATCTCGGCACGGGCAACACATCCAACGCATCCGTCCTCCTCTCCTCTCCAAAAACATACTCAAACGTCTTAGCCCATCCAACGCGATTGTTCAAGCCATCCAAATCCCACAACAGCTGCAAAAAATGCAGCATCGAAGAATGTGTATACGCGCTGTTGTCCGCGTAAGCAGTCCCTTGGTCGTGGATCAGCGTGCCAGCCGGGATCCACGGCGAGACGAGAAACGCCGGCACGCGCACACCTAGCCGCGTGAAGTCGTACGTCACGGCGTGGTTGTCTGAGATGCCGTTGAAGGCGAGGCCGTCTTCGGGGGCGGGAATGTGCGTGGGTGGGGGGACGTGATCGGCGAAGCCGCCGTGCTCGTCAAAGTTGACTATTAGGAGGCTGGTGTGCGTTAGTTGAGCAGTCTGTGATGCTAGGAGAGCGAACTTACGCGTTGTCCCAGTAGGGCGAGTTGCGGAGCGCGTCGTACACGTGCTTGATCAGTTGCTCGCCAGCGGCCATGTTGCTGGTCGGATGCATCGAGTCGATGGTGCAGCATTCGGGGTTGATGTACGAGAACGTGGGTAGAGTGCCGTTCGCGAGGTCGGCGTAGAACTCGTCGGCGTGCACGAGTTTGTCCATGGCGTTGTCCTGCACCCACTTGTACATCCAGGCGTCGATGATGTCCGTCTCGTAGTAGTTCTTCCACGTGATGTTTTTCTCGTTCAACGCCTGGAAGATGGATTTCGCGCAGGTCGTGCCAGTGACATTGGCATACCACCCGGCGGCCTGGTCATCGTTTTCAATCATGCCGCATGACGAACCCGAAGTCGCAAATTGGCGGTTGGGATTCGTGGGGCCTGGATGTTCGGCATGGTAGCTGTCGAAGAAGGCAAAGTTCTGCGCGATTGTCGCTAGCGTCTTGGACTTCTCCTCGCTGTAAGCCTGAATTACGAAGGCTGTGTCTCCAGGCGTGGCGCTGTATTTGTCGGATTGGCGCTCGATGAACCCACCCATCGTCGGAATGTCATTGTTGGTTGGGTGCCATTTCTGGTAGATCTCGTAGCTTGTCCCAGCAAAGGCGTGGTCTGGGTCTTTGAGAGGAACCTCGCGTTCGTAAGGCGCGGCGCAGATTTCTATTGGTTCGTTCCATACGGTCCAGTTGGGGTTTGTATAGTTGTTGCAGTAGTCGATGCCCTGTAGACATGTCAGTATTGGCAAATCATTGAAACGGCCTCAACTACTAGCTGTACCCTGAGGCCGTCAATGTCGTCTCTAAAACTCCAATATCCAGCAATATTGTCAAAGGAGTGGTTCTCCATCATGAGATAAATCACATGCTTGATCTGCGCAGGGACATGTAGTCAGCCCTATGCAGCCTTACACTAATTGGGAGCAAATTACCTTCCCATTCAACGACTGCCAAACGTCATTCGACTTGCTGTACTTGCCATGCTGGTGGATGAGAGTGGGGGCAGTTGAGGCAAGAGAAGAAAAAGCAAGGCCAAAAGCCAGAGAGTAAGATATCGATCTCATGTTGAGGCCGTTCAGTTACTGGTAGGAAACTTAATAGCGCTGAGAGATTGCTACTGCTGCCACTGATAAAACGAAGAAGACGTGTTAAATATTTATACTGGACGAGTACAAAAAAAGAAACAGAGACGACTGCCGACAGGAGGTGCCGGAGTGCGTTCGCGCGGACATACAAACATGGTAGAAAGACGGAAACATCCTTTCTTTCCGAGGGATACAAAGTTCCACGAACGAAGTTGTCAAAACCAATCGATGCCGGGCTTCCCGAAGAGCATGACTTCAACTGAGAAGAGAAGATCCATGTTATCGGAAACACGAAAGGAAGGTAGCACTGGGACGGAGGCTGTTGAGTGAAAGTAGTGGAGAAAAATGCACTCGCATCTGTTGTAAAACCTCGCAAGCCGTGCCTGTGACCACAAAAGCACGCATTCAGAACGGCTTGATAGCTCTTTACAGAGAAGATCCAACATGCGTAGACGTCTGATGATGTTGATTTTAGTGCATATGTCTCTGAATCACGAAGCCGATGCCCCGCCTGGCGGGGTATTTCGTCATGGGTCTCTTTTCGCGCCGCGTTCTGCAATGACCATGACGCGTGGTGATAACGCATGAGGGCCGATTCGGACGTACGATTGGAGATGCCCGGTGATAGCCAAGGAACGAGGTGGAAAGCGATCAAGGAATGCGGCGGAGTTGGAGGACCAGAAGGCAGGCGAAGCTTTGCCGAGCAGACCAGACAGGGCTTGAATCCTGAAGCGAACACCAATTGCAACGTGCCCCGCTTGCGATGCAGGTACACGCACATGCGGCCCCCGCAAAGAGCCGTAAGCAGCAACATGCGTGCTGCCACTGGCCACTGCGTACATGGCGCTCTGCGCGTTACCTCGTGCAGCGACAAACTCTTCTGGTTGGCTGACACGGCAGATGGTCAACTGGAATGCGGTGACGGCATGTATTGCCCTTCCTTTTCAGTCTCCTCTGAGCGATGACAGCGACGACCCTAAAGCTGCTGTGCGCATGCTCATGGAGGCTATATCAAGGGCTCTGTTCGCACCCTAGATTAAGTTCTTCAGTGTCACAGTCCACACGTCCACCATCATGGCCTCGTCTTTCATCAAGAACACACTTTTCGGCAAGTGCACTACTACGGCCACGTCGTCAACGAAGGGTTACTTGCCGTTGACAGACAGTGAACACTCTCCACGGCTAGCATATCATCCTTGTCGGTACTCGTGTTTCCATGATGGTACAACTTCTGACCTTGTCTCAGGTGCTGAAGACGAAGAAAGCGCACTTGCGGATAGCTCACTGGAGTCTGAAAAGCAGCGGCAGGCAGGCAGCGGACGAGACCCAGCACCAGCAAAATCTAGCTTCCATGTCGATGCGCGTGTGATATCAGACGCCATAATCGGCCTATCGGACGGGTTGACAGTCCCTTTTGCCCTTACAGCAGGGCTCTCGGCTTTGGGTAACACCAAAGTCGTCATCTATGGCGGCCTGGCGGAGCTGATAGCAGGCTCGATTTCCATGGGCCTGGGCGGTTACCTCGGCGCAAAGAGCGAAGAGTATGTAATGTCGTCCTGATTGGCAAGACTACATGCTTACCGTTGAGATCAGAGAGTCATACAGAGCGACTGTAGCTCAAACAAAAGAGGACATAGTGGAGCAGCCCGATGCCGTGCGCGAGACCGTTTTCTCGCTCCTAGCGTCCTACGATCTCCCCGAGACGCTCGCGACCGAGCTGACAGAGCATCTCTCCGGCTCACCGAAGGCACTGGACTTCCTCATACGCTTTGAGCATTCTCTTCCCGAGCCTCCGGCGACAAGAGCCTTCACGTGCGCGCTGACGATCGCTTTGGGGTATTTTATCGGGGGATTCGTGCCGCTTTTGCCGTATTTCTTTGTGGCTACTCACGCTGTTGATTGCGGATTGGTTTGGTCTGCGGGTACTATGGCTATTGCGCTGTTTTTGTTTGGGTTTGGGAAGACTGGCATTGTGAACGGGTGGAAGGGGTGGAGCAAGGGGTTGAAGAACGTGAGAGGGGGAGTGGAGATGGTGGTCGTTGGCAGTGTTGCGGCGGCGGCAGCGATGGGGTTAGTGTATGCATTCAACCAGGGGCGATGAGTGAATAAGGATGATTATAGGTATAGGTTGTGTTGATGTTGATGTGACGACGACCCTGCGACGACGGGTGGCTTGGCGTGAGGCTGAGACGGAGGCTGAGCGGTGGCTGAAAGGGCTACAATCCGACTCCCGCAAGCATCAGCCCTCGTTACTTTCACCACCCAACCCACGTCTTTCCGCAACACAAAACCGCCATGGAGACGTCCAACGTCATGCCCAACGCTGGCTTCGGGCTCAATGGCGGCGACCTTGCCCCTGCCCAAGACATCATGAACGCCGACATGGACATCGACATGGACATCGACCTCACCGTGGACCCAGAGACGGCCGAACTCGAAGCCGAGGCCATGAAGATGGCACGCAGCACCTGATTCCTCCCTGGAAGCGCCCCGGCTAACCAGCGCCCTGCAGGACCATCTCAGCAGCGCTCCTATTCCCGAAGGCGCCGTCGACCAGCCGCCTTTGACCACGGAGCCGCAGCCAGAGAAGGTGCACGTCAGAGGACTCGACAACCTGACTACCGGGAGCATCAAGGCCTTTGCCATGGAGCACTATCCTTCGGACGCCTACGTGCGCCTGGAGTGGATTGACGACACCTCTGCCAACATCATCTACGAAACGGCCGACGCGGCGCGCGACGCGCTGCTCGCCCTCACCGACCCCGCCGTTATCGACCCCCAGTCAAAGCACGAAGTCGAGCTACGCAAAGCCAAGCCGATGACAAGCCACCCCGATGCCGACCTCTTCGTCCGGCAAGCCGTGGTCACCGATTTGAAGAAAGCGCGCGCCCACGAAGCGAGCCGCTTCTATCTGATGAACCCAGAGCACGACCCCAGAGAGAGGAAAAGAAGACACCAAGACTTGGGCCGCGGGGCTGGCGACTACAACCGGAGACGCTTTGATGACCGCGAGCAGAGGCGGCGGAGGAACCAGGACACATTCGACGTGGACATGTACGACGAGAGCGGCGAAGGAGGAGGGGAGGCGCCACGGGCCCGCTCGCGGCGGCACCGGCGCGACTCGTACTCGGACTTTTCGTCTGGCGATGAGCGGCGCGGCGGACGGCGACGGGCCGTCAGAGGCAGAGGAGGCGACCTCTTTGGCGACGGGTCCAAGTCGGACGGCCGACTGCGCAACCGCAGCGCATCCCCACTTCGTGACGGCGACGGCCGCCTCGGCTTCGAAGAAGACCCCGTCGCGATGCAGCGGCGCGTGCGGCGTCGCAGCCAGACGCCACCGAGCGCGTACCGGGCGCGCGAGAACGGCGCCATGGCGCAGGCGGCCGGCGGGAATGAGGGTAAAGAGCTATTCCCAGTGCAAGCGCCCAAGTCGGCGCTGCTGTCCTCGTCCAGCGGAACGGCCACCCCCGCGGCCAACAGCGGCAACAGCAACAGCACCAAAGAGCTCTTCCCCAGCAAACACATCCCAGGCAAGCGCTCGCGCGAGCTCTTCCCCAACAAGACGGCCCACAGCAACCACAGGCGACAAGACGCCCTCGACGCAGCCGACATCTCAGACGCCGCGTTCACGCAGCTGCGCGCGAACAGCAGTCTCGAGGACCGCATCACGCCGAGCGACGGCAGCAACGGCCGCAGCCTTGAGGACCGCATCAACAGTGGCAGCAACAGCAAAGCGCACAGCCGGCCGCCGGCCGAGGGCTTCAGCGTGCGCGGCGCCAGCCGCTCCGAGCACGGCGAGCCGGCGCCAGGCTTCTCGATCCGTGGCGCGGCGGGCGAGGCGCCCAGGGAGCTGTTTCCGCTTAAGTCGGGCAAGGGGGGCTCGGGTGGGAATGCGGGGAAGGAGCTTTTTGCTGAGAAAATCAAGGGGAGGGGTGGGCCGCGGAGGAGGGCCGAGGATATGTTTTTCTAAGCGTGTGCGGGTTATGTGTGTGTTTGGGGTTCGAAGATGGGTGGGAGTGAGATGGCGATGATCTTCCCTTTTTTCCTTCTTCTCCTCCTCCTCCTTCTTCTTCTTTTTCTTCTTCTTTTCCTTTCTTGGTACGGGTTCTCGGTTCCTCAATACTTTCTCCTTCCTCCTCTTCCTCTTCTTCTTCTTTGCGAGACTACATCTCTCGCACTTGACGGCGCGGCGGGTGCAGCGATACATGGGTTCGGGACCGGGAAGCGGTACGGCGTTCTTGGGGCGGTGCGGCGTGCGGGTGGGGGGTACAGAAGCAGATTGACGGATGGGCAGACGGGCAGGTGGGCAGAGCGGACCAGCTAAAACACATGTATGAAAGAGGTGGTTGAAGATGAAGACGAAGATGAAGCTAGCTGGTGCCATCTGTGCAGTCGTTTATGCTCGTGTATGTACGTACGTACATGTACATGTCCTCGCCTTCTCGCTTTCCCTCACAATACCATTGAAGTCTGCAAATACGCTCGTCCACAGCAAGCTGCACCTGTCACATCCGCGCCGCAAACAAAAACCCACCGCAGCCTCATCACACAGACGCGTCCGCCCCTCCTCCTGCATTTGAAACTACAGACCCCCTAAGAAGCCGCCCTAGCTACTCCTCTGCTCTATAGTAAAGACCCTGCCTATTCCTAGCGCTCCCGCTCCCGCTCCCGCGCCTCAGGGCCCAAAGAAACCCTCCACTAGGAGTAGCACGCCGAGCGAGAGCAAGATTAACCCCATCCCTCCAAACGCACACATTTGGTGCGCCTACAACCAACCCAAAGCCAAGCCTAAACCATGCATCTTGCAATTTCGATGATGAACATCATCACCAACTCACATGCGATTCGACGATGATCGTCATCACCGTTTGGAGGATGGGTTGGTGATGACGGCCATCATTGTTTCGAGCAAGAACTCGGTGATGATGCTCATTATCAAAAACACAAAATGCAGAATTGGGGCTTAGGTTGTGGTGAGGTTGCGGGGTTTGTTGGGTTGGTGAATATAGTCGAGTGGAGTGAATAGTATTAATCGGGGTTTTGTCATTGTCTATAGGTATTGTAACTGGGGGTTAGCGTTGTGTAGTGTATTTACTGCGACTGTTTTTGTGAGTGTTTGTATGAAAGTGGTGGGCGCACACATATACTCATAGAGAGAGAGAAGGGACGGAAAAGCAGTGCGGACTGGCTGATTTGTTTGGCGGTGTGCTCTACGTGTATAGATAGATAGGCTCTAGTCTAGCGCGACAGCGGGAGCAGCGGGGGAGAGGGGAGTTGTGAAGAAAGAGAATAAGGAAAAGAGCTGGCAAGCCACTACCACCGTTAACCCTACCCATCCAACCCCCCCTCTACCCCTCAAACAGACACACCACGGCCTAGTCAAAGCTGCTCTTGAACACGATGCGCGCGTCCTCGCCCGTCGCAAACGGCACGCCCAGCTCAAACAGGCGCATCACGACATCGGCAAAGTCCTTGAAGAAGGCCTCGTTATCCTTGGCATAGCGCTCGACGACCGGACGGAACTTCTTATCCTTGACGAGCGCCATATCCGTGGGCAGCATCATAAGGCTCTTGGTCTTACTATCCTGGAACTGGCGGGGGCCGTCCCACTTGCGGTAAGACCAGCGCTCATCGAGCAGCAACCTGAAGTAGTCGTTGGTGAGGGTCGTCGGGGAGAAGGTCCAGGGGCCCTCGAAGCCGGAGCGGTCGGTGTGGCAGCGGCCGAGCGCGTGCGCGCCGCTCAGCGCCACAATCTCTTGGTCGTTGAAGCCCATGCGGCCGAAGATGGCGCGCAGGTGGTCGTGGCCCTGCGACGCGTCGGGGAGCCGCCCGTCCGGCGTGCAGAACGACACGTCCCGGTCTTGCCGGCCGGGCCGCCAGGGGATCTTCGGCCCTTGCATTTCTTGGATCGCGCACACTGCCGCTAGCGTCCACAGGTCGGAGAACGTGATCCACGGGAAGCGCGCCCGGATGGGCTCGAGGAAGTCGCGCGCCGCGCGCAGTCCGGCGTTCGCCCCGTGGTCGCCTTCCGGTGGGAAGCGCATGGTTGCGCCGTTGGAGCCGCCGGTGCCGGTTTCCTTGTCGAAGCTGTAGGAGAAGTGTGTCAGTACAGCTTCGTCCTCTGTCAAACAAGACATGCAGCTTCCTCTTCTCCCTCTTCCTCACTGAAAGGCCAACAACAAGAAAAGCAAGACTCACGTGCCACTAGCATGCCAGCCCAGCCTCAACAACACAGGCCCATAGCTGCCATCGTCATAGTCGTCGTGCTCCTCCAAAGCCTTCGCCACGGCGTCATACACGGCCTGGAAGTCCTCCGTCTTGGGCGTGAAGGCGGCGCCTTTCACTGCGGCGCCGACGCCCTGCTCCGAGCTCGACGTCCCCCGCAGCATGCCCGAGCTGTAGCCCCAGTAGCCGGCGCCGCCCAGCACGGCCAGCGCGCCGAGCCATATGGCGGGGTTGCTGCCACTGCTGCTGCTGGGGTTGGGGTTGCTCCCGCCCTCTGAGGCGTAGCCCCGCCGCGATTGGTGCTGGTACCGGATGGCGCGGCGGGTGAGGTTGCTGCTGAGGCGAGGAGCGCGGGCTGCAGTGGTGGTGGCGGTGGTGAGAGGAGAGGCAGTGGTGCGCAGGGCGGCGCTGCGGGCGAAGACGGTCCTGGCGGCGGCGGCCATGGTTGCTGTGTTGACAGATAACGTGTGCGGGGTTATGGCAGAAGCAGTGACGCGATTGCAATGGAAGAGAGAGAGAGAGAGAGAGAACGCAAGGTAGAGGAATCCAATCTCTCGAGCGAAGCGGGACAGCAAACAAGCAGGCGCCGGAGATAGAAATATCCAAACGCTCAGCTACCGGCAACCGTCCCGTAGGTCCCTAGCTTTGTCAACCCCCCAACAACGGGCTGCCCGTAGTGACGACGGGACGCCAGGGTTCACGACGCGAGCCCGCGAGCCAGCCAACGCGCCAACCGACCAATGAGCCACCGACCAGCATCAGCAAAAGCCAGCAAGAGCCCCACCCTCCCAAACCCGGGCACCAATCGCCGCGCGCCCATTTCGGCCAGTCGTCCAGATCGCCGCGGCTTGGGTAAGCGGCTTCGCGCGCGGCGTCGTTGGCCCTCTCGGCCAGACTTGCTCGTTTTGTCAGCGGTTACTTCGTGCTCTGCGGATGACTTCCCTCGGTAATTATATTTGTAGACGACGAGGTGCACCTAGAACAGGAGCAGCGAGGACCGAGACTTGATCCGTACGCAAGGCAGACTGCCTGCTCATCGTGCGTCCTGCCGTCTGGACCGCCGTGCTTATGTATGTACATGCGTACCACCACCACTGCCTCCTCATCCCACCCCTTCCCCTTGCCTACCTAGGTAAGCAGGCAGGCAGGCAAGCAGCCTCACCTCGTCTCTCCTCTCTCTCTCCCTCTCCCCAATGCCCCCATCTCCGCCGCCTACCTGTCGACAACGCCGTCCCCCACACAGGGCGCACCGCAGCTGAGACAAGACACAAACCACGAGGCTCGTGCCGCCAGCCAGCTACGCACCCGCCGCCGTCTGAGACACGCCTGCAACATTGTTGCGACGACGTGTCCCGGCCCCCAGCTCTCGGCCAGCGGGACGGACTCGAATCGCGTACCCATCCACAGAAAGCATGGGTGTGTGCTATGCTATGCAACGCCATGCCGTGCAGCCCGCCCGGTGCCCTGCGTATTTGTTTCCATGTTTGTCTATCCGTTCGCCCAATCATCCAGGCGCACACGAGCACAGCAAACACATCCACAAGCCCACAAGCCCCCAAGCGAGATATGTACGCGATGCATTCATGGTCCAGTAATAGGTAGCAGCAGCAGCAGTGTGCGCACCCGACCACAAGCGTCTTCGGCAGGCCCAGCCCGCCCCAGTCGTATCAAATAATTACACCACCCGTCTCGCAGCAGGCAGGCATGTAGGTAGCTAAGTAAGTAAGTAAGCAACAAGAAGAAAAAGAGAACTACCTATATCCCCGCCGTCGACCGCGGGCAGCAGCCTCCAGCAGCCCGTCAATCGCAAGAGGTAGAAACGGCAGCATGCGCAACGACGCTGTCCCGTCCCAGAACCCCCCCCTGCTCCCAAAGCAAGAACCGCAAACCAGGAACCAAACGCGCATAGGTAACTAGGTAGGCAGCAACAGCACGACGAAGCGGCACCAGGCCACCGCGCCCCGCCCCGCCAAAACAGCCAGCCAGCCAGCCCGCCTCGGCCAAGAAAAGAGCAGCAAAGGTAAAGAGAGAGAGAGAGGGAGGCACGCACATGCAAAGCGAGAGAAAACAAAAAAGCCATCAAGCCGTCAAGCCCATAAACAGGACATAAAGACCTATCGTAGTAACCAGAAGAAGCGGCCAGCATCCTACCCCCTCGTTCTCCACTCCGAGCGCAATGTATGCTCTGCAACCGCACCCGGTCCCGCCCCCATCATCTCAGCCCACCAGACCGTCAAGCATCAAGCGTTTAGCCCTCTCCAGCAGAGCCGGGCAGAGCAGATCAGAACAGGGCCGCATGAACGAGTGCATGTGCACGTACATGCACGAGCATAAGCGCATACAAGCGTGCCGTGCCCATCCCCCAACCCAACCCCATCCAACAACCAACCAACCAACCAAGCCCAAAGCCAGCCAGACCCAGACGCAAAAGAGCCAACCCGACCCAAAACGAACCCGAACCAAACGAATCAAAGCCAGTCCTCAATAAAAAAGAAGAAAAACAATCATATACGAGTTGCATGCTTTGCTACGCCGACCCCCACCCCATGCTGTGCTATGCTGCGCTGGAAGAGTGTTAAAAAACAAAAGAAACAAAAAAGAAACAAAAAAACAGAAAAACGGGAAAGACAACCCAAAAAAGGCACTAGAGAGAATTGACTCAGATTAAAGGAGCGAGACGGAAGCGCAAGGCCGACAGGTCGGATCAATTGTGTGCGAGAAGCATGGTACCGAGGCATCGAGAACCGCTCGTCGTCTCGATGCGCCGTATATATCGAAGGTGTGTTGCTTCGGTACCGCCATGACAAAAGCGGTTGAACATATATGTGCGTGTGTGTGCGTGTTGGTCAGAGCGCAACGCAACGGCCGGGCTCGGCGGCGCCAGAGTAGGTGTAGGAGCTGCGTGCGAGCCTTATTTTTGGCGGGTTTCGTAACACGCAGCGTCGCGTAGCCCGGAAAAAAAAATGTGCGTGTTATTTACTTGAGCAATGACCAGCACGTGTAGAGAAGTAGATAGACAAGAAAGGCTCTAAGACTTTGTACCCTCCGGGAGAAGCAAACGTCGAATCCCAGGCTCCAAACGCCGACGTTTCGTTAAGCACGGTGGAAGACATATTCAGTGGACGGTGGGAACAGAACGCAAAAGGCATTCTGAGCCTTGGGCCCTGCATCTCTCAATGCCCTGTTGACGTCCGAGCCCGTTGGCAATGCAAACAGATCGTTGGGCCAACTCTTCATAGAGTCGAGATGATCCCTTTCGAAGTGCGTGAGCAGCTGGTTGCGAGTACTCGGCATTTTGGCAAAGTTCTTTCCGCCGCGCGTGCGACCTTCGCCGACATTTTGACATGCGCGGCAACAGAGCTTGTTGAATATGTCGTGGTTGTTGGTGCTGACGAGAGTCGTCTCGAGCTCGGAGCGTAGCAGATGGAGGTCTGGAACGCTGGTGCTGTTCGGATAGGCATAGGTCCAATGCTGCATACCGAACTCCAAAGCGATTTTGCTGCGAATCTCCGGCTGGAGGGAACTATCGGCAAGTTGTTGCAGCGCGAAACGCATGTTGCCAATGAAGTCCTGCGAGCCCTGAGAGATGTCGTTGGGAATAACGGCGGCCTTGCCCCTGGCGAACGCAGACGGCTCGGTGTCTGGGATTTGTTGCGTAGGTGCAGTGGTTCTAGGTCTGGTGTAGTCGGGTGGACAATCTTCAAGATTCCAGCCACCCGTGGACTTTTGCGACATTGTGAGGACGGGGAGGTTGCGCGGCCATGGAACTGCGCAGAGGTACCGCATCTCAGTCTTGGGGCCTGCAAGGCGGAACAAATCAAAATCGCCGACTGTGTTGGCGTGGTCGTCGCGGATATGGTGCATAAGCTCTCTAAACGTCCGTTTTTTGTTGCTGTCATTGCGCTTGCAGCCAGGGCATCGGAACTTCTGAACATTGCGGGTTGGTTGGCGGAACTCGGAATACAGCTCGCTCAGCTTGCGGTTGATTTGATATTCCACAATTCTGCAGGCATGCTCAATCGTCAGGACGTACCGCCCGTCTGCGGGATAGTAGTTTTTAAAGGGACTGGTCGGTGGGAACTGCGATCCCGGCTTTGATCTGGCGGGCAAGTTATACCAGGCTTTCCAGACGTCTCCGAGAATACCGAGAGTGAACTCCTGATGGGGCATGTTGTATCCTTGTCCTTGCACCTTGATAAACTCATACTTATCCACCACCCGCTCGGTGAGCTTGGACACGAGGTCAAGACCACGAGAGGACTGCATGGGTTGAAGTGAGGGAATTAGATCCCAATAACCCGTCTGTTCCGCCTCTTTTTCTAGCCTCCATATGTGTTCAGCCTTTTCGCGGAACTGCAGGAGCTTGGGACGCAACACTTGCCACAGCTTTTCCGTCTTGAAGTCCTTGTTTATCTTAATGTTTTCTTGATATGACGGAATGAGCTTGAGTACATCCTCGCGGATAGGGGGATCAAGCTGTGCGGCCTTGCTGATGATGAATTCTTTCCGCTTGTGCTTTAGTTGCGTGCTGTTGACGGCCCTAGCATTATTCCACTGCTTCTCCCACATGTCGATCTGGTAGCGATGATCCATGTAAAGAATCGTCTGTTCGCGGCACTCCTGCATCCATGCTCTTACCAGGACAGCCTTGTCCTCCTCTGACACTTCTCGTTTCTCGAGAAGGGCCAGGAAGTCGTCATAGTCTTGCAACGCCTTCGTGACATCGTCCTTGAGGAAAATCGGCTGATGGCCGGAAGCCATTGAACGTCCAAGGGTATCGCCATATCCAGCGTACGAATAGTGGTTCCAGGAATCAACAGTTGCGCACGGAATGCAGTGGAAAAGACCAGGATATTTCGTTCTAACGGCGGCTATGTCTTCATGCTTGATAATCTTTTCCATGAGACAAGTTGTACACCATCGGCGGAGGAAAGCCCAGTAAGTCTTGCGCGCCTTATGGTCACCGCAGGACATACAGCCTTGTCCGGACAGCAGGTCTGCGTACTGCCAATCTTGCAGAGGAAGCGGAGTTGCAGGTAGGTCCGCGCCAAAATGGCTGACCATGCTGTTTTTCCAGATGTGGTTGTACGAGAGCGCATCGTGGAATCCACGGCTGACCCTCTGGAACGTGAAGAGCATGCTGGGTTCGCTGAATTCGAATATCCTTTTCCAGATGTCATCGTAAACCCGCGTTTGCACCGCACGATCTCGCCTGATCCTCGTGGGTCCTGGCTGCTTGATTGGGGCGGTCCTTTTCACCTTCTTCGATGGAGGCGCAGCCTGCTCGTCGCGGAAGATTCGTTTGCCCAGGATCTGTTCGGGTTGCTGCACGGGATAAGCACCGTTGGCCAGTTGGGGGGTTTGCGGGAGAACTCGGAAGGCTAGGACGCCGTAGTTGTCGCGCATGGTGTAGAGGAAGAAGAGGCCGTTGAACCAGGTAAGATAGACGCCGGAATCAGCGTCATAGGTGGTACTGGGGTTAAAGAAGTACTCGGGCGGCAAACATTCGGTCGGATGTTTGATAAATCCTTCAGTAGGATGCGAAAGAAACAAATGGCCGTTGTGCCAGCATGAACGCCAAGCTGAAATCCAAGCATCGGAAGTGAAAGTCGGTCTACTGTTGCTGCTGGCAGCCATTTGCGGGGGCGGGTCGGCGAGAGGCTGAGCGGGACGGCCCGGGGCAAATTCACGAGGCGGAAAAGAGGCGGGAGGTGCCTCGAGTGAGGCCGGGCGACCGAAAGGCTCCATGGCGGGCAGTTGAGGGCGGCGATGGGCAAGGCTCGATGGCCCGACTCCTACGGGGGGATCGTGTGCATCTATGTACGGTCGCTGTCGCAGCGGCTCGGGGAGGAGGCCGGCTGGCGAGGGGCGAGGAGGGTATGTGACGGACGGAGGGTGCGGGTGCGGCATGCGCTCTCAGGGTGGCTGTCAAAGGTGAGAGAGTGTGGGTGACATGTTGGTGATGGGAGATCAGCACGGCGGGAGTTTAGGGCCGAGGGGGGAAGGCCCTACAATTCTCCGCGTCTGGGCCCGGGCT